TGGGGGTTGTTCCACATGGCACCGGCAAGGACGACCTTGACCTTCTGGCCACCCGAGAGACCGGAGATCTGGTTGTGGTTGGCGATCTCGGGGTCCAAGCCGATGTCTTCGAAGTGCTTGGAGATCTCCTTGGGTTCCAGGACACGGAATCCGAGACCCTCACGCGAAGCTTCGTGGTCATCGAACTCCTGGACCATCTTGAAGAAACCAAGCTCGTTCAGGGTCTCGCGGGAGATCATGGTGTTGTGCTTGGGCAGGAGGCCAACCCACTTCACTTCGTACTGGAAGGACTTCTTCCACTTCTGACGACCGATCAGCGCCTCGATACGGCGGGGCCCACGGCCATCACCAAGGTCGACAGGCTTCTCGAGCTGGGCCTTGTCCTCCTCGCTCAGGATACGGGTCTGCTTCAGGAACACCTCACGGTCGTCACCGTTGGCGTAACGCCACTGCAGGTATTGGCTGGGAGTCTTCTCCAGATGCATTTCCACGTGCTCCAGGGCGTGCTGCTTGATGTATCCCATACGCAAGTTAGGGTGCTTCTCCACCTTTCCGGTCTGAGGGATGGTTTCACCCGTAAGCATCTTGATGAAGGTCGATTTACCGGCACCGTTACCTCCAATGATGGCGACGCGAGAGGACAGGGTAAGGGAGAGCGAGGCATCGGTCAGAGAAGGCTTCTTGGCATTGGGGTAGGTGTAGGAGCAGTTGGTCATCCGGAGAATCGAACGGGTGTTGGACTTGATACCAGCCAGTATACCGGGAGGGGGGAACTTGAAGGAGACTTGGGAGGCGGACAGGGTGTAGTAACTCTTGGCCTCGGGCTTGACCTTGACGAAGTCGGCCAGGTTACCCTTGTAGCAGACGAGCTTCTTGCTTTCGTAGTGGTAGATGTCCGTGCACACCTCGTCGAGGAAGCCGGAGTCGTGACTGACGATCAAACTGGTGATGTCAGTGTGCTTCTTCAGGTATTCCTGCAACCACTTGACGTTGGCGACATCCAGATGGTTAGTTGGTTCGTCCAGCAGGAGAACGTCGGCCTTCATCAACATGGCACGGGCCAGCGCCAGCTTCATCTTCCAACCACCAGACAGAGATCCAACGGGCTGAGATTGGCGACCGTCGGGACCATCGGTGAAGCCGAACTCAAGAAGGACGTTGCTGATGTGCTCCTTGCCCGTGGCGGCAATGGCGGGGTCCTTGGACACGTATTCGGCGATGGTAAGGTCCGCATCTTCGCCTTGGTTGTGCTCGACGAAGCAAGTGCGCACGACATCCTGGGGCGGGAAACCCTCCAACTTGTCGTTGGCGATACTGCGCATCAAAGTGGACTTTCCAGCACCGTTGCGACCGCACAGACCGTAACGGTGACCCTTCAGGAGACGGAGGTTGGTGTGAGAGAGCAGAAGCATACCACCGTAGGCAAGAGAAAAGTTGGCGTTGACGATCTCGACCTCGTTCGGGTCATCGGGCTCGGGCTTGCCGAACTTGCGGTGGTCCTCCTCGACGAAGTGCATCTGCACCGCCGAGGCAACGGCATCCTCCTTGCCCTCCTCAAGCAGTCCACGCAGGTAGGGGGCAATACAGGCGGGGATGCGGTCATGCATGCGAACGTTGATGTCCTCGCGCACCATCTCGGCAACGTAGTTCTTACCAAGTTCGAAAAGTGTGCGCTGCTCCGGAACGGCGAGACCGCCGTTGGCCTGGATCTGGGCGTCCAAAACGGTAAGAACCTCCTCGGGGGTGACCTTAACGATGGCACCGGCAGCGACGTCACTGTCACTCATGGCATTTTCGATGACGCTCAGAGCACGGGTGGCGAGCTCACGGACCTCGGGCAGGGAAGCGCGGTCCTTGACACCCTGCACACCAGGCTTCAACTTGGGCAAGAAGGTACGCGCCTCGGCGGGATCGTGAACGAGCTTAGTCAAGTTTTCGACGACGACCACAGTGCGGCGCAAGGTTTCCTGAGGGGTAGTGGGGGCGTTCAGCGAACGCTCCAGCAGAGGGGTCAGCAGAGCGAGCACGGGAGACGTGACGACGGCCACAAAGGTGGTCTGAGACAGAGCGTGGATAGCCGCCTGCAGGGTCTGCTCGGAAGGCTGCTCCATGGTCTTGATAAGCAGGGGGATACGAGGGGCGACGTCGTCGTTGGACAGCAGAGTCGTAAGGGCGTTCATAGCCTTGATAGACTGCTTGGCCACCTCGTTCTTCAGATCGTGCATGCCGCCCTCAACCAAGGGGATCAGGTCCTTCAGAGTCTTGCCCATGGCCTCACGCAGCACATCCTTCGCCAGCTCCTCATCGTAGGACCCGGTTCCGATCTGAGCCTTGACGGCCATCTTCTCAATGAGCGAGTAAGCGCCGACAAAGCCCTGCCACTTTCCGGTACCCTTGCTGAGATAGGCGGAGAGGGCAGGCAGAAGGGAGTTGACCATGGCCTCGGGCTTGAGACACGAGAACAAGGCGTCGATAGCATACTGGGCGGACTCGCGCACGATGGCACCCTTATCAGCAAGCGCATCGAGAGCCAGGTTCAGGACACCGCCGTCCTGGAGCAGAAAGACAACCTCGCTGAGAGGGTGTTCGCGAGGGAACCGCTCGAGCAGAGCGCCGAGGATCAGCATGGCACTCTCACGTCTGGCGCCATTTTTCTTATCGGTGGCGGCCTTCTTGATTTCCGGCAAGATGTTGTACGTCGAGAACGCGCGGCATCCGACGCTTTGGATGAGGAGGTTCGTCAAGGCATAAGAGGCATCGAGAGACTGCTGAGAAGTCTGAGCGGTAAAGATAGTGTTGAGAAACGAGGACACTTCCTCTGCGGTCGGAGGGACGGACGAAGGGGTCTTGGAGACAGCGGTCGGCATCGCGGGGGTTTCAGAATGCGGCATTCTTCAGTATATAACCCAATCGATAGGATCGGCAGGAACTAAGTCGTAATTTCGTGCGTTGGCTTCTATCCAAACACACAAATCCTTCGCTTCAACGGCGATGGCGGGGCCGTCGAAAATCGGCACTGACGGACAAAGAATCGATAAAAAAAAGATTAAAGAAAATTCCAAAAACTTTTCTGTGCCAAATGACAACAGGTGGCCTCCGAATACGGATCAGCCTTCTAGATTGCAAACAAGAAACAGGGTATACAACTGAAGAACAGGAAAAGAAAGGAAAACAGGAGTGGAGATGATCAAAGAAAGAGGGAGAAGGAAGGAAAAATCAGCCTTCACGAACAAATCCAGGAAGAAAAGTTGACCTGCGGCGGGGCTGACAACTCTTTTTTTTTTCTGCCTTTTTTGGGCGAAAATCTCTGCCTGAGGCGTGGGACCCGCCGATAAGCCAATGACGGCTTACCGCTTTCGCATGAGCCGCCGCCATTGGATGTGGCGCATCGCAGGTTTATCTGTGGCTGGTGCAAGGGCTGGCCAGGATGTGGCGGTGCACTCGCTGCCCCGTAGACACCTAAGTGCCTGAGGCAGAAAGATCCCGGGGGACGGGACTAGACCACATTGGGATTACCCCGCACGGGATCTGCCACCTTGGTGTTGGCGTTTCTGATGCCTAAGGCAAGTTGCCAAGCATTTCGCCGTTCTCCTTGGACAGCGTGAAAGACCTCGTGTCTTCCTTCATCGATCAATCAATTCAGTATTGGTCAGAGCGTCCTTCTATCCTGTATTCATGGATTTCATCATCGTAGACTTCTGCCGTGCATGTGGCCCCTAGAATACCAACAATAGGTAGGAAAAGAAGACGTATAGTTATACAAGTTTACCTTACTAACATCTCTTTACCTCCTTCATCAGAAAAAAGATAAAAAAATAAGAAAGTAAAGTAAAGAAAGAAAAAAAAAAAGAAGAGAAGGAAGAAAAGCAAAAGAAAAAAGAGAGAGGAAGAGAGAATGAGAAAAAGGAAATGATGAACGCAAAAAGAAAAGTAAAATGAAAACGCCCGCTCCAGGATTCGAACCTGGATCTCCGTAACAATATGTCTAGTAATAGAGAGGCATGCTACCATTGCACCAAGCAGGCTATTTTATATGGTGGAGAACAACTCGGGGGTATCTGCCTATATTATTGGTGAAGTCATAGGGCCTTCCTTGCCCCTCTAGTTAGTACATCGTAGGTATCTTCTTAAGCAGGTCGAAAATGGAAGCCATAGTGAACCTAACGAAAACCTCCATATCTACGGCGTACTGTAGAAGGTGTCCTGGAGGAAAATGGCGGATTGCTTGGCAGCTTGCCTCAGGCATTCAAATACCAATAGAAACAAGAAGATCGTCATTTTGTTGGAGCTTTCGTGTAGCCCGAATGAATAATGTTTTGGAGTTTAAAGCTGAAGAATAAGCTGAACAAGCCTAGAGCATTTACTAGAGAACTTGATCAGATGACACATGAGAAACCGGCCCTTTGGCTAGGAGAGCCAAATATTGGGTAGGAACCTCTGAGTATGGGTCGAATCCCCTCGAACAACAGCATTTCATAGGTATGCGGTCTCAGCTATGTTCTGCTCTTGACTTGACAACCTGATCGTGGCAGACTCACCAACGACAGCCTCGTCCATCAAACCCCCTTGGTCACGGTGTTCATCCGGCCCTTCATATGTCGCTTGTGTTAGAGAAGAGCCAAGACTCTACCTGTCGGTTTCCCGTGGAGTTGATATCTAGGCAGAATCGTGTCGGGTCCGAAATTGGCTATTGATCTGTCCCATTATTGGTGGCATTAATCCCCAAGCAGTATCGGCGCCATATACCTGCTTTCGCAAACACTTCACGATCGACCCCTGAGCCTCGTCCCGCTGATATAGCCGCCGACTGGAACCCCAACTTTCCTGGGGCCAGCTACCCTGCATGTAGGGTTACGTGATCACGTTCCGACGTGCCTGATACTCTAGCCTAGTTGTTACTTGTTTCGACCTTGTCGCCGAGCCCCCGCGTCATCTAAACACAGCTCGACAACTTCGAAGCAATCCATCACCTCTTGATGGAAGGCCTTCCATGAGCGATCATGACCATGAACTCCACCTCTGGCACTCGCCGTAAACTGCCTTGCGGCGCCTATACAGTCGGCTGGCTCTGCGTCCTAGACTATGAAATCGATGTCGCGACCGTCTGTCTCGATGAGGAGCACGTGACTCCGTCGACACCTCCAGACGGCAACGCCTACACTGCCGGGCGGATTGGAGAACACAACGTTATTATTGTCAAGTTCACCCAGTCAGGGACGACGAGCGCAGCAACAGCCGTCACCAACCTTCTTCGAACCTTCGGGAAAATACGCTTTGGATTGATGGTAGGCATTGGTGGCGGTGCTGCGGATAACCCTGAGTCGGATGACCCCACAAGAGAGACGACGGATATTCTTCTTGGTGATGTCGTGGTCAGTAGGCCGCGAGCAGGACATGGTGAGTGGACTTGAACCCCATGGAATCGACTTCCTGCTTACATGGGATCTAGGCGGGATCTTACAGTATGACCGGGGTAGACGAGAACCCGGGGGGTTTACGGCTCTGGCACATCTAAACAGCCCCGGAGACCTGCTCATCTCCGCCGTCGACAAGCTTTCCCGCGACCACAGATCCCGCCGAGGAAAGATGGCACAATACATTGAGGAAGGGCAGTCGGAATTGCGAGCACTAGGCATGAACTATTTTGAGTTTCCGGGCCGGGATCATGATCTGCTTTTCGCTTCGGAATACCACCATTCGACGGATGAGAGGACCTGTCGAGGCTGTGATAGAAACCAAATGATCGTTAGAACTTCGGAACCGCGGAACAATCCTGTCGTTCATCATGGCCTCATCGGGTCAGGAAACACTCTTCTGCGAGATGCGCACATGCGAGATACTCTGCGACGCGAAGACAACGTCTTATGCTTCGAGATGGAGGCGGCCGGGTTGATGAATTACTTTCCATGTCTTGCTATCAGAGGCATCTCGGACTATGCTGATACTCACAAGAATGACCTGTGGCAGCCGTATGCGGCGCTGACAGCAGCAGCGTATGCGAAAGATCTCCTGGCCTTGATTCAGCCACGGGAGATAGTTGGGATAGATATTGCTTCGAAGTGTATGTCTTTCTTTTTCATAATGGAAAACGGAGGCAGAAAAAAAGCCGGGCGTTGGAATATTACTCAAGCGGGAGTGCAAATTCATTCAGAGGTTATGCTAATGTCACTGACATGATTGCAGTAATCCCGGAGGCTCGCCAAACGAATAAAAGGCTTGATATAGAATACCGCTCGAAGATCTTGAAGTGGCTTACTCCTCTTGATTTCTCAGGCGAACAGCAAAGGTTGTATGAGAATAGCGTACCTACAGGAGAGTGGCTGTTGGGCTCGGACGTGTTCAGCAGCTGGGTCAATCGGGCTTCTTGGCAGCTTCGATGTCACGGAGGAGCAGGCGCAGGCAAGGTATGTTTCTAACATGGATCGATCTTTTGCGAGTACTTCTGGATTCTGATCTCTTGGCCAGACCTACCTCTGCGCGCTGGTAGTGCACCATCTACAACAGACACAGCCGCGTTCACCTGTCATTTACATCTACCTGAGTGACCAGGAGCAAGACCGGGGGGTACAGACGCCGGTCAATCTACTAGGCAGTCTGGTAAAGCAATTACTTTTGTTCAAACCTTCTACTGAGAACCCGTGCGAGATACCTCCTAGGCTCAGGGACGCTTACGGGAGCCACCCTTTGTCCGAAACGATTCTGAAATACGCATTTGAAGAACTGCTGAGCAGACACAACTGGACGTACCTTATTGTGGATGGGTTCTACCAATGCAGCTCAGATGCCGTGGAGGTCCTGGAAGCGTATCCGCTAGACCTCATCCGCAAGGGGTATAAGTTGAGCCTTCTTACGACCTCCACTAGCGACCGTGGAGCTTCTGGGAACATCAAGTGCGAAAAATGTGGGAGTGACAGACTAAGCATCTTTTTGAACTGTCCCTGCAACAGCAAAGACTTTGACCTCTGCCTGAGCTGCAAAAGAGCCGGAGTCACTTGCCCTAATAGCCACAAGGGTGAGGTGACCAACGAAACCGCTCACGTCGAAGTACAAGCCGGACCAAACGAACTAGAACTGCTGTGTCACCAGAAGCTTCGACAGGCCTCAACTCCTGACCCCAGGAAATACGATGCGCCCGAGTATTCAGACAGGTTGTGGAAGCCTTCTAAGGCAGCACAGTTCTTAGAACAGAACCCGCAATTAATTCAGTCGATTGCTGAGGCAATAACGCAACAGGCGAAAAAGAATTTTCTAGCTGCTCAAGCACGGATAGCTTGGTTGCTGGAAGATAGTGAACCACAGCCGGAAAACGGTGAAGAGCTGCTATCTCATTTAGACAAAATTCCACTCTCCCGGCTGGAACCTTATGTTACTAGGAAGAAGGAAAGGATCAAACGCCGGGAATTGACTCGGGAGAAGTTGGGCTTCGATACCTTCTCCCTAATAATGACTACCCGCCAACCGCTGACCATTCTGGCATTGCAGCATGCATTGGCTCGCGCGAATCTAGGCGTGATTCGAGAGGACAATCTAGAAGATCGATTGTCGATCTTAAAAGCAACGAATTGGTTGATCACCATTGAAAAGCCCGAGGCAAAACATGCATATGTACATTTCTTTCACGGGACACTAGTTGAAACCTTTGGAGAGTGTGTTCAGGAAAACCCGTTAGGCAGTGCTGAGTCGAAGATAGCATCTGTTTGTCTGAAGTACCTGAACGATCCTGGCTTCGCAACTCACTTTGCGGAAGAGCACACGTATCCGTTCACTCCGTATGTTTTGGAACACTGGGGAGACCGCGTTCGCAGCGCATGTCTGAACTTGAATCCTGAGAGCGACAAGATCAAGAGCGCAGCGATGGACTTCCTGACAACCGAAGGCAACATTGAAATGATTGGTAAATGTGTCAAGGCGCTGAAGAGACGAATATCGCTGTCGGGCTGGGTCCACAAGGGCATTGATGTCCTCCGCCTCTGTGCGTGGTTTGGCTTGAGAGATATAATTCCCAAGTTGAGAGAGAAGGGGCATAATATCCAAGTAATTGAAAGTGCGCGTCATCTCACTCCTCTCTATTATGCATGCGCGCGGGATCGCATGGATACCGTTCGTCTGCTCGCCTTAGGACCCCCGGCGAACAGGGAAATTATTGCCGTTTTAACTGGAATACAAAGGACCGACTGGTCGTATGATGAGCTGGATGAGCGGATGACGATTATAAGTATGCTGTTGAGGAAGCGAAATCTTACCCTCAATTCCATCCTTAGGTCCCGAAATGCAAATGGGTAACTCCTTATGCACGCTGTGCGATTCCGACATGATTACTTTGCTGAACGGCTGCTGGTGGAGGGGTCTGACGTCAACATTTGAAACGCAGAGGCCCATACTGCACTGTGGATTGCGGTCGATGCATCTCCGGCAGCATTGTTACCGAAACAGGCTGATGTTATCCGATTGCTATTGCGCCATGGCGCCGATCTAAACTTGATATACCAGACACACACCACCGTCCTGGCACATGCAGTCGTAAAGAAAAAAGCTGGAAGTCGTGCTGCGCTGCTTGAATGCGACTCTCTCAATCTGCATGTAGAGAAAAAACATTATGCACATTGCCAGCGCAACTGATTACCTATGGATCAGCTACACTCAGCACTCCTGAGGAGGGGCGTAGGGATCCAGTGGCGCTTTTCGAAGGTACATAGTCTCTTGATGGTCCTGGTTCTGGCTTTGTCGATGGGTTAGATGTGGGTGAGCCCATGGATGGACGTGGGCCGGGACAGGAGAAAGATAATGAGTACCTCTAAGATGGGCTCCCATTTCCCGCATCTCTTGTCTGTTACTTGTCTATACTTTATACCACTTGGTCTACGTTTGCAATTACCTTTCTGTATAGGATTTGGACAAATAATAACGTTGGGGTTTGGTCTTGCTGCTGGAATCTAGATTTGATCTCATCCTAGTCTAAGGGTCATATGTGCACAGATGCTATGCTTGGGTTTAAACATACAAATCGTTCTCTTTCATTTCTCATTCCTTTTCTCGGTACAAATGAGATGTCACATCGAACAGCTTTCTCCACACAAATTGATGCTTGATATCAATGTTCGATTGCGAAAGAAAGTTGAGTTATTTAATTAACTGACTCTAATCTAGCTGGATAACTTGAACGTATACTCCTCATGAATGGATAACTCACAGCTTTGACATCTACACTGATATCTAGATCCTTCCTACATTTACGTGACCCAAATCCAAACTTCTACAAGACATATCCAGCAGTCGTTAGAACAACTTCATCAACCTCACATGCAATTGCATCGTTCCATAACAAGACGCATCAAGTGCTCCGGACCCGGTACTTTTCCACTTATCCGCTTTTAAAGGAGTCTTCCACCCCAACAACCTCTTCCATCACTTCTCTCACTTTTCAACTTTCAGTGAGACCTCAGAGACCAAGAATCCTTCCATTCCAGTCTTTCCAATATGTTTCCCCCTCTACTCTTTATCTATCTCTAGATCCAACTTCAGACCTTAACCTGTTCACAGTATGTGACTCTTCAGAATCTCTTTTAGTATATTTTTTCACATCTACCGAACGTCGACTCATCCATCCACTCTCACTCTTCATTCACAATGCACGCCCCCAATGCTCCAGAACTTCCCAAGATGCCTGAGACCTTCGAGTCGTCTACCTCTCTAGAATCTCTCTACCCCCATACCTCTCCTAAACCTCGCCGAAAGCGAGGACTGCTTAAGGAGGCAAAGCCCTGGGACCAGAGTTTTGCAGACCACAACGAGACGTGCCTCATGAGACTCAAGCGAGCTCATCATCACGTACACCATAGCATCTGGAAGCCCACAGACGGTGAAGGCCGGCCGCCCGTCAAGAAAGTGGACACATGGAATGCCTCGGAATGGAAGACCGTCTACATCATCTGGGACCCGATTAAGGCGAATTGCTGGCCGCCTAAGAACGTTCGGCTTTCCGACAACTGGGTTTACCTAGCTGTCAAGCTCTTGCCTGCCGAGGAGCGAGCCTCAAGATATAAAGCGGACTTCGACAAGGATGGTAATATTCGGCCGTCTCGTGTGCCGTGCGGCAACCCGCCCGTGGTCAACGCCCACGGATTATACTGCCTACCCGTTTTCAAGGAATCGTACGTGTTGTGTGGCGGGGAGCTGGCTGCGCACGGGAACTGGATACTCGGGGTGATGGGGGAACGCGCTGTACCGTTCACGCTGGGGTTGGTTTGCGTGCCGAGAGAGGCGATCCCAGCAGACGGGCCCAATATTGAACGATACCTTTTCTATCACGATACGCCGAACCAGTGGGATATGGAACAGCCGTTCCTCGCGGACTGGAATGCTGCAGAGGCTCGTTGGGGAACATATGACCGGTGGTGCCTTGACAATAGCGATCAGCGTACGATGCTGTATAGCCTGTACCCTAACGCGCAGCCAAACTACCAGCTGTTGCCGGTGTCGGAAATAAATGGGTTCACGGTTCTTTGCAATTCGCAGCATGAACCCTCCAGTCGACTGCTGCCAAAACCTGCAACACCGGGACAGGTGACGATTACTGATTTCTTTGGGACTCGGAATATCTGGTGCAGTGCTCGGGGAGGGGATACCATGGGCGGTCTATCGAACCAGCAGTTCCTAAACGAGAACCACAATGCGCATATCCTTAAAAACAAACTCCACTCGCCGAGTACGTTTGCATCGAAACCCTTGGATATCATGAAAGAGGAACAACCCCAGTGGGAAGAGTCCGGGCTGAAGACAGAGGCAGACGTGCCACATGCCTCTATCCCTGAGGTCATGAATCTGGCCCTATCAGCACCAACAAACGTGGATGGCATTCGTCATATCTTGGGATGGTACTCTGGTTATCTTCAAGATAATGCTGACCTGACGTTGGAGGATGTCGAGATGCAAATAGGGGACCTTTATGCCTATGTGCAGCACTGCCGAGAAGTAGAGGAAATGGAGGAGATGGAGGAGATGGATGGAGAAAGTGATGGGATGTCAAGCAACCAATCTTAGTACCCTGATTGACTTTAACTTTTTCTGATTTACTTTATTTGCTCAGTTATTCTGCTAGATCATTTGAAAAAGACAAGGATGAGACCAAGAGAAAAGAAAGATACAAGAAAAAAGTGGGCACAAGGAAGTGATTGTAACAGCAATCTTCTGATTTCTTTTCGATGATTATTTCGCTTAGTTCTTATAGTCAGAATCGTGATCCTTTCTTGTTCTATTATTGGTATGGTCTCAATTGATTCAATTTTCTATCTGTAACTTTCGTGTGCCATAGGCCTCCTATGTCAATGCTACGGAAGCGTAACAAAAACAAATAAGATTTTACTTTCATAAGGTCTGCTAGCAGAAGTGGAAGAGGGATGGTTGATAGTAGAATTCTACAGCATTTCTTCATTAGTCTTTCTTGTTTGTGTTGGAGAGTAGACTGCCTACTTTTTTATAGGGATTCTATTATCCAATCTCCCATACTAAATACTATGTAAATTGCATTAAGTTTACCTTTCAAGGGCTTTATTAGTTTCAAATTATTGTTTGATAATAAATAACTGTTCACTCCAAGTGCTACTGAGTACTCCAGCAGTGCCTGGTAGCATGTGAGAAGGACTCTCTGGTTACATCCCGTGCCACCTTCCACCCTCCACCCTCTCCGGGCGTTGATCCCGCGTCACCTTCGCCATTGACTTCAGTGGTTGGACAACCGCGAGTCCGCATCGGGATTCGACAGACCTGTGTCATCCAAGTTACCCAACCCCGCATGTTCCTTCTTATATTTCGCATCTCAACAACCCCACTTATCCAGTTCCTAGCAAAGACAAGGCCCCGGTCTAGCGAAACGATGATGCCAGAGAAGGTGGAGCGCGCATCTCTCGGAGATAATGTCGGAGGTTCCATCCTGGATGCCGACGCGAGAAAGCTGGCAGAGATGGGCTACACCCAGGATATGCAGCGCAACTTTTCGGTTCTATCGCTGCTCGGCGTGGCCTTCTCGTTAGCCAACTCCTGGTTCGGAATCTCCGCGTCGCTGATCACCGGCATCAATTCCGAAGGAACGGTGCTGACCATCTACGGTATTCCGTGGATCGCCTTTATTTCTGCCTGTGTCGGCGTCACGTTGTCCGAGTTGGCGTCGGCCATGCCCAATTCCGGCGGCCAGTATTTCTGGGCTAGCGAATTGGCTTCTAAGAAGTACGCTCCTTTTGCCTCGTATCTCACCGGATGGCTCGCCTGGGCCGGAGCGATCTTCACCAGCGCAAGCGTGGCAATGAGCTTGGGGTCGGCGGGCGTGGGGATGTGGAAGCTGACCCATCCAGACTTGTAGGTTTTCTAACCGAGGGCGACGGTGTGATCTAATTGACGCATCCGCAGTGAGCTTCACCCCTGGCATACGGTGGTAGCATACGAAGTGATCAATTTCTTCGCCTTCTTGTTCAACTGCGTGGGCAAAGTACTCCCAGCGGTGGCCACGACCACCTTGTATATCTCGCTGATCTCGTTCGCGGTCATCCTCATCACGGTCCCGGCCACAGCCCCAACGCACGCGTCGGCCAAGTTTGTATTTGCCCACTTTGTCAATTCGACAGGGTGGTCGTCCGATGGCATCGCTTTCCTGGTGGGTTTGATCAACCCCAATTGGGTGTTTGCGTGCCTCGACTCGGCCACCCATCTTGCCGAGGAAGTGACCCGGCCCGAACGCAGCATTCCCATTGCCATCCTATGCACCGTGCTGATCGGCTTCGTCACCTCGTGGTTCTACTGTATATCCATGTTCTTTAGCCTGCGCAACCTCGACGAAATTCTAGGTACCCCAACGGCTGTCCCAATTCTGGCGCTCTTTCACCAAGCACTGCGGAACAAGGCCGGGGCCGTCGCCCTCGAGTCCCTGATACTCGTCACGGGCATCGGATGTCAGATCGCTTGCCACACCTGGCAGTCCCGGCTGTGTTGGTCGTTTGCGCGCGATCGCGGATTCCCCGCCGCCAAGTTCTTGTCGCATGTGCATCCGACCTTAGACGTGCCGTTGAATGCGCACAGCGCCAGCTGCTTCATCGTGGCGCTGTTGGGGCTGCTGTACTTGGGATCGTCGACTGCATTCAACAGCATGGTGACGGCGTGCATTGTGATATTGTATGCCTCGTACGTAGTGCCCATCGTCTGTCTGCTTCTGCGCGGACGCGAGCACATTCCCCATGGGCCGTTCTGGCTTGGCAAGGTTGGCTTGGCCTGCAATATCGTGGTCCTCTTGTGGACGCTGTTTTGCTTAGTGATTTATTCATTTCCATCGGTATATCCGGTGTCTCCTGGAGGTAAGAACTTTCGTATCATTCGAAAAGTCGCAGCTAACGGCGTAGATATGAACTATGTGTCCGCAGTGTATGCGGTGGTGGCGATCATCATCGCGACCGACTGGTTCCTCCGCGGACGACACTCGTTCCGAGGACAGGCAGCGCGACATCGCGAGATCGAAGAGCAGGTCGTGGGATTGTAGGGTCGAGCTGGAGTACAGAGTAACTGAATCTGATACAACATTCCGTGGCTGTTCCTGAGGACTCCGTAGAGCGTCGAGCATGTCCAAGTAAGGGGCTGATTGGCAGCAAGTGACGTGACATGGCCTAAGGCAACGACATTTAGGGTTTCTTTGGTCTTCCTTCATTCTTTCTTCCTCCTCCTCTCTCTCTCTCTCTCTCTCTCTACCTTTCTGTCGCATATTCTTCCTTTCCAGCGACACCATGCAACCCCATCTCGACCTTTCCCCTCCGGCGCAATCAACCTCAAATCTGCCTCTCCACCCCAAACGACCCGAAGACGACAGGTCCGCGTAATCGCCCGCCCACCGCCGCGCTGATTGGCCGCCGGCACGTTTCAACTCCAGCATCAACAATCATTACTCTTTCGGTGTGTCGCTTTTCCCTGATGGACACTTCAACTCTTTCGTCTGTTCATCATCCCGGTCGCTCCGTGGCATAAACGACATCTCCTTTTTTGTTTTCCGTTTTGGGCCTCCCCGATCTCGCATTGCACCTCCCTTCCTCTCCCTCCTTTCTCCATGCCCTCCCTAGTCTAATCCGCACATCATGCCTCCTGCCCTCTTCCGGGACAACAACCAGGGCTCGTCCTCTCAACGCTACACCCCCGTTCAGGAGGGTCGCTACTCCGACGATGACGACTCGCTTCCTCTCTCCGATCCTTCGGACGGCGAGGACACCGACGTGAAATTGCGCCGCCTCGATCGCTCCACCCGCTCCTCCCGCGCCGGCAAAGATGCAACCGCCTACGCCGCGCGCAATTCTACAGACGTCGAAGCATACCTAGATACCATCACCGAGGCGGAGCAGGAATTGCTCTCCGCCAGTCGACAGTACGAGCTTAGCGATGGCGAGGACACGGACGGGTACGGACATCCATTGAAGAAGGCGCGGTTTCTGCATGGCCGGCGACAGAGTCGGCAGCAGGGCTGGCGCGCGGTCTACTACTCCAAGTTTTGGTGGCGGACGCTGGTCGGCGTCATCATTGCTTTGGCATTGTTGGTGTGGGGTTTCTTGAGCTTTACCTGGTCTAAAAGGGATAAGGACAGACCGGATTATGTGCGTGAGGGCCTTTGTGTTCGCTGGGGTTTGGTTTTGACGATGCTAATGACTGAGATGTGTTTAGTCGTATCTTCCGGCCGAATCTTGGTTTCCCACGCCGCGTGGAGGAGCCTACGAAGAGTGGGCGGAAGATTACCGCAAAGCTCAGCTGCTGGTAGAGAGGATGACTCTGGTGGAGAAGATCAATATCACGACAGGGACGGGCTGGCAGATGGGTCTCTGCGTGGGAAATACGGGTACGTTCGTTGACAAGCGCTTCCAATGGCTCTTTGCTGATGGCTTTCTGTGTAGGTGCGGCGAACAATGTCAAATTCCCCTCTCTCTGTCTGCAAGACGGCCCTATGGGTATTCGGTACGCCGATCACGTCTCCGCATTTCCGGCCGGTTTGACCACCGGAGCCACGTGGAATCGTGACTTAATGCATAAAAGAGGCGTTGCTTTGGGTCAGGAGGCGCGAGGCAAGGGTATCAATGTGTTGCTGGGTCCGTCCATGGGTCCTTTAGGTATGATGCCTGCCGGTGGACGGAATTGGGAGTCGTTCGGTTCGGATCCCGTGCTGCAGGGTGTGGCCGCCGCGGAGACCATCCGTGGCATCCAGAGCAACGGAGTGATGGCGACGGCGAAACACTACGTGATGAACGAACAGGAACACTTCCGCCAGCCCCACGAATGGGGCATGCCGACCGCCTTGTCATCCAACATCGGAGATCGCGCGCTGCACGAGGTCTTCGTGTGGCCCTTTGCGGAGAGCATTCGCGCCGACGTGGCCAGTGTCATGTGTGCTTACCAGATGGTGAACAACAGCCACTCCTGTGAGAACAGCAAACTGTTGAACGGCATTCTCAAGGACGAGTTGGGTTTCCAGGGGTTTGTGCAGTCCGACTGGCTGGCCCAGCGCTCGGGCATCAACAGCGCCCTCGGTGGTTTGGATATGAGCATGCCCGGCGATGGACTGCACTGGGCAGATGGTAAGTCGCTGTGGGGCAGTGAGCTCACCCGCGCGGTTCTCAACAGTTCAGTCCCGATGGAGCGTTTGAACGACATGGTCACCCGCATTGTGGCCGCGTGGTACCATCTAGGCCAGGACGAATGGCCGCTGCCGCGCCCGGACGGTGACGGAGGCCCCAACTTCTCTTCTTGGACGAACGACGAGGTGGGCTGGCTTCAGCAGGGCAACGCGCGGGATTATGATTACGTCAATCGCTACGTGGATGTCCAGGGTCAGGGTGACGACGCGCACATGATTCTCATTCGCAAGATCGGCGCCGAGGGAACGGTCCTAGTGAAAAACAAAGACAACACCTTGCCACTGTCGCGCAACCCGGTCGAGGGGTATAAGGTGGGAATCTACGGCGACGACGCCGGGCCCGCCCTGGGACCCAACGTGTGTCCTGACCGGGCCTGCAGCTCGGGGACTCTGGCCACGGGCTGGGGCAGCGGCACTGTGGAATTCCCGTACCTGGTGGCTCCCCAGCAGGCTATCGAGGATGCCTGGGACCACCACGTGGAGACGACCTCGTACCTGCGCAACGCCGTGTTGCCGGCCGACGCGGCCGACAAGGATCTGTGTCTGGTGTTTGCCAACGCCAATTCCGGCGAGGGTTACAAGTCTGTCGGCGGCATCCACGGCGACCGGCCCAACCTGTTCCTGCAACGAGGCGGCGACACGCTCATCCAGACGGTCGCAAACAACTGCGGTAATGGCAACGGCCGCACGGTCGTCGTGGTGCACGCCGTGGGCCCAGTTGTTGTGGAGCCGTGGATTGATCTGCCTGGTGTGCACGCGGTGCTTTTTGCCCACCTGCCCGGGCAAGAGAGCGGCAGTGCGCTGATCGATGTGATGTTCGGCGACCTCGACGCCAGCGGTCGACTTCCCTACACGGTCGGCAAGAGTCTGGAGGATTACGGCCCCGGCGCGCAGGTGCTGTACGAGGCGAACGGCGTCGTGCCGCAGGTGAACTTTTCCGACTCGCTCTACATTGACCACCGGCATTTCGACCGCTACAATATCACGCCGCGGTTCGAATTCGGGTTTGGTCTGTCGTACACGAGCTTCGAGATGTCCGACCTGAACATCAACGTTCTGCAGTCCAAGTCGTCTCTGCCATCGGCCTCCTCCGTCGCCCTACTGCCCCCGCCCGAATACAACACGACCATCCCGTCCAACGAGAGCTTCTACTTCCCTGACAACATCGTGCAGCTCCCACGATTCGTCTACCCATACCTCCGCGACCTGGACGGCACCGCGCCCAAGAACTACACCCACTACCCAGAGGGTTACGGCCTTCCTTACCCTCCTTCTCCGGCCGGTGGAGGTCTCGGCGGCAACCCAACTCTGTACGAAGAAATTGCCCAGGTCCAAGTTATGGTGAAAAATACAGGCACGCGTCCCGGCCAAACTGTCATCCAACTCTACGTGGGGTATCCCGATGATGTCACTGAAGAAGGTGACCTCGTCCCGGTTGAGGAGGAGCCCTCTGACAGCTCCGATTCATCTCAACCCAATCAAGACTCCACTCAACAACGTGATGAAACCAAGATGGAACTCCAACACGAACGCATTGATTTCCCCGACCGCGTCCTCCGCAACTTCACCAAGATCGAACTCCAGCCCGGCGAGGTCCGTCCCGTTGAGTTGACTCTCACCCGCAAGGATCTGAGCTACTGGAGTGCGAGAAAGCAGAATTGGGTCATGCCGGAGGGAGAACATGAGGTGTTTGTGGGATTTAGTTCGAGGGATTTCCCGGTGGGTGGACGATTTTAGTATTTGGGCTAGAGGTAATTGGGTGAGTGTATGAATGTGTGGATTATGTATATAGTTTGATAGATCTGGTTGTATAGATCATTTGTATCTTGTAATGGATGAAGGTTGATGGATGTATCATGTAGGTGTATGGATGCCTGAGGCAAAATGAAGTGTAGGAGGTAGGCGGAAGAACCTCGATTCTTCCTACATCAATGAATTCAATCATAGATATTGCTCAAGACATCCGTTCATTCATCCCATTGTTTTGGACCGCTGTAGCTTATCCGGATGCTGCGGAACGCCTGTATATTGTGTCTGAAAATGATAGCGTGCCATTCATTGTTTCATCCTGGGTCTAGATATATTTCCTGCTCGGTTGAATATTTGAATCTGTTCTAGAAAAGGACGTTCAGTCACATTCGCACCAAGTATGATGCCTAGATATATAAACCATTTGATGACGTCGACAGCCTCTATTTCTGGCTGTTTCTATCAATAAGGCAACGTCTCTCGTTGTCGAATGATCTAGACGCGACTGTGTGCCTGAGGCGGCCGTAGACGGCAATTCGGCAAAACATACCGCCGCTGGAAGTGGAAGAAGACATGGTATCACAACAACCAAAAATCAACGATCTGCTAGCTAATATCATGCTGCGAACATGGCGGCGGCTAGATGGCCGTCCGCTAAAATGTCAGAACACTCGGATTTCTTATCTCTCGCGGCGGAAACTGTCAGACTTGGGAAACAAACCCAACACAACGTCATCGCATCCCTTCCCCGGTAGGTACTAGTAGCTTGACCCACAGTGCGGGTTCGCGTCAGCAGTATACAACTCTGACTTGTAGGTCCGTACATTGCTGACATTCTTGCTAGCATCTGATCCTTACAATTACACCAGTGGAAGATGGCTGAACAGGGACGAACTCGAACGAAAATCTCGACACATTGAGTTCGATTTCTCCGCGCTTTGTGATAGAGCTATTCGTCTATGTCCCGGAGCAAGCAAGATTATCAACTATGAAAAGAAGGAGGGCGGATTCAACCGCGTCTTTGTTTTCACAATGGACTCGGGTGCTCGTGTCGTGGCAAGGTTACCGACTGGTATTGCTGGGCCGCCAAAGTTGACGACGAACTCTGAAGTCGCGACGATGACATACCGTAGGATTGATTCCCATCTGCACCCTATATATCTGCCTTTGTGATAATGCGGCCCCCAAGCTTATGGCTATCTGTTTTCATCTAGTACGCTCCAAAACTGCACTCCCGATTCCGAAAGTCCTAGACTGGAGCGATGACCCGTCCAATGCTATCGGCGCGGAATATATCATCCAGGAACATGTGGCTGGTGTTCAACTGCACGAAGCTTGGCCCAACATGAACTCAGAGCAACATATGCTCTGCACGAAAGCGCTTTCTCTGGCGTTGCGGAAGATGGCCGGTTTGGATTTTCCGGTCTATGGGAGTATTTATTTTTCAAATGCTGATGGGCCGGGCGGGACCTTTGGACTCGTACAGAACGACTCCGCTCGATGAGGGCTTCTGTGTGGGTCCGAATTGTAATTCAATCTTTTGGAATCGGGATCATGGGGAGTTGGAGTTGTATGGTGGTTCGAGTACTGATTGTGGTCCTTGTTAGTTTCCCATCAATCTGGCGTGCCTCCATAACATTAGTGCTAACAATGGGTACAAAACAGGGGATAGTCTGGCCGGTTATTGCCAAGGATTGATAGACACCGGGTTCTCACGATTACCAAAAATAGATACGGTCGATCACGACCTCCTCCCCCATCAGGGATCCGTTCAAGATCACATACGCCTTATCAAGATCAGCCAAGAGGTACTGCAAAGACTGATTAAAGACAAGCGCATCCAAGACGCCGCGACTCCCGTCCTACTTCATCCTGACTTTCACAAACGGAATATCTACGTCTCAGACAAGGACCCAACCATCACTACCGGCCTGATTGATTGCCAATCAACGAGCATCGAACCCGCGTTCATTTACGCCAGCGAGATTCCTGATTTTGCTGCGCCACCGGAGGGACCTGACGAGCACGCCTTCGAGAGCATAGAAGACGAGCAATCTGAACAGACAGAACAAGATAAAGAACGAGAACGAAAAGACGCCTCCATCTGCTACCAAACCTACGATGTATGCATGAAAGGCCTCGTCCCTAAACTCCGCTCCGCCAGACTCCTAGACCCGACACTATTTCGACTCTTCCATTACTCCCATACGACATGGAGGAATAGCGCTACGGCAATCACCCAGGAGTTAGTAGAGCTATCGGCTCGCTGGGAAGAACTGGGTCTGCAGGGTTCATGTCCCTACACTCCAACGAAGGAGGAATTGGAGAAACATGCGCGGAATTATGAGGACTTTGAGACCGTACAACGCCTTAAGCTGTGGCTTAGGGATTTCCTCAATACGAACTCGGATGGATGGGTTCCTAATGAGGCATGGGACGCGTCGAAGGAAGCTCATCGTGCGGCATATGATGAGTGGATTCAGACGGCTCGTGGTGAGGGGATGACGGTTGCGAAGGCGGATAGGTTGTGGCCGTTTGATGCTAGATGAGAGGAGGATGGGCAGGTGGTTTTGTTGTTGAGAGGTAAATCCTCGTGCAATTTCCCTTCCGATCCCAGGCTGTAAGAATACTAAAATGACGATGTTTAATGGAAACGTTCGATATCGTTTCAACGAACCAGACGACAGAATGGAACAGAGAAGTAGAAATCTCTAGAGAAGACCCCTCAGCCAACCCCAGGCCACATATCTTGCCACTTCTTTTCGAGTAGAGCCTTCTAACTCGCAAGTGTTGAGGTTTATTCATGCAATTCGTGTTCTATTCTTCGGACTAACATCGTATCCAGTATAACGTACTATGGAATAATCAAACCAATCTAATGGCCCAAGTTCTGGGGAGCTGCGGTAGCAGGTCCCTCGGGAGTGACGTAGGCCTAACAATGTCAATACCAGGCGGGACAAGAAGACGGGCAGAGGGGACATACCTTGGACATTCCACCATCGACCACAAAGTCGCTGCCGTTGACGAAGCTGCTCTCGTCGCTGGCCAGGAAAACCACCGCGTGCGCCTGCTCGATGGCCTCGCCGAAACGGCCCGTGGGGAAGTGCACCTCGCGACGGAACCGCTTGGGCTGGTCGTCGCCGAGCCAGTCTTGCAGGAGGGGAGTGCTACACAGACAATCATTAGCAATCGTCCCAACAATTCACAACCCATAGAAGCCAGAATTAGAGGGACAGGGACATACTTCAACGGCGCCGGACACAACGCATTAAACCGAATCCCCTCCCTAGCATGCACGATGGCCAACTCCCTCGTCAACGCCAACACCGCCCCCTTACTCGCCGTATACGCCAACTGAGGCGTCGCACTGCCCACCAACGCCACCACACTCGCCGTGTTAATAATACTACCCCTGGCCTTCTTATTCCGCCGCATGCTCAGCACCGCATGCTTGCATCCAAACCACACCCCCTTGACGTTGATGTTCTGCGTCATATCCCAGATCTTCTCGGGGGTGTCGACGGCGTCCGCGTCGTCGGCGTGCATGATTCCCGCGTTGTTGAAGATCACGTCCACGCCGCCCCAGCTGTCCTGGGCGTCGACCATGGCCTGCACGTCGGTCTCCTTCGAGACGTCGCATTTGATGGTCTCGACGCGGGGTGCGGAGGGGACGACTTCTTTCACCTTGGCGAGGGCCTTTTCGAGGGCGGGGGCAGAGATGTCGGCCATTAGGACGGAGGCGCCTTCGCGGGCGAAGAGGATCGTGGTTTCGAGTCCGATGCCTCTGCGGTTGGATTAGGGGGTGATGTTGATTGCTGTCGGGGGTCAGATGGGGGACTCACCCGGCGGCACCGGTGATGATGGCATTCTTGCCTTGGAGACGGCCTCGGGGAGCGGACATGATGGTCTATTGTCGGAGCTTGTTAGTGCTGTCGGACTTGATTTAAGGGATAATGTATCGCGGGGTATGGCGATGATGTCACTGGTGGGATTATCATGGTGCGAGGGGAGGAGTCTGGGGAGCTTACTAGTTCAGGAGGAGGAGATAGATGAGGGAGAGGAAGAGGAAGAGGAAGAAGAAGCAAGAAGGAGGTATCAAGTTGATTGAAGGAGGAAGAAGGAGGAGGACAGATAGTCCGACGAGAAGCGAAGAGAACAGAACAACAACAACACGCGGGGCAGTGGAGCCCATTAGCTAAGCTTTGATAACCCAATGGGGCAGGCTACGTCGATGGGAATGCTGTACATTCTCCCATTTTGGGTTGATAAGGATGAGAAAGGAACAGATAGCATAGATACAGCTCAGCTGATAATTTTACACGAGAAAGGTCTAATCAATTTGTGGCTGAGATAGGGCGACAGGGTTCTACTTGTAGTCCAACAGTACCTGGTAATGATGCGGGATCACCGCCTCCGATAAGCCGCCTCAGGCCCACTTCGTTCCTTGACCCTCGTCATCTCCTCCCCTTCCCTTCCTCCCTTTCTACTTAACTTGCTCCCATTGCCGTGAGTACTCACACCTTCACCCCCAAAACCACATACTAATTATCTAGCAACATGTCCCCCTCCTCCGTCACCCTCGACAATGTCGCCGACATCCTCCAAAACGACACCCGCGTCAAATTGGCCGGCGTTGACGTCGACGGCCAGCTGCGCGGCAAACTAGTATCCAAGAAGAAGTTCCTCTCCATCGTCGCCGACGGTTTCGGTTTCTGCTCCGTGGTGTTCGGCTGGGATATGCACGACCAGACATACTTCAAGGAGCTATCGATCAGCAACAAAGAGAACGGATATCGCGATATCGTCGCCGTGCCCGACCTCAGCAGTTTCCGCCGCATTCCCTGGGAGAACAACGTGCCTTTCTTCCTCGTCAGCTTTCACGATCCGGAGACCAGGGAGCCGGTGTGCGCGTGTCCGCGGGGTCTGTTGAAGACGGCGCTCGGCAAGGCGGAGAAGGCAGGTTATCGTGCGATGGCTGGAGGTGTGCCCTTCCCTTCCTCTGCACACCCTGTTTATCGCGGATTTTAATGCTGACTGGTCAGCCGAGTACGAGTTCTATCAGTTCCGTGTCCCCGAAGAGCACGCGACCCCCGAGCGAAATGCGTCGGCCACTGCTACCTTCCTCAAACAAAACCCCGTCGAGTCGTTGCCGTCCCTGACCGAGGGGATGTTCGCATACAGTTTGACGCGACCGACTCACAACCAGGATTATTACTATGGAGTGTATGATGCCTGCGAGCAGTTCAATTGCGAGATCGAGGGATGGCACACCGAGAGCGGACCGGGCGTGTTCGAAGCTGTGCGTGAATATACGGGAGATGGGGAGGACCGCGCTGACGAGGGAACAGGCACTACAATTCGGGGAAGCCAAGGAGATGGCCGATAAAGCGGGGCTGTTCAAGTAGGTTGGCAGAGGCCATGATGCGCCCGGGTACATACTGACCGCCCGCTAGGTTCGTCGTCAAATCCATCGGTACGAAGCATGGAATTACGCCGTCTTTCATGGCGAAGCCGCGCGAGGGTCTACCCGGGAACAGCGGCCATATGCACATTTCCATGGTGGGCAGCGACGGGAAGAACGCTTTCCTCCGCGACACCCCCGATCCTTCGCCTCCGTATCCCGACGTCGCGCATCTGTCTGACCTCGGTCGCCACTTTTTGGCGGGCGTGCTGACCGGGTTGCCGGATATTATGCCGCTGTTCGCGCCGACGATCAACTCCTACAAACGCCTGGTCGAGAACTTCTGGGCTCCGGTGACCGTGTCCTGGGGTCTGGAGCACCGCGCTGCCTCCGTCCGACTGATCGCACCGCCGACCGCTAGTCCGAAAGCTACGCGACTGGAGGTGCGCGTGCCGGGCGCCGACGCCAATCCGCACTTTGTTCTGGCAGCCGTTGTCGCCTTAGGGTGGCGCGGGGTAGAAAAGAAGCTGCCAATCCCCGTGCCCCCGCTGTCCAAGGGCGAAGACATGGGTGGTGCTAGCGACCAGGGGGTACGGTTGGCCAAGTCACTGCGAGACGCCACGACGGCTTTTATGCGCCCGGACAGCGTCGCTCGGGAGGTGTTTGGCGATGCCTTTGTGGATCATTTCGGCGGCACGCGCGAGCATGAAGTGCGGTTGTGGGAGGAAGCGGTTACCGACTGGTATGTATACTGAGCTGTAGCATGCGGAGAGAGGTGTTTCGGCTGATAACTGACAAATGATCTACAGGGAGGTGAGACGATACATCGAAACGGTCTAGAACCGGAAGCCACATGCGCAGAGACTTGGACGAGGACCGCCCGGGGATGCGCTGCACGACGCCTCCGTTGCCTCCCGAACTGCGGATAAGAGTTGATCACATGCGAGCCTGAGGCTTTCACATGTTTGGTTGCTATGCTTGATTGTTGTATTTGTTGGATGAGGAGACATCCGTGCCAGACGGGAGGAAGGGCTGTTTGTATATCCGGTAATAATCCCTACTCGGTGTACACTGGATGCGAACAGTATGGAGGGTGTTGGCAATTGCAGATCGAGCAGGATATACTCATTGCCCGCTGCAGTCGACACCTGAGGCAAACATGACGTCGAACCGCGGCAATGCGAGCTTCTCTCGGGTGTGGGGAGCTTTGGGTCAGTCCGGGATTCTGGGGCTGGCTTGCTCGTCCTCGGTTGACTGCGGGAGATCAGAGGAGAAGGGATGCAGCAAATATCAGCATTTCACACATAGAGATAGATGCCCCTCTTCATTATATACATTCTTGTTACTCGATTCCGTATAGTCACTCTTATCAAGCAATCGGTGGGCGCCGCATGCCGGAGGAAGGGATGCGTAATTCCGGTCGAGTAATCGGCCGATAGGGTAATCTTACCGATCTGTGTATCACTTTCCCGCGGACAAGTCACGAGTGGTCCCAATGAGGCAAGTTCCGTTCCTCCTCGCCGGGATCGCAGTCCAATTGGGGCATGTGATTGGCCTGAGGCTGCCGAACGCTGCCCAGCGCGTAACGATACACTGTCACGGAAATACCGCCTATCGGGACGAACAAAGTTCCCATGGGCCGCGGTTGTCGCCCTCCTTCTGACGTAGTCGTCGCTGCTCTCAAACCTACTTATATCTACTGCCGAGGGTGTCGCTGCTGCATTGGCAGTACCTTCTTCTTTTCTTCCTCCTCTCTTCACTATCTGACTTTGTTGTGGTTTTGCCTCAACCTCCCCTCTATCAATCGAACTAGTACTACACTATCCCGACACTACAGGATAAGATAACGATAAGATAAGAAAGAAACATCCTCCACCATGAGCCAAATCGACGCTCAGCTCAAGGATGTCGCCATCCTCGGTGCCATCCCCAACGAGGCCCGCAAGATCCTGACCAAGGAGGCCTCCGCCTTCCTGGCCATCCTGCACCGCACCTTCAACCCCACCCGGAAAGCCCTCCTGCAGCGTCGCATTGACCGTCAAGCCGAGATCGACAAGGGCAATCTCCTCGACTTCCTGCCCGAGACGAAGCACATCCGCGAGAACGATGCCTGGAAGGGTGCCCCCCCGGCCCCGGGTCTGGTGGACCGTCGTGTTGAGATCACTGGCCCCACGGATCGGAAGATGGTGGTGAATGCGTTGAACTCGGACGTGTGGACTTACATGGCTGATTTTGAGGGTATGTTTTGCTGACATTACCTGATGGGTAGAGAAGGTAGAGCTAACACACAGTATAGACTCGAGTGCACCCACATGGGAGAACATGATCGGCGGCCAGGTGAACCTGTACGACGCCATCCGCCGACAAGTGGACTTCAAGCAGGGCGGCAAGGAGTACAAGCTGCGAACGGACCGGGTGCTGCCGACGCTGATTGCACGCGCTCGAGGCTGGCACCTCGACGAGAAGCACTTCACCGTCGACGGCGAGCCCATCTCCGGCAGTCTCTTCGACTTCGGTCTCTACTTCTTCCACAACGCCAAGGAGCTGGTGGCCCGCGGGTTTGGGCCTTACTTCTACCTGCCCAAGATGGAGTCGCATCTGGAGGCGCGTTTGTGGAACGACGTATTCAACCTTTCTCAGGACTACATTGGTATTCCCCGCGGTACGATCCGTGGAACTGTCCTCATCGAGACTATCACGGCGGCGTTTGAGATGGACGAGATCATCTACGAGTTGCGGGATCACAGCTCTGGGTTGAACTGTGGTCGGTGGGATTACATCTTCTCGTTTATTAAGAAGTTCCGGAAGCACCCCAATTTCGTCCTGCCCGATCGGTCCGACGTTACCATGACGGTGCCGTTCATGGATGCCTACGTCAAGTTGTTGATCAAGACGTGCCATCGGAGAGGTGTGCATGCCATGGTATGTCCCCTCATCTACCTCATCTCTCTCCGCATACTCCCGACCAGACGCTAACTATCATGAACAGGGTGGTATGGCCGCTCAAATCCCCATCAAGACCGACCAGGCCGCCAACGACAAGGCCATGGAGAGCGTGCGCGCCGACAAGCTGCGCGAGGTGCGTGCCGGCCACGACGGCACCTGGGTGGCGCATCCGGCTCTGGCAGCCATTGCGTCCGACGTGTTCAACCAGCACATGCCCACGCCTAACCAGCTGTTCCGACGCCGCGAGGACGTCCACATCACCGCCAATGATCTCCTGAACACGAACGTTCCGGGTAAGATCACCGAGGACGGAATCCGGAAGAACCTGAACATCGGTCTGTCGTATATGGAGGGTTGGCTGCGTGGAGTTGGCTGTATCCCGATTAACTTCCTCATGGTATGCCCTCCTCCACAAAAACAAGAACCTAAAGAGCGAATACTAACAAAAAACAGGAGGACGCCGCCACCGCCGAAGTCTCCCGCTCTCAACTCTGGCAATGGACCCACCACGGCATCTCGACCAACGACGGCAAGAAGGTCGACAAGGCCTACGCCCTGCGCCTGCTGAAGGAGCAGGTCGACGAGCTCGCCGCCAAGGGACCCAAGGGCAACAAGTTCCAGCTCGCCGGGCGGTACTTTGCCGGCCAGGTCACGGGCGAGGAGTATGCCGATTTCTTGACCAGTTTGCTGTATAATGAGATCTCGACTGCGGGGCAGGCTTCGAAGTTGTAAAATCTGTTCTTTGTCATGTTGTGGATGGATGAGTGTTGTTAATATACCTTAACTTATTACCTGACATATTTTTTTGAAAGGGATGGTTTATGAATACGGATAGGAAGATGAACATGGGTTTCTTATGGCATGTATTTATTGTTGTCGACTACCAGGTTGACTTACGGAGTATTAAATTGATTCATTATGCAGTCTCATCTGAAATGTCCTGGTGTTTTAAACAGATAGACTTTATTTTCAAACCCTAATCCCGAAGCTCTATTCTAATATCAAAAGCTAGCTTATAGATATACTCCGATTCTTAGCTATTAGACCGTCCTTAATTCTCAGGCTACCGTATTCATCTATCTTTCATCTATCTTTCAACTATCGGTAACTAGCATGATAGCCGCGATAAGCTCCTCTAATATCCCATAGTTACTACCTAATATTGAACACTACCGTATTCTTACACGCTGCCCTTATTCTCGTTGCTAGGTTCCTCCTCTCAACTAGGCCACCTTTTCTCAGAGACTGCCGATCTGGTGGCTAGTTTACATGGACGGAAAAGAACAATCCTCGTGCCTTAGAGCTTTACTATCCTAAGGACCGCATGCCCAGGAAAGGCCTTTTGCCGTTTGATTCGCTCTTACCATGGTTCGACTACGAACTGGCTGGGGGCACCTGGGCGCTTAGGCGAAAGCGGGGTATGTCATGACCGAGATCGAGATATAGAGACCGCTGGGTTTTCATTCCGGATCACTCCACAAAACACTTAAGAGGTACTTGTCGTTAAGCTGTCCCAGCTTGTAAAAAGATGGTATTGTGTCCCAGCTCTTTTCCTTGAATTTTAGACTTTGACACCACGGTTAACATCCTCTCTGGCAGTCAGCGCCGAACGCAAACTGGCTCAAGGACGTTGTGTATCCGCCAAATACGACACTGGAGTAAGTCTTTCGACATTCACTGACCGGTTCTCACTTACAGAGCCTTGCTAAACCCTTCGAAAGCATCGTCGCAGTTCATGGAATGAACATCGCAAACAGACCGGATCATGCGGAGAATACCTGGACCGACCAAGAGACTGGCACAAACTGGCTCAGGGATCTTCTTCCAAACATAGTCCCTTACGCAAGGATCCTGGCATACTGTTACAATGCCAACATCCTGTTTGGGGCATCGGCGGCGGGCATAAAAGAGCAGGCCGAGAACTTGCTGTTGTGTCTATCCAACAGGCGAAAGGTTTGTGGGACCCTACAAAGCAACGTCGTGCGTGGAGATATTTAAGCCTGATTGATTAACGGTCTGAACGCAACACTACCAGGCAGCCCCAGCACGTCCGATAATCTTCATCGCACACAGTATGGGCGGGATTCTGGTGAAAGAGGCCATTGCTACTGCTTACCATGGCGACGAGACCTATGCTTCAATACCGGCGATGACCTACGGGATTTTCTTCTTCGGCGTTCCGCATTACGGCTCCCAGCACGCTTCCTGGGGGCAGACAGCCGCTAAGGTCATCCGCAGTTTCAACAATCAGATCAACGAGTCATTTTTACGAGCCGTCGAGGCGCAGTCGTCGTATAACGATTCGCTCAATGCCAGATTCCGGCCTCTACTGGAGGCGTATAGGTTCTTTACTATCTGCGAGACCATGCGTGAGGTGGTCGGGGGAGTCAATATTGGGTTGGTAAGAATAAACCATGCGCTTATTACCTAAAACGTATGAAGGAATTTGCATCTTTCTAATCCGGCCCAGATCGTCGATAGGAGTTCGGCTGTCCTGAAAGAATGTCCTAAGCAGGTCACGTATTCGCCGAACCGGACACATAGAACTCTGTGCAAGTTCTCTAGCATGGATTCCGAGTGGCTGGAAATCTCAGGCATGTTGAGCAGCACGGCGAATCAAGCTGTCCATTGTGTCTCCTACAGTCCCCTCCCTTCCATGCGCGCGGGGATAATGCATGATCGCCCGTGGAACCTAGAAGGTACGCACCGCCATGATTCTCACCCATGCTTACTCTTCGTATCAGTAGCTAAACAAGCGCACCAGATATTGAAGAAAGACCCAGAATCCCCCTATGCACAGCCATAAATGATGCAGAGAAGTGCCACGAGGTGATAACACAGCATCTGCAGCCCGACGGCAGGCTTTACCGGCGTCAAGGGGAGATCAACCAGCTCAATGGTGAGGTCGTAGCCGCTGTCAACTGGCTATGGCCTTTTGTTATACACATCTTCGGCCTCCCCTTCCTGATCCCAATCATGATAGCCAGTGCTTTCCTTCCAAGCAGAGACGACGTTACAGCAAATGCGGAAAACGCACAGGCGCAAGAGCAACGTATTATGGGCATCGAGAAGGACGTGATTCAGGACCTTGACGAGAACCAATGCTTGGCATTTAACAACATCATGCTGCTAGAGGGTGCTTTGGCATATCAGCCGTTGGAAGGTATGACGGGGCCTACGGCGGATCAGCTAGCTCATGGTAAGAGGTTGCTCGGAACTCTGCACGAGGACGTTGTGCGGATGATCTTGGAAACTCAGCGTCACGACAAGTCATATGTTGAGGCACGGCGAAGGGTTGATCGGATCGAGGATGCGAAGAGGAAGACGAGGGGTAAAACCGATAGTGAATACTGGGCTACTATAGGGGAAGCGGTGCGCGAGGAGCAGAGGTTTCAGGAGCGGATGAGGATTGAGGGTATTCCCCAACCGGTGCAGGGCGAGGGGTGGATTTGCCCATGCGTTATCCTTTGAAGATCGGCATTATTGGTGGTTGCGAGTTGCTCTCATAACGCCGCCAAGTGTAGGTTACTAATTGCTTATGATTGGGATAATCAATAAATTGTTGCAGCAAATCCAATCACAGCTGTCACAAGGGATAGCTTATGAAATGCCACACGCTGCAGGGCCACATGTATATCTAGTTTAGCCTAGTTCTGAGGTTAAGGTTCAGAAAACAATCTGTCATTGACCAGGGTAGAAGGACATTTCGGGCGTCTCAGTATTTATAGGGTTACGGTTTAAAGAAGAAGTTATCTTGCACACCGTATCCGTCATCTCAGACTCATACTTTGCAAGTGGTGACGAGACGATGCGGTCAATAGACGGGATAGGCAGACCTATTTCGACCGCCTTCTGAACAGTCGCTCCTTCTTGATATACGACAGTGAGTGATACCAACATGAAACTCTTCCAGTATTATCCCTGGATAACGAAACCATCTTGTAACTCAAAGCGCTAAATCCTCTATCCTCAGCCAGACACTGTTATCGCATCCGAGCCCCCACAGAAGCCAACCAAGCAAGCAAAACCAGAACCCCCCCTTCCTGTTCGCCAGTCAAACCGTTCCCGTCGTCATTAATGCCCTATCGTCCACAGCGAAGAACAAATGGAAGAAGAAAGCCCTGATTGCTGGGCCTGTGGTGAGTCCAGGGCGAATAAAGTCCGTGTTATCTCGAATGGAGACAACGCTGTAAGTGATGTGATGTTTCAACGTTAACCTCTATCCACACCAGATCTGTGCAGCTAGTGCTAACTTTTCTTTGTCTTTTTTTATCTTATTCCTCGACTTAGCTCTCCTTCCTCAAAGCCAAAGGCCTGATCAATTTTGACACGTTCTCGTGGAGTAGGAATTCCGTGCCGTTATGTCCCACCTGCCACGAAGGCTTCAACGATTCAACTGATCCACATTTCGCTTTTTGGCCCGAAGATCTGGATTTCTTTATTCGGTTTGAGATGCGCGATAGGGCGCGCAGAAGACGTCTACCACTACAGTCCCAACCAGCATCAGGCGCACAAAACGAGGAGAGAAAACGCAGGGTACCCACGACTAACCAGTACAGGATGCATATGCACCGGAAGAAAACCATCGAGGGAGACGGGAAGAGCTGGGGTACATACTATCATATTTCTCTAGTGGACAGCTGGAGATCGCGTATCGTCAAAAACTCACCGATCAAGGAATGGGGCGGTGCTCCGTTCGCGGCGCTTAGGAGGGCGATTCGGATACTTGGATGTCCGAGAAGCGCAAGGATTCCCAGAGATGTGATTGAGAAACTTCAAATCCTTCGGGATTTGTACTATGGGGATGAGGATATGGAGGCGCAGCTTGAAGTGGAGAAGAGATATGGGCTGGATCCGTTTGCGGAGGCAGATGATGATATTGATAATTTGGCTGAATCTGGGGACGATGAAGGTGATAACGATGATGATGACGACGAGGAGGGGTCGGCTCCGCCAAAGAAGAGAAGGAAGATAGTCCATTTGGGGCGGCGGTCAGAGACGTCCAGCGAGGTTAGCTTTGATTATACTAATTGGACCTGGAGGAAATACGGTCCTGAATCCTCGTCTGAGAACAACAGATTAAAATATTTGTCGTCACCGTGGACACCGGGTCTAGTGTGAGTTTGCTATGGATAGGTGTTTGGTGTTTGACTCTTATGATGCTTTGTGCTTTTAAAGTATTTATATACTCCGGTTGAAGAGCCAATGTTGATCACAGCAGACAGACAGTTTCCTGTAATGCTTTCTCTCTCCCCTTCATGGATCTATGCACCCATACGGTATTCGCTGTAGCCGCCTTATTGAATATGATTAAGTGTATAAAAAGAAATTTAAAAAAATGATTTGGTAGTTATAGACTTTCTAATTTTTCAATCTATTAATTAAATCTATAATATTAAAAATCTCAGACTTTATTCATTCACTATCTTTAGTTTTATATTATTTTTAGTACATAAAATATTTGATATATTTTTACACAAAATCAGCAAATCTAATATACTCAATTTTGATGATTACTGCGGCACGCCCAGTCCCTGCAAAACGCCAATATTGAATTGATTTGAGTGGATGACTTCTTAGCTGGGTGAAAATACTTGATTACCATCTACAAACCCTATTATGCTTGACAATATCAATGTCGAAATCTCCAGTCTTTATGAGTGGGAATGGTATAAAGCTAAGTATATACTCTCTAAGAGCTACAAGAACACCAAAAACCAAAACACATACCGGCCATAACTAACCCTACAATGGGCGCGGTCCAAGAAGTTCAGGAACAGAAAATTGCTTCCGTTTGTCCTCGGACGAGGACTCGGGACCGAAGTCCCAGCTCCAATTGTAATAGTCGAATTTGGCGTCTGCCTGACGCCGCGGGGTTCTCCGCTTTGCTGGCGGGACCCATTCTTCTTCCTCATCATCCTCGTCTTCTTCGCCTTCCTCCTCCTCTTCTTCGATAAGATCGATATCATCATCTGGCTCCTCGAACGGGTCTAGCCCGTGTTTTTTCTCAACTTCAGCCTCTTCATCTTCGGGCCCGTAATAGAGGTCCTGTAGAATCCGTAGTTTTTCGATGACATTGGGAGGAAACCTGAAGCTTCGGGGGCTTCCGATGGCCCCAATAGCCCTTCGTAGGGCCGCCATAGGGGACCCGCTCCATGCCTTAGTTGGCTCGTCTTTAATGAACATGCTCAACTTGCTGTCGTTGAGATAGACGCGTTGATACATTCCCCATCCTTCTTTATCGGTCCCCTTCTGGTGGAACTGGTACTGTCTAGCGGTGGGTACTCTCCGCTGTCGCTGCTCAGTCGGGGGGAGGCGTCGTCGTCGGGCTCTATCTCGCAACTCGAACCGGATAAAGAAATCAAGGTCTACAGGCCAGAACGTAAAACCGGGATCCCAACCGTCATCGTAGAGCCTGTGGCACACCGGGCACAGTGCCATGGCATTTTGGGTAGAGGTAACATCGAAATTGATCAAGCCTTTGGCTTGAAGAACATCGAACTAAAAACACAATTAGGGCTTTTTAGACAAACCTAGGATTAGAATTTGGCACATACAGCGCTGTCTTCCTTGGCAATGATATGAGCGATATCCACTACTTCTAACCCGCAGGCCCAGCATCTTTTCTCGTTCTCCAGCCTCACCTTCATCTTCACGTTTGGCGAGAATGCCGACGGGGAGCGGGAATCGGTGGTGAGGGTGCTCTTCTTGTCTTTGCCTTTGCCTTTGGCTGGCTTGACCTGTCGCTGGGGCTTCTTGGGGCCCATTCTGTCAGCTTTCTTTTTCGCGATAACTTTGTTCGACACGAGGGCATATAGGGCTTGGGTTCGATGATGGGCAAACTCACCTAGAATGATTTTGGCGCCTAAAACAACCTGTTTCTATCCGCTTTGGTTTATCTTCGAGAAGGAGCAACCGTGATGACTGCGGTATACACACAAATGGCAGAATATTTGGTGAGTCAGGCGGAGTTATGTTCTGCTATCTGACGTAGGCTTATGCCTGTACGTATTTCTTACTATATCGGTTCGTCATCGCCCGGAACTGACGGCCGGGAGCAGCTTTCCAATGTGATTGATCCTCGGCTCCCCGAACGATGTCTATGAAGTTTCAGTAGGTTGAATAGATGATTGTTAGATTTGGTATGAAGAGGTTCCTATAGCCTATTTGTAATAGCCTTTCACAGGTAGCCTATGGTGAGGAACAAAAGAATTTTAGATTGGGCTTCGGGATAGGTAGCACTGTTGCTATTAGGTCTGTAGAATTTCGCGCATTGAGGGTGGCTTTATCTACAGTAGATCAGATCCTAACCGAGTAAGTCAGGAAGTTCCGTTTTCCGGATCGGCTGCATTTTGCCGTGAGCTAGCGACGCATACGCATGAGATTTTGCTGCGCTGTGCCACGCATCATGCAGGAGCGGCTAGTAAACTCCCGTCGGAGCTATTATTAGGAATGTTTGCAACCATGTACGTCTACCCGGCCATAATCAGTATCAATAACGTCTACTCAAGTGCTCGTCTCCAAGTCCTGACCATCTCATATTGCTAGCGACAGCATCCAAGATAGTCGTGGGATGTTATCGGCACCACAGAAGAGCAGTACAAGTAATACGATTTTAAACTATGTTGTAAAGAAGCCGTTGGTTAGGCGAGCCTAGGTAATGAGATGCTCTGTCCTAGTCTTATGGATGAAGACATTCGAAGCTTGCTTTCAACACTAGGCTCTAGCTATATATATCTAAAGTATAGCAGATTACCATACTTATCAGAGCGGGATAGTTTTTGGCGTTTTGCAGGGACCGGGCGCATCGCAGTGGTCATCGAGATTGAGTCCGTCAGATTTGCTAAATTTTATCTGAGAATCTATCAAATATCTTATATACTAAAAAATATATAAAACTCAAAACAGTCAATGAGTAGAATTTGAGATTCTTAATATTGTAGATTTAATTAATAAATTTAAACGTTAAAAGATCTATAACTAATAAATCATTTTCTTTAAATTATTTTTTATAGACTTATTCGGACTCAACAAGGCCGCTACGGCAAATATCGTATGGATGCATAGATCCATGAAGCAGAAAGAATAAGGATTACAGGGAACTGTTATCGTCAGCGCCTTATAAAATCATAGTACAACCCTGCAGTTACTTGACTTCATGGACGGGACGTATAGCACCCACCATCCTTTTACCGCGTTTACGGCTTTCTCCGGACTAAGGATCGAAGACATGTACCTCGACAAGCTGCGCGACTCCCTGTCTCGAATCAGCCTGACCCATTGCCAGGTCGGCCATGGCTTTTAAACATCCTCCAGCGGGTCTACTTCTGCACGAGGTTCCTGAACTTTAGTAAGACCTGGGAAGACAATCCTGCTTCTCACTAGCCTAACGTTGAATAGGGCCCTCGAAGGTGAGACTGCAATAGTCGACTTGATTATGTGGTGTTCAGCGTCATATTCCGGCGCGACACGACGCCATCCTAGGACATAGGTAATAGGTCGCAGCCCCAATCGAAAACAACGACGGTACTTTTTGTGCCCAGGGTCCATTCCCCAAGGGAGATAACGTTTGTTAGCAACTGGTGTATGGTCTGGTCTGTGCCTCATTCATCATCGGCCGTGCTTGATCCCTTTGGAAGACGATATAATATCGAGATTGTCGATGAGTGTTCGTCTGATTTGTCGATGAGAGGATAGGAGAATTCTTTTGCCCGGTGTAAGGCACAAGATTACTCCGTATATTCTGGCTTTCAGCCGCGAAAGCGAAAATGATCTGAATACACGGATATACTGCTTTGGGCGCCCTTGGGTCAACAAGTATAGTTGGAAAAGCTTCGTGGGGCCGAGAAAAGGGCTGAATCTCAATCCTGGGGTCATTATAGGAGGAGGCAAATCGACCATATCTTCAGGCCGGTCTGTATCGTAGCAAGCCTCGTCCACTTCAATAATCCTTATAACATCTAGCTGAGATAATCCAATCTTCCAGGGTATCATAAGTTACCAAGAGACCGACTTAAGAGATTGGGCAAGGTAGCATAACGCAGACCTAACTTCTGTCGGCTTCTCTAGCGATAATGCCCCGATGGTTAACTGGGGTAAATGTGGGCTATATAGTGTTTCTAATCCGACCATGGCTGTTCGCTTTTCTGAAGCGTTCCATAAGACGAAGGACGCCATCCTTGTTCGGGATCCTTGGTTGATCTTTATGTTCCTCTGGAGGTGCCAAGGGCAAACTCCCTGTTTGTATTCCAGGTACACTGGAATACCCTAGGCCAGTATTTGCTCTTTTCCAAGGCAATGAGTCGGTGTTTGGAATTCCAAATTCCTGAATTCCGGCGCAATCCTCGTCAATTTAATATCCAAAAGGTATCGGGTCCAGATGTTGTCAGGTGGTATATCTTCGGCCAAGAATCCCCTCGCATAATGAACCATGGCCAGAGGGCCGACTTACGGGCTTTCTCTGATTTCCCGTAGCCCACGCTCCTATTGCGCTCCTCTTGATGGAATTGCGATGACTGCTTGTTTTTGAGCGTGCCTTATATCTTCTGGAAGGACTTGTACGATTCCCCCATAGGCGGGGAACGGCCCTGAGCCATGCTGTATCAGAGACGACAGGCCGATGTGGCATGGACATCGTGAGTCGAAAGATTCTAACACGACACCCATGTACTCTGGGAGAGGAAGGCTGCCTCGTCCTTTCAATAGCAAAAGTCTTTTCCCGCCAATAGGTGGTCATTTCTTTTCCTGTTCGTGTTTGCGCCTATACAGGCAACAGCCTTTGCTGGGATACTTGCTAGAGCGGCACCGCGCACAAAAATCCTACTGTCCATTGGCGGCCGTTCATTCGAATACAATAAACATTTGTAGTTGTCAGTCATGCTCAGAAGTAGTTATGTTGTGGGTTGCTTGCATTGCCCTCCGCTAGTTGCCCACCCGAAGCTCCTCGCTCTCTGAGCGTCCTTGACTGGACTTATTTCTGAGCAATCTTCGATAGGTCACTCCTATATTCCATTACCATCCCATCAATGGATGAATAGAGAGGTAGAGTCCTTCGGCAAAGAAAGCTATGCTACTGGCTGAAAGTTGGCGCCGCCGACAATGATAGCATGGCGGTTCTCGGTACAACGACCATGGTAAGGTCCACCTGGCGTGTCTGACGAAGACATTAGTTGAGCTGTTATACACAGGGCATTATGGCAAGTACCTGGCTTTTCTTTCGCCCGGCTGCAGGGTGCTATTTATGTAACTTCACTCGTTCATGCCATGCCATTTCAAAGGTAGCATTGGCTGGCACAGCAAAACTTTCTCTTCAACTGCTCGCCGAGGGTTGTTTCCATAATACGGCCAATATGGCTCTGATGTGATGATATCCGCTGCGATCCTGTATTGTGGCGGTATCCGTTTCCGGATTTGGCAAGCTTGTCTAGTTTTGACAATGAGTCGTGGTGTGGATCAGTGTATCCATACGTTTGAAAAACACTTGATGGCTCAGGCAGACACCATCTAATCCGAAATTATGACCACATGTTAGCATCATGCGGTTGATACATTTTGGACGATGATGGAGTTACCATCTGACAGGATGCCATAGTTCGATTATCTGATGCAGGTTAGCCACAATTCCACCATAGTATCTGAAGCAGCCACTTACAACCTTTCATGCTGGTCGATTTCTTGTATTGGCATGCCCAGACGACGACGCTTCTCGGCAGGGGTCGGGGTGGTGGGAGCTTCATGATGGGTGGGAGTTGAAGGACCACGCTACTCCTGGTTAGTTCAGACTTAGTAGCAATTGGAATCAAAGCAACCTGCCTTTCTGTTGCCCCGAACAGGGGTGGTGACAGGATTATGATCTCTATGAAAACGTGTTCCGTATCGATCGGCAAACACAGGGGGCAATTGGTTTGGTAGCCCTGTTTACTGGAAGAGGTGATATTGTTCTTCAGTAACGCCTCATGCCTTTTCTTTTGAACATGCTCGAACACACGTCGGCGACGACCTCAACGATTGTCGCATGTCTGTGGTGATTAAAGAAGAGTCGTGCTCTCCCGCGGGATATGAACAAAATCATGTCAGCCGTTGCTCGCTGGCATGAACTCTGGTTAGTCCTTTGTGTGTGGTCTATGCATCTACTGGCCAAAGTGCAGAGCGAGGCAGAACGAGAAATTCTGCCAAAGTGGGATGTATCTCTCTCATGCTTCCGGTGTATGGTCCAACCGTGTTTCTCTACCGGGGCATGGAGGGCTGTAGTCGGTAAACCCCATATGCTAGTGTAAAAGAGCGAATATGTCTCCGTGTCGAACGCTTCGGGTGGAGACTCCGTGGTTTCTAGGCATAGCTTTGCGATCGGCAACGGGCATAGATCGAATCTTCAGGTAGCGGCTTGACCTTCAGCCAGTGATGAAACATCGGATGAAACAACTATAGAAGAGTTACAATAGGCAAACTCTCTAGACCAAGCGTGCTTGAGCCAATGCTTCAGTTGAGCAAAGTAATGGATATGAATCAAGTAGGATTACTAGGATTAGACAGGAAGGAGATGATGTAGATCAGGTCAGATCTCTGGGAGAATATAGAAGATGGAGAGAATCCTTAGCTGAAGCCTATCGAATATACATGGTCCATCACTAGGATGGTAGAATCAAGGGAATCTCCATTTGTTCACTGTTCTATCTTCATGATTCACCCCAGGGTTGCAACGTCGTAGCCACTACGTGAATAACCCCGGAAAAATGGAAGTGGAATTCCCTGTGGGGAACCGACGGAGCAGCGCCAGAATGCCTGAAGAATTAGGGCAGGAACCGACCAAGAGTTGGCTGATGATTACAGACTACGGCGGGGGAGACGATCATCATACGATGGGACCACGCCACGCCCGCCTTGACCTCATCACGTTGTTTTCTCCTCTTTCTCTCCTCTCCCCTGTCCACTCTTATAAATAACCCCCCAATTCAGTCTGGACGGGAGCGACTTTTCATCGACTAGCTCATAATTCAAACTGCACTACACTACACTACCTTCGATTTATACCACCACATACATTATCCCTTCCGAAAGAATGCAACTGTCCGCAACTCCGCCATCGACTCCTCCGCGCCCGGCCGCCTTCAACAAACGTCCTTTCTTCATCCCTGCGAAGCCGTCTAAATGGTACGTATTTTCTCATTTTGTTCCTGATCTATCGGAGAAATCTCAGGAGAGATCCAATCATACTGACCCTGAACCAGGTATCTCCCTGCCATGGCCGTTATCGCACTCGGTAATTCCTCCTTTCTTTCTCCTTTTCCCCGGATCTCCTTCCCCAACTTGATGACATCATCATTTTGTCCGACCACCACCACCATCACCATCAATCCACCATCAGATAATCATCGCATACTAACAATTGCAAATCATAGGATTCGGCGCAGCAAACCTCTACACGAACCAACAGCAACGCCACGAACAAGCCCAAGAAGAATTCGAGCGCCTCCAACGCAACCGCCAACTGATGGACGCCTACGGCGACAAGGACAACCTGCATGATATCGAGCGGGCGCTGGCCGTCTACGAGATCCAGTGAGTCAGCCTAGCCTGTCTGCCTGCCTGTCGGTCCTCCGGTGACGGTGACGGGTTGTCCCTGTCGGCTGGGTGGATGTCTTTTCTTTTGTGAACGGATTTTTTGCAACGGAGTTTAACTGGTGGCGTTCGTGGTTTTTGTTATTAGGATGGTGCTGCTTACGGGGTTATGATTGCCATCGACTATTTTCGTCGTCATTTCGATCGTGATTGAAGGGGTTATTTACGACTGGGTCGTTATTTGCACATACTTTTTGGGGATGATTCGATTCGACTTGCTGGACCGGATCCACATTTTGATCGGGGAATTGATGATTATTTGATTGATTTCGGCTATGGAGTTCGGGAATGGGGATGAATGAATGGGGTTGGTTTTGGGTATATATTCAAGTTCAGCGAATGAATATTTCAATTTAACTTAACTGGATATCCTCGAGTTGATTGCATAATCCATACGTACTATCCTCGTAGAATCTGTCTGCAGAAATCATTCAACAGATCATGCTACAGGATAGGTGGCATCCTCGGTCGGGTAACACTTCGGCATCGGTGCAGTTCACCAAGTCCCCACTCACTGTGCTCCCAGGGGTTACTGCTGGTTGATGAAAGGATAACATGATCACTAGGCGCCGATCGCACTGATCACCCCACAGACGACTGCACTGCCTCCCTCGCTACTCCGTATCCCCTTAGAATGGTGTCTTGGCTTTCGCTGTGGTATTTGTCGCAATCATGAGATTTGGTGGGTCGGTTGTTGGACCGGTTTTTGGTTTCCGAATTCCCTGACTGACCTGGATACAGAATAATGATATCGTCAGAGGGAGGGAGTGATATCATGCTGTGAATTGTTGATGGTGTGGTTAATTTGTTTGATTTGGGGTGTTGAATATTGTCGACGGGAAGGATGAGCTTCCCTTGTATGACTATGGTTAATGTATATCATTCACCAGTTCAAATCGCCCGAGGCCTTTTGGTGGTCGGTTTATGCAAGATATTTGCCTATCCAAATAGATATCTATCTGTCCAAGTGAAAGCAAAAATGAATGAAGATACCCAAACCAGGAAGTTAAACTTCCACCCTCGGTCCCTTGAAATTCCTCCTGCCGTCAACAATCCACTGAACGACCGAGACGATCACGATGATAGCGAACGCGACAATACAATAATCTATCAATCTCATTAGCCAATTGCTACCTTTCCCTCGACCTCCTTCCCACTAAGACGTAGATGGAGGACGGCCGAACGCGACCGGAATAAAGGTAAGATAAGGCAAGGTAATACTCACTCATACTACTCCCCGTCACAGGCCTTTCGGGCGGAAAGAGAAACAGCACCGTAGTCAATGCAATGTATGATAATGAGATCTGTCAACAGTTCAGCTTCATTAACTTCTCGATTGAGTGCACTTGAGTAGGATGGGAAAATACCATATCAATAACCCATCCCAACACGCTTGGCACTTTCCAATACCGATCGGGCAGGATGTTTCGTCCGCGCAGACAGTTCACGGCAATTGGCATTGCGTAGGATAAGTCCAGAGCGACGACTGAGGAAGAGATGATGGCGTTGAAGGCGCTAGTTTGATATTGTTAGCTTTGTTGTCGATATTACATGCATGTCCATGTCCGATAGGCAAGAAAAGAAAGGGAGGGGGCTGTCTACCTTGTAGACCCTAGATAAATACACCCAAAAATCACAACCACAATGGCTGTCAATCCGAGCGCGTTGACCGGTAGTCCGAGTTTAGGATGTACGTGCGCGAAGAATCGCGATGCTGGGAGGCCGCCGTCGCTGTTTCCCATGAGCATCATTCCGGCCGATATCTTTTCAGTTTCATAGATGACTTTGCTGGGGATGGGCGAAACATACCGAGCAAATGCGAATATCATGCGACTACTCGTCGTCATGACGCTGAGAGTTGCAAAGGCAAGACAGACGAGCGGGAGCCTGTACGTGCGTATACATCAGTCAGATCATTCTTGGATTTCAATGAAACCATCAGATACCCATCCGGGTATCCGCGGAGGGAAACATACATAAGAAGACAAATAGCCCCCGCCGTGTTCTTCGTCGCGTGCAGGAATATCTGCAGTAACGGGCCCGCGCTAGAATTGATCACCTCGTCGATATCGCCTGCCACGAAGAGCAGTACGATGAGAAAGACGGCACCGGTAAAGGTACCGATGCCGACGCAGGAGACCATGATCTTGGGGCCTCGGATAGAGGGTTGAGGGACTTCTGTTGGTTGTTAGTAGAAGCATGACTGATGGGTGGGGGTAAGGGTACCTTCGATCATGTGGGCTACGGCGTCCTGTTGATTCATTAGTTGGGATATTCTAAGTGTTCGGGTGTTGATCATACAAAGGCAGTTACTCCTAAGCCTCCTTGAAGAAGCTGTGGTTGTCAGCATGTCGGTCATAGTATGTTTTCAAGGAGATTGGTGAAATACCCCCAACAACCAAGCGACACCGTCCGGCCCTATCTCATCAGCGATATCCCTCATCATGGAGAGAAGAACTTACATCCCGTCTGGTTGACAAAGTCACAGAAGACGAAACTACTCCGTCAGCCAACTCTCAGCCAGTCATTCCGAGATCAACTCACTAAGCAGAGCTGTAGTCCGGCGAGGCACACGCCAGCACGGTGATCGAAACCAACACGAACCCACCAATTGACCAAGTGACTAAACCAATCAATCAGCCTCGGTCGCCTCACACTCACAACAAGAACATACAAGCCCCGCGATAAATCACCGGCAAGACCGAATTCATAAACGCGTTGATCACAAACGCAAGGATCGTGTACCCGACATAGATCAAAAACTGCTGCCAGCGCTGCCACACGAAGCCCTAGATATTACCCCAATCAAAAAGTCAGCACATACAGAGAATCCAGAACATGCACACGGCATGACACTCTCCCTCGCAACACGCAGGCACACCCGGCAAACCCACCGGATAAACCGCCGACACGATCCCGGCAATCAACTGACTCGACAGCAGCGCATTGGTGGCAACCAGGGCAATCTGCAGACATCCATGTCGCATCGGTCAGTTTTTCGTTCTGTCTATATGTCATCCTGCAGATTGGCCAGGTTCATAGAAGGCTTTGTTCTCATACCCATCCGGCAACATTAATCCATCCCGTTACCCAGGACAGAATCGGCACCCACTGGGGCCAGGATACTTTGCTATGCAGTTAGTCTTGGCAGCTTCAAGAGGATAGGATAGGATAGAATGGATGGAATAAGGCGAGCGTCATGCCACATACCAACTGCAGGGCATCCAGTTAGTTTCTCCGCTCATTCAAGAGACAGCGCATGTAAGGGGCGCGACCAGAAAACTTACCAGCCACCCAATGATACTGACCACCCGCCCTGCAACGGAATGTGCGAGATCAGAACCATCGTCCAGAAAGAGAGGTCGTAATGTGATACGGATGGCGCCAATAGTTCGTTTTTGCTTTTCCTGGGGCTCGGCAGAGGAGAAGACGAACTCACGTTGGATAGGCCGATAGGAACTCGGCCAGTGAAGCCGCAATGCACAGATTGCATGTTCCGGCCGTGACCAGGCCTAGAAGAACATCAGTAAAGTCCCAGCCAACCAGTAACGAAAGTAGACTCACCCCAGATAACACTGGTACTCCCCCCGGACGTCAAACTAATCGAAAGGCTCGCCGAAAGAGCAGTCCACGACTTCATGAAATCCGCCTATTAGTCCAATTCCAAGACCGCGGGGCGCCACGGAACTTGCCGAGCTGATCTAGGTAGATGATCTCACTCACATTCAACACGGCAAAAGCCAAGCCCAGCATCGAGCTGCAGCGCATCGCATGGCATTAGACAAACATTCCTTCCTCCCCTCTTCTTCACCGACGAGCACGCAATGGGGAATAAAGGCAACATACAGAGTGGAAAAGTTCCGTTGCAGTTCGGCCTTGTGGCCCATACGAGCCAGCTGGGCGTCGTCTTCCGGGACATCGTGGTGTTTATCGAGATCGATCATGTCGAATGGGGATTTTCATGTAAAATATCAGGCAAAACAAAGAAGACGGGTCGGTTCGCGGACAAGATTCAATCACAATTACTTATAAGTCGATATGAAGCCGATCCCTTGATGAGCGATGCGGAGAAGGCAAAGCCGCCAAGATGCATGCGGAATGTCCATGCGGGGGAAGGATTACTAGTACTAGCACTAGCCCTATCTTCTTCACTGAGATTGTCGACAGTAGTCTCGCTAGCTTATCTACAGTAAATGCTGGGATTACTATTAACTAAATTGATTGAATGAATAGGTCGCCGCTTTTTGCGGGATGGCTACGCGCCGATCGTGGAGAGAGTGACCGAGTGCGTGTGCGAGTCATGGCGGTGGTTGATTACCCTTTTCAGAATATGACAGTAAACTTGCTTGTTGTTCTTTCTCCCGTTTTCTTTGATCTCACTGGCTCAGAAAGCGAAGAAACCGGATATCTTCAATGAAGCGAACAACCATCAAGCCAGGGCATATCTAAATGTCGGGGGTAGAAAGTACATGTTGAAGCATGCTCCGGTTGAATAAATCTCATCATTCTCGTAGAGCCACATTTCAGCGACTCGAACTGCTCTAAAGTGAAACAAGAAAAGAATGATCGGGCAAGAAAGAAGGGCACGGTACACAATGGCTTCGGCTTATGTCGGCGATTATGCTTCACGTTCGGACTACGTAGTCGCGGAGAGATACATGTGACTCCGTATTCTCAGCCACCTAATAAGGGGATGGGTTTCACAAATAGACGTTCTCAGGCAGGAGACGCTGCTTACACATTGTCCTACTTGATCTTGAACAGAAATGAAAGCGGCTCTGACATTCATGCTTCTTCTTGTCGTGTCCGATAGAAGTTACAAATTTAGGATCTAATAAATTGATTGATGAATGCCGTCTATCGTCAATTTTTTAATAGGTGTATTTACTCTGTCATAAACGGTCACAGCGCTACAGTATGCAATCCAAGTTTTGCATGTAACTGATAATGTCGATGCCATACCTATTCAGCCGCTGATCTATGAAACTTGGCAGGAGTACTTGGCGATACCAGCAAATGCGTGCCCCATAAGCGCCCGTGAGTGCCCCCAGCCAATCCAGGCTCTGTTAAAGCAGCGCCTCTCCTCCAAGAAACACAGTTAAATTCCCATTCGGACACACCTTATCAACCCCTTGCTGACAGACTGACCGCCAGGACCTACCGATCCGGTGATTAGTCGCGCGCATGCCAAGCGAGCTCCACCGATCACAAGCCCGCCTCACTTGGGCAGGTGGAACGCCTCAGTCCTGCATGATCCGGATCCCTGACGATGATAGGGAGGAAGAGCTGTTCGACCGGATCTCCGGTGTTTTCCACTTCCGCGAGCTGTCGTGTCGGGGTTGTTTTATCTCCTGTTTTTCTGTTGGCTGCGCATGTCGGCGGATTTCGTACTCTCCCTTGACTTGTGGACGAACTGACTGGCTGGGTATCTTGGTTCGGGACGGAGTAGACGTGGACTTTTCTTTGTTTATCTACCGGCGTCTGACCCGGGGGAATTTAGCAACTTTCTTTTCTCGGTGTTGTGTTAGACTACTTCTCTTTCTGCCTCGGGTTTTACCTAACCCTGTCTGGTGGTTTGAGGATTATGCTTATATTGACCCTGCTTGAGTGGATCCTTGATTATTCATGATTGTTTCCTGTTGTTATCACTCCGCGTAGAGCAAATATATTCATCCGATATGCATATCCGTCGCTCAATATGCGCGCTTTTAACAACTTCTACTTTGACTATCGAGTTCTCGAGTGCCTATGTCGCTCAGCCTAGGCAGGGCACGGAGAAATGCACACATTCAACTGTGGCAATCTTGTCAGTCGCTCACATTCTGAGACGCTGCGTAGCAATTTAGTTAACGATCCAATATAGGGGAGGCGGGATGGCGGGTGTTGCAGCCGCAGTGAGTCACCTCAAGATTAGATTTGACGTTCTACATCAACTGAAAATGGAATACAGCAAGCGTTACATAACGCCTCCATTACCGATTTCGTCATCCTCGAGTACCGGGATACTCTCGGTGGGAGGGTCTGGCATACGGATTTTGGGGCCGACGAGAACGGGAAGCCTTATGTTGTTGAATTTGGAGCGAACTGGGTAGGGCTTCTACCTGCTCGTGGGATTAGGGAGCTAACAGCAATAAGCTGCAAGGTGTGGGGTCTAATGATACGGGTATGTATCTCCGGATCTATATAGGCCGACGGCTAATACTATCATGCAGAGAATCCCGTCTGGACGCTGGTCAGTTCAACGACCTTTATGCGCAGCAGGGATAACAAGGCTTACGGTCGCTAGGCCCAAAAACATAACCTAAAGAATACGTATTCGAATTACGACAACATTCGCACGTACGATGAAACCGGCTATACAGACTACCGGGACATATTGGCAGAGTATACGCATGCCAGCGAGATCGCATCTAAAGAAGCCGGTCGGATTCTATCAGAGAACTTGCAAGACCAAACTGCGCGCAGCGGTCTAGCTCTAGCCGGATGGCGACCTCGCAAAGATGATATGAAAGCACAAGCCGTGGAGTGGTGGAACTGGGGTATGTAGCCCTAACATTACTTCTCTCTCCCACCCATCCGCAACTACTATATCCAGCTCACAATAATTCAGACTGGGAAGCCGCCTCCTCCCCCGAAACCAGCTCATTCGTCTTCGGCATCGCCGGCGAAAACCTCACCTTCAACCAATTCGGCCCATCCAACCACCTCGTGCTCGACCCCCGGGGTTACAACAGCCTCATCGCCCTCGAAGCATCCACCTTCCTCAGCAGCAGCACCCCTCAAGTTCAAGACCCCCGTCTCCATCTCAGCACACCCATCACCAACATCACGCACTCCCCAGCAGGCGTAACAATCCACACCGCAAACCAAACCTGCCACACGGCCGCCTACGCAATCTGCACCTTCAGTCTGGGCGTCCTCCAGAACTCCGCCGTCCAATTCCACCCCCCGCTCCCGGCCTGGAAACAAACCTCGATCCACAAATTCAACATGAACACCTACACTAAAATTTTCATGCAATTCCCCACCGCCTTCTGGCCCCCAGACAGCGAGTTCCTGCTCTACGCATCTCCAAATACAAGAGGCTACTACCCCGTTTTCCAATCCCTATCTGGCCCCTCATTTCTCCCGAACTCAAATATCCTCTTCGTCACTGTCGTCGACGAGCAGGCGTATCGCGTGGAACGCCAACCGCTAGCCCAAACAAAAGCTGAGATCCTGTCCGTCTTGAGAGAGATGTTTCCCGATAAAGATATCCCGGAGCCAACTGCGTTCGCGTACCCGCGTTGGTCGACCGAGCCGTGGGCGTACGGGAGTTATTCGAATTGGCCCGCCGGCACGACGTTGGAGATGCATCAGAATCTGAGGGCGAATGTGGGGAGGTTGTGGTTTGCTGGGGAGGCGACGAGTGCGCCGTATTTTGGGTTCCTGCACGGGGCGTGGTTTGAGGGGAGGGATGCGGGGTTGGAGGTTGCGGATTTGTTGTTGGGGAGGGAGAAGTGTGAGGAGGAGAAGGGTATGAGAAAGAAGAGGAAGAAGGGGGATGAGGGTGAGGAGAAGGGATGTGGTCAGAGGACGCATTATGAGGTTTTGCATGGCACGACCCCGGCGGAGGCGTACTCGGGTTTGAATGGGTGGCCGGGTGGGTTGGATGTTAGTAGTAGGGCGCAGGATAACGGAGATAGGGAGAGGCAAGATTTGTGAGGAGGATATGGATGGAGTTGGATTTGGTTAGGATTTGGTTGGCGATATGGGACGGATTGAGGTGTTTCATCTGGCTTGGGATCCGATATTAGGGCTTGGGATGGTTATTGGGTTCTTGGCTTCTAGTCATTTATTGCGTTGAGTTGAATTCAAACGAAAGCTTCTATAAGTTCTAACCCTGTCTTTCACTAATTCCTCCCCGTCTATCGGAGGAAGATAGATCAATTACCTCAAAATCGTATACGCCGGCATCCCACACGCCGGCGCCGCAATCCGACTCCAACCCCTCGACATCTCCTTCTCCCTAGTTGTATCAGCCAACTGCCTCATCTCCCCATCCACCTTCTGTCCCATCACCTCCTCCAACAACCTAACCACGCCCAGCTGCCCCCACGCCAACGCCTGAACAACCGGAACTGGATATTCCGCCCTCGCATACATCGCATGCCCGGTCACCGGCAACCCATGCCTCACCAGCGCTTCCATAAACCCCACATTCCCCCTCTGACATACAATCGCCACTAACTCCGCCACCGCATCTTCCGCCTCGACCTCATCATCCGCTAACTCGGTCAACGTGACAACTCCACAGTCCAGTAAGTGTGCTGCAACATCCACACACTCCGCATGGAGCGCTGCGATCTTAAACACAGAGCACCAGTCCGTCTTGGACAGGTGCTTCGCGACACCAGCGTCTAGGAGCGCACGCGCCGCAGGCCAATGGTTCCCCCACGTCGCGGCACGGAGGGCATCGGCGCCGGGATGTTGGGTTCGTAGGCCGGTGTTGCCGTCTGGGCTCGGGCGGAGCGATGCGCCGTGGGAGAGCAGGAGGTGGATGGTGGGGACCTGTCCGGTCCATGCAGCTTGGGCGATCGGGGCGGCCATTGAGTGCGTCTCGCGGTAGTTCAGGGTGCAGTTGACGTCGGCGCCGGAGGCGAGGAGGTGCGTGATCAGTTCTGTGTGGCCTGCGCGGCAGGCGGCGCGGAGGCCTTCGGAGAGGATGTATGGGGATTCCGGGAGGGAGGTTTCATATTGAGAGAGGAGGAGGGAGGTGATGTGATGGGAGTCTGGGGAGGGGGTGATGGAGGAGACGAGGGCGTGCTGGTAGGTGAGGTCTGATTTGCAGAGATTGGATGACTCGAGCAGCATGGTGAGGATGGCGAGGTCGTTGTTTTCAACAGCCTTGAGGAGAGGATTTCTGCGAAACGGCCGGCTTGGACGCAAGTTTGGGGGCTTGAACGGGGCGTTGTGTGCGAGGAGGGTGCGCACGGTGTTGGGATTTTGCGTGTCGACGGCCGCGAGGAGGGCAGTGTCGAAAAGAGTGCTGGTGTCGGACTGGAGGTTGATCTGGTCGGTGCTGAGAATGTGGTCGACGAGAGACAGATGGCCGGTGTAGATGGCTGCGATCAGCAGGTCTATCGTGGTGGTTTTGCCGTTGGGCAGCTTGATGGGCGATGGGTAGAGCGACAGTTGCACCGGGCTCATCTTCGCGCAGAGGATAGACAGCATCTGGTAGCGTTTTGCGTCCTCATGTTCACTCTCGACGAGGATTTCTTTCACATTTTCCTCATGGCTGAGTAGCTGGTCGACTAGGTCGTTTAGGTGATACGAGATGTCCTTATCCTCTGCCTTACCCTTCTCCTTCCCCTTAGGTCGGAGCAGCAGGTATTTGGCGAAGAACGCGCATTTAGTGAGACTCAGAGGAGCTACCGCGAACCGCCTATCGAATGCGAATTGAGAAGTGCGCGCGTAAGAGCGGCGGATCTCCAGATCAAATGTCCCTAGTCGGTCAGTGATTATCACTGAGACACAAGAGATGCGGCTTACGATTGACGCGACGCAGAGGTGCTGAGCCACAGATACCGACGGGACTATTGACTATGCGATCAATGATATCGCCGAGTATTTCAATAGGTAAGGATGATAGAGACATGATGACTCATAGACGTGATGTGGGAAGACGAAGAGAGGAAGAGTTCGAAAGATTGAATGATGGGCAGTTGGAGTGGGGCGAAGGATCGAGCTAAGACGAGGCTGCATGTTATTAAGAGACTCAGGTATAAACACGTTGGCATCTGCAGCCACACTAAGTAACTATATACACAAAAAAGCATGAAAACAAAGCAATCAATCAAGTCCCGTTGGCCGGTTGCTTCCACTCCTTTCCATCCACCGTCGTAGTCAACGTGCCGTTTGCCTTGAAGATGTTGGTGAGCGAGTCAACCTCCAAATGGAATCCCCCAGGGCTGGTCTTCTTGATCGCTTTCTGCTCTCCGGTCGAGGTTAGGTTAGAGTACCAGTCAATCTTGTTTGTGGTGACTTGCTCAAGCGTTCTGGTGACCTTCTCGGATCCCTCGATGGTAATTTTCCCATCGTCGGAATAGTTTCGATAAGTGACCGCCACGGTCTTGATCAGGTCTCCTTCGTAGACGACCGACACCGAAGCTGTTCCCGACGCCTTGCCATTCAGCGTGTAATTGCCCTGAGCCGGAAACGGGCGCTCAGGGAGCTCAGTGCTTTCTGTTACCGGCACGCCCCAGGGAACTTCATCGGCGACGGGTTCGACACGATCGAGCTTCAGTGGCTGCCGACTCGCCAAACGTGCCAACATCAGCCGAGTAACGCGACCGCCGGGCGCGGTCGAATTGGGACAAGGAAGAGGATTCTTTCCACCGCAAGCCGGAGACACGACGAGGTTCTCGGCGTACGCAATGCGAGTCCCGTCAAATGACCATTTCGGGTCGGCAGCAGCATTCCAGTTCGGATCGTTGATGCTTCCTGGACTTCCGTCTCCGCCGGCGTTGATCTGCTGACCGAAGTAATCGCCACGGTCCCCGTCATGATCGAGCAACCAGGGGAGGAAGAATCGTCTGGCTCCATTGTTGCGAGTCGATGAGGCCGCCGTAGTAACGATCATATCGATGATCGGCGGAATACCACGCATGCCGGCCATGAACATCTGGCGGCCCGTGCCGCGAGTATCCAAGATGACCTGAGAGCTATCGTCAGGCGAGATATCAATAGGGTCGACGTATTCCGGATGGCTGGTCAAACGACGGACCTTACCGGTGGTTAGGTCGGCGGCGAAAACGTCGATGTTGCATGATTCCACAGGGCTTCCGACGTAGATAACCTCCTTGCCACGGCCGGTGAAGCCACGAAGCTCACCCACTGCAATTGCCGACTCGTTGAAAACCAACTGATTGCCTTTTGCCTTCATTGGCTGCGAAGAGCTGGGGTTGAACAATCTAGTGACCTTCACAACATCGTACCCCGGTTCCGCGGAGGAATCGTTGAACTGCAGACGACCAAAGTAGGCGAACTGCCCCAGGTTTCCACTGCTGATCGTAAACGAGTTGAATCCAAGGTGCACATTGTCGGGATGAATCCGCAACTCTCGTAGCTCGCCACCACTGAAACGAACCGGATAAATATGGACCTTGTCCGGGGTGCAGTCTTTGCTAGCCAGTTCGGAAGACCCACAATCCACGATATTATTCCCGACCAGCACCCGCTTGCCATCATGGAAGGCCTGAGCATAGGGGCTCAGCTCGGTGCTGCCGACCTTATTCTTCTCCGGGACACCGCAGGTTATGCACTTCCAGGGATCGCCATTAGGGAAAGTCGTGTTGTCCGCCTTCACGATGACCAGATGGGTGCCGTTATAGATACTGGTTGGGGCTCCGGCAAAGGTCACGCTGATGGTAACATGGTTATTGTCTGGCAGGAAATTGCCGCCCTCAATCCGAGAGGACTGCAACATGCATCCTGTCCGACGGGGATTGATCGCTGGCGTACAGGAGCCGTTCTTGTCGTTCGGGGTAACAGGTGGCAGGGGAAGTTCCGTAACCACAATCGGTTCCGGGGAGGGAGGAGCGGCAAAACGTTTATGATTGTTCTGGGTCGAGATAGCAGAAGCGGCCTGCACGGAGGCAAGTAGCCCTAAAGTTGCTCCTGTAACGAAACGCATATCGACAGGAATCTCAGCAAGCAATTTGGTAACACTCAAATCTCCAGAGAATCACCGGAAACCCAACCATATTTATACCCAAGACCCAACATCACCAGAGCCCTTGTACGAATACGTCTACGGAGATCAAATCCTCCTCGTCATAACGATCATCCTTCTTCAGGGGTAACCCAGCGAAGAACGTATCCGTATCCTTTCCTGTATCAGGTTAGCGCACTTTCTCATTACCCTTTCGGTCGACGAACAACCCAGATATGCCTCGGAACGGGCAAGGGCACGGATAAAGCATCAGAAATGGAAATGGGGCCTGTCACTCCACTTCGCTCGGAGTCATCGTATATGGAGTATTCACGACGTTGCGACTTTTTCTTTCATCCAGTAGATTTCGGAACCCTCTCGGGAAACATGCCCTAACGCAGCAGACCCCTCTCCCCGGTCGGGCTATTTGGATCGAAATAGACATGCATGAAGCGGAGGAAGCTCCGAGACATTAATATCTCTATTTTGTACTCTAGAAAAGCTTCCCTATGAAGGTTCTAGCCAGTCGGACCTTTGAATAAACCTCGGTATATCATTTCACCGAACAGGAACCGTCCTTCATCCAATCCACTAACCTACACTTGACCACCTTCGAAACCATCATGCACTTTCCAGTATCCGACCGTTCTCACTCAGACTTCTGAGTTAAGCACACCAGAAGTTAACATAGCAGAACGGCTTTCCATCATCGTCTGTATCGCACTCATCCGCTAGGGGAAAGAAGTCCTCGTTGGGGCAGTTGGCAAGGCAATTCTTGTAGCTTCCGCAAGGAGCATCATCTATCGGTTGTTAGAAACAATTGTCAATCTCCTACAGCGCCAATATGGCCTGAAGAGACAACCTACAGGGGTTGGAGTCAGACTGCGCCAAGGCAACGGCAGTCAAACCGAGGATCGAGAGCACGTAGTGGAAATGCATTGTTCTGGCAAAGTTAGTGATCTGGTCACTTCACATGGCAATCCTAGGGTAGTCTAACAGTACCAGGATGATTTCTTGTATGGGAATCAAAGACTTGCGTGATAATTAGAGAATGTTTGTTATGAATCTAGAGAGCTGGAAATCCGGGCTTTTATATTTGTTTAGGTCTGGAATGCAAGGGATGGTTGAGCTCATTTCTGTATACGGCCTGTGGAATGAAGGTTGCGTCACAGGTAAGCTAGGGATTGCAACATGTAAGACAATTCCTGTCAATTTTAAGCACATTGAAATGAAATTGACTGACAGCGATGGAAAATCACTTTAATCCGACCTTATCGTACATTCATTCACATGCTGGTCACGATCATTCATATACGTTTTTAGGAAGAAGATCTAATATTGAAGGCATCCCACATTCCCTCGACCAGAACAGTAATTTAGAAGTAAGCGCTTGCAAAATACGATGTCAGAACTTGACTACTCTATTTGTATTTGGCTATGCAGACGCATGAAACACTAATATCCTACCTGTTCCCATCGTAATCTCAGGCAGAGGTCTTCCATGTTTGTACGACCACGAGGCGTCATGTCGAGGCCAGGTCAAATTTCAAGCCCGATAGACGCACTTTCACAGTTTATTACTATAACTAACTAGGCAACAAGGCGCGTTGGGGGGAAACAATCAGATGAGGCAGGAGCGATGTCGCGACAACGAGCTTCCTTACAATTCGGTTCCTTATCCCCACGTTTACCCAGAGACCACATCGCGATCATATCACGTCTACTACCTCAACAGGCTACTACATCAGCATTATCATATCTCAATCATTACATCGATTATCAAATTACGCTGCTCTACTTCATAATTACCAACTTCACAATGAATCAAATCCTCCCAGAGATCCTCGTCATCAGCCTAGCATCCAGGCACGAAAAACGATACCAGAACCTGATGGCGTCTCTCTGGAACATATCTCGCGTGGTGCAAATCAGTGCACTTTCCGATGCCGTCCACTACCTCGTTCTCAATGATCCCCGGGCCGTGATCTTCACCGACGAAGGGATAACAGACCCTAGCAAGTGGACCGCCGTAGCCCGCTACTTCCAGACTTACCTCCAAAATGGCGGTATCGTGATTTTCGGCGTCTATTTTGCCAATTTCTGCGACGCACACTTCACAGAACAAATGTTCCGTCATATGCTGTGTTTACCTTGGAGCTTCAGCGGTGTGGCTCAACTGTGCGTGGAGATCAACGATGAATGCATCTGGCCGAATGAAGTTCTTCTGAACAAATTCGAATTTCCAGAGTGGTGGATGGCACATTTCAGGTACTTGACCAATGTACAGCCACATGAGCGGATTTTGGAGTCGCCTCTGGGATGCCGCGGAGATGAAGGCGAGTACATATCTGGCGAGTGCATAGCGCCGGTTGTTGGGGCTCGAATAGGAGATGGCTACGTGGCTTACTTCGGGGGTCTGGGGTATAATGAGTGCTGCGACAGGGTTCTTGCAAGGCTGTGCAGCTTGGAGGATAGGACACGTTCTGAATGGAGTTTGTATCCTTACTAGAGTGCTCCGTGAGGCTTGGTTTGACTTGACTTGACTTGTTTTCTCGGCCTTAGCAAGCGGGAGGCTATGCAGGTGGTACACCCACCTAATACTAAAGGCTTTTCTAAACACTGAAATTGTACTACATTATTTCTTTCTAGCCATCGTCTTCCTCGCCTAGATCGAGTCCCTCTAGGACGGTGTGGGTGTTTCGGGGCCTCCCCCTCTTCATCGTTAAAGGTGGTGAATCGAAACTGTTGTACGAGGCCTATTCGTTGCATAAGGTCGGAGACGTTGCGTATCGCCTGCACGTTGGTCATGACTGCATCGTAGTGCCGTAGACGCCCTCGCAGGCCCTCAAAAACCTCGATGACTCTAGGCCGGATGGTGTTGCACTTTCATCCCATGATTCCCGACAAGTATTCGAAATTATATTTTCTTTGTACATTGTCGGAATCTGAGATGCCAGGTGTAGGCTGCCAAAAATCAAGAAATTGATTGGGCCGATGAAGACGCAGAACAACTAGGTCAGGGGTCCTTATAGGCCCTTTTACTTTCAATACCTGGTGATCTTCATGGCCGATTTGATGGGAATTTCCGCTTTATATAAAGGTCTTCGAAACTTTGATTTAGCGAATGTTTGGCGGCTTGCTCGAAGCACCTGAATCTTCTACATACATAGACAATGATATGATTTGGTTCAATCAATCCTCTACCGAAGTATGTTGTACCCCTGGTTAATAGGCTCCCAATGAACTTCATCATACAACTAGTTTGATTCCCCTTTTTTGATGGCTGTTCTACGAACGACGCTAGCTGCTAAATACGACCGTCATTCATCGTCTTATGTTCGGCTTCCTTCGTCGCCTCTCGCAACAGTAAGAGCTTCGATCGTAGCAATGAGAGCCTCGTCCAACCCTTTGAGCCTGTGTTCGAGCTTCGCGAGTAGAGTCGTCAGGAAATGACGTGCATGAAGTTGGCCGGTGTTGCCTATGTGCATTCCTAGTCGATTAAACCTGGGGGATAAAAATCGGCTAGGATTAGCAGGACATTGGTAGGACGTCGTTCTACCGGGATCTTACAGTACATCTCCTTATCCAGGAGATCAAAGTAGTCTTCAATTGTTTCCAAAGTTGGTTGGGAGAGGTGTCCTGGACAGCTTCCAAACGCTATCACCTTGCGTGGATTCAATATGTCATTTAGAAGTCCAGGCTCCGTCACCATTATCCTCTCTCTGTATCGTCACCCCTAATTTTGGCTAGATTAACATAATTTAGTCAGTTTACATAACCGCGTGTTATGCTCAAGCACTTTCCTGGAGATTTGAAGCTGGTGTTCCCTCGACGGAAGGGTCTTTCAGCAGGTTTATAAAAATTCCTTTTCCATAAATGACTTCACTGCATATGTCCTGCAGGAGATGGCATGTCTTAGAAGCAACGAGTAGATGAAGCCTACATCCTCGGTTTGGACTCATTTGCTCTGAAGAATTGCTAGATCGAGTCAAGCCAAGTCAAAGGCTATGTGCGATTTATCATAGTATCTGACGCGGCAGCAGAGAGTACCGCATTTTCATCCACAACAGCAGGTTGTATTAGCAGAATGGCCGGTCTCGGTCCAGAAAGACTTCGGAAACCAGATTATGTCTTTGCTCTCCCGTGTCTTCTTAGAGATCGGTCCAATTCTATGGTAGGTGGTGGATGGAATGGACTGCAGAAGGCTGGATCTTCCAGGATCTTCTAGTACAGCGGGGTCTTCATAGATATGAAACGCCCTTGCCCCTCCTTTCTGTGATATGACGATATATTAACTATCCCGATTGCATGCCACCCCTCTCACCACCCGATCTGTGCTAAAGATTGCAAGTTCATTGCAGAACACTGATGTCATCTTACGGAGAAGGCCACATACAGTCAACCTCATGCTGTACAACCTCAGCTACAGGGAGCTACCACTGAAAATAGCACCGTGACGAAAGCTACCGACCGCCCTAGCCACAAGCTCTCCGGAACCCACCAGCCCACGCGTCGATCCGGATATCATCTCGCAGCCTCACCCTCCACCACCATTGACATCACCGCAACATCCCGTCTCTCCAGCGAGAGCAGCCCACTTGTAGACCCTCCGTCACCCAAAATAAAGACTGACTAGACCTATTTGGCGAATAGTAAATACACACCGCCACCATCCCCCACTAGTGCTCTCCACTTTGTCCCAGTCCGACCCACCAGGCGTGGCGTTGCCCTCCAATTATTGCCGCCACTCTCCACTAAATGTGTCACCATGCAGCGTTAGTCTGTAGGGCAGCAATGCCGCAGGGTAGGAAACGGTCAACATAAATACGTGCCCCTCATCCTTGTTCCCTCTCCATCTTCAGCTTCAACTATCTTCATCAATTCTCTCTATCTCTATCTCTATCTCTCTATCTACCAACCCAACACCTTCCGCCATGTCTTTCCACACCACCTGCCAGAACATCAAGCTCGGCCACGAAAACGGCTGCACCGTCCTTTCGGCCGACGTGCGCGACAAGTCCGGCCACCACATCCACCGCAAGATCCGTCTTGACGACCACATCGGCAACACTGACGGTATGTCTTTCCTTTCTCTCTCTCTCTTCCCCTTCGCCATACCTTTTGCATACCTCTGGTCTAACATCCACAGGCTGGTTCATCTGGGGCGGCAGCAACTTCACGCGCAGCGCTTCCAACGTTACCTTGGAGCACACCGAGTGGGGCCCGAAGCTCTGTGCCGATCTTCGCACGCACGACGGTGGATCGCGAGGTCGCCAGGGTCTGATGCTGGCTGATAAGATCGCCAACAACGACGGTCACTTCAAATTCTTGGTGAGTTTTCTTCTTCGCGAACATACTTCGTGGCTGTGGCTGACTGTTTTGTTTCTCTATAGGGACCTTGAGCGGTTGATGTAACATGATCTGGGGCGTTTGTTTTCTTGTTGAATAATTGATAGGCTATTGAGCAACGAATAATATTGACTTTATGCTGTTCTTTTGTGACTAGTCGTAGTCACTGTAGTGGTTGTGGGGGTGTTTCTGCCTAAGGCTCCAGGTATAATCTTCATATTTTGTGAGCTCTCGATGCCTGTAAGATTTCAATGGAACCTTCTAGTTGCGGATACTTCGGTGATTCCAGGTCATGAATGTTTTTATGCTTCAATAATATCTTTCCGCTCTATACACTGTGCATTGGTTTTCATTTTCTATGAGACTCCGCAAACAATCTCATCCAATCTAATCTATACTCTAATCCACCCGAATGCAAACCTTCCCAACATGCTGCCCCGACTGCAAATACTCATAAGCAGCAATGACCTCCTCCCTGCTAAACCCAAACTCCTTCTCCACCGGCATCCTCAACTCCGCCCGATGCACAAACGTAACCAGTTCCTCCAGCAGACACTTCGGACCGACCAGCACACCTCGCACCACGCATGTCTTCAACAACGCCTGAAGCGGCACATCGACCACCTTGTCGCTCCCCGCCAGATACCCAATCACGCTGATATTCCCACCGGGCGTGATGGCCTTGATGCTCTGCTCGATGGTCCCCAGTCCGCCGATCTCGAGGATATAGTCGACGCCCTTTCCGTCCGTGATCTTCAGCGCTTCGGCGGCCCAGTCGGGTGTCGTGCGGTAGTTGATGCAATAGTCGGGCTGGAATTTCGATTTCGCCATGGCTAGCTTCTCGTCACTAGATGAAGTGACGATGGTTGTTGCGCCGGCCGCTTTCGCGAGGATGAGACCTGTGATGGCGACGCCTCCGGTTCCTGGGCATCGGTATTAGCTGCGAACAATCAAGTCGAAGAAATGGGAGGAAACACAAACCCTGAACCAAAACCACTTGTCCCGCCCTCAACGGCACATTCCCATACAAGGCATTCCACGCCGTAACGCCAGTACACACTAAGCTCGCCAACTCCGCATACCCATGCGGCGCCGAGGCCGGGATCTTCACGACCCCCGACGCCGGCCTGGCAACATACTGCGCCAACGTCCCATCCGCCGCGCCGCCCTGACACGTCAGGAAGTCCTTTTGCACACCGTACAGATGCATCGGGTCGAACGAGATGACGACGCGGTCGCCCTCCTTGAGGTCTTTGACGTCGGATCCCACGGCGACGATGTCTCCTGCGCCGTCAGAGCATGGGATCAGGTCGTTTTTGGTGTCCGCGGGGTAGGTGTTTGTGGCAACTTGGAGGTCCCGGGAGTTGAGGGCTACCGAGCGGATGCGGATCAGGACTTCGTGCTTGGAGATCGTGGGGATGGGCTCGGTTTGGGGGGTGAGGTTGGTGATGGCGCCCAGTTGGGGGAGGCGGTAGACGGTGTGGGTGGCCATTTTGGTGGGTATGTTTGTCTTTTGTTTTCCAGAGGATATGTTGGTTGGATGAATGGATTTGAATTTGTCTCTTGGTAGGGGGAATGGCTGCTTTTAAATATTCGGAGTTGTAGGTTAGGGTTCTACGGTATTTACACATTTTTCTATGGTGACTATTTCACCATTCCTGTAGATCTAGAACCTACCAATTGGAACTTACGGAGAAATCCCTTTTAGGAACCATTGGAAATCACATCCAACTACTTAAAAAAGTCCTTACAAATCGACCATCTTATCACTGCTGATTAACAGCCCGGAGCTGGCTCTGTTCGGTGCGCTCCAGGTTTTCCTATTGGCTCCGTCTGGTAGGTGGGTCTGCTCAGTGAGCCGTTCCGTTCGGATAGCATCAGCTCGGAGGGAGAAAACTGGTCATTTTATCGCGAAATTTCCAAAATCGCTATCCGAGAAGCTGGGCTCTCATAGTGGTTTATAGTATGTATAGTTGATCGTAAGCTGAGTTTCAATGTTTCTGTGAGACCAAGTTGAGCCTAGGAATAGATCTGTGGCCTTTTACCATAGTCGAGAATATATATCCTAGACGGGATCATTGAAGATCCACCTCATTGCATCAAGAAAGAAAATCCCCCCACTCTTTACTGTACATGTCGGAGAAAGCACTCCTCAAGAAATATACCCCAAAATTATAGATAGCTTACCAATCAGCAAGGGTTGATATCTACGAACATAACCCCATCTATGACGTTGCATCATGACCACACCTATATAACCCACAAACCCAACCACTCAACCTAATCATTCCTATCAGCCCAAACCCAAAGATCAATGTCCCACAACATTCTCCTAACCGGCGCCTCAGGCTACCTAGGCGGCACCATCCTCGCCCGTTGGAAAGATGCGGCCCTCCCGCAACACGGAACCCTCTACGCTCTCGTCCGCAACGAAGACCAAGGCACACAAGTCCAGAAATACGGCGCCACGCCGCTAATTGTCAATGTATCCGAGCACAACGTCGTGACCAAAGCCATCATCGAGCATGAGATCTCGATCGTCTATTTCTTGATAGACGCATACACGGCGACGCATCAACTCCCCATGATAAAGGCCCTCGGGGAGGTGCGGAGGCGTACCGGTAAGGAAGTGCATTTTCTGCACACGACCGGCGCGAAACAGTTTAGTCGACATGCGGGGGTTGACACGGGAAGTGATTTATCGGATATGGATCCGGGGTTGTATGAGTTGCAGAGGGAGGTTAGGTCGGGACATGAGTCTGCTGATCAGGTTGGTATCAATATCCTACATATTTCAGGTGGTTTCTAATATATGATTGCGCAGTCTGTTCGAACGAATCCAACCATAATCGACACCGCAGACAGGCACGGCGTAAGAAGCTACATCTTCGCTCCGTGTCTAGTCTACGGCCCCGGCGAAGGATTCGGAAATAAGACGTCCATTCAAGACGTAGCGATCGTGCAGGCGGCGATGAAGGTGCGAAGAGTGTATAAAGAGGATACTGATGACCCAGTATGTTTTTCCATTTTTTATTCATTACGTTTGAACAGTTCAAGCTAATGTTCTCTAGACCTGGCCCGTCTGCCACATCGCAGACACAGCAAGTTTATACCTGCATTTATTGAAAAAACTCCTCCAGGGTGAGGAGATTGGCTACGGCACTACGGCAAGAACGGCTACTATCTGGCCGCGTCGGGCCACGTTCATTGGAACGATGTTTACAAGGCCATGGCGAAGGCGCTGGCGAAACGCAACGTGCTTGATGACGATGACGTCATGCAGGCAGATGATGAAGCCTTGAAGAAAATGGGCGAGGCGTTGAATGTGTCGCCTTCTGCTGTGCCTGTTCTTTTGGGTGGGATGTATGTTATTATCGTTCTTATGGTTGTGGAACGATGACGAGGCTAATTGCGATTACTAGGTGTCGGTTTATGCCGGAGCATGGGAGGCAGATCGGGTGGACTCCGGGGTTTCCGCCGAGTCATATTTTGGAGACGGCGGATGAGGAGGTGGAATTGATTTTGGGACATTTGAATGTGGAGAAGAAGCCTATTCGATAGGGGTGCATTCTTTGACGTGTTCGAAAGATTTTTGTAAATGCAGGGTTCTTGATATGGGTGAAAAGCATTGAATTGTTTTGGAAAATTTGTAGGGGCGAGCAGTAGGAATAACAGTTGCGGATAAACAAAGGCAGAAAAATTGGAGAACATTGATTGATTGCTCATCTAAAAGAAGGAGTAGGAGAGATGCAAGAAAAAAACAAAAAGATTGACCGACGCAGGGGTCGAACCTGCAATCTCTTGATTCGTAGTCAAGCGCCTTGCCATTGGGCCAGCCGGCCTGATTGTTGAAGAGGTCGACACAATTTGCGTCTATATTGCTAAGCAGTGGTCTTCTGGGAAACGAGTTGGAACGTACTCTGTAAATCCTGGAGATTTCTTCATGATTAGAACATCCTGTTTCATATACTATCATTTCCTGCTCAGGGTACTCCCTTCGCTCCAGTCTAAAGGCAGGTAGGCAGGTAACCGGAAAGTCCCCGACCGGATTCTATTCAGCGTCCTCCTGTCGTTCCGATTGGCTGAAAACCGAACCGGGACTTTCCCTTTTATTCGGTTGGCTGGTCAGGGACGATAATATATCACATTTCTCAGCCTGAGCATGGATGTACAGTAGAATGAGCCAGGATCGCTTGGTCTACAATCCTCACATCAAATCAGAAAATGTTCTACAGTTTTGAGACCCAGCGGCCACTGGCCAAACGTCGCAAGGTCAGCCGAGCCTGCGACTTCTGTCGAGCCCAGCGAGTGCGATGCGATGCGTCTACTCCATGCTCCCAATGCGAGTCAAACAAAGTCCTCTGCAGTCGTATCCAAACTCCGGAGAGAGGTTCGAGTAGAGGGGATCCTCTTCCGCGACAAGCGGGGCCAGTCCCACGTCGAACTGCCTCTGCTTCTGATAGACCCAAGGACCATGGAGCGCAAGCCTTAACTACGCCGCAAGAGACACCGGTCTCGGGGCATGGCGATGGCCCAAGACATTTGGATAGAAATAACCCTCGTTTCCGACAAGCGGGGCCAGACTTATCTCGAATTACTTCTGCTCCTGATAGGGCCGAGGATGATGGAGCCCAAGACTTGATTACGCCGCAAGAGACGCCCTCGGGCTATGACAACAGCAAAAGTGCCCAGCGAGATGAATCTGCGTCGATAAACAGTCGACTGGAGTCAATGATGGGGTTTATCTCTCGTCTGAATGCGTTCTGCTCTGGAATGTCGCAGCTCTCGCAGACATCGCCAGATGACCCCCCTCCGGCCTACACATCGCCGTTCGGCCCGCATCTTCTAGACGGGGCTCATCCGACAGAGTGCGACCTCACCCCTGTCCAGGTAAACCGTCTTTCAGAATTATTCTGGACCCGTTTGCACCCGCTGATTCCTATACTCGGTCCTGAAGACTTGAAGTCCCACCCGCCACTCCGGGACGCAGTGACGGCGTACGCAATGCAGTATGCGTTCTATTCGGGGCTCCATTCCCGGCTGCTGGGGTTCCAATGGAAGCAGTTCTCAAAAGACAATCGATGCTCTAGAGTAATCGGCATGTCGTACTTACAGCGCTGTCTAGCCAGTGCGACGCAATACTCGATCTTCGCGGAGCCGTCCCTCCCCATTCTCCAATCCTACTGCATCATGACCCTCTACCTCCTCGACGCCGGCCAGCACCAAGCAGCATATAACATGATCGGTCTGGCGGTTAGGATGGCTCGATCGCTGAACTTCGACAGCGATGCTCCTGTCGGTGTCTCTCCCGAGGAAATGGACCTCACATCCCGCATCTGGTGGACACTAGTTCATCTGGACTTTCGCTGCTCGAGACACCTTGGCAAGCCGTTTAGTGCCCAGCTCCCTATCATGAGATCCACGCCACCATGTCGTCTATCAGACAGTCCACCGGGATCAGACTACTTCCCATACCACACTCAATCTATCCAACTAACGTATCTAGCTCTCGGAGTTATTGAATCAATTGCCCGAGATAAAACCCCCAACCGAACCCACGACGCAGAATCTCAAGCGCAAGCCCTAACCCGGAATCTCTGGCGACTCGATAAATGGCGAAACGCTCTCCGACAGCACGACTGGTTCCAGCACCTCCGACTCGACGTGCCTGAAATGCCCCAACAATCTGGGTCCCTGCCAACCGAAACCACAGACTCCAGCAGCAACAACTACATGAATCGCCCCCCACTACAGCACCAACTCTCCACTCTCTTGGAACTCCAATACCGTGACATTATCATCAGCCTGCACCGCGTCTTCATCCAATTTCCCACCCAACCCCTCGTCCCTAGAAGTAGTCCCCAAGCCGAAGCGCACGCCGCGACAGCACTCAAACATGGCCTAGCGACGATCGAAACCGTCCATCGCTGCATGTCGCAAACAGACCTGTTCTTCGGGTCTTGCGAGATCTACCAGTACCAGTGGAATGCTGTCCTCACGTTAATGGGCTTCATGCTTGCGTATCCGTTCTGTCACCGCTGTCCAATGGCAAGAGGGTATATTGATATGGCGCTGGAGACGTTCGAGTTTGCGGGCCCGAAGAATGATGTTGCTGTTAGAGCGGCTTGTTTGACAAGGCATCTTCGTGCTAAGGTGGATAAGTTGACGATGATTTTGAACATTGATTATCGGAAGGCGGCTGAGACGTCGGCGAAGTCGGGGACTGTTCCTCTGGATGATGTTCATGTTCGTCTGGGTGGTGGTTTAGATAGGAATTCTACGACTGATGGGGGCTTGGGCCTTGGGTCGGACCTGGGACAGGGGGGTGGTGGTGATGCGCTGTGGTCTTGGGTCGATCTGATTGATCTTGATGCTTGGCCGAATTATTGCGATGAGGTCAATGAGGTATTTACGGGGTGTTCGGATGCGGATTTGTTTCAGAATGCTTTCTACTCTTAATTCCAGAGGATGAGAACGGTTTGTAGGATGCTGTGTTAACTTTTGACTTACAGGTTTGGAGTTGCAGAATAAAGATATACGTGCAGATTACAGAGATAGCCGGTTTATATCTATTATATCAAAGCTGTAAGAGACATGTTGTGTTCCTAAGTAGACGAAAGGATACTAGCAAATTAAAACTATTCTGGGCATCTAAGACTTTTCTAAACAATGAGCTCTTTTCATAAGAATATCGCCATTGGAATATCATATCCAACCAACATTCCCTGATCCCCGTCATTCTCGCCACGTCACCGATCCTCCCTGAGGCCGCAAAACTTACGACATTTGCTTTCCCAACGGACGGATTGCTGGATAGTGGTCAAATGGCGAGATTATCATTAACTGCCTCAGACGAGTGAATGTTAAAAGGATAGAAAAGTCCAGTATCCCCAGTAAGCCACTTTTCACTGCAATGATTCACCAACTTCTACCTATTCACCATGGACGTTCGACTCAAGCAGAGGGATGGGGTATTCGCTGCTTCCCACCTCCCCCTTCTACTTCTCATCATGTGCATCCATCTCTATCTCTTCATCTCGAGAGCAATACTGTGACGGCTTGAAGCTCTATACCTTTTCCTCGATGAAAAGCTGGATTTGATTTGACGAGCCAAGTCGGTCTATTATGCATTACTTCAAGGTCTCCGTTTCAAGACGGATTCAAGATGAAGAATGCTGTGGGCTGCTGTATTCTTCCGAGACTCTACGCATGGTCAAGAGATGAAATATCCCACACTACTGTGATAAGCAACGTTAACAGCCTACAGCTACAGAGTCTTGTCAACGCCGGTCCATGGATTCTGAAGCAAAAACGTAAACCCCAGAAAGATGGTTTAGGGACAGTAAAACATTTGCTAAGGAAAAGGGTTGCAACTGGAATGACCTTCTGTAAAAGGTATGTGTCAAGTACTTCCTTTTGCTACCGTTTTACTAACAGCCCAAAGAACCCCAAACGTAGGCAAGAGAAAGCTCTGACACAAGCCTGCAAGCCAAGGGAAATCGACCCAAAGAGTTTCGTTGATTCAGGCAGCTCGATCGTGGCCTACAATGGTAGCCGAGTTACTGTGGTCATGCCTTTTTCTACCAGTTTTGACACGATACAAAGACATCAACATGTTCTCTCAAGGGGCGAGAAGCCAGGGTCATCTACGAGGGAGTGATAGAGCCCTAAGAATCAAGAAAGCTCTATCTCCACCTCCAATACTTGAGGAGACCCAAAACCTTCACCTGCAGAACATTCCAGTACAGACAGAAATGACGACCTGTTGATTTCAACCAAGCTTGGGAGCAAGATACTGGCCCCTTTACTGTCATTTGAAGACAATCTGTCTTTGAGCCAGAAGTGTGACAGACTAGATCAATCATTGAGTCACACGTAGTGTGGTCGTCTTTCGAAGCGCAAATAGTCGCCTGCACTACGCAAAGCACAACGCCGAGCGTGATCAAATCTTGGTTTACTACGCTCGAAGTCTGTACCTAGTACCCAGAGGCACGGAATCGTTGTTTCAAGAGCTACAATAATTAGCGCCGCGACACCGAGGGTTGCCCAGATAGTCTTCCGTACTATGCATACGGGCAGGCTAACAGAACAACATGGGATGAACCAGCCCATGTCAGCCATTTCAAAGCCTTGATTTCGTAGGGTCTGCTTATAGAGTAAGTATACTGACCCGCTTCCACAAGTCTGATTTGATCTAACCTTTTCTTTCTAGAAATATGACAGTCCACGAATGCCAACCAAGTAGCGGTTGGACACGTCATAAAGTGTGGAGTCGGTGAGAGCATTCGGCTTTTCCAAGAAAGTGCGGAGTGGTGGCTCACGAAATGCCAAACAACAAAACGGCGACTGCCTACCTGAGGATATCGAGAAACAAAATCTTAGATGATGATGCTGACCAGAACCTGGTCGCTGTGGACGAGTTTACTCGGCGGATTGGCCTGGGCATTGAGCAGCGCAGAATAGATTTCTAACACATTGATACCAACCGATACCTACTGGGCAGCACCTTTCGATTCCCCTAATAATTGGGGAAGTCAATACGCTTCAATTAAGCCAAAGATCTTGCCAGAAGTGGTGCACCAAGCTCAACTTGCATGGGTTAAGGACCATTTACATCGTTTCGAGCAAAACAGCGCGGATGACTGCACCCGCAGGAAGTGGTTCTGGAATTTTGACATTCAGTTGATGTCTCGTGCATCCTGTCAAGACAGCGAGGAAAGAAACGCCGAACCGTAAACGGCCGATCCAATTACATAAGGTAGCTGATGATCACTAGTTACATGGACATCTACCAGTGCAAAGCTTGGCGGTCTTATTGATGGAACCGCCTAAAGGGGGGTTTTGGCCCAGATAACTCCGGCATCAAGTGTTTCACAAGACGACTTATCTCGCCCTTCAGATAAGACAGTTTAGAAGACTCTCCCACTATTCCCTGTGTTTCTCAGAAGGCCAATTGCCATCTGAAATTGCAAAAGACGACATAAACGCAAACGGAAACATACAGACTATATGGAGAGGGCAGTCGGAAGAACTGGTTATACAAGGATGGATGATCAGTCCTATCAAAAATGGCCACACATCGGGGTGTACATCAATGGCAAACTAATCTCCATTACCCCACAAGCGAAATGGCAAGCTCAGCATTTTTGGGATAAAGACAAACCGACAAGCGAATATGTCTTTCTCGTGCCTGCTTGCGTCTTCGTGATTTGCGTGGTCTAACCGATCTCAACCTTGGGTATAAGACCAAATCGATCATCAGTTACTAACTTTCCAACGATCTTAGATGAGACCATCGATCGAGTGAACTATCTTTTGCTGCCGGTTGACTGGCTCTGCCATCGATTGGGCCGTGGTTGTGTCGCGGTCGTGTCATTGTGCCCTTGTGATTCATCGTGCCCTCGCACTGCAGAAGACCAACGAGGAGATGGAAGTTCAATCAGATGCCACTGCAGAAAGAAAGAGTATAGCGCCTCAGAAAACCTGTCAAAGCTCAAAATGAACAGGATGATCCTTGGGCATGCGTCGGAATCAAGCAGATAGCTCTTGGGTGACGCAGAGAGGATCCCTGTCGATGCAAAAAGAAGAGGTCAAACAAGGACAGAAGGAAGAAAGCGACGTGACTACTCCAGGACATCAAATCGAAGGCAATAACCCGGTTTTGTTCGCTGCAGCTCGAAACTCCTCTCTACGGACTGGGATGTTGAAATAGGCAATGACTACGCCCGTCCAGTCAAAGGCGCTGCTTCCAGGCGCCTGCTTCGATTTCCTGAGAGCAATGCGAGTTCGCCCGAAAGAACAGAATGATGAGGCGTATGGCTCTGTCAGGCGAGCAAGTTGGGCCATAGTCATGGATTTGAGCGAAGGCCAAATCAGAATGAAGGAGCCTGAATAAGCCCGTCGGGTTATGGAACGTTTCCACGGAGTTGACCGGGGTATTTTTTCACATTTTATTATGGCGAACACCCAAAGACCAATGGCTCGTGCCAATGTCCTTTCAAAGCAAGCGCAGCCTGGTTCTACGGAACAGCTGAACTTCCCCAGATGAGTGTGCAACCGGAGCCCGTCATTCATGGAAATAGGCCACCATGGTTACTGGGTTAGGATCGACTCCCGAACTCATAGATCAATGGGACGCACAGCCCAGTCGCACAGAAACACACTTCAAGAGCACAGCAGTGCGTTCGCGTGTCCGTCTAACCCGTGTTTTTAAGACTTTCTGTTTGCCAAGCCCCCGCCCCCGCGAGTTCTCTTTTTTTTTTTTTTTTTCGAAAAAAAAAAAAAAGTTTGTTGTCTCCTCGGCCACCGCGAGTCCCGCGCCCTCCTCGCCCCTCTCGGAGTTGTCGGCCCTCGGGGCCACTCCATCCCCCCCGCCTGGCTTCGTGCTGCCCTCCGCGGAGGAGGATGGGGTAAGTCTCTCTCCTATTTGGATTTCGCGGGATTTTTGGCTGACATGGTTTAGGCCTCCTCCGCGGAGGAGGACGCTCCTCCCGCGGCCCCCGCCCCCGCTGCCGCCGCCGTCGCGCCTCCCGGCCCGCTTCGTGCTGGCTCGGGGCCGTCGGTTCCGCCTCAACCATGTCTGGGCTTGCCCCGCGGTTCCCGCCCCGATTATCGCAGGACCCCCTCCCGCTCCGGTCATTTGCCGCGTTTTTGCACTTATGGTAACGTTGGTCTGTCTACGCAAACGGCCCTGTCCACCGTCGCTACGGAACAATTGAATCTACTTCTAGTCCGAGAACTGATATAAACCAATCAATCTCAACCACAAGTTTGGCACTGGCCCTTCTGAGCTGATGTTTTCACCTGCTACTTAGGTGCTAACTCCAATTTGGCTCAGAAGGACGGCCCCTACTCGAAGGAACCCGATAAATCATACTTCCCCGTGCGAAAGATCCCAGGTCGCGATTCAAAGCGACCCACCCTGGTTGTTGAAGTCGGCTACAGCAAAAGACTCAATTAAGGAAGGGTCAACAGCCGTTGGTAGCTCGATCGCGTCCAACATCAAGCGACTTCACAATTTAATAGAAAAATGAGAAGATGGGCCTCCCATACACGGCTACAATTTCTGAGTCTAAAAACAACACTCCCCACAAAAAACGGCAGCTGTTACTATTATCCTTGAAAATAATTAGTATATCGTCACAGGAACACCACTTGACCTGTCCATTGATGATATCGTGATACTTATTGTGTCTGACATTTTTCGCCCGATCCGAATCGCAGCTAACGATTTCCAACTGTTACTTCACGATTTCCTAGGCCATGAGGATGACATGTGAGACGAGAGCAACCTGTTACTTAGTACAAACTGGCAGATGTTGTAAGGAAGCTGTCAGACCGTCGGAAGCACCCTTCGACAGAAGCTCCTACTTGATGGCAATGGCTGAGATAGGACATGAAGTCTTGCATCCTGACTTCAAGGAAACGTTCAATACCCGTCTCAGCTTTTAAAAGAACTAACGTACGACCTCAATTTGACGTACGGTAGTCGAAAAGCAAAAACTGTTGTCCATTATAGACGAATGAGCAAGAGTTTGCACGAGCTGGGTATTCACATTTACACACTCGCAGAACGGAATCAAAAGCGATGCATATTTCGGGACCATTAGGGACGGCTCAGCCTAAGTTCTGGACGCATGGCTCACTCCACAGTCAAATGGAAGAATCTTATAACGTTTGTTCCATTTTCCCTGACTCTCGCCTCCATTAAGAAATGCAAAACGTGGCGTGGCAGCCTGGAAGGCAAAGGAAGAGATGAAGAGAAAGCCGGGCCGTCTCGAAGCTAGTCTGTGAAGTGCGCATAGAAGTCACCGCAATGAGTCACCTATTGCTGGAACCTGGATTGTCATAAAATAGCCAGGTACATCTCGAAAATGTCACTAGAAGGACCAGACTGGCCTAAATGTTCCATCAAAGAACCAAGTCCTACATCTGCTGATCATTTCCAATCGTTCAGCAACCAGATTGCGGACTCATCAATCAACGCTTAACAACCTGAAGCAACCTCATAGAAAGGTACAAAGATACAGCCAAACTGCACTCCCCAATAGACTTCAAGAAGGGGGGGTAGAGATTTCAATGACGAAGAGCCATCCATGACACATCACATTCCATAATGTTGAACGCGTCAGAAGGGGCCATCTGGAAGCTTTCAACATGGAGTTCAAGTATTATGGAGTCTAAGAAGAACGCAAGCTTTTCCATTACTCGCCGAATTCTGGTTTTTGTCCGTTTATCACAAGATAATTCCGGCGAAAAAGGCAATGGACAGATATTCTCAGGTACTGTCGAGAGGATCAAATCTTTTTGCAACTATGGTTTCCATGAGCTCAGATCACGGAAGCAAACCCACAGAACACAAGAGCTGCGGCTTCCTCGTCAGGAGTTAAAGAGATACGAGGAAAATGGTCCGAACTAGTCCATGTGCTCCTGGCTCTACTGGCTCGCTATGAGCAGCCCAAGGAACCGATATGTTAAGTACGAAGCGAAGAGGGAGATCGATGAGGAAGTCCAAGGAGAAGTGTCCTGATCATGGAAACGGCCTAACAACCCAAAGAATCCGGATCCGGAGTTTCCAGCTCTTCATCTCCATTTTTTAGTGCGACGAGGATAACTCATGGTGCTATCGGTGCCTTCTAACATCGGAGAATACATCCTTCTTGGAGATACAAGACCGACCAAAGGAGATTAGCATGTGCTCCTTGTTGCTTTCAGAACCATCCATACGCGACAATACGTGTTTTGAAGCAGAACGACAGAACGCAGAAGCATTATGGCTTCTATAATTGTTCTCGGCGTCGAGTGGCAGAGTCGGTTGAAGAACTCGATATGCTTCACCGCTATGTTATGCCAGTTCCTCACATTTCGAGTCATTTGTGTACCGATGCGCCATATTCTATGGTAAGACGGGTCTAAGTTGAATACTGCAGGCCTATAACTGGCAAATGCATTGGGCTATGGAGCGTTGACCATGCCTCCGGTACATGGTGTTTGACCAAGTCCGTGCCCATCCTCGAGGGCATATCGCGAGAATTACGAATCTTCAACTCGCGCGAGCTCTTTCAAAGCATTACCTTTCTCACTTTCTTCACGGTCACCCCCATTCGCTTCTTCCGGCCTCTTTCTTTTCTGTTTTTTTCGCAAAAATCAGGCAGTCGAATGTTTTGTTTAATGCAGCAGACCGAAGACGTTTATAGCCCTGGACCGTGATGAAAAGCCTAGACCCTTCCCTTCCCAATGAGCCTCTCTAAGACGTCTCTAGACTCAGGGACTGCTCCGAATTGGTCAGGTTTCTTTGTACTATACAGAACGTGAGAAGGAGGTGATATAGCGCATTTTACTTTAAATTTCACCAAAAGGTGTGGAGATGGAGCAGAAAGTAGTAGTTAGTTAGCATTAAAATATTATGACATCAGGCATGAACATAAAACGTTCCGTTCCTCGCAGTTTAAATCCATTCCATTCCATCGCCCACGGGTATCCATCCATCCAACCAGCAGTGCTTGAAGCAAATAAACAGCAACAAATAAAACCCACCCAGCCAAGTCGATCCAGAAGAACAAAGTATCTGAAACGCTGAAAGGCTTCATATCGTGAAATCGATCTAAACGTTGGAGTCAAGACCAGCCACCTCGCTGTGCTGGACGATTCCCGCCTTAGCGGCGACGTCCTTGTCGGTGAGACCCATCTCCGCGGCGAAAGTGCCGTGGGGCTTCCACTTGGACGACGTCCGCGGGGTGGTCTCCTCCATCATCTTGTCGACCTGCTCCAGAGTGAGACCCTTGGTCTCGGGGATGAGGAAGTAGGTGTACACGAAGGCGCACGCGCAGAGCGAACCCCAGATGAAGAAGACCTTGGCCTTGAGGTCGCCCTTGTCCTTGTCAACCATGTAGGGGGTGATGACTGCGATGATCTATTGCGTTTCACGTTAGTAAGGGAGAAGAGAGATGAGATTGACAGGGAGGCTTACGCAGTTCCATAGCCAGTTAGATGCGGTCGAGAGAGCAACGCCACGAGAACGGATAGGCAGGGGGTAGATCTCTCCGATAACGACCCACGCTCCCGGTCCCCAGGTAGAGGCGAAGAAGAAGATGTAGATACAGATGAAGGAGATCTCGGCGCTGACGGTATGCTTGTTGCCTCCGTCCACGGTACCGATGATGGCGACGATGAACTGGCAGATAACCATGCCAAGAGCACCCCAGAGGAGCAAGGTGCGGCGACCGAGCTTCTCCATGGTGTAGAACGAGATGGGGGTGGAGAAGACGTTGACGATGGTGGTGATCATGCTGATCAGGAAGGGATCACTGATGGTGCCAAGCTATAGGATTGTTAGGTTGTGCGATGATGATAGACAGAACCAGAGGGTCATACCGATTGGAAGAACGTAGTTCCAAAGTAGAAGACAAAGTTCACACCGGTCCACTGCTGCATCATTTGAAGCGAGGTACCCAGCACGGTACGGCGGAGGTTGCTGTTCGGCGAGAAGAGGCTGCCCTTGAAGCAGCTCATCCAGGTGGTGAAGTATCCACCTTGAGGCATGGCCTGCATCTCGTATTCGTTGTTGGCAACAATCTCAGCGAGCTCCTGCTTGATGTAATCCGAGTCATGGGGCTGGTCTCGCACGCGGGCAAGCACATGCGCGGCCTTCTCGAGTTGGTTCTTGCGAACATAGTAACGCGGAGATTCCGGGAGGATGAACAACCCGATGGCAAGGATCAAAGCCCACAGCATCTGAAGACCAATGGGAATGCGATAGGATCCGGAGTCCGTGCGGTCCTGAGTACCGTAGTCGACGCAGGAGGCCAGCATCAGACCGATGGTGATACAGAACTGGTAGCCCGAGACGATGGCACCACGGACCTTGCGGGGAGCAATCTCGGACATGTACAGAATGATGATGGCGGAGACGAAACCGACACCGAAACCGGCAATGAGACGACCGACAACCAGCAGTGCGACGGAGGTTGAGGCAGTCTGCAGGACGACACCGACGATGAAGATACCACAGCCAGTGATGATGGTTGTCCGTCGACCAAACCAATCGGCAAGATCACCAGCAATGAGAGCACCAAAGAATGTACCGGCCGAGAGGATAGATGTGATAAGTGACTTTTTCCAGGAAGGGATGACGAACGAGTCCTCAGGCGTGGAGTTGTAGTCCTATAAAACGTGACAGGTCAGCCGACAATCCACGACAAGATCGTGCGTCGAAAGTGCTTACCAGTCCCTCAAACTCCTCAATGAAGTACCTCATACCCATGACACCGTTGATATAACCCGAGTCATAACCGAAGAAGATACCACCGAATGCCGCAAAGGCACACATGAGGTAGGTCTTGAAGGTGACGGGTGCCTCGACACGCGAGACATCGAGCGCGTCCGCCATGGTGACAGCTATGTCTTGTCGGAGAAGATAGAAGTAAAAAGTTCCTCCGCCAAGAAGTCAAGAACAGATTCACGGACGAACCGCTGTCGGCTTGTGGGCAAGATAAATGAAGACGAGAAAAGTAATAGGGGTCTCGGAGATCTGGGAGGGGATGCAGCTGGTTTTATAATCTGGAGAGCTGGGACGGACAACCCAGTCTGTCGGCTCAGGGCCGGGGCCGGGGAAGTTCGCCCACGGGGATTGACCAGCTGCATCTGACCCGGCACCCAAAGAGAATTGGCCCCATATGGGTTGACATTTTCATGGCCAAACGGCCTGAGAAAATTTAGTTGTCATACTCGAGGCATCTGGGGGAAAAACGACTAGACTCGGAAGAAGTATAGAACGAAACCGACAGTGCCCCGCTAGACCCGATCAGGATTGGCCAGAAGGGGTCGCACCGGGACTGGAGCGAATGAGACGACGGTCTAGGTAGCATTGGGGAAGACGTCAAAGAAGTCACTGGGTCCGGGGATGGTGGGAAATCCCGTTACGGCCTGGGGTTCCATTGTACAACCAGCTGCTCGTCGAAAATTTCTCTCTTGCTCAGTCTCTCAGTCAGGTCTAACGCAGACGGGCCGGCCATGTGCTCTCGGACCACGCTATACCCAGAGAGGCTGGTGTGGCATCAGGTCCAGCCGGGTGATTGGACAGCAGTGGGTGGCGGCAGCAAACACCGGGCATCTGGCCAAACAGACGCTCGGGTCTAGGCCGGGCGAGCCATCGGCTTTGCTGGAAATCTGGGATTAGCCCAACCAGACTAACCCCGACTGGGACAACGGCCGAGGGACGGGAAGTGTCATTGGTCCGTGCCAGCAGGGGTCGGAAATTCCAGCCTACCACGTGCCTTTTCCCCGTGTAATCTGCATGGTCCGGTCTAACCCGATCCAGCCTGTCTCTGTGATGGCCTCCAGTCGCCTTTCCTGTCAGGCCACCCCTTTTCCCATGGACGGCTCTAGAAGGTGCGACCTGGAGAGATTCCTGGTCTCCAAGTTGGACAAATTCTGGGGCAAAACATCCATCCTTTGTTGGAGCAGGAGCGAATAGGCAATTCGTTTGCATATTCCATTTCTCAACAATCCAGGACATGGAAAGATGACAGGCCTCAAGCAGTCAGCAGAATGTAACCCTCATTTCAGATTTCAGCTTCTTCCCTCCCAGAGCCAAGTACGCCCATCCAGACGCCACTACAACAATAAGCGTTGACGGTTGCACCGAATCCTGCGCCCTCAGTCTAGGACCAACTCGGCGCTCTTCTCGACGCCCGTGTGTCTGAGACATTATTCGCTCCGTGGCCCCTGTTTGATTTTTTTTTTATCAGTTTCTACATCTATTTCTTCATGTCGGATGTTGTTATTTCCGGACGGAGGCGAGAATCGGATCTCTCCGAGGCACACCCTAATCCTATCAGTCACGATGCCGATCGATCTCAGCTTCCATTGCACGTCAAACTCAATTGAAACATGTTGTCGCACATCTCCTCAGTGCCACCACCGTCCAACCTTTCAACAATAATAGTCAAGAAGGTGGTGCGGGCTGAAATACGCCAAGTCCCTTGGCATACGCCGGCGCACATGGACCGTACGGTGGTGGTATCGATATCGACTCGACTCGTTGCTGATACTACGCTCGGGGAACTCTGACCGGGATGAGGGCATGGAATACTCTCCTGGACCCGAGCACCATTATCCATTTCTGCTCACTTATTGGGTCTGGGGGATGGCGGCGCTGGATGGGTCGGCATGTCCTTGAACTATTCCCAGTCCTCTCCAAACCTGTGGTCGGTCCAGTCCCACAATACAAGGTTTGCACCTCGCTTACCCTTACTTAGTCTACTCCGGGGTCAGAGTACGAAGGTGTCACGGAGGGCAGGATTGGGACGCGGGGATCCCCAGAATCACGCTGCGGTTCCGACCCGGTGAGACGTTTTGAGTTAGCAGAACTCGGGATTGCGGTCGGATAACGGAGTTCACAATCAATAGACGACAACAATTTGCCCCTCGCCATCACTCGTGAACGGGTTGGCCGAGGTCAGTTTGCGGGGTGGCCACAGTAACATGTCCTATTCCTTGTCCGAAGGTACTCTTGAACTAGTACCAGTACTAGTCGCTCAGCGTTCAGTCAAACCACTGGCTCGAGGTTCTGTCGGGCATCGACGCCGCCGCTCGGGATGCGATAGAGGCTCGTGCCACGTCGGAGAATAAGGCGCGTGTTCCATTCGCTCACTTGTCCGTGCCTAGTGAATCAGCATTCCAGTAATCTCCGCTCCCCGTATCGAGTTGAATGCTGCGTCTGACCTCCCTGCCCGGCTTCTCGGCTCTACGCGATTGGGCTGCATTCCTAGTCGCGGAATTACCGACCTTCCCAGCTTGATTGGTTGGGATTACGCGATCTTGACTCGGGAAGTCTGCTCGTTTGCCTATGCACATAAGCATTGTGGTGTCTTGGAATGGGCGCAAGCGTTCGACACGAACAAACTGCTGTCTTGACGTCTTGTGGCTTGATGAGCTGTCCCAAATGATGGTTTCCTAGTATCAAGTAGCTTGCAGTATAGGTTGCCAGTGATATGACACATGGCAAAGACAGCGGATGACTCCCGTAGCCATCAGTGGGAAGCCGCGTGCGCAGTCACAGGGCCTTTGAACGGGTCCGAGTTTAAAGCCGGTAGTCTGTACCTAGCGTACGCATCATTATTCATGCTGATGAGTTTCTATGAATTGTATATTGTCTGCCTTGATATGAAGAAAGCTGTTCGCACAACCCAGTTCTGCTTCCACACGCCCTTCGAGCAAAAGTCGGGTGCGGGGACTACATCTCCACTAGTTGAATGGTCCAAATGCTGAGAAACATGGCATTTCCACTATGCAACGATACACACAACGTGTGCTACGATTGCCATTTATGTCTAGCCGGAAGAATGCGAGCGAGTCATATGGCCTCAGTGGACGTGTAGGGCGCCCAAAATGCGGGGTAAAAGGTGGAGGCGGCAGGAATCAAGTGGTTGAACGTTGAACGCGTGTGGGGATGGTATCACATCGCACGGCGTCACTGTGACCAATCCAAATCCTCCAGTATCATCGAGTCGATAGTGGCTCGACTCAGACACCCCCGTTGCATTGCCAAAACAATCCTTTCGGATGGCGGAGACACGGGATACACTCGGCAGAGATTCGGACAAAAACTAATCCTACCGGAGCGAACGAGGCCTTTGGAACGATCGATATACAAATCCACCATTAATCGATCAAGGTACGTTGCTCATCCCTAAAGGCTGTCGCTGATCTGTTTCGTACTCGTATTATCTTCTCAAGTCAGTTAAGCTGATGTTCTGAACACTAGCCAAGCCGGGTTCAATCAGCCCATCTACCCTGTTTAGACTTGATGGCATGAGCTTCCTGGAGTGACAAAGTCGTCCGTCCGGGGTAACTTACGCCGAAGCTCCAGCATTTTTCAGTTCTTATGTCGATTATTATATGGACAAACTCGGTTCCAAGCATGAAGATCCCCGCAACCGTTGACTAGCAGGTATTACATTGAAGTCGTATTCGTATTGAATTCCTGCTATCCGACTAGGTCTTCCAGATTATACACGTCTGTCGTTACTTTCATTGGTGGGCGTTGTTTGATCAGTATCTCGGCGGAGAGAGGGGTGAAGGACGATCAACATGATGCACCTTCCAAGCATCACTGAATCTGTCCTATGTGACCATTTCCCCTCGAAGTTCGTCACAGCTACAGTGGGGTGAGGAGATGAGATGCGATCGACCGCATGGCTATAAAAGCCATCGTTGCCTACTCTCAGATACAAGGGTCATGACCTAGCTTCCCAGGTGAGTTTCAAAATGGGGGTCATCAAACAGACAATTGCTCTATTTACTCTACTGTCCAAAGTTGTTGCTAGCCCTGCCCAACTGGTTTCCAGCGTATCTAATATCCCCTCAACACCTTCTTACCTAAGTAAGTTCAGTTCACCTCGGAAGCGTGCTTTACTGACAACCAGTACAGCTCCCGCGATTGACACGGCAAAATGGAATGCCGCAACCGAGCAAGCAAACGCTATCATAGAGAGAATGAACTTGACTGAAAAATCCATCATGATCACCGGGAACCTAGGCGTTGGCTGCATCGGCAATGTGAGATCCATTGAGCGGATTGGTTTCACTGGAATGTGTCTACTCGATGGCCCGACTGCAGTGCACACAGGCGATCTAGCAAGTGTGTTTCCCGCTGGCATAACAACCGCAGCGTCATGGGACAAGGACTTCTTCTATCAGCGGGGATTTGCACTAGGGACGGAATTTCGAGGCAAGGGTGCTAATGTCTTCTTGGGGTATGTTATAGTCTCCAGCAGATTAGTACTAACGGTCTGACTGATATTTCTTGATAGGCCCGTTGCTGGTCCCCTGGGACGGACTCCTCTGGGCGGACGAAATTGGGAAGGCTTCTCGCCGGACCCGTACCTCACTGGCATCGCCATGGATCTCACCATCCGCGGAAATCAAGATGCAGGCGTGCAGGTATCTGCGAAACACTATGTCGGCAATGAGCAGGAAACCCAGCGTTCCAATTCTGTGCATGATGGGACCCCAGTAGAGGGGATATCATCCAACATTGACGACAGGGCCATGCATGAACTGTATGTCTGGCCATTTGCTCATGCTGTTCGAGCTGGGGCAGCATCGGTCATGTGCAGCTACAACCGGTTGAACTTCACATATGCATGCGAGAACTCGCGAGCCCTGAATGAGATCTTGAAACAGGAGCTGGGTTTTGAGGGCTACGTTGTCTCGGACTGGTTTGCTACTCATTCTGGGGCCAAAGCGATTACGGCCGGATTGGACATGAACATGCCCGGCCCGATTGACCAGACGGACTTCAGTCGATCCTACTTTGGGGACAATGTTACTGCTGCTGTAAAAGATGGCAGTGTCTCGGAATCACGCCTGAACGATATGGTCCGTCGGATCTTGACACCGTACTTCTACCTCGGTCAGGATAAGGACTACCCATCTGTCGATCCATCCACTTCGGCAGTGATGGCCAAGACATATAACGCATATTGGCCAATAAATCCACAGGGAAGAGATGTTCGAGGCGATCATGCGAGATTTATCCGTCAAAAGGCCGCCGAGGCTACCGTTCTCCTGAAGAATACCAACTCTATCCTACCGCTCAAAGCGCCCGTACCATCGGTGATCGGGGTCTTTGGAAATGATGCAGCAGACCTCACGCAAGGGCTCGTGTACGACGGGCCCCAAAGCGAAAATCCAGACTTCGGGTATGACATCGGCACGTTGGTGATTGGCGGCGGTTCAGGAGGCGGTCGAAACAGTTACATAGTCAGTCCTTTGGAAGCGATCAAAGCTCGCGCCAGAGAAAATAACTTTCGGGTGCAATATATCCTCGATAATGCCGTCCTCGCGAGAAATGACTTCTCGGGCATATACCCAACGCCAGACGTCTGTCTCGTGTTCTTGAAGACGTGGGCTAGAGAGGGGGTTGATCGTCTCTCATTCGAAGCCGATTATAATTCCACCGAAGTGGTGAACAACGTCGCAGGTCAATGCAACCAGACCGTTGTTATCACGCATTCCGGCGGGATCAACACCATGCCTTGGGCTAATAATCCCAACGTCACTGCGATCCTGGCGGCGCATTACCCAGGCCAAGAGACAGGTAATAGCATCGCTGATGTCATATTCGGGGACGTGAATCCATCAGGAAGACTCCCGTACACTATCGCCAAGAAGGGGGAAGATTATAATACTGGACTCCTCAACCTGACTGGCCCTTCGCGGACGGATTCCTCTGCTTGGAAAGTCGACTTCGAAGAGGGACTGTTCATCGACTATCGGTACTTCGAGGAGAAGGATATCGAGCCGCGTTATGAATTCGGATACGGTCTGAGCTACACTACCTTTGCCTTGTCAAAGAAAGCCTCGTTATCCACAAAGAAGCTCAATATTCCCCAACTTCCACCAAAGTCGACTCACAGTGCACCTGGTGGAAACCCCGCGTTATGGAAAGAGGTGATCGGCGCAACTACATCGGTCAAGAACACGGGCTCTATCTCCGGAGCGACGGTCGTCCAACTGTATCTTGCCTTCCCACAAGAATCAGTTCCTACCGGAACACCTAAGCGGGTCTTGCGAGGGTTCGAGAAAGTGTCCTTGCGTGCGGGAGAGAGCAAGGTGGTTCGCTTCCCGCTCACTCGCCGCGATCTTAGTTATTGGGATGTGGTTGCTCAGGAATGGAGGGTACCCAGAGGCGAGTTTACCGTTCATATTGGATTTAGCTCGAGGGATTTGCCGCAGGAGGTTGGGTTTCAGGTTGCTGGATGAGGTTGATTTCCAGGATCATGACACCGGGTTAGGTTAGCCTTTTGTCATCTGAACGTACTAAAGAACCCTGGTTACATGTCCATTTAGTGGAGGGGGGAAGTTCACTTTGGGATTGACAATTGAAGCCTTATACCGACGTAAATAAACGCGGACTAGAACCTGGCCCTACTTCGAGAATATATCATTTCCCCCTGAGAATCCTTGCGCTTCCATCAAACGCCACAGACCCCATCAAATAGTCCCTTCAGTATAATAGGCACAAAAGCAATAATACATGCTAACGTCAGACAACATAAGATACCTCATCCCAGGACATGCCATGTGGTCATGATCGGCCTGAGGCTGCCGCGCTGCATCAGCCACTAAACCCGGTTAGGCCACATGTGCCGCTCAAAGCCAAAAATAAAGACCCAGTCAGTTCGATGCATCTGAGTGATCGGCAACATGGCCAAGCCTTGCCACCTCGCGAGGCCATTTACTTGTCAGAATTGAGATTGAAAAGGATTGTGCAGCTCGTATTGGATGCGGAGATGATGCAAAGTCGAAACTCTGGAGAGGGCAGCGCTGGGGATCCCGTGCGCCGCGTGTTTCCGGATCGGGCGTTAGCGTGGTTAATCCCTGTTGGGTTTTGCCGTTTGGGTGGAAATGATAGCATTGGATCTACGCTGGGCATCATCAACAGTCTGACGAGGCTGAGTCGATTGGAATGAATGCACCCAGACAGATATAAAGACCCCTATGGTTAAATGATGAAGGTAAGCGATGTCCTAATATCTTCAGACTACATTCGTTAAGTCAACATGTTATACATTAGCACCGCTCTATTACTGTTGTCCTACAGCCTCGTGGGGGCTTTACCTCACAATGAAAGATCCAACCATGAACAGACTTCCTTGAACTGGGCACCTTGTGATCTCGATTTTCCCAAAGCAACAGAAGAGTTGATTACAACGCCGATCGACTGCGCGAAACTCGAGGTGCCGTTGGACTATACGAATCCTGACTCTGGGAAGACAATTGAACTGCAACTGGTGAGGGTCAACGCGACAAAACAACCGACTAAGGGTAGTATTATTTTTAATCCGGGTGGGCCTGGGAGCTCGGGCGTGGAGGAAGTGGCAACCAAGGGCCCTTTGTACAGAGAGTAAGCTTGGTGTCGATTCTTCGCCAACAGAGCTAACGGGACCCAGGGTCTTTGGTGGACATTACAACGTGATTGGTTTCGATCCTCGGTGAGTCTGGATGTCTACACTATCGGCACAGTCGCTGACCAAAGACAGTGGTACCGGAAAGACACTCCCATTTGCCTGTGACTTCGACACTGCAAAGGCAAACAACACGAAGCAGCCTCGTGGGTTCATTAATACAACCCTACCACAAGCCGACCTCTGGGGTCTGCTGAACTTCAAAGCATGGGGTGACGGCGGCTGGTTCGCCGACGCCTGCTACGAGAGCCAAAAAGAAACAGGCCGATACCTGAGCACAACCTTCACAGCACGCGACTTGCTCCGTATCGTCGACGCTCTCAACGAAGACGGTAAACTGCGCTTCTGGGGCCGTTCTTACAGCACCACCCTGGGACAGACGTTCGCAGCCATGTTCCCCGATCGGATCGGCCGTATGCTTCTTGACAGCGTGCAGGACGCTCGAGACTACCACAGCGGCCAATGGCTAGACGCTACCCGGGGAACACACATCCCCTTGCTTAACTTCTTCACGGAGTGCATCCGAGGCGGACCGTCCCTTTGCCCGTTCGCCAACTTCTCCGGCCCGAAAACAACACCAGAGGACCTGATGACCGAAATCAGCAACGTCTTCCAAGAACTCGTCGATAACCCCGTCTACCTCCACGAGGACTACCACTCCCCGTTCCTACAACCCTGGTGGAGACCAGGCCCGCGTCCGTTACTCCCCGAACTCAAATACTACTTCTTCAACTACCTCTACCAACCCGCCTCCTTCCCGCTCCTCGTCTACACCGCATCCGCCGCGCTCGCTCGCAACTGGACGAGTTGGACATCCCCGACGCCCGAGATCCCCACTCCGCCGAAATACAACGAGGGAGCGCAGGCATTCCACGGCATCGCGTGCTCAGAGATAACTATCCGCGCGAAATCTCCCAACGACCTATACTCGCTTGTCCAGGCGGAGTTGGAAGCTGGCGACTTCTCCGACGCGTTCATGCCTCAGCTCTGGCCGTGCTATCAATGGAAGATAGACGCAGTCGAGCGGTTCCAGGGAGACTTCAGGAACATCAATACAAGTTATCCAGTTATGTTTGTTAATGGGGCATATGATCCCATCACGCCGCTGAGCGGGGCTTGGAGAGCGGCGTCTGCGTTTAAGGATAGTCGGTTGTTGGTTCATAAGGGACATGGAGTAAGTACACTTCCTCATTTCTTAATTCCATTCCAAATAATAATGAAGACGCTAATGGAATCTCTCCAGCATGGTGTTATGAACCACCCTTCGGAGTGCACGATCAAAGCTATTGGGGATTACTTTGCCAACGGGACGCTGCCTGAGCAAGGGACCGTCTGTGATCCTATTCAACCAGCTTATAAGCTTTGGGAGGATGCGCAGAAGACGCTGGAGGAGCAGTTAGCGAATGCAAATATTACTATCTAACCAGAGGAATAAAGTTTTGGTCCGGTGGTCAGGGGTTAAATTGTTGATATAGATTGTTTTCGATATTTCGTTTCATTCATGTTATAATGTATAGCTGTTCTTAGAATTAGTGTAGGACTGTTAATAAGCAAGCACGTATTTGAGTGAATTCTTGTATTATCAGTAGGACATTTGAGATATGCACGAACCCCTGGTGACGTGCGTGCTGAGAGTGCTACCAATGCCAAGACAACAGCCCTAAGTCCAAAGATCGTATCATACTCAAAACTCAATGTCCTGATTACAACGGCGTTTCTTCTAATATCTCAACGTACGAAAGATTGATGTTTACAGTTGAATATAGGTACGAGTAAGCTTACAAGAAGAAGTCATTTAGGAAATTGGGAACGTTATCTATTTCTGGTAACTGGGAAGATACTAACTTGTCGGTTCCCAAACCCATGTTTGCATAAATCGACAAACAAACAACAGGACATCTCAAGTCAACTTGCGTACTGGGTTAGAACCACTCGAGGACTCAAGTCCAGCATAAAGCACAAGTATGGCAAGAGATCTGTCCACAAGAAAACAACATACCGTGGGTAGCGGAATCACCAAGTGAAACCAGGTGGAAAGTGAAAGGCCACAATCCTGCAAATCATACCACAGTCGCTCAGATATAGACAGAAGAACCAATCTCCAACCAACCTTCCTGTCAAAATCTGCAGCGAAGCAGAATGTCATGACCCCCCTTCCTTCCTTCCCCCACCTCACCTCCACTGATCCCGTCCCGTATACCGCAACATCAACTGCCTAGTCTTCCGAGTCAACTCATTATGAATAAATCTCTGCTGCTCACGATTATCAAGAGGCAAGCCACGAATGCAACCCGTCTGGATCAACTGCCCATCATACTGGCCCTGCGGCAGATTCGGATCGTTGGGATAGTACAGGGAATAGCTTCCATACACGGCCGCGGTGTGGATTCGATCGTAGAGCTCGCCCCGCGAGAGAGTTCCCTGGCCATTCCAGCCCCGGGAGTCGATGGCGAAGTAGGCGTAGGCGGGGCGCTTGGGGCCCCCGGCGCTGCTGGAGCGTCTGCTACCGCTGCCGCTGGGACCGTATCGGTACATGGTGAGGGTCGGTTGTGTTTTGTTTGGGAAGTGGGAGGATTGGAGAGGTGAAGAATTCTCTGGAGGAGGTTTAGAGGCTATGAGGATGGTGGTGGATGGGGAGAGAGAAGAGATGATTGGTAGGGGGTTTAAGGGTATACTTAAGTGGGATATGCTGGTCTAGGCTTTGTAGAATAGCTGGATATTTCATGACTCTGGATGAGGATCTGTAAGTTGTGCGTCTGAGTAGAAGTATGGTTCCATGGTATTCATGGCGAGTATCGCCGGATCAGGGCACGGAATTTAGGACCTTGATGAGAGTTGCCGGTAAGTGAGCAGTTTGGCCAGTGTGTGTGCGCACAATTACCCAACGTCATGTTCTTCACGGACATTTCAACTACGGCGCTGAGGGCACTTGGCGGAAGTCTTCGAGAATGTCCATGGCCCATCGGAGTTAGAGCGGAGGGGGAAGTCTCGTCGGTTTTGGGCGAGGGAATTGGCAACTCCCAGGACTAAGCAATACGTTGATGAATATCATTCCCATGTAGACCCTTTTTTCGTGTGACCGCAGGATATGTAGGCGCTCGTTTGCTTGTGTAAGATATTGCAGAGATCAACAGGGTACCTCACTTTATTCTCTTAACGTCATCCCCATTGGCAGATTCGGGAGATTGAGTACTGTTCAATGAGCCAGGATCCCATGCATATGTCCTATGATCAAGTTTGATATTTGGGGTGGAAGTTACAAGATGCCAAGGATATAAAATCTAGCTACATAGTTCATCAATACACGTAGAAAAGTAATATTAATCTAATATGCTAAGCTACGATAATAGCTGTCTAGTCGCACATACATGGAGAGCAAGGAGGTGCACACTGAATAAAGTAAGGACATGATTGATACAGAGACTTGGCTGCTGATTTAGATTTACAAATTAATATTTCGATCTAATGCAGAAGAAGAGGCAATCAATAGGCGTAACTTTTAATGTATTGAAAATACATCGTAGGAAATACAGACGGGGTATCCAAACGATTCAAGCGATCCAACTCCTCCACAAATCTCGAAACAACATTTGATAAATAAGATCTGCAAGTAACAAAGGCCTTTCATCTCGACATACGAAACCAGTCACCACTGAGAATGCCCACGCGATCCCCCAGACCCCCCCGATCGATGAGATCCTCTTTGCCACCCCGGCGGCCCCGGATGCGCATGCGGCGAACCCTGATACGACCCCCTGGGCGACTCATAAGGCCCTGACGACGGCGAATACCCCTGCCGATATCTATCCTGGCGACGTCTCTGGTCCCTGCCCTCCTCCGCTCGATTTCGTCGCGATGTCTGAAGGGCATCTTCACCCAGGACATAGTACCGCAGTTTCTCCATCACGGTGTCGATCGCGACCCGGGTACGTGCTCCGGCTGGGGTTCTGCCGCTGATTTTGACGGAGACGATCTCGTTCCTGGTGTGGCCGGGGGAGTCTGGTGGCCAGTAGAGGCGATAGCGTCCGGCTTGGACGAGGCCCATGCATGCGTGCCAGTAGTCTCGGGCATTGCGGTAGTCGGATTCGCGGATGGAGAATTCGAAGAGGGCTTCGATTGCGTGGGAGGAGGAGGTTCCTCGGCTTGATTCGAATTGGCCGTTCTCGTAGGGATGGAAAACGGGCGGATATCTTCTCATTGTGGGGAGATGTTGTACGAAGGGGAGTTTGGAAGATTCTTGATGCTGTATAGGGAAATTGAAACTTTGGTGGGAGGGATATCTAGTTGGAATGGTCTGAGGACCGTTTGATACTGTTTCTTTTGGGATCTGGAAGTTTTTCTTTTCTTTTCTGACGAACAAATGTAAGGATGATGACGGGGTGAGGACATCTTCAAGACTAATTGTACGGCAATTTTGTAGGCCTCTTTATGTGAGGGCAAAGATTCTGAGACGCTATCTCTGGCAAATCTCATCAATGCTGCGTGGAGAGGTTCCGTGATGAACGGCGAGGGTGGAAACTGTGAACTCCTGCAAGTTGACCCTCGCGGTACCTTCCAGCCATTAGGCTGATCATTGCAACTGCCTTACCGGAGACGGATTTCTAGAACTCTTGTGCTGGGACTCCTCCATTACAGGCCGCAATATTCTGTCTCTGAATGGCCTCGACTCTCCTTCTGGTACCTGTTCTACAGATATTGCCCGTTGACGGAGAGGGGGTGGGTTGGGCATTACAGCTAGGAAAGTAACCCGAAGACAATGAATTGTTCAGGTTCAATGCGTCATATGACATTGGTCTTGAACTTAATGGAGACAATATAACCAGGTTCCTTTTCTACCATAAGCTGGACTAAACGGTGGGATATGACCTGCCGGTAAAGCGAGGATGCGAAACCACGAACTTTAGTTTCGGCAAGCCGAAACTCGGGCCACGAGCCGAGCCGATAGCAGTAGCAGACTGCCGGCCGGGGCTGAGTCCCGTCCTAGAAATCGCAAAAAGATCAAAACATCAATGATCACACCACAAATCATCATTCATTAAGCAAACTATCATGCCTACCTCTGGAATTTATCCCATAACTCAATCCACTCAGTTAAACCCTCTCCAAGCTCAAAACCTTGCTACTATAATCTCCCTCAAACGCAACCAACAACCCCATATTCATCAAGGTCTTACCACTAAACTCACCCTCCCCTTCAACCTTATACGTAGCCTGCTCATCCAACCCCTGCAGTCTAATCCTCGGGAATGCATGGTTAACGGTTGGATTAATCTGGAACGCAAACATGACCGCCTTATCGCCCTCCTCGCTCACAAACAGCACCGCCGGCCAATTCGACTCTTCCGGCAACTTCAACCGAAACATGTCGCCCTTCAGGATGATCGGCGCGATCTCCTCCGCTTGCTTGATTAGTCCAGGGACAGCGGCACTCTCGTCCTCCGTCAATTCTTCAGGGTTCAGTTCCAACCCAAACGATCCGCCCATCATGGCCACATGAGCACGGAACACGACGGGGATCGACCGTCCTGTCTGGTGGTTCGGGACGGCGGAGATATGTGCGCCCATGGCGCTAGGCGGATACGCGAGTGACGTGCCCAGCTGGATGGAGATCCGCTCCACAGCGTCCGTGTCATCCGACGTCCAGATCTGGGGGAAGTATTGCAAGACACCAGGGTCGAAGCGGCCGCCGCCCGAGGCGCAACCCTCCCAAAGCACGTTGGGGAAGCGGGTGGTCAGGACGTCGAAGACGTGGTAGATGCCGAGCATATAGGCGTGGTTGGCGGAGGGAGAGGCAGACTCGTGCATGCCGCGGTTATGGTCCCATTTGACGTAGGTTATGTCAGCGCTGTTGAGGATGTCGGAGACCGTGTCGATGACGAAGTTCTGGACTTCGGGGAGGGCCAGGTTTAGGAGTAACTGCTGGCGACGCTCGGTGCGGGGGTAAGGCCCAGCGTGCATGACCCAGTCTGGGTGCTTTTTGTAGAGGGTTGAGTTGGGGTTCACCATCTCGGGTTCGATCCAGATGCCGAACCGCAGGTTGGTAGACGTATTCCCAGCTTTGAGCTCGGTGACGTTCGAGACGAGGGGATCGAGCCCCTTGGGAAACCGGTCTGGATTGGGGGTCCAGTCGCCCAAACCTGCGTTGTCGGAGACTCGAGGATATTCTTTGCCAAACCAACCGTCATCCATGACGAACAGTTTGGTGCCAAGGGCGGCGGACTTCTCGGCCAGCGTGTACATGCTGGTCTGGTTGTAGTCGAAGTAGACTCCTTCCCAGCTGTTGAGCAGCACGGGGCGGTTCGAAGTTGCGAATTGGCTTTTGATGAGATGGTTCCGGTAAAGTCGGTGCAAGGAACGAGACATGCCGCCGATACCATTGTTGGAGTACACGGATACGCACTCGGGGGAGGTTAGAGACTCTCCGGGTCCGAGGGACCATGATAGCTGGTTGCGGTTGAAGCCGAGAAGAGCACGAGTGAGCCCCTGCGAGCCTTTCTCGACATCCACGGCGAAGGAACCCGTGTAGACAAGGGAGAAACCCCATGCTTCGCCTTGGGATTCAGTAGTTGACGGGTGGACCAGTGCAAGGAACGGGTTGTGCAGGTGAGACGAAAATCCCGTTGTACTTCCGAATCTGGCGCTGCTATTAATATCATTCTGATCCATCATTGAGGATCGGTAACTTACCCCTGACTGCCATACTCAACCCTCCGTCTCTCGCGACGAGCCTCTCTGGCCCAATCGCCTCGAAGACCGATCATATCCAGGTCCTCGAGGGGCAGATCAACACTCAGACTAGCCAGTGCCTCGATCGTAATATCGCCCTTTCCCTTGTTCGTGACATTCGCACTACGCACAATGGCATCGTACTTGGGAAAGATCGAGTACGACAAGTCGGCCGCGACAGAGCTATAGTTATCGTACAAGTGAACCACCAGCGTAGTAACATCGTCCTCACCGCCAAATGTAGCGGGTAGTCCTGGTAATTCCGGTTTTCCCTGGATCACCGAATGGGACTGGTACTGCAGCTCGCTCACAGCATAGCCAGCCGACTGTCGGATATGGATAGCAGGGGCACGGAAGTCTCCTCGCCCTTGGTCTGGGAACTCACGTCGGACACGGCCGATCATGCCGACCCAGCCATTGACCTCTGGTTCTGGGTCCGTGGGAATTGCACCGGAGATGCTGCCGCCGAAATGGTCGGACAACAGATCCCCCGTGGTATTATCGACATGGAAGCGATAGGAGACATTGTCGCCATTCAAAGTGAACGTCTTGTCCTCGACAACGATGGCTGCTATTATTAGCCCCAATTCCAAGCAAGGTCTGCATCGGAACTTTATACTCACCATCCGACGCCGAAACAGAACCACTCTTGGCCATAACGCCCTGCCAACGACCGAAGACAGTCAGAAAGGACACCGCAGCCCTCGAAAAACGCATCATCCTGCCTGAATTCCTTGACGAGGGACACAATTCCTCCCCCGCGGGGACAGTGGACCGACCATACCTTTTTATAATAATTCACGCAAGACCGGTGAAAAGACAGTGGAGCGAGGAAATGGGGATGGGCATATATATTACCCCGAGCGAAGCAGCCAAGATGCGCGGTAACCCGGACTATGGACGTTTGCATGCCAGAAATGTGGACCGGTGAACATTCCCCGCATCATTCAGCGCTGTCCAAGGCGGAGGAATGTCGGGGAATCTCCACGAACCATTCGGGCTTTTGTGGTAACCCCGCGATACCAGTGGGTGCGGGTGAGGTTATTGGTCGGGCGGTTGGTTAGCTTGCTTTTAGGCTATTTAGTGGGCTACGAGGGTTGGATTGGTGCATCATACGATATGCGAAATGTGTAGATCGCTCCTGAAGCCTTTTGATTCAAACTTTCTACCCAGAGACCATGGTATAGGAAACAAAATATAGGTTCCTCTCATCTGGCCGTTATATATATAAAAAGTAACTGAACGAAGAAAGAACTAAAGACCTGTCCTTTACTCAGGACGATTATTTCTTTGCAGTACTCTTTCCACACTCCAGTATAATCTTCCTCCGTCGAACTCTGCACCCTGTTTTGCCCTTCACCAAGTCATCGTGGAAAATCAGCGTCTGGAATATAGAAGGCATCTGGCAGCATGACACTGCAAAGGCTGTATCGGACGACGTCATCTTAATGGAGCGAATGGCGGCTTCATCCCACCACTCATTTTCCACGAACCGTTTCTGCAACTCTTGTTTGATGGCAGGAAGTCCCTTGACACTGGAAGAGGAAACGGGGGGATCAAGACAGCGTCAAAGGTCAGCACATTGTCCAGATATTCGGGAGTGCCCTTGTCAAGGTAGCGGAGAAGGGCCGTGAGAATCTCGCGGATGGGCTCGAACTCGGGGTTATCTGGGGACATGGTGGGGTGTTTGGAGATCTTGATTATAGAAAAGATAATGGCTTGTTAGTTCTTTCATCGAGTTGCGTTGATTGTTAGATGAAAGGGGGCTTGCAGAGATAGGTGCATTTATATAGTGAGACAGGAATGGGCTACTTGGAACTTTCTCTCATTCAGTTACTTAGGATTAGCTGTATGAACTGATATATTCAAGGGAAATAGCCTTTAAATTCTTTGGAGAGGTTGGTTCAACAACGGTCCTATTTTTCTAATGAAACTGTATACAAAGCTTGAGCAAACTCAAATTGTGCTCAATTGTCTCTTTACATAAACTAGTGGAATTGATGCACGACTTGAAGAGCTGTAAGCAGCAGGAGTAGGATTACACCAGCAAAGTCGTGAGATAATCCGGAGCTTATACATATCTAGCCCTAACTACCATGCCTTGCTAAATTCATTGGTCGACTGTCAATATAGTTACGCGAGTCAATCGCGATGGCAAATGGGTTTCTCCTCTAACTATGTTTGTTTTCCTGTCTGTTGAGATTTTTCTAGGGAACATCCCTGATATGTATTTCATTGTTGCAAATATATAAAGGCTCGGGTTGCACAATCAGAATCAAAGTTTCGTACACTCTGAGAGGACTACTGATTTAAGACATTTGCGATATTCATTTCCACTGACGGTCCACCTCCTGGTACAAACAGTTGAGGTTCAAGTTGCTCGTGGCAAATCTTCTAGCGACATCCAGTCTACACTAGTGACACATCCATAACGATCCTCAACCAGCGTCAAATCCCCAACCCCAAGCGAGCTCTTCTCAAAGTTCTCATTTCTTTCATCATCTGCCAAGGTGCCACTAAACCAAACCAAAGGCGTCTAGTTCCAAATCCGAACGGAACCACGGCTCCACCGACGCAACCGAACCAATTTCTCTTCTCTACCCGAGCTTTCGATCGCGTCGCATCGCAAATCGCCCTTCTTCGGCAAATCACGCTCACCTTCCCTGCTCGATATATCAACGATCGAACCGCCCCATCTGCGGGGGTAAGTGTCAATTTCCCCCTCCCGGCTCACTACTACTCACTAGCTAGCTGATCCGCCTAACCGATCGACTAGAGTGAAGTACCGAGATGTCCGACCTTTTGAAATCCCGATGGGCGCCGGGGCCAACAACCGAAGGTTCCGGAAAACCCACATCCTCGTCTCGAGCACCGACCTCCTCCTCTTACTCCTCCTCGTCCTCCTTCAAATCTTCTGCGCCGATTCCTCGGGCTCGGAATACCCGCAATACCTTCACCAGCGCTAGTACTGGTAGCAGTACCCGCATCATCGGCACCGGCACGAGCGGCAGCGGCAGCGGCAACGCACGGGGCCACGCGAACCCAGCGCAGGAGCTCTCACGGTTCACGAAGCTCGTCGCGCGGTTGAAATGGAAACTCCGCTCTCTGGAGGAGGGGTATCGGCTCGCCACGCAGTCCGGGATGGCAGACGCAGACACAGACACCGACCTCTACGCGGAGACGATGTTCAAGATCGATTTCCACGAATACTACGCGCTGCTGGAGCGGGCCATCGTGCATCTCCTCGGCGTCTTCGGGGTCCAGGTCACATCGACCCCGTCGCGGAAATGGCGCGGCAATAAAGTAGGCCAGGGCGTGCAGTGGAATACCACGTCGATGGGTCCCGGCGGAGCAGGAGCTCGACCCGGTGGGGGAGGACACTCTTACCACGCCAATGTGCTGGAGACGCTTGAGGACCCGTCGTGTCCGCTGCATGAGGTCCTGGGCCGAGACGATGTGCGTGAGCAACTGCGGAAAGCCAAGGAATTGCGGAATCGATGGAAGACGGCGGATATGTCGGAGGAGGAACTGGAAGGGGAGAGGTGGCGGGGACAGATGCCGCCACTGGAGAGTTATGATTTCAATCAAATCCTGACGGAGATCTTTGGTGGGTTGGAAGAAGGGTATCTCCTTGCTCAGGCGCATGTCGCGTCCGTGGATGGTGAAAAAGCAAATGAGATGGAGATGGACGGGGGTTGGGATTTCATTGTCGATGCGATGGATTGGGAGGCCATTTGATGGCTTTCTTCTTCTCCATTTTTTTCCTTGTCGAGATTTTTTATATCCAGTCATATAGGGGTTTGCTTTTTTGTGATTATTGTTGCTCATTGTTACCCCTACCCCATGGCGTCTGCGATATCCTGTACTTAGAATGTATCATCACACCATGCTTAAATAGCGCGCGTTGTTTCACCGATACCCAATATACTTCATGCTTTTTGTTTAAAATACTTCATTAAATGTAAATCTTGTCATCATAATTGAAATACAGATAGAATGTAGACACGGCGGATTTATATTCTGCTCTATAATTTCCGCAACCCCCGACCGTTGTTATCGGGCATACCTCGCCGCTCCCTCGACGTCCATCAATTCCACCATACTAGTCGTATCATCTTGTTGCGACCGGGGCCCATAGTTGACCGAGTAGCTAACCGACTTGGCGATCTTGCTGTTTCCCTGCGACGGCTCCTTATTGTACCAGTTGGAAGGGCCAGTGCCGTAGGTTCGTCGCGTAGAATTGCCCAAGATTCCGGGGAAGAAGTGACTGATGAAGGCGCGAGAGGCGGGAAGACAGGCGCACATGACGGAGATTTGGCATTCGATGACAGACCAGTGGATCAGGGGATACAGTCCGTAAGTCTGGTTCTCGCCCCATCGATTATTCCAGAACACGACGACACGAATAATTGCGATGATGGTCAATCTGCAGGGAAGGTCAGCTGGTGCTTAGCAGCCATCGTGAGTTATATCCGATCACTTACACTGAACCCATCACAAACATCAACCCCACAGTGAGCTTCTTCCGGAGCGGTAGTTGGAGCTTGCTGACTTCATAAACGGGCATGACGATCAAAGCGGTGTCGACGACGATGTTGACGAGACAGTTGACCAGGATCGAGTCGATAAAGTTGATGCATTGGCCTTCTTCTTCGTTCATCCACCCCGTCCAATCCAGGTGCGGTGGGATACATCGTAGTGAGTCCACAAGAGCCCATGTTATACCGATGGAAGCGTTGAGACCGATAAGGATGTACGCGGAATAGCGGAACGATCGGGACTGAAAGATTCGCAGAAGGAACAGGCAGACGGAGATTTTGGCGAGCGAGATTTGGATCTTATACATCACGGCAAGCGCTTCGAAATACTGGGAGAAGTTAATATGGTACACATTATAGACCAGGAGATGCCCAACCAACCTTGTAAAATTTGGTGATCGTGTCAAAAGGAATGTCCCAGATATCCCTGCCGAATCCAAAACGGATCACTGATACGTGAGTTTGCATTCGCCTGATAGAAGTATGATTGAACTTACTGTAAATATTGAGGACGTAAATAGCCACGCCCAACACCTGTGAGCGTGCAGGTTTAGTAATTGCGCAATTCAAATGCCAGGAGGTACACTCACGAATGAAACTATGATGGTATAATCATCCCATCCCCAACCACCAGCAAGACCAAGGCTTTTCGCTCCGATCCTGATGATGAAGAAGATCGCACCCAGAATGAATGGCGCGAGAGTCGAGCCCTCGATCTCAGCAGGACCTTTACGTTGCTCGATACCGCATACTTGCGCAGACAGTCGCTTCGTAACTAGAAGGGATTAGCGTCGCCAACATTACTCGAAGAGAAACAAGACCTACTGAATTCTTCTTTAGTGGTGCAGTTGAGGGTGACAGAGGCCAGGAGATCGTCCCGGTACGAGCTCTTGGCGCAGAAGCATGTCGAATTTGTTAGATCGCAGTTGGGTATCCCCCAACTGTGAAAGAGCTGGTTCCCAGCGTCAAGCTGGCGCAAGGTCGGTCAGTCACTGCGCAGGAAATGGCAAAAGCACGAACCAGTACATACAGCACACGAGGGAAACTTGTTAAAATCGGGATCCGCCGCATGTAACCCCAGGACAAGAGACAGGATGCACAGTAGGTAATGGAGAGGCTTCATTTTGGCAGTGAAAACGGAACCCAACACCACCGATGATGCACCCCAGGATGGAACTGTCAGAAGAACCACGAGGGAACGGGACCGAGGGGTTCTAGAGGGTTTTTCTCCCTCTCGCTCGCCATTATGTACCCATTTTTAGGAGACCCAGAAGTTGTCCGGCTGGGCTATCCACCATGGAGATTTATCCCAAACGAGCAGTCTGAAACTACACTAGACAGGATAAGCTTATCTATCACGATGGTGCCTCTGGATGGTCTCTGCGAGGCGAGGATCTCAACCAGGGAATTGGTCCGGTGACTTCTCAATGAAGATCCATGGACTGGGCGGAACGAGGCGACAGCGAATAGCCAGCCGTTAACCGTTGTCCGAGGCTCGTGGTCGGTTAAACCTCTGCTGAGAAGAATCTAGATAAATTCCACGCCAGCCCATCATAGAGTTTGGGTCAAGTGAAACCGAAGCAATCAGCACGCAGTCTTGCTGTCTTGGCGCCCACTCGCGACTCGAGCAGATCCGCAATCGAAGCGCTCGTCTGTGTTCTGGCGATCTTCTAAATTGCCCAATAAGATGTGATTGGAATGGGTGACGGAATCCCAGTCCCAGGTGGACATTTGTGCCGTGGGTACTGCATTTTGCACTTTTTTTTCTGCACCCTTTTCATCTCCAGTTAGTGTGGGCGTGGGATTTGTTGTCGCTGGGTCCCTGAAATGCCGCCTGGAACCAATTTCCATGACTCAGGGGATAGGGCTTAACCTATTTTTTGGTGACCGGGAGAGGTTCGATTACGGGAAAAGATCCTCTCGGACACGGACTGATCACGGAGTGGCGGGCACGTGGCTTGCACCTATTGAGCCTCCCGCTGATATAGAATGCTCTGGCCTCGGCCAAAGTCAGTCTTCCGTACCAAATCCACGGTGGCGGGCGCTTTTCTTGCTCCGGGGCGGCGAACTCCCGAGCCATTCATTTCCCACAAGATGTTATGCAGCGGCAGCCACTGCACGGTGTTGGGCCGAAACAGATCTTGCGTAGCAGTAGTAACCACATATGGTCTATTCGCAACTTCAGCCTCATGGTCAACCACTGACCGGTCTAGAAAGGATTTGGCAGGAGCATTTAGCAACGGCCAAATTGAGTTTGACCTACCGTGCCAAGTAAATTAATCCTTCGAGCGATGTCGGCAGTGTGGAAGTACCGATTCTTGACTTGGAGCCTGACTAATTAAAATCACTGACGTAATCGCCCCTTGGGCATGTATATTTGTTATTGTTATGGTCTCAAAATGCCGACGCGTCGTTCACCGTGTTCGAGATTCACTTACCCACAGGTTAATATAGTCGTGCATCCTGTACAGCCGCGAAGATCACCGAGGAGCACGTACGGTGCGTGTAGTAATGGGTCTTTGGGGTCGCCCGGCGTGAACTGAACAATAAATGCAATATAAGATCGTGCAGCCGCAACTTCCCCTGATTGACGGCAATTTCCGACTTAATGAGGCAATCTATCTTAAAATAGCATATTGGCGTACTCTGTTGTTCCGACACGCGAGACGACTGTCATCAAAAAGAGAACGCCAGAGTACGGCCGGTTCGAAGACAGTTATCAATTGCTCTCCGAGGTACGAGCCAAAGGCTTTCAAAATGACCTGGCTCGTACTTTATGGAAAAGTTATCCGTCGTTGCTCGAAGCCAATCTCACTCGTTGGTACCGCGGCCCACCGGTAGAGATATATACTACCGAATTTTGACTGGAATCCAAGCCCCTGATTATGGTATTCGATTTACACTCTGTGATCTAGGTCAATGCCTGTGTTTTACACGCTTTTCAGTAACAAGGGTAAGGTTTCTGCTTTTCGCTTGCCGAAAGAAGAGCATGATGACTTGGACACCAAGGAGGCTCGAGTCAAATGTAAGAAGGGCATTTTTCGCACGAGAAAAGTTTGTCGACTCCATTTGGCAGCACGGTGAGTGCATGGTCTCTGGGATTTAAATGAAAGATCATCGTTCAAAACGCGGCAATTGCGAAATGAATAAGTCCCGCAAGAACAGCAGCAAACTGTCGAAATCTCAGATGCTGCCCATGATTCTAACTATACAAATCAACTCGTCCTAACCAGTTGGATCTGCAGTAAGGGCCTCTCTATGTCGAATAAAGGCACGGAGAGTTCGAGAGCCAATACTGCCTCGTGAAGTAGAAGGTGAAAAGCATCCTGGAAAAAAGCGAGGCCACATATTTGGCCAGTGCACAAAATAGTAGCCCGAAGATCGCCACGAACTTGTAGCTTTTATACGGAATTTACGTTTATGGCCCTGGCCGAGACATACCTTAAAGGTAATATTGAGAATAAGACAAACTGAACAAGAACTTTTCATCAAAGTCAGCCCAAAGACAAAGTCTAGTCGTATGCAGTAAATTAAATTCGGGAAACGAACCACATATCACCAGGACCAAGCCCTTGTTGGCAAGTGGCAGCCCACAATCTGGGTGGGCGCCTGGAGTAGACTATACTACTATATAAAAGTCCAACATACTAGTTTGAATCCTGAATGGGTCCTCCAGTCACACCTATGGGCCATGGGAAATAGAGTGAATCTGTCTAGTTTTCTTCCTCGGCCAGTCGTGGACTTGTTGCGATGCGAATATAGTTTGACGCCTGCGCGCATCTTTATGAGCAGAGTCTGATCGCACTTTTCAGATTGCCGGAGGATAATCTCGAATGGTGGAGATGAAGTAGGACCAGGCCAAGAGCATGCTAGTGAGGCATCCCGGACGAATGGATGACAAAAACGCATGGCTAGCTGTGAGTGACGCAGTCGCTATATTAATTCGTAGATCGCGGACGACAGGAATCCGAGTGCTCATCAAATTCAAGATCTTTGCAACGTTAATCATAATCTAGAGCACCGGTCGTTTCAACCAGGAGGAGCGACCGTAGTATTAGTGGATGGCTAGGCCCACAACTAATAGTTTGACATCTATCGGAGAATTTCAGAAAGGAGATCAAAATGCTCTAGTGGTTTCAACGGAGCCAGAACGTTTATTCCAGAGTTAAGGAGAGCCTTCAAACTGTCAGGGGCATTGATGTCGCATGTCCCAAGCTCCGAGTTTGTGAGAATGTTGGCAGCACGTAACGAAATGCGACATTGTCAGAGGTAACCTGTCACTGCCGCATGGTGCAGTTAGCGATGATTCCATCATCTTAGCATGCTGATATAATCTGGAATCCAAATCACCTCGACATTCGATGGATGAGATGTGCGATCTGAGATCGCTCATATCGAGTTCTGTGGGTAAGAATTGTTGTTTATCTGGGCGCGACCAGCGGAACCGTTAACTAGTTAGTTAATGATCGGCTGAGTCATTCGTGACTAAGCCAGCGTCTTCTGATCGCCAACCCACCACATCCAGACTTGAGCTTCAATTCTTCATTGAGACGACCGAACGATATCTTTCCTTCTACATTCTTCTTGCATTCTCCATTCAGCCTTAGATGAGGTAGCCCCGAAGACTATGTCCGGGACTGTAGGCATTGGCCCTTCAGCCACCGGTCAATTGGCGCCCGAAGCCCGACTCAGTTGCGAACTATGCACTCAACGGAAAAAACGTTGTGATAAGTTAAATCCTTGTTCGTATTGTCAGCGCCAAGGAGCAGTCTGCAAGCCAGTAGTGCGCCCACGTTTACCACGGGGAAAGCACCGGGTGGGTAAAGGTGGACCTCCGACAAACAATGATGGAGATTTGAGATCTCGCGTAGCAAGGCTCGAACAGCTTTTCCAGCAACGAGAACAGGAAGAGGGAGGAGGCTGCTCACATCGAAATCTACCAAGATCACCAGAAAGATCATTTCTTCCTTCCGCGACATCTTGGGATACAAGCAATGCCCCGTGCGCTAGGAAGAATGATGACGATGGAGACGCTCAATTTCTTGGTGGCTCGCCCTGGAGTGACGTGAAGGGACAGGTTAGCACATTGTACTACTACATTGATCTTCAGCATGCTAATGAATCTTTAGCCGGAATGTGCTTTTGTGAATCCCCTCAATATTCCCTTTTCGGGACTGCTCAGTCTTGCTGACTTTATCGAGATGACCTCCAGTGGCGCCGGCGACCCTGAGCTTCATAGGAGTTTGGTAGAAGTATTTTTGTCACGAATTGACCCTGTATTCAAGGTTATCCATCAACCTTCCCTAAGGGCGTTTTTGTTGGAAGGCAAGCAGTATCTCGACTATGAAGACGGACGCCATGCGCCGAATACACTCGCATCTGCTATCTACTATGCTGCCGTTTGCATTCTGAGCGAGGAAGAATGTGACCGCGTTTTCAAGGAGCATAAATCGTCGGTGGTCGCGAAATATCGGAGAGTCTGCGACGCCGCCCTATATCATGCTGATTTCCCGACAACAAACGATTTAACTGTCCTTCAGGCCTTCATGATATCCTTGGTAAGTTACTTGTGTCTTTCAAGCAGAGTTCTAACCCCAGCTCACTTCATAGCTTTCATACCGTCTTTTGGACCAAGGCCGACGTGTATGGACAATGTTGAGCATGGCATTGCGAGTAGGCCAAGCATTATCGCTCCACATTGTGAATCCTCCTTTCCCAATCAGGCCGCTGGAGACGGAATTACGCAGACGTGTCTGGCATGCTATCGGCATCCTCGACGCCCAGTCGTCCTTAGATCGAGCAACCGAGCCGATGGTTATACCCGCATGGCTCGAACAGAACACTCCATCGAATATTAACGACAACGATATCGGCTTCTTCAGCAATGCAATCCCACCAGAAACAACCGAATACACCGATATGACATTTACATTGCTTGTGGCGAAAGCCCATAAAATTATGCGATCGCTTAATTTCTCGCGTTGGACGCAGCATGGGATCATGGACATGGAAGATCGACAGTCAATCGTGATCGAGTTTCAAAAAGAAGCGATAAAAATGGTTTCTGGGTGCTGTTCGGAGAATGACCCGCTCCAGTGGCTTACTGTCAAGACGGCGGAATGCCTCACTGCTTCTCTACAGCTGGCTGCACTGAGGCCTCTGCAACGGGACTCGAGTTTTACGCCACCCCAGGTCAAGAACCATGGTCTTTTGAGACTTTGCGTAGATATTCTGCAGAGAACACAAGATCTTTCTGAGAATCCTCTCGTCGAGTCGTGGCGCTGGTTTCAGCAACTATGGGCTCCTTGGCATCCACTCTCCGTGGCCCTTGCTGAGCTTTGTGCTTGCGACGATGTCTCTGTCATGGAGTCGTATTGGTCAACTGTGGAACACTCTTTCCGCGTCGTTGGACATGCCGTGGCCGACTCCAAAGACGGGATGCTGTGGAAACCAATTGATAAATTGATGAGACAGGCAGAGTCAAGGAGAGCGGCTCTCATAGCAACAACTATTCCGCAAGAGCCACAACGACCCGCTCCTGTTAACCAGCTTGCCCGGAACAATCGACCACAAGGCTCCACACTGAGCTCGACTTCTATTGAACAGAGTGCTGTCGGAAATGCTTTGCCACCGATGGAGACAAGCGAGCAGAACACTTCAGAGCCCGATACCCCCAAGGATATCTGGGAGATATTGAACTTTGACGACTGGACGGAAGATCTTGGTCAAACCTCGTGGTCTAGCTTCACGAGCTTTCTGGATGATTTGCATGAGGCAGATGACTCCATACTGACCTTCTCATGATTACTTCTATCTGTCCAGACCGTAGGGAGGAAAGAATATCCCAAAGTCTATGCAAACATCTAACGGTCACTGTGATATCTCTGTTTCACGAAACATCGGAGACCACATATCTGCTTATTCCACATATGATATCTTCACAGAACCTACGTATGGCACAGATAAAACTGCTACTACACGGGTGAGAAAGGCTCACTATTAGGAATTCGAGTTAGGGCGCTTGGTTCTCGTTTGAAAGTTGCTGCATATTAGCCACAGTCGCGTTGGCTGTGATTTTAGATAAATATCAGGGCATGCTAAGTGGCATATCCGTCTAATTGGATGGGCCTTGATTCCGTGACACCTTCATCCGAATCACTTCGGGCCTTCCAATGTTGGTTCTGCATCTTATGTCGAGATAGAGCTACTCGAATAGGGCCATATAGCGATACCAGGTTCCTAGTTAGCGATCACAGCTCTAGACCCTCGTATCCGGGCTTTCGCTTTCGAGGGGCGAGAAAGATACTTCGAGAATCTAAATAATAACTCAGTTCAAACCTATTCCATCGGAAGATCGCAAAAGCCGAAGGAGCAAGCAGCCCCCACAACGCGGGAAATCCGGGGTAATGTGGAGATTTCAGCCGCGAGGATGACCCTTCGGCTGCGCAGCCGATATTTGGAGTTCACTTCCGATTGCTATCGGATAGTTGGACAAAGAAGTCGGATATTCCGACAAGTAGGGAAAAACCTACTCAGAGTGTCTGGATCTTCACTGGCCAGTCATAGCGTTGAATATACGATATCGAGCTGGGCGGACCATGGTTTGACTTCGGCGTGGTCTTGGTTTTCATCGGAAGGAACCTGACAGCTTCCCCGCATTTCTGGACGTCACTATTCTCGATCAATGCAGTTTAGGTATAAAATGGGGTAATGCATTGCTCCGACCTGGTGGAGAATATGTTCATTCCATCCACATCACCCTAGGCATTCTCCACAGTGAACTATGGCTTCTGACAACGAGCAATCTGTATCAGAGAAAGGTTTTGCTGGTTGTGAAGAGTTCTCGGCCAGTAATGCGGCTGGAAATGGTCAAGTTGCAACTGACGAGTATGCGCAGCCCGCCCCCATGGATGATTCTTTGCTTATGCCATCAGATATGGCCACTCTCTTGTGCAACTCGATCCCAAAGCCGAGACTCGGTTGCGGACCAAGATAGACTTATATGTTGTCCCCACCGTGGCCGTTCTATATCTATTCTGCTTCATTGATCGAGCTAATATTGGTCAGTAAGATGTCTCCGATCAATTTTGATTTGTTTTAGCAGCTCACCCTGTCTAGGAAACGCCAAGCTTGCCGGCTTCGAAGCAGATCTCAACCTTACGGGCAATGACTTCAATGCTGTTCTCTCGGTTTTCTTCATTGCTTATATCATATTCGAAATCCCTTGTACGATCGCATGTAAATGGATCGGACCCGGCTGGTTCATTCCCGCGATCACCCTCGGCTTCGGAATATGCTCCCTAGGCACTGCATTCGTGCACACAATCCATAGTGCATCCGGGGTGCGTTTCCTTCTTGGTGTCTTTGAAGCCGGGATGCTACCGGGAATCGCGTATTATCTCTCCCGTTGGTATCGACGCAGTGAGCTTATCTTCCGTATCTCATGCTACATTGTCATGTCTCCGTTGGCGGGGGCATTCGGTGGACTTCTTGCATCGAGGATCCTAAAGCTCGACCATTTCGGAAGTCTGCGGGAATGGCGCATGATATTCGCAATTGAAGGAATAATCACCATCGGTCTTGCTATTATCTCATTCTTCACCTTGACCGACCGCCCGGAAACTGCGCGATGGCTATCTCCCGAAGAGAAGAATCTAGCTATTGCAAGGGTGAAATCCGAACGTGTGGCCACCTCCGAGGTCCTCGATCGCCTGGATCGCATCAAGACGCTCCGAGGAATAGTTAATACTGCAACGCTCGGAGCAGCGTGAATGTTCTGCTTGAACCAGATCACAGTCCAGGGATTAGGCTTCTTTGCGCCCACAATCGTCAAGACAATATATCCTGATTCAGGCGTCATATCGCAGCAGCTTCATACCGTTCCGCCGTACGCTGTAGGGGCCTTTTTTACTCTTCTCTTTCCATTCATCTCATGGAGAATCGATCGTCGATTGGTCATTGCGCTTGTTTGTGCCCCGCTCATGATGATCGGATATATCATGTTCCTTGCAACCACTGACAAGAAGACACAATACGGAGCCACATTCCTGATTGCAAGTGGATCTTTCACTTTTGGCGCGCTCGTCAACGCGATCGCGTCTGCTAATGTCGTTTCCGATTCTGCCCGGTCTTCCGCCATCGGCACGACAGGATTGATCGGAAATATTGGCGGCTTGATATCGACATGGTCGTATATGGCCAAGGATGCTCCTTTATACCATGTGGGGAATGGGTTGAACCTCGCAGCTGCGTCAGCCACACTGCTGGTTGCTATTGCGTTGTTGCTGTACATGACCTGGGATAATCGCCGGAGGGAGCAACGTGATGTTAGAGCTGAATTAGACGGGTTGAGCCAGAAGGAGGTTGAGGATTTGGATTGGTGGCATCCCGGATTTAGATGGAGGCCTTGAATCTGAACTGGATGGAAGCATTAGCTATGGGGGAAAGAGTGAATATTCAGGTCACGTTGATTTATCCTGTTTATGCGGTCAATAACGAACATGGGCTCTTTCTAGTGATGAGTCCATGGAACCTTCCTTTCCTGGAACACAACATTGACATTCCCATGCTACCTGACTTTCCTCATCCATTCCAGGCCCCCCAGAGTTATCCTCCCTTCATCGTATGTCTGCGCTGGAAGAGCTTTCACAGTAGTGCCGGATAGGCTTCTCGAAATGGCACGCAAAACTTGCCTGACGACCTCTTGGCCTTTCAAAGTGCTTTTCATTCTTTACTTCCTCCCGGTCGCGATTTTCCGCCTTCTGTTCTACTTCGCTTACTATGCCTTTCCGCGTTCGCGTCCCCGTCGCTGGCCCTACAGACGCTGCATCTCAATCGCGATAATCAATCTCTCCACTGAGCTGGTTTACGGGATAGAACACAAAGCCAAACTGTCCCTCGATCCAGGGAAAGAAGCCGACCGATTCATCATCGTCGAGCCCGGCCTGGACGATATTTGTACTGGTATTCTTGACAATTCTGAAGTCAAACCCGCCAGGATAGGCGCAGTCTGGTATCCAAGGCCATACAACCCGACAGGAACTCCCATGAACGTTGTCCTTCACTTCCACGGAGGCGCATACATGTTGGGCAATGCTCGTGAAGACACATGCGGGTTCAGTGCCCGCTCCCTGAGCCAAAACTTCGACGACGCCCTGGTCCTCTGTCTGGACTATCGTTTGGCAAATACACCAAACGGCCGCTTCCCCGCCGCCATCCAAGATGCAGTCACAGCCTATCGCTACCTCAATCAAGACCTCGGCATCGACCGATCGCGAATAATACTCTCTGGAGACTCGGCAGGCGGTAACCTGGTTCTGGCACTTTTGCGTTACCTTGCCGATCATCCAGGCCTGTTGCCTCTGCCTAGAGCGGCACTTCTCTGGTCTGCCTGGGTCAATCTCTCTGACTTGAATCACATCAATCAGAGCGCAAACAAGACTATTGATTGTCTCAAAGTGAAGCTCTTAGAATGGGCTGTGGACAAGTTGACTGATAATGGGAACATTGTGCCAAGCTCACACCACTATCTCTGCTTTGCACAGTCTCCTTTCCATGTCGCGGTGCCTCTTTGGGTTATGGTCGGGACTGCGGAGAGCTTCTATGAGTCTAATGTTCAATTTGTGGAGGATATGCGTGCTATTGAAAATGTGGTTCATCTCTATGAGCTGCCGGATGCACCGCATGATGCGTTTATTGCGAGAAGGATGTATGGTATGCAGCGGGAGGTGGAGGAGGCGAGTATGAATGCGTGGGAGTTTATCCAGAGTGGTTGAACTGTCAGTTGGGTGGAGCTTACTCCCCAATACCTATGGCTCAAGTTGGCCTTGACATGGCATTCTCGTTAGTCTTTGCAAGCTGGCTCGTGCTAGTTGGCTAGCTGCGTGCCTTTTGTGTTTGATAACATTCTGTAAAATTACTATTAGAGATAAATTGTTCTTGCCACACAAGTGGAGACCACATGGTATACTTACGTGAGAGTTTTCGAGTGAATGAAATCAGACGGGTGAATGTTTGCGCCTGGTCAGATCTTTCGCTGCCTGATTTTGCTTGATTTCCTTCTCTCTTCTTCCCATCCCTCTTTCTTCTTCCAGTCTTCCCTTTTACCATTCTTCATTTCCTCCTCATCTCTACTATCCTTTACATATTCTCGCTCTCTCCCCCTATTCTCGCTCTCTCTCCTCCAGTTCCCCCTCTTCCCTCCTCCACTCGTCTTTGTTTTCCTTCCGATCTGTTGTGAAATGCAAACAGCCAAGCTAACCACGTAGGACAAAAGTCAAAGCTTATCTATAATTATCTTTCCTCGCCATTAATAGGCCTCTCAGTCTTCTTCAAGTGGCCTGAGAGGTACACAAATGGCGCAGAGCAAGTGCAGAACATGGTTCCGTCTCTAGATCTTCCAACCCGCGCTGAAGTCATTCGGTGGCTATTTATCGGCTGTGGGTTAGGCTCTGAGATACAATTCTTTTCAAGCGGATAGTTTTGTTGTGACAAAATAAAATTTCCTCGTCTGCTTGTGAGCGAACGTACCAATAACAGTTTCTTGGTGTTTTACGACTTGAAATAGCTAGGTAGAAGGGGGTTGCGGGTCATGTGTTCCGCTGGTGAACTTGCACGCGTCGTCAACAATGCCCATCCAGCCATCATCTTCATCCTCTCGATATCCGTCGGCGAGGACAATCCATCGAATACAACCTTCCCGAGCAGAAAAACCATTATAACTGTTACAGCTTCGATACGAAGATCGATTGTAAGATCGTCATTCGCGACGAATCCTATCGAAAGCTGGCTCTCGTTGTGATAAGGACTGATAATGGTTTGTTTTCATAGGTATACGTTCTCAAGCCTTCCACGAAATCGCGAATCCGTCAACCCCAGTTCCCGCCGCTGCCTCACACGATTCCACTCGTCAGTGTGATCTCAAATGTTTCGCGCAAATACTTTCCCGACAACGCCGATTGACTGTGCCGAAGACGTATCCCAGGGTGAAATCCATGGCGTACACGGCTTGGCTCGTGAAGGAATGATTTGAGTGGATTGTGAGATCTTTCGTCTGAAAAGGCGTCAGTGGTGGGAAATACCTTTGTCGCGAGGAACGGTCTTTTGGGCGTGGTCTGAGGAGCCGCAAATTGGTAGGTCAAACTCATATGCCAAGGTTTTGGAGACGTTGCTGGCGAAGGATCCTATGAGAATTGATTCTGAGAAGTGTATGTTAGGTCACCCTCTGAGGGGAAATTTGCAGTCATTTGCCAACCGCTGCCAACCGTGCGAGAGTTGTAACAGAACCTGAATCCTTGAAGAATGGTGTCAATCGAGCAGCAAGGGGGAGCGTCATGCTTCATTTCCCAAATATTCACAGATCAGGCTGGTCTTGGGTAACAGATTGGGGGTATCCTAGAAGGTGACTGATGAGCTGAAAACGCTAATATACATTTAGGGGTTGATGTGCCCTTTTCAACCACCAAGAACGGCAGTTCACGATAGAGAGTCCTAAAATACGAGTCTTTTGAGCGATGAGCAACACTTTTCCGAAACCTCAGCTCAGAAATCATAGGACCATAAGATCAATTATCGAGCGAAAAGGGAACAAACAGAGCTTGTATTCACCCCTTGTGATACATCATGTTCGAAGTTCCACAATTCCCAGTATTTTGGGAACATTAAGTTGATCAAACGTCGTGCAAAGATTTCAGATAAGCCAATGATGTTGCGTCCGATCGAATGCTAGCAGTGCAGCATCTCGGATAATCGCCAATTTGACATGTCCGTCAATAGTGCCGATCTCATTCTTCACCAAATCACAGGTTGATCACGAAACTTTTTCGAGGGTATCTTTCCGCCAGAACGACTCGACGTCCGTTCATTCTGCCCAGAACGCCGACCTTTCTCCTGTCATGGAAATTTTGTTAGGTACACTTGACCGATGACAGATAGAAAGTGGCTTGTTTTGTTCCCACCTTTGGCGTCCTCTGGGCTCGATAATTGGCAAATGTGGAGGTTCAATCTTGGACATAATGGGATTGGTTGTGATATCATGTCTCGCTTTATGACGTCTTGTCCTCAGATTGGCCGATGAAAACCCCTGAAGGCCCTTCCCCTGAGCTGGGAGGGAGTTCTTTAAAAGATGGGGGTGTCAGAATTTCTAAACCCTTCGGAGCTTGCACCGAGTAAATCCGCTCAGGGGATGCGGCTTATCCAAGGTGTTATTCGGTTCAACCATGGCTAATAGCTCTACCACCGAACAAAGCCCTGACCTTGGGTATTCGCATGATAACCTTCATCATGTTGTCATTACAGCCACATGCTTTGCTCTGATTTTGTCGACCGTGTCGGTCATACTTCGGCTTTTATGCAGAGTGGTGACAAAGACGAAAATGTTTTTGGATGATTACTTGATTCTGGTCGCCCTGGTGAGTAACTCTTTCGGCCGAAGCTTCTCAACGTGCTCATCTTGCTAGGTATTCCTCTATGCAGTCTCGTTTTCAGGGGTAATCTGTCAGTGGATACGATGCATCACTCGGTCGCCTGACGCTGACTTTGCATAGTACTGTACAACGGACTGGGAACGCATGTCATTTTCGTGCCTCCCCATGAACTTGTGGTATACATGAAGGTACGGAGATAAGCCGAAGGCAGCAAAGCGAAAGCTTACCAAATCAGACCTTGTCTACAGGGAGCTTTACCTACACGCTATGCATCGCCTTCGTCAAGTTATCCATTCTTGCTTTTTACAAGCGGTTGTTCCCCGTTGAGCCAATGGTCCTTGCCGTCAACGTTGTCGGATCTGTCGTCATCTTGTGGGCCTACGGTGTCTGTCTTGTCGGTGCATTAACATGCATTCCTTTCAGAAAGTTGTGGGATCCAACCATTCCTGGCGGCTGCATCGACCTTCCCAAATTCTACTACGGCTTACAGATTCCGAATATCGTCACTGACGCCATTATTTTGGCGATGCCAATGAAAGTCGTGTGGAACCTGCATGTGCCTAAGGCGCAGAAAGTGGCGTTGTCGGGCATTTTTCTGCTCGGTTTCTTGTGCGGAGCCCTGCCCCTGGCTGTTTGGGACCTTTCACTGATCTTTGCTAGAACTTTGATTTTTGACATTATTCGTCTGGTCGCAATGGTTGAGCTCTCGGAGGCGGGAAACGACATTACCTGTATGACCTTATCCCTTTCCCTGTTTGGGGCCATTTCATCTGACCAGTTCTTCTAGATGCGCAAACGCAACCCAGTGTTTGGACATGCATAGAGCCGGCCGTCGGTATTACGGCGGCTTGTTTATCCAACATGCGCCCGCTTTTCAAATTCCTGCCAAAGATACCTAGCATTTCTTGGCCGCGTAGCCTGTCCCTATCCAGTGACGGCTTCCGGAGGAAAAGTCTTTCAGGGAAGCAGATTCGGACGACAACGGTCGTCGAAGTCCACTGTCGAAACGGCAGCAATAGCTCAAAGTCTGGTTAGATAGTCACTACTCCGGAGTTGCCGCTGAGGATGACACATTCCATCCGCCCCGGGTGATAATTTAATTACTGGGTGTTCTGCGTTTTTGGGGTTGGATAATACTACGACCGCTAGCAGGCACTAAGAGATTCGGGCCCTGGAGATACTATCAGGTTCCACAGACAAGCGCCACTGCTTATCTCGTTGCTTTGCCATTGGCAAGAACACTCGGATTTCCATGAAAGAAATTCGGGACATCTCGCCGGGTGCTCCACATCTGTGATTCTTGGGTAACATCGCGGTCTACGGAGTACCACAAAATCTTCGCAAATGCAGTTCAATATCTAGTTCAATCCAACTACAGGCGAAAAATCGCCATATCATCATCCTTGTTGAGTCTTCAAATAGCGGCCTGCTTTAGAACTCAACACGCTCATAGCAACGAAGAGACATCCCACCAATCTCATCATAATGACTGGACGGACATCCACACGGGGTTCTTAGCTTTCCTCGACAGCTATTGCATATCCAGCGCTATTGCCCTTGGCATTGACAATGAAGGCACTAATTATAACTCAAAGATGATATGTCCGATACCATGTCCCGTGGTCTCGGAGGCTCCAGGCCGTCGAATACCAGTCTACCCTATTTTCCATCAACCAGATAGAGTTACACATATACAACGTTTGATCGCAAAGACGGCAGACAGCGCCTTACCGATCACGAGGCATGAATTAAACACGCCTCTCATACAAGCTCCGTTACAAATGCAAACTAGTCTTGACTATCGTGGCAAGGAGACGGCCGAAGGTCGTTCTTAGCGTGAAACGGCACCCAATTAGTAACGCCATCAGGAACGCGGGCATCTATTGCAATCATCCACTCCTAGCGACCTTGTGCGTGATTTCGCCGATTCCGACTGCGGGGGTAGCAGCCATTCCTCGGGAGATGTGCAAGAGCAGGGAAATTGACCAACCAGGCTCTGCTTATTTTCATTACTCCGTATGCCGAAAGGATCAGGACGCAGGCGCCCAAGTTAGGGCCACGCCCCATGACCCAACTAGTTGAAATTGGGCCACGGCTCCGGCGGAGTCCACCGATGGCCCAATTCTGCTCTTTGCGTGCTCCCTTCCCGCATTGGCGTCAATAATGCGGTTGGTAAGAACTAAACATCAATCGCAACCACCACATACCAGGATTAGGACCGGAGGTTGCAATGAGACGTTGGTGCATGTGATCCTTGGCTAGCAGCCACTTTGCATCAGAGTTGATACCAAAGATTGGAAATGGACCAATCCCCGTGAGGAGATTATCAATTCCCAGGTCACTTCGTTGGGGGTTGCTCCTCGAATTTAATATCCACGGAGACAAACCGCCCGCTTATTCAGGAATGCAAGAAAGCCTTAACCCTGTTGATCAGGTACGCCTTTGTCCAATGATTGCCTTTTGCCCGGTCTGTCTCGGTTCAATTGCTTCCTGCGCAGATCGTTTGCCAGACATTCTCGTCTCCTCGTCGTTGGCAGGAACACTAAATATCGCTAATGCAAATCGGCACTGCCATTGTCCTCGATCTACCGGGGAGCCTCGGAACGGAACGTTTCCGCTGTTGCGCCAAGATACACAAGACAGTCGCTCTGGAAGGATGCCCGCAGCGGTGTACGTACACCGGAGTACACTCGATGTTCATAAGCATTGTGGAGAGGAGAAGAAGTTGGCAATGATCGACAAACTTCTCTTGCACGATGTGCATCATTCTACCTTGGTCGCCCACGGAAGCCCGAACAACACCCGTCAATCAGAATCGTTGCATTAATCACTCGCGACTGCGCCAAGCCGCCGATGGTTTTGTGCATAATAAGCTTGATCCACGGAGATTTCAACCTCTTGTGATGGATAAGATTGCACGCCACAGCGGAGTCCGGTGCAAGCATACTTGCCAAGAAAACGCTATCTCTTCCTAGCTATGGCTCCGTTGCTTATTAGCTCCGTGTTGTTTGTTTTAATTCTGTGTTGTGCCGGCGGAATTTTGGGGCCGCGTCGTCAGCCGGTGGTGATCCTGGTCGTTCTTGTCCTTGATTCTCTTGGCTAGTTGGCTTTCCGAGAAGCCCTAACACGAGTCTGTGGCTAAACTGCCCTGGTCATCTAACTTTCTTGTCATCTGCAGCGGCCGTCACATTAGACGAATTACCCTGGTCTGTCTATGCTCATAGTTGGAGAATTCTCCGCAAGGCGGGTCCAATTTTGAACCTCTACCGGAGGTCGCTGAGCAGCCAATGCCGCCCTATTCGACGGTCTAGAGCAGTGCAGGCTAATCTATGTCCACTGTGCCATCATCCATGGCAATCTCCTCAATTCTTGGCCTTGGGATATCCGAGTCGACCGGGTTGGAAAGCAAGGTATAAAGGTGCCTTCATGGTCGGGGGATTGTTGATCATCCATCAGGCATTTTCTCTTCGCTCTCACACGGTACTCTCTACTCTGGTCTAGGTCTTCTGCATTATGGTTCAACTTGCTCCTGCTCTCGTTGCGGGCCTGGTTGGTCTCGCAGGTCTCGCAGCGGCTCATCCGGGTCACGACGTCAAGGCTGAGGCCGCCGAACGTGCGGCTTTTCTCAAACGGGCTCCCGTGCACCACCGCAGCCTGAACCACTGCGCTGCAAAATTGCGTGCTCGTGGCCATGAGGCGCGTAACGTTGCTCGTCGCGAGTTGACCGTTGAGCGTCTGCGTCGTCGCAAGGGACTACAGACTCGTATGCTGTCTTTTTTCTAGTTACGTTTCATACTAGGTCTTTAGGACTAACAAAGTCTAGGCTCCACCTACCTCAAGGCGCGGGACCTTGACGATGTTCTCAACACTAATCACCACTCGGACTTGGACGTGGACCAGAACGTTGACCCTGCCGTGCTCTTCGCGTCCAACGCGACCTGCATTCTGGGCGAGGATGTCACCCAGGGACCCTACTGTTCGCACCCTTTACATTTCCCTCCAACACACTGCCTAGCTAACGCAACTCAGATGTTACCGGTGAGCTGATCCGTGAGGACATCTCAGAGAACCAGGCCGGTGTCCCTCTGTACCTGGACTTCCAGATCATTGACACCAATACCTGCGACCCCGTCCCGGACATCTACCTTGATGCCTGGCACTGCAACGCGACTGTACGTTATAGCCATTCCCATGACCTCCCCCGCCTCTTCTTGCCACGACAGTAAAATGTCCTAACTCCAGAACAGGGCGTCTACTCCGGCGTCATCGCCGGCGGAAACGGCAACCAGGGCGACGATAGCAACCTGGATGCCACCTTCCTCCGTGGTGTCCAGAAAACCGACAGGTCTGGCGTCGCTCAATTCGAGACTATCTTCCCAGGCCACTATACCGGTCGTACTCATCACATTCATCGTAAGTCCCTCACCCCTCTCCAATCCCGTTACCCACCTCAATCCCATTCCATCTTACCAGGTACCCAGCCCACTAACCCCCAACCCCAATGAACAGTCCTCTCCCACGCAGCCAACGGCACCACCGTCAACGCCAACAACACGCTCTCGGACCTCTACACCGCGCACGCCTCCTACGTCACGCAGACCTACTTCGACCAAGACCTAATCTACGAGGTCGAAGCCACCTCCGTCTACGCGGCCAACACCCAGCCCCTGACCACAAACGCTCAAGATGGTATCCTAGCCCAGGAGGCCGAGTACATTGACCCGATCCTGCAGTACGTGTACCTGGGCGACAGCGTCGAGGACGGTCTGTTTGCTTGGATCTCGTTGGGTATTGATGCGACCAAGTCGAGCGATGTTTCTCCTGCGGTGTTTTATACTGAGAATGGTGGTGTCGAGAACCCCAACTCCGGTGGTGGCGGACCTGGTGGGCCTGGTGGGCCTGGTGGTCCGGGTGGTCCAGGCGGGCCGCCCTCTGCTTCTGCTTCTTCGGCTTAGAGGTAGGGTAGGGGTTTGAATCTGCTTGGTTGAGGACGGGAGTGGGAGGGAGGGGGCTTGAGGTGGTGTGAGAGGGATGGATTGAAGATATGGCTTGTTTTCGATTTCTGGTTGATAGCTTGACTTGATGTGTGTGAAGGAGCTAGTGGAGATGGTATATCAGTGGCTATGTGTTGTGGATGAGTGTGTAGTTGATGTTGTCTTTAGTTTATCAATTATGGTCTGTCAGTGCACGTAGTTGGTGTTGACTCTGCCCAGTTTTCCTGGCAAATATCGTAGGCATACTTAGTAGTGAAAGATTGCAAGTCCATTCAAGGCAATTGATTGAAGTAACTAAAATCACGAAGAACGTCTTTTATAGGAAGAAGAGCCGTCGGATCTGCTACATGCATAAATAGTCATGAAGCTCTGAGCAGACAAGGGGTACTGGACAGATTATATGGTGATTGTGGCATCCACACATACTGGATACCAATTAGATATGTACAGTTTTACATCCAAACTCCACCTTCCCTAAACACTTCTATGTATGTACAACCCAACAACCCAAAAGCCAAGCACCAACCAACCTACCCCGCAGCAAACGGACTCATCTTCCTAAGTTTCTCACCATACCTCCACAAAAACAACGGCGCCGGAATCCCCAACGCCAGGGACACAAACGCCAACAAACTATTCCCCCACCCATACTTCAACCCATCATACATATACGGCGCGAAAAGCGGGAACCCGAAGCCCGCCAGCGATCGCAAAAACGCAGCCGCTGCCAACGCACTAGCCGCGAATCGCGTGTACGCGTCGACCATATATGTCTGGATGCACTGGTACGTGACGATATTGCCCATGCCGAAGAGACAGGCGCCGATGTTGGGCGCGATCCAATGTACGCGGGCCTGGGCGGTCCAGCCGTAGATGAAGAGGCCGGCGGGGGTGAGGAGGGCGGCGAAGGGGAGGAGGGGGACGCGGAACTCGGGGCGACCGATGCCGTTGTTGCGGGCTTTGAGGCGGCGATAGATGCGATCGTTAAGTGGGGCGCAGATCTGGGAACCGAGCCAGAAGCCCAGGCCCAGGGAGATGTAGTTGAGGCCGCCGATGCCGGTGGATTCGTTGTAGTAAGACGGGCTGGTCCAGAGGGCCGGGAAGGTCGAGAGCACGAGGTACATGATGCCGTAGATGTAGGCCATGTAGAGGGCGAGAACTTGGACGATGGGTTGGGTGGAGAGGAGGATAAAGGGGCGGACGAGCGCGGTGCGGAGGACCTGTGGGAGGGTTTTGTTCTGGCGCTCGGCGTCGGTCTGAAAGGATGGATCGTTGGTGTCTTTGCGGAGGGCTTTTGCGCGGTCGCGCAGGATCTTGGGCGCGTAGGTTTCGCGGAGGAAGAAGAGGCCGGCGACTTGAATGACGCCGTCGGCGATGGAAGTCGAGTAGAAGACCCAGCGCCAGGTGGTGTTTTCGGCGATGAACCCGCCAGCGATGGGACCTACTGCGGGTCCGAGAAGGGGTGCGAGACTGTAGATGGCGATGCTTTTGCCTCGTTCTTCGGGCTTGAAACAGTCGGAGAGGACGCCTCCGCCAACCTAAACTAGTTAGAGAGTGCATGTGGTGGCGGGTACAGAAGCTCTGGACTTACAGCTAATGGGGCACTTCCTCCTAGACCAGCTAGAAATCGAAACACGATCATCTGCACTTTGGTCTGTGCGAAACCGCATGCAATATTAAATATGAGGAAGAACAGATTGGCAAGCTGTAGAACAATAACCCGGCCATAGATTTCAGAGAATGGGCCGAGAAAGAGCGGGCCAACGGCATAGGCCAAAACGAACACCGACAGTGTGAGCTGCGAAATGACTTCGTCTTGGATATCGAAATCTGATCGGATGGACTGCAGAGCTGGCGCCACCATAGATGACGCGACAGGTGAAATAAACGTGAAGAAAGATACTGTAACCACAGCTGCCCATTTGTTCTTTGCGGGCCAATTTTTGGGATTCTCCGGGTCATCGGGGCCATCCCATGTAACCTAATAATGGTTTATCAGTCATGTCCATGTAAATCTCATACAAGCTGGAAATCCTACCAGCGTGGGATCTCGTGATCGATCAGATCTCGCCGTCCTCGATTTCTCGAGACCAGCGGAGGCCTGGGCGTTTCGTTCCAAATCGTAATCTCGCTCAGTCACAATTCCTTCTCGAACTTCGAGAGCCGAATCAACTCTCTTCGCGTCATCTAGGTCTCCAGAATCCTCATAATCGGCAGCATCATCGTCACTGTGGTACACTGATTGATCGTCTATGTGCCGTCCCGAATAGATCCTGTCGATGCGCCGATTACTCCGCACAGACCGTGATCTGGATCTCGTTTTCACAGACCCTAATTGCTGTGACCGTCTAAACTCAGACCTTGAAATGCGAGACTCCAAATCCGAAGAAGAAAGCGAGGTTGATCGTGATCGAGTTGAGCCATCATGATGTGACTCCGGATTTGCCACCATAATCAGTCACTTCTAGAGTCGATTAGATACAATATGAATAGGGCTTTATAGAACAACAGCAAATGAAGCCAAGAATACGACACAAATTCCAAGAGCTACCACAAACTAGACCAGGGGAGCCCACATACTTTATAAGGTCGAACGACTGCAACCAACCGACACAATCCAACCAAAATTTTTTCCTGCCTGACCAGCATGCCAAACCCCATCGGCGATACGAAGCGCTTAATCCCGACAAGTGGAGCGCTCAGACTGAAGTATCCACTAACGCTGCGACGAGCCAACAAGCGAAGAGAGAATTTTCCTCGCCAATGGACAGTAAAACGCCCATTGGCCCGTTACGAAAGCTTGACAGGCAGAAGTGCCCCATGGAGCTGGAATCAGAGCTCGGTGGTTGGCTCCATTAAGCCCGCCTGGAATTCCCACAGTCATCATGTTTGAATCATCGGGGGAGGCGAGGCGATGATCTGGAAAATCTGGAGGATTTGTGGACCGGCTCGGGTCTTCGGCACGAGAAAGTCACGTGACAAGATACTTGCCGGTAAGATAAGCGGTTCCGCTGCTATATTTGGATTGGTGGAGGCATAAAACATCCCGGATGGCCTCTGTGCCGGGGATTGTCGATCAATGCATCGCTGCCTGGGGAGGGTTTTTGGGCTGGTCTGGATGCTCATGTTTGTTTTCTGCTTGAGTGCTTTGGGCTGTCATGCCGATTAGCCGACGGAGCTTACAGTCCACGGAATTTGGACTCTGCTGATTGTTTGAACTTGGCAAAGGCTATTATATATAAATTCCTTGAGATTATCCCCATTATGTTCACGTTGCCTGGGAGTTGACATGGCTCTGTTTCCCCGTACAATTCTCTCGTTCCTTCCTTAAGCCTACTGATTGACCCAAAATCATTTTTATATACGTCTTTAGCTTTTCTGCAGCTATAAAAGACGCCATCCATGACTCACAGGCTGCACTTAGCTATGACAAAGTCCAGCACATACCTACAGGCCTTAACCATCCAATAAAAACAAATGCATCTCTGTCAATGTGAACCTCTATCATTGTCGATCCCTATAAGCTCACCGCTTCTTGATTCTAGATATTCATGCGAAATTGCCATCTATCCCAATCGACGCTTGTCTATACAGTTCGCAGACACCGTTCTAAATACCTTTCTACGCGGTCCACATCATCTAATGCTGCCACCGTTCCAACATACCCATCGGGTCGAATAACAGCCAGAGCTCCCTGGTCTGCACCCACACCGTACGTTTTGTACGCATCATCAATCTCGTAGCCGTTGTGGAATCTCATTTCGGAATATTTCTTCAGCTCGGCGGGCACATCTCGCCAGGTGAAGGATCTGGATAGTTGAGGATGGACAACTACCTGTTCGACGACGGAAGGTGGGAAGCGTGGAATCACGGAGGACCCAAGGGCCGTTAAAGTCTTGGCTGAGGTTCCCTGGAGGTCGAGAAGATCTGACGAGGTTAGACACAAGATGCGGAAGCGACCGGTTGAGCGGAAATCTGTATTGCATGTTAGCGAATTGCCTGGCTAGGGGTGGAAAGGGTCAGTACCATCTTGTAAGTGGATGTGAACTCCGTCGGCGTGCCTCTTCAGTTGCACATCTAGTAGTCGTCTCCCTGGTCGAAGGACTCCAAGGAGATAGTCTGTGCGTTGGACCGGGTACTTGGAGTCTGTACAGTGTGATTTCTCAATCGTCAAGTTCTCGGGGTATTCGATTCCGCAGCCAGATGTGAATCCATTGCCGGTGCTGAACACCTCCAAGAATTGGTCATGAGTCAACCCGTCGAGACCGTCATATGCGGATCCTATTTTCCCTGAAAACATGGAGGAAAATGCCCGATCGAACTCAATTAGCTCCTGAGCGATCGTATGGCGTTCCGTATGGTAGGTGTCAAGGATAGGATCGGACTTTTCTTTGCCCTCCGGCTCGGGGGTAAGGCCATGGATAGAGTGAGCTAGTTTCCAGGCCAGATTATATGAGTCCATCATAGACACGTTCATGCCTTGGCCAGCCTGTAAGTGATATTAATGAATGCTCTGAGTTTGTTAATAAGTCGCACGAACCTTGGGACTATGTGTATGACAAGCTTTCGATCACCATAACCGTCAGCTGAGACTTCATATAAACTCAAGCACAGAACCTTACCATCTCCCGCTATAAAGACCCGGTTGATGTCATTCGAATCCTTCACCGCAAACTCATTCGTCACTCGCTGGCCGATCTGGTATGCAGCCCACCAATCTACCGCTCCGTCATATTTCGGTCGGATATAATACGGCTTCAGAGCATCGACCGCTTGCTGAAAGATCCCCTCCAATGTCACCTTTCCCCTTCGCTCCTTCGCACGCCCCTTCTGGTCACCAGACCCGTTTGCGGCGACCTGCCCCTCCAAGACCTCGTCTTCCGGCACCTGGACGTACAACCTTGTTAAGTAGTCCCCAGTCGCAATTCGCTCGCGCGGAATGACCATGACCGATCCCGCAGGTGAATGAATCGCGCACCGTCGTCGAATATCCGGGAAATCAGTATCAACCACTAAATCGACAACACCCCAAATGTGATCCATCGACTCGCCCACCAAGTTCAAGCCCATGCACCGTCTAACAACCGAGTGCGCTCCATCCGCACCGACCAGATATTTCGATCGAATTGTCCTCCGTTCACCCTCCGTCTCGATCTCCGCGAGGACCGGAAACTCCGCGTCACCATCCTCGTCGGTGCGCACATCGACAAGTTTAGTGTTCCGCTGCACGCCGCGCCGCGAATACCGCAACAGATCCGTCTCCAGGATCCGCTCTAGGCGGCCCTGATGGATCGTTACTTCGTGCTTGAATCGCGCGGGCACAGCCACGTCCGGCACGATCGAGGTGCGCTCAATAACCTCGTCCTTGTTCTCGGAAGGATTCCAAAATGCCACCTCCGCCATGTGGCAGCCATCGTTGAGAATCTCGTCAGCGAGACCCAGTGACTTCAAGACCTCTAGCGTGCGCGGTTGCAGTCCGTCCGCCTGTCCGGATATCAGAGTCCCGGGTTTCGCGTCGACGCAGAGCAGCGAGGCGTCGGAGAGGCCGTAGCGCGCGAGAAGCACGTTCAATATGAGACCTGCGGGACCGGCGCCGACGATGACGACTTCATAACATTCGCAACCGCGGTCAGCATTGGGAGTGAAGGCTGGGGAAAGTCGGGGAAGAGGAGGCGCGAAAGATGGCAGGACGCGGAGGTCGCGTGACGACGAGGCGTATTCTGTAAAAACGGGCATCGCTTTAGCTTCTCGGGGAATGCAATTGAAGAGCGACGAAGGAAAGAACTGGGGAAAGCATTATACTAATATAGGCGCAGGTAACGTAGTCGGAAATTGACTCCACTGGCGCCAATAATTGACATGCGGGGTTTGTACTGCGAGATTTCCGACATGATGCGGCTTCAATTCCCCCATTCCTGCCCCTTAGCTGGTTCCAATGCCCGGATAGGTAACAGATGGATACCGAAGGGCGCCAATGATGGCGGGGATTGAGCGACCGCTTTGCTGACCGGTCGCTTACTTGAACCTCACCAATCGGCGCTGATCGGCGCTGGTGGTGCCCCTTGCTCCACTTCTGTAGCGGTCTTTAAGAGTCTTTAAGATGCTGCCTGATTCTTAGCCTATGATTATCGATGATTGAGTATAGAGAACTGGAGAGGGTGGGAGCTGGAAGTTGCAGGAGAGTGGGACAAGATATCCTGAATTGAGACTGACTAGTGACAAAATGATGCACAATCTCATAAAACAAGGAAAGTTTAGGCGCGAGAAGTCGACAACAGCCGTGGATGAGAAAGTATCACCTGTGCCTCACATGACTCTCAATGAGATCCAGCCTTCATCACGGGACATGCAGCCAAAATAAGCAAACCAAACAAAGAAGAAAACAAACAAAACGAACTCGACAGATCGTCTCTTCTTGAGAAAGCAACAATCTCGCGAGACTGAAGTCCAAACCCATCACATCGAAAGAACACTCTTTCCACCATCATCAGTCAATCTGGCTCGGACTTTGATAGTCAAATGCTGAGCACCCAACTGATGGATCGTCACCTTGCCATCATCGGCTACAGTAGTTCTGACAGTAGCACTCGGAGCAAACAGCAGCGCTTGTCCAACACCGAGGCGCACGATCTTCGTAAAAAGCGTTTCTGCCTCGCCTTCCTCAGGGTGGTCGTCAAGCTCATTTTCGGAACCAGGCGTAAGAGCGAAGCAGTTATCGACAGCACCAGCGAGATGGTGACGGAGAATCCGCAGCCATTCTGGGGAGGTGAATCTGTGAACTATGGTAACAGAGCACAGATTCAGCAGAGCAGTGGAAATCGTGGGTTCCTGAGTCGAGATGATGACCCGGACTCCGAGATGACGCTGCAGCCTGACAACCAACAAGAGGGTGTTTGTGAATGCGCTTGCCTCGGCGGATGAATTCATGTACTATGAGGTCGATAGGTGTCAGATCAAATATGAGGACACTGAGGTGAAGGTGAGGGGAGAATGAGATGTAAATTCAGACCTTGTGTGCTTCATCTAACGCAACCACACGACCAACTGACTGATCCTGCTCCAGAAAGATGCCCAAACAGATGTTGAATAGCGCACAAGCAGTATCCGGCGTGATGCATGGACAGGACAGATCAACAATGGTCAACCGACCAGGCTAATGAATTTAGCAAATACTGAGTGCACAGCAGTGATGATAGAATTTCGTACCACGGGGTCCCAAACCGAGCCTCGCCTTTCAACCTTCTTCTTGCTTTTGCCATGACCACTGAGCCCAATCTGAGGCTTCGACAGGAAGCTTTCTAGTGTATCAAGGCGCTGCTTCAAGGGTTCAGTCTGCGCGATGGTCAAGTTGGAATCGAGCAGGCGGCTCTTGAACTTCTCGTAATTGAAGCCCATTCCAGTCCCCTGCTGCTCAATGCGAAGTTCCCTCAAGATCCGCAGCACAGTGTGCATGTAGAGTGGCATGGGGCCATCACCTTGACTAGCAGCCATGAGGTCAAGCATTCTCTGAGTATTGAGGTCTGATTCGTCGATCTGAAGGGGCTCGACTTCAACGTTCTTGAGCCGCGAGTAGGCGAACTTTTATGAGGTCAGTTCTATATCACGAAGAACTAAATTCAGATCTACTTACCTTGACGGACTGAATGTTAGTAGGTGAGCATAGAATCCTCACTTTGACATTGGGATTCGACGACAAATAAGCCGCCTCACAGGGAGAGCCCATGGTATCGCTGATGAACGCATCATAATGGAAGACAAGTCCTGTCAACGGACGCTCAAGACATCCAGCCTTCGAAGGGATTAGGCAATTCTCAAGCATGCAAGACAAAGTATGACTCTTCCCAGAGCCCTGCGAGCCGCAGATGAAGGTGCTCGAGGGCGAAGTGACATTGAAGAAGACGCGGGGATCGCCAAGTGCAGTGCGGATATCTCTTTCCCCATCTTGGCTCTGAGACTCCATGTTCGGAGCAAGCCCTGCCAACAGGCCATACTGCTGTAACTTTGGAAACATTCTTTTACCTCCGTTTGGCACGCTGGAAGGGATATTCAAGGCGCGACCTGCGACAATGGGAGCCAAAGAAGTCTCTTCACATTCCTGTTCAGACTTCACTGGGGCCAGCAGATCAATGTGATCCTTGATCCTTCCTTGGTCGAAAATCTGGTCTTTGCAGACGGAGGAGTGGTAAGTATGAGGGAACATATCATCTCCTTGGGTGCCAACGGCAGATGGGCCATCAGCCATTCCCAGACCGACAGAGCAGTCAGAAGAATCCATAGTGAAGAAACTGGAGAAATATCAAAGCACTTGAAAGCGATATAGCACAACTCCCACTGATAAATCGAATGAATAAGTATCAGCAAGTACGCAAATACTGGCAATGACAATAAGATGTGCACAAGAGAGAAAATGGGAAGAAGAAGATTCCAAGCTTACAAGAAAAGTTTTCAGACCTAACTGTGAATGAAGCGATAGAAGGGCCGGGACCATGGTAAGCGACAAATATCGTGATTTTGTTGCTGGGTTCCAACCAAAACAAGAAATTACAAACAAACGGCCCAGTGCCGCGACATCAAAGGCCGATAGCAACCAGGCGCTTGTTCCCATAGCAGCATATCACAGCAGCTACCTTCAAGCTCACGTCTGTTGCGTAGTCCTGTCAACGTGCATGGGATTAGAAGACCCCGAGCCCTCCGAACCTCATGTCATCACTAATATCCCCGTTTACTCTACTGATGAGCCCACCCAGTAAACTCTTTAAGCCCCTATCGCGACAACGACATTGTTCCTACTTCTTATATCAGAACCAGAGTAACAGAGTACAAGCCGCTGGTGCACAGGAAGGTATCTGTTGACCTCAGGGCAACATTCCGGCGTTTTCCACATCACGCGGAAGTTAAATCCTCCCTGGGGAAACGTGGAGTCAAGTGCTTGCTCACACCACATATTGTAGAGAAGTAAGAGAACACCTCAAATCCATCGGGGTGGGGGAGTATACAGAACTTTGGGGCAGTCATAACATGTCTATAGGCGAGCCTTTGGGTTACGGGATATACACATGGAACAGACTGGCTCCAGCAGTTCGGATTCGTCAAAGTTCGGCAAGGGGATCAATAACATGGGTGGGTGGAAAGAGAGCTGAATACCCTCTTAGAAGCCCTTGGCCTAGGTAAAATGATAATTATCACAAGAAGTTCTTAAATGATAGGCTCAGCATCCTCACTGAGTACCTTGAACAATATTGGGGCAGAATTAATAATAATACCAGTCTTCTTCTCACTCTCTCGGCTCCCGGGATAACTCAATATTTTTTTTTTTTTTTAAAAAAAAAAAAAAAAGGCCGGGTCAAAGCAAAGGCTCTACTAGATCAAAAATCCGCCTTGTGGTGGTCTATATCGCTTTATGTATGTGAGACTGACAGTAGTATGCTAGAATTGGTCTTCTGTGTATTTATCTGGGATCCTCTTCTTTCACTGAGGTGCTTCTGGTATTCTGGGGGAAGTAGACAGTTTGCATCTACCATGCATCCCCATGCACAAGCCTGTCTTCAAACCATAGCATGGCTTTTTTCTGTGTATGGCCCCCTTCTGTTTCGTCAGCTTTGTCAAATTTGAAGAGACTCTTTCCTCTGACTGATCCAACTTTATCCAGCTCCTTGTTATTTGCCGCCGGATAGTACTTAACATCATACCAGCGGTCAGGGTCTGCAAGCGTGGGCACCAGTTCGCCGACTGTGGCCTTGATCTGATTCCACTGTTTAGTGTAGTCGGACGCTTGTGGATTTTTAAATTGCCTGAAAACCTTGCTTGGACGGATGAGGTAGGCCTTGATATGGTCATCCTCTATCTTGTCGGCGACGAGTGGGGCGTGGAGTTTCCCTCCGTTCTTCAACATATCGGTGACAGTAAGCTCAAACAACTCTTGCTTTTTAAGCTTTGGGTCTCCATTCAGCCATATCTTTTCCGGAGCGAAGGAGACACTTTCCCAGTAGTGTGCTCCATACACCGCTTTGCGGCTGATGATATACAGGGCGGTGCACCCTTTGAGGCCCTCGATGCCGGTGCTAAACTCCCTCCGCCGGGTCCGGTCATATTCCAGCATCAATGCCGCACTCAACCAGGTCGGATCCTTTTTGGTCTTGTCGCGTGTCACGATCGTGTTCGAAATATATGGGAGCTCCTTTCCGTAGAAATCGTATAGTGCTGGCAATGATGTGCCTTCCGGCTGCTTCATCCGTTTCGCCAGAGCCGTCGTGGTTGCTGCCGTCCTGGTGACATTGCGGTCAATTCGGAGGTATCCTACACTGCGCTTGCTGCTGCTGCTGCTGCTGCTGCTGTTTTCATCCTCTATTTGAGGTCCGCACTTGCTCCTCTCGAAAGCGTCGCCAAATGCCAGCCATGCCAGTAGTAGCCACAGCAGCCTCATGGTTGATAGACGTATTTATCGGGCGGTGGGGACAGTTGCACTGTTTGTTCAAGTGAGTATGTGTGTAAACATAAGGGAGGGAGGAGGAATGAACGTCTATTCAGTACACTGACATGAATGTTTTGACTCGGCGCAGGCTGTGCTGCATTCGATGTTGGAATTCGTATAATTTTCGACTTCCTCTGTGCACTGGACACACAGCTGAAGTTATGATGGCTTCAAGTCAGCTGGGTATGGATTCCAAGGAAAGTGAAGCGCACGCAGACTGATGAGATTTTATATTCGCTTTTGCAATACAAAGGGGAAGTCGCTGTTAGAGAAAGAAAAATACTGCGGCATCCCTTCCTAAAACACACCACCCCTCTTTCTACCTCACCGAACTTTTTCCTAGTGCGAGTTGTAGAAAGGCCGAAAATGAATGATTAGCCCCATAGTACATGGAGCATACCTAGCACAATACACGCTCAGTAAGATATCCTTGTAGCCAAACAGTCATTGTACCCACCTTTGAGGACCCGCTAAGGGTAAAAAGTTATCAACAAGCACTAGCCTAGACACTAAGCCTCGCATGATATTCGCCCCACCCATAGGATAACAATGCCTTAAGAGTGGACCGATACGTCCCAGTACCTGAAACTATTTTGTTGGTTCCCCCAATGATGGGCTCGGAGATCAAAGACAGTCAACCATACCGAACCAGAGAATCTGGTCTTGATATATATGGAAGTTGGAAAACACCTATCCGCTCGGCCGAGCTTTTTGGACCCTCCGATTGTGTTAAATTACAATTCTAGTAATCTTCATGTTGGGACAGGGCCATTGCCTCGCTTAATTGACAATTTTCTAGTAGGGTTTTTACGGGTCATGTTAAGTGTGGAAAGCATCTATGAGTCTCCTTCCTAATCAGGCTTAAAATACCGCTGAACCTAAGTTGGTCATCTCTACTCCAACAGTTATATCATCTGTATTGAGCAATAACAGATCGAGAGACAGATTATCACTATATTTAGCAATATCCCAATGGGTATCACGTAGCACTGAATTTGATCATAATTATAGGGTACTCATGGTACTGTAGCCCGTACTACTCAGTCATCGGGAGCACGGCATGATTCGGCCCTGCTCCGAGCAGAGACAAATTGCACCATGGGTCGCTATACTATAGTTATTATCTAGGGCCGACCCAGTAAACTGGTTTGGTGGCGCCGCCTCCTCTACGGTGTACACCGGAGTCTTTCCCCAACCGGTCAATGAAGTAACCAACCAAGCGAGAAAGTCAAAACCATTTCGCAATAAACTTATCAAACACTGTGGTGTAGAATTAGTGAAAATAATCTGCTATAATGCAACCGGTGCTTCCGGGCGGTTTGGGGTCAATCACCAGCCGACATCAAGGTCCCGGGAGGACCCCAGTGTCTCCGGGTGGGAGCGGTGCTAAATCCCAATATCAAGGAGCGAGAGGGATTGGAGCCTGTATCTGGGTCGGCTACCGCGGATGAAGTGTCCCAGGAGGGGGTCGGGGTACATCGAATGTATAACGACTATTAAAAAACAGACGAATAACGCGATGGACCTAGGTCACATAGTCTCCCATACCGAGCAATATGATGCGTACGAGGTAGCTGACCCCTTTCGCCCAAAAGGAAATTGAAAGAAGAGTGGTCAGACAAGGATTCTATTTCATGTACGGCAACCGGTGGCAATCGACAATCCGGCGGCGGTCCTTGATTTACAATACATTTTTATCTTAAAAATATAGAGAATTACAAGCAATTTTCGCTGTATAAGTCCACTTTAGTGACCCAACACCGCTGCTAAGCAATGAAAACAATAGTTGATAGATTGGAAGACAACCCGTTAGTGAATCCATCTCAAGGACCAACATGCTAGGCTCATAGGATAGACTATGAAGTGTTTCAATCATGCAAAACAATCGTAGTATGATACAAAGGCTTCCTAGAATATAAGGCAGGCTTTTATGATTCTAGAGTAACCATGGATTGTACAAGAAACTGAAGAATAGAAAGGAAGGAAGGATTCAACCGAATACTGTTCTCTACTAACGCAAGTCCCACGAAGTTAGTTGATTTGGCTAAGGGACAACATTGGTACGACTCCGTGTTCGACTGCTGATATTATCCTGAGAGAATACATTCTTCGGGGAGCTCTTGGAAGCAGTGTGCTGTTTTTTGGTTCTTATGTTCCTTTCGGTAGGCTCTGTGGCATCCTGGATACTCCGCTTTTCAGTATGAGCTTGCACCGGGTTTGATCCATGCACACGCTTGGCGTTCATTTTCGTTTGTTCCAATTGACTCCCATCGGTAGGTTGCTCAGATAAAGTAGTTTGAGAAGTATTTTGATCGACCGGGGCATCTGGGAGGAGATTGAGCACCCTCCTAAATTCCTCCTCATCGTCAGGATCAGACTGCCTCATAAACTCGGCTACCTCCGCGGGAGTTTCGTTAGGGAATTGTCTGCACTCTACTCGCATCGTAGGATCGGCACCCGCGTCTAGCAGTACTTGGATGACATCCTGCATGGCGAAATGGACGGCGCAATGTAAAGGCGTGCCCCATTCCGCCGAGGTCACGTTCGGATTCAGACCCCTGCTAAGAAGGAATCTTGTCTTGAAAGCTGTATTCGACAAGCTCCGATTGATAGCGTAGAAGAAAAGGCTACCTTCTATCTTGGCTCCATATTCGACAAGCAGGTCGAACAGAGCTCCGCCGTCTTCATAGGCACTCTCAACGGCGCTGGCGAGGGGGGGTATCTTCTTCGGACCGCAACGATTGGGATCAACACCCCTCTCAAGGAACTCGCGGGCACAGGCGGCATCTACAAAACTAAGTCCCCAGAAATTAGCCAGGCTATCAGAATCAAGCTCATCTGACAATCGACGTACCGTAGAAGAGGCTCGCCGCGGCTCGTCTTACAATTTGAGGGTTTCAGGCCACGATCGAAGTAGAGACGAATAATGCGCGGGTCTTGAGATACGCTGAGAGCGCCTACTGATAGGGGTGTCCTGGGCACGCGGGCCTTGAAGAGCGCGGTCACGATATCCAAATGTCCGTTAAAGGTGGCGACATATAGTCCGTTTTTGAGAGTCTCCGTAGGGAGTTGCTTGCTGGCGAGGGCCTCTTTGACTTTTCGTAGATCACCGTTCTTACACGCAGATTCGAATCCTTTGCAGAGAGTCTCGGAAGAGAGTTTTGCGTGGCCGAGAAAGCTCATGATTTTATCTCCGTCGGCGTTGTCACAAGCATCATAGAATTCTTTCTCATAGGCGGCACAATCGGTAGGTGAGGCTTTTGGTAGCATTGAGGAAACAAAAGAAGAGATTTGTGTGGAATAAGCTGTCTGGACTGCAGAGAGGTGGAAGACAAATTTATGCATGGAAAGGCAGGCGGTGGAGAAAGTAGAGGTGCCGGTGTCCAGTGGCCGCCCTTTGTGTGCCACGTGATAAAACTCTAGTACGAAGACGGCTAGACTTGCGGGCGGACCAGTATTTACGAATTGCCTTACTGGGACTAGTTGCACCTGGTGATCGATCGCCAATCGGTGATCTACGATTCCCCCAAATTGCCTACAGCCGATCGCTTAATCAACTGAGAAAGTTAACTACATACTGCCCATTATTAAGTTGCTCTGCTATGAAGCTCACTGGAGCCTACAGATACTAGCTTTGTCGTACTGAGAATGATCAATCATGTCTATGATTGCCGCTACTGAGTAAGCTTCTTGGACTGCCTTTGTGGACCACAATCGAATAGTTGAATTTACTTGGAAAATTCTTTCGCGAACTAGTGGTTCTCGCTTGTCGCGAAGAGTCACAGTAGTTTATAAAAATTTACCCTCAGGATCCAGTCGAAAGGCCGAGTCCATCCGGGAATGATTCTAAAAGGTGTTTCTTTTTCCTAATACGCTTAGTATGTACATGTTCCCATGAACCCATAAGCAATCCGCCCCACTCTTATTGAGAGCCCGTGCAGTAGCCGTTAAGTGGGGAAACTTGGCTTTTCGGAGTATATTGCCCCACTTGTGCCAAGGTATCAATACAATACACCCAAGCCTCGCAATCACTACGGGAATTTTTACGAGCTTCGTCGAGGCTATCCGAACGCTGTTTTTTCGAATAACTAGTCCATTAGTTGGCGACAGTATGCTGGACTGACATCAAGGTCGAAAGTGTCCATAGCCACGAAGTGGTAAGTATTCATCATATGCTTAAACCAGGACAATTGAAGGACATTGTATCCCCACAAATCTCCACCGTACTATCGAAAGCCACCTAGTATGAACCATAGTACTGATTCGGAGGAGTCATTTAGATTTCCATGGTAGTTGTTACTCCTAGACTGACCCATTTAGCCTGCCTTTCCCAAGGAACAAGCCTCGGCTGAATCCCTTCTCGGTATAGTCCCGGCTCATTGTCGGTCCCGGGGTTTCGTAGGGCTCATCAGACTCTGTATAGTATGCAGAATATGCGTGTGTAGGTTGTGTATGTGCAAGAGTTACAAGCCTTGTCACCCTAATCTCCACTTGTCTTACTTTCATTTCCACAATTCTGACATTTTCCTCTGTACAGCAAGCTCGCCTGAATTGAGCATTTCACCGGAGCAAAGCAGGGTGTGAAACTTTGTTACCAAGCTCGATTTATCTACAATGTTGGATCAGTATATATAGCAGAGCCAACGCGCGTTTGCCAGACTCTCTGTCGACATCCGCAAATATATCACTCTCTTTTTCTTTGGACGCAATGGCGCCTCCGTCACTTTCTTTACTATCTCTCGCTTTCTTCTCTATACTTGCTCATGCAGATGATGCCTATTTTTCCGTGGGCGACCTTGGTCAGTATACCACAGATGGAGTACGTCTTTATGAATTCCCACCGATTTCCTTCCTCAAAGCATTTAACACCTCTCCAGATCCCTACACCTGTCCTCACCGGGTCCGTGATTGATGTTACCTCAGTGGGTGACCCGGCCAATAATGGGATTTTAGTGTTCTTGTCTCCAGATATGCAGACCAGCCTGAAATCCACGATGGATAGCGACTGCACGGGAGGTATCGACTCAAAATGCTATCAAGAGGTGCTGGACGTCCTTGAGAGCCCTAGTCAGGTTCTGCAATCCCGCAGTTTGCACCAGCGGGGACTAGAGCCACGCAACCCGCTTCTTTTATTGTCTGGTGCTGTGGCAATTATCTCCATGATAGTAGCCCAGTTTTATGAGGCTGACAATGCGATCCCGGAACCAATCAAGATTCCCCCGGATCAACTGGAGGAATCTTTCGACCTGGAGACCGCTACTGCCATCGTCTTTGTTACAGAAAATGACAAGCCAACGCAGACCATCACGCAACCTGCAGAACAGGATAAGGCCACTGGACTGCCAGCCACGATTACGACCTTTGCAAGTGCCACCAACGGTGCGAGCAAGGGGGATTTGGGCATCGTGTTAGATTCGACAGTCGCGGCGCACCTCCAGGCGCTGCTTTCCGGCTCAGAAACCAGCAGCTGCGAGGTGGGCGACGATTTCTTTTCTTCCTCCTCCCTCCAGACTCGCTCGCTGGACATGACTAGTATCATCTGTGGCGCCGAGAATATCCTTGTCGATGGTATCGGCCGGGAGGGGTATCCCAACTGGCTTGTTATGAACCAGGGTCGGTTTCCGTGGACCAACGCGGAGCTTGTGGCAGGTCGCAATGCGGTGGTGCAGTGGGCACTTACCCAGGCCCATCGGCTGAACCCGACCATCAGCGCAACTCACCTCCGTTCCTTGGCTGTTGGGGCCTTTGCCTTGGCCGTGACCTACTCCATCAACGGAGTTATCACGACCAACAATGTGATTCCTTCCGCATCGCTCCAGGGAGGTCCCACTGCCACGGTGTGTCAAGCGCAGACGGCTACACAATGCGGCGCCGCGTGCGAGATCCAGCCATTTGCCCCTCAATTTGCCTGCTCGACTGCCTGCTCGACCGTCACGTCTTGCGACGCACTGGACACAATCACCACCACTCGCACTGCTACGATGACCGGCTCCGATGCCTATCCAACGGGCTCAACGGGTGGCAAAGGGCAGCAGATTGCGGTTGCATCATACATAAATCCGCTTAGCGACCCGGCCGCTTGGGATCGACTAATCGAGTATCCTGTGGAGAAGATGCCCATCTTGGTTGCGAACGCTGTGAATGGCCCTGATTCGGCCGTCGACGAAAACTGGCAAGACGTGATCCAACGAGCTTCGTCTTCGGGTAAAACGGTTCTCGGCTACGTGCGAACTGGCTACCTGGGCGTGAGTGTCCAGAAATTCCAAACTCGCCTAGGCTCGGGCGCCCTCGCGGATTGGACTGCTCAGATCGAGGAAGATGTCGATATGTGGTACTCGCTCTATGGCGACAGCATTGGCGGTATCTTCTTTGACGAGGGTTGGCCTGAATGCGGCGACAACAATGAATACGTGGATTTGTACAAGTATATTAACGCCTATACGAAGCGTGCTCATCCCGGCGCGCTCACTGTCCTGAACCCTGGGTCGCCTATGGCGTCTTGCTTCGAGGATACCATGGACACACTTTTGACTTTCGAGCTGAGCTACGACGCTTACATGAACTCTTACACCCCTAACGACTGGACACCCAAGGACCCGCGGAAGCTGTGGCACATCGTATACGACGTGCCCGCATCTGCGGTGAACGAGGTCGCCAAACTAGCGAAGAAGCGCGGGGCTGGCATGATTCAGCTGACGGATGACACTTTGCCCAATCCATACGACACCCTTCCCGCGGATTCATACATTCAGAGTATGATGAACGCAATCGATGGTGGCAAGCCGTTGAATGCAAAAGCGGCATCCTGGAAATCTGGAAGCGCTGCAGGAGCTGTTTCTGGCCTGTCGGTCACGACCTCAGACTATAGCTCTGCCAAGATAACCTGGAACTCAGCGTCCAATGCTCTTGGCTATCATGTTTATTCGGGCGATAGTATCATTGCCAGCGTTCCAAGCTCAATGACGACGATCACTATCGGCGGTCTCACATCCGGTTCCAGCCACGAGCTCCACGTCAAAGCAGTAGGCGGAGGCGGAGATACTGGGTCCCCCTCGAATACAGTCACTGTGAACACCAAGTCTCTGCCCGGTGGCAAGACCGTCGTCAACTACCATTCCTCTCCCGGTGCCACTTCAACCACTATCCAGGCTGATATTCTTGTTCCATACTCCTTCGTCCGCCTTTACCTCTGGGACTCCGTGGGCTGTGAGTTCGACACGAACCCGGGATGGAGCGTCAATTTCAAAGTCGACAATTACGTCTGCACTCACTACATGGTCGAGGGTACCACACTCTACAGCTACAACGGTGTCCTTCCTGAGGGCTCTACGGCGCCGCCTTGGTCGTGGAAGGTGGTCGATACGATCACCCTCGATGTTACCGGTTACACCTACAAGTGGACCTTGCCACTGGGAACTTCCACTGTTGATACAAGCAAGTTCGTGGTACAGGCGCAAGGCTACAATCCCTTGACCAACGCCTTCGAGCCAGATCCTATTGCGTATGACTGCAAGGGCTCGCCTATGTGCACGACCCCGGATCTGTTGAAGTGGTGCGACCACGCCGTTAATACCCTGCACCGAGACGATGACCCTTTCTACTTTGCGGCGTCTGCGTGAGTAACCTTCCTCCCGTTTGCCTTAGACCATTGCTAATGTTGACCCTCTAGAAACGAGACCGGAATCAACCAATCCGGGAACTGCTGGGGCGATCAGACTCGGAGCTGCGGCGTCTTCATCCAGGGCGATGATAGCTGCAGAATCAGTGGCAACGATCTATGGAACGACTACCAGAATATCCGCAACATTGGCGGTTGTTCCAAGTGTGGTTCATTTGAGAGGGAAGACGGCTGTCTGGTTACCATCAACTATGTCTATGGTTGTGATAACCACAGCTAGTCTGTGGCCGGTGGAAGGGCTATACTTGGGTTTCAAAATTTTGAACGCGTTTATTTAGCGATAGCTGTTCTCATGTACACTCATAGAAGTAGTTAGAAATTTCTAAGACCATAGATCACTAATCATGTCTTCTCTGTTGTGGGCTGGTTCCACAGGGTAGCGAAGAATCTCCTTAAACGATGACATTTCGGATGGGGTGTATTGGCTAGTATTTAATAAAATACAGATTGCGGGTCTACCCGCGCTCTCCACTGTGGGGTAGGCCTTAGCGTCATGGTTCGGAAAATGATTTCACAACTTTATCTCGATTGACAAACATTCGGAAATTCATACGGAGTATATCCGAGATGTGGAGAAGCTAGCAATTAGATATTCATTTATTAACTACCTGAAACCTCTTCTTGAAGAGGACTTGAAGACTCCGAGTAATTTCGCTCCCCAATTTAAGCCAAACAATTATGAGGCTGCAATGATTTCCGTCCAGGTTCTTCAGAACCTGCTCTTGGATCAATTGCTCTGTGAACGCCCAGACCTGCTGCGAACTGTGGGTCTCGAACGCTGCTCCAGTCCAGAAGGTTCCTGGGTGGTTCTGCAAGTCATTCAATTTATCGTAGAACCCATCGGTCGACTGCCCAGATAAGCGCAGTTCGTACGAACCGCGACTACTTATTATAACAACCTTCGGTTGTGAGATATTGATCCCAACCTAGAAAGATCTGAGCAATGTCCTTGCACTTTCTTATCCAAGGGAAGGTCATTTCTAAGCCACCACGAGAGAATGAACATGGATTCTCAACGGTCCCGGAACAATCTCCGTTGAACTGTATGGCCTCGTTTGCCCGTTATGGCTTAGCGCACATGTGACCCATAGGTACCCAACGGTCTTCGAGACCTTTCATAGGCATCCATGGATGCTGCATCTCCACCGTTCTGTCAATATCTATGACAATGCTTGGCATCGAAGCTTCAACTTTCGCGGGCTCTCGTCGTCTCCGAGTATATGATGTCGTTAGATGTCTTAATTAGTTTTGCTACGCCTGGTTGAGATGTGCCTGAAGAAGGTATGAGTGCAAAACTAGCCTAGCCTACAAGCCCTTTCACTTCCCGTTACTGATATATTCAATCATCTGCAGCTTGGTAAACTTTCTGCCACAATGCTCGAGAGTGGCACCACAGAGAACTGCCCTTCTCCACGGGGATTCGCAAAAAGCTCACCGAGACGGTATCAGCGCAGTGTGGTCAGTTACCGGAGTGCAGTGAAAGCACGTACCGAGGTATGTACTCCAATGCAGGAGGCACTTTTCGCACACTCGCTGAAGCAAGAAAATGGGTCCATAGCGCGTTTTGCTCTGAACTCCAAACAAGGGATCGATACAGCCAAGATTCGTGAAACTTGGCTTGCCGTTGAGGCAAACTCGATTTTGTGCACAATATGGATCCACGACTCTATCCTCGGCACATATCAGGTTGTCCAGCGAGTCTCTATCAGTTGGAGGGACACCGGGAATCTATCTTCTGTGTTAGCGGCACAATTGGCAAAACACGGCATTGACGCCGGGGTTGTCGTTGCCGTGTATATTGCTAGACCGTTTTGACTCCCTGTTGTCCGAATGGATGTCCTCAAAGCCGATGCGGCATTCCTTTTCCATGATGTCGAGCAATTTGAGGAACTTCATTCACTCTGTATGAACACTGGTTTCGCTGGTTGTCTGTCTGGGCTCTGATGCTGCTTCTGCATCGCGTCTGTGTCCAGACGTGTTTCATTTTGACCCAGACCTGAGAGTCCAACGCGATGCAGACGGTAGCATCCAGTCAGAGGCTCGTGTTCTACCAGACGACTTGTATAAAGATGTATTGATATCTGGGAGTGCAGGCGAGCCAAGAGGAGCTATGATTTCCCATCACTCTTTCTGCTCCACTATAGTGGGGACCAACCATAGGGCAGGGTGTGGACCAGACACACGATCCATTCTACTCAGTTCCTTTCCTTTTTTTTCTTCTGCATATAAACTATGTTTGACCCTCTAATTACCACAGGCTGCGTGTGCACACCACAAGACGTCACAAATATCCCCGAGTCAATCTCGCTGTTTAGAATTAACATGATGAAAGGTCGAAGCGCACTTCTTAGTGAGCTTGGCCCGGCAAACCACCCTGGGATTCGAAAGGTTAAGACAGGTAGAGAGACGCCAACCAAGGAAGTCTTTGAGCGCTGGGATAAAATATCGTTCTTTCAGGAGTACGGGCTAGCTTTTTGTGCTGTCACTATGGCCATATCAACAGATTCATATCCCTTCGTCCTTGGAAAACCACTAAGCTGTCGTCTGTAGATCGTCGATGCTAACGACCATGAACTTATAATGCCACTGGCGAACTTATTATCGAGGGGCCCACCGCGGGTCTAGGACACATCAATGATCCGGGGAGATTAGAGACGTCTTTCGTCAGCCTGTCTCTTGGAAGAGCCTCGGGTCCTATACAACAGGCGACTTGGTCCATTATACTTCCGACGGACAAGTTCAGTCCATTCGGACGCAAAGACGGACAAATGAAGATCAACGGGCAACGCGTTGAGCTAGGTGAAATCTAGTATCACATCCAGCAGGCTCTCCCGGAACAAGCCCATGTTGTTGATGACGTAGTTCAACCAAATGGAAATAGTGAAAATCGCCCTCTCCTAGTTGCCTTTATGTGCTTGCCAACCCCAGCTCCTGATCCAGTGCCCACCATGGAGAAATCTCTCTTTTTTGTCGCAGATGGCCAATTCCCACATCTCGTGCATATTCTCAAGCAGTTCCTGACGAACTTATCGCCCCGTTACATGATCCCAGGCGCTTTCCTTTCAATCTCTCTCATGCCCCATACCGCAAGTGGTAAGTCTAACCGCGGTCACTTCCGCGAGGCTGCAATGGCCTGCAATCGGTATGAATTACTTCATTTCGGTACAGTGAAGAAAACCGAGAAAACACCTCCGTCGAATGATTGGGAAACTCCTCTGCGTCGAATCTGTGCCAGAGTGCTAGGGCGGGACCCAGAGTCTATTGGTATGGATGAATCTTTTCTAGATCTGGGAGGGGATTCGCTCCCTGCGATCAAGCTCATCCAAGAGTCTCGTCGAAATGGAATCAAGTTAACTATGCCTAATATGTTCCGACATCCCCAGCTTTCGAAGCTTGCAGCTACTTCTATCCGCAATGGCATTTGTCGTGACAGTACTGGTTACAGAAATTGTGACTGCTAGGAACTCATACGAGTGCCAATAGTCGAGGGCTGGCGCTCGTCCAGCTTAGAGTCAACCATTGGCAAAGTGGAAAGACTGAAATCAGCCATGCGAAGCCCACGAAATCAGCGCGCTTATGAGTTATGTGACCTAGCTATTCTCTTAATAATGATGAATTTTCTCGGAGACTCATCTACGACAGTATGAAGAGGGGGTTTCCCGATAGTATACTTTGATCGTTACGCTTCATGGTCTTCTCGGCCTCTTTATTGACTGATAATTGCTTTTGTTTCTCGTCGAGGAAGGTTTCCGATATACCAACAAGTGGTGGAACACGATTCCGCCATCTCCAGCTGTCAAGCAATCGAGTGATGCCGTACCGGTAGAAGATGATTGAATGTTTCCGGTTAGGTAGCAGATAGCAGAGCATGGATCATTCAAAGAGCATATCACTTTCGCATGTAGACACGCATCCTTCAGAGCCACTCCCCCTTGCTTCACATAAACATCAAGCAGAATATCAACATACCATCGTCTTCTTTTCCTTGCAACTAAGCCGCCCCATAAGCACCTCATCGTCTTTCCTTTTTATACTTCAGGAATTGCCTCGTGGCTCCGAGCATAATAGACTGCTCAGCCGCCAAACCCCAACAAATTAATAACTGGACCGTGGCCGACCGATCAATCGACGAATATCGTCCATTGCGAATTGCGATTATCGGCTCCGGTATGTCTGGCATCATCGCATCTATCCGACTTCGCCAGCGCATCGCAAACCTAGAATTATCCGTGTACGGGAGAAACGACGATATCGGAGGTACTTGGTTAGAGAATCGTTCTCCGGGTGTACTTGTGGTACTTCGTACCCAAATAGCCTAGGTCTTTCTGCTTTCGATTGTAAATCGTTACTCTTATGACTTATTCTTCCCACATCAGACATCCCAGCACACACAAACCAAGCGGTCTTCGAGCCAAACAAGGAATGGACGACGTTCTACGCCGCAGCGCCCGAGATACACGCGTACTGGAAGCGAGTGGCGCACAAGTACGGCTGCATGAAGTATGTGAAACTCAAACAGCAGGTCGTCTAGGCAGTGTGGGATGGGGAGGAGAGCAGGTGGCATTTACATGTAAGCATGACTATTCCGCTCAGTCGAATACAAGGTTCCAGCTGACGTGCGCCTATTTTACTACGCCCAGATCAAGGATTTGGCCAATGGCTCTGTCGATTCGGATGAATGCAACATCCTGATATCTGCCACCGGCGCCTTGAATGCTTGGAACTGGCCAGATATTCCGGGCCTTGACTTCCAGGGGAAGTTGATTCATAGTGCAAGGTGGGACGAGGAGTGTGATTACAACGTGAGTTGTCCGTGTCCGTGTCCAAGTCCATATCGCTTCGTGTCTCCTCTTCCTGGATCCATGTATCGTGTCCTGGTGCTTACATGTTGACGACATGACATGGCATCGCAGGGGAAACGAGTAGCGGTGATAGGTAACGGATCCAGTGGAATCCAGATCGTGCCGGGAATGTTGCCGAAAGTAGCACACCTCGACCATTACATTAGAAGTCGGACGTGGATTGCGCCCACTTTCGCTTGTGATGAGGTCAATAAGCGTGGCACTGAGCTGGGAAACTGTAAGTTCCTCCTTGGTTCCAGTCGGGGAAGGAGTCAGCCACATTAACTTTCAGGTTTCCGGGGGGCTTTTGAGTTTCTGTTACCCGGGGGGAAATAGACACGCTCAAGCAAGATCATCAGGTCTATCAGCGATTTAGGAAGGGTTAGTATATCCTTACCGAGACAATGTACTCGCAGATGTGTAGAGCTGCCTAACACTTAGAAAACTCCAGGTGTTCAACGTGAACTCCAATCCGTTCACAGTGCGACCAGGCTCGGAACTCGGAAGCAGATCGAAGCTCGAGATGTATGTGCGAAGGGCATGCGACAACGACTGTCCCGAAAGCCAGAGCTATTCGATCAACTTCTCTCCTCTTTTCCACCCTTTTGCCGCCGTATCACTCCGGGACCAGGCTACCTCGAAGCTCTGACAGGCGAATAGGTTGACGTAATAGCCAGCGATATTGTCAAAGTCAAAACGGATGGCATCGTCACCGCTGACGGCGCCCATCACCCTACCAATGTTCTTGTCTGCGCTACAGGCTTCGATACCACGTTCACGCCTCGTTTCCCTGTCCTGGGACGTGGCGGCCTCTCGCTATCAGAACGTTGGGAACAGACGCCTGGAACATAGCTCCCTCTAGCGGTTGACGAAGTTTCAGAATTACTTTATCTGTTTCGGACCTAATCCCGCATTAGGGGAAGGGAATCGGCTTGTTGTAATCGAGAAGTTGATCGACTACATCACCGCCTGCGCGGAGCAGATGCAGAGAGATAATATCCGGACTATGACTCCCAGGAAAGAAGCCGTGGAGCGGTTTGCCCAGGTATTGCGATCAGCATTTCTCCCGGACAACGCTCGGCCAGGGATTTAGGAGCTGGTACAAAGGGAGGCCTGAGGAGGGGAGGGTGACAGGATTATGGCCAGGTAGGGCAACCATTGAAGTACGTAGCTGAAGTTAATTTTGAGTCTGTTAACAGAATTTACGCTCTTCCCTCCATGCAATGACAGTGCTGGGTCATCCTCGGTGGGAGGATTAAATCTACGGATATGTCAACGACGATCCAGAAGGATGGCTTAGTGATGGACGCACGCTAAACGAAAAAAAACAAGGCCATTGACGTAGCTTATCTCGACGATGACCAGATTGACTTCCCATCGGCTGTGGTTGAAGGTTAGGTAGCGTTATGACATGTCAAGGACATGGAGGGTGCTGGGTTGACAGGAATTCCCCCCTCCCGAGGCTTGAGGAACCGTGGTTCACAGGACCGATTTGGTATTCAGCTCCGAATTTCTGTTCACATGGATGATCAGGTGTACTCCGGAGTATATGAGAGAGAGAGAGAAGGAAAGAGAGTGTGATAAGAGAGAGTGATAGAAAAGACATACTTCCGGGATGACAAATGCAGGGCGGGCAAACCCGGTTCGCGGCGAGGGCAAAACCGGCTGGCCAAAGTCTCCGCGGGTTCCCCATTGTTCCTTCTCGCCTTACTCCGTACACCCAACGTTTGGGCGGCTTTGCCACCGGTGCCAGAACCAGATCGTTTAATGCTGGCCTCTGTTGTCCCTTCGCCTTTGTCCACTTTGCCCTTGTCCACTTTGCCCCAGAATTCTCCCCGGTGAAATGTCCCCCGTCACGTTCGCTAGATATGCCTGCTTCCCATCATGAAGTCCGACCTTCCCAAGAACACCTGCGAAATTTGTTCCCGCAATTTTACTCGAGTCGACCATCTCAAACGACATCAATTGCGACGTATGGCCTCCCCAAATCAGCCATTTTCTTATTGGCAGCCGGTTTAATTGCCTGCGGTCATCCTTTCCTCCCCTTTTCTCCCCGTTCACGCCATGCGCCTGACCGTCGGATTCCCTTTCCCGACCATTGAACTTTTTTGTTTTGTTTTTTATTTGATTCCTCACTAACTAGTCCCATCAATTGGCTCGGTCGGCAGATTCCGGTGTTAAGCCCTACTCATGCACCTTCTGCGGTGAATCATTTGCTCGATGGTGAGTTCGAATGGCTGCTTTGTCTTTGTCCATAGTCGCACTGCTTCCGAACCTTTTTTCCGTCCCCCCTACTTCGGTCAAACAACTTGGTGGCTGACTAGTTTCCCCTTCTCAATTGACAGCGATAACCTTCGCGACCATTACGCGGATTGCAGCCGTCGCGGCGACCGAAGGATCCCAGAGACGGGCCAGAGAGGCAGACGCCGTCATGCTTGCGAATCGGCAAGTCCCCCGACCGTCTGGCGCAGCAATCGAACCCTCCTAACGCGTGAGCCTTCGATTAGTGTACTTCGATGAAACTTCGATGCGATGGAATGAGTCCATGCGGGTCTTGTACGAAACGCGGTTACCAATGCAACAATGAACGCAAAGATCACAAAGCACCCCGCGGACTCGGGACGAGCCCGGCACACCGCCAGAGCGACAATATCCGGTCGATGACCCAGCCCATACCTTTAAATCCAGTAATACCGCATCAGGAAAAGGACCACCAACCGCCATCGGATCGGGGCTCGATCAGGTTTCTGCTAAATGGCGGCACGGACAGTTTCACGGAGCGGTTCATGCTTCCGCCGCGCGGTGACCGAGCTCGTGGCCTGGAGTATCATACACAAAGGGAGGCAGAGGGAACTGAAAGCTCGATGATGGGCTATCCCGGCGTGAAGACCGAGCCGTCGGTATTCGTGGATTCCGATCCCTCGACGCTGTCGTTCTACCGAAATGATTTCCTCGACTTCTTCAATGGGCCATTTGGCGATCCGAATAAGCCGGTGGATGACGTCTATATCGGCGAGATTCCTCTCCAGACGGTGATGCCTCCGACGCAGGAACCCCGGTTTGCGATCCCCGGACACGCGCCCCTGCCCGAACCGGAACGACAGTTCTCAATATCAATGATCCAAGCCATTCTTGATAAAGCATACACCGTTCCGCTGGATCTCAAAGCGCAGCAAGAAATCACGACCGGGCTGAATTATTTTCTGACGACAGCCCGAATCCGCAAATTCGTTTCCATGTATTTTCGATACTGGCAACCCAGCTGCGCCATGCTCCATCAACCGTCATTTGATCCGGAAGTTGTTTCCCTGCCATTGCTCATTGGCGTAGTGTTCATGGGAGCCATGTACTCGGATGATACGACCGAACTCTACTTTGCTAGGCGTCTAGTAGACTTCGCAGAGCTCGTGGTATTTTCGAGCGATATCTATTCATGCGAGAACGAGATTAGCTCAGCTTTCGGTGGGCGTCGCAACACGGAAATCGAGATGAATGACTGGTCCATGTTCCAGAACTTCCAGGCCGGGTTCGTCATGGTAATTGCGCAGTACTGGGGTGGAAGCAGGGTATCGCGAAATCGTGCCATGGAAAATCGATTCAGCGAGGTCATCAAAGTATGTTGCGGTTGACGGGCCTGAAAAATATCAATGGCTGATGAGAAACAGGTGGCACGCAGGATCGGCCTTCCCAAATGTCGGCACCAGCTAGATGAACGCACGCACGAGGGCCTGTGGATCCAGAAAGAGTGTCGAATTCGGTAGGTGCCCTTTGTTTGAACAGTCTCCTCAACTCCCGACTTACGGCTATAGCACCATGGCGTATATCTCGCTCCTCGACTGCGCCTTTGTATTTTACCAAAACTACCCCTGCCGGTTATCCCACACCGAGATGGAGAGCGACTTTCCCAGCGCAGAGGCCGTCTTCGCATCGAGGCATCCATTTCAAGAGCGCAAGTTCCAGCTCAAGCGCGAGTTCAACATCAGCGACACCTTTCAAAACCTGTTCCACGAGCACGGCAGCCAGGCTTCGTCGCCGTCGGACCTCAGCATGTCTAGTGTCAATGTGCTATCAGGTCTAACGTTCCTCGACATGTTCATCCTCATCCATAGTAAGTCATCGTCTTTCAGTCCATAGAAGAAAAGCCACCGTTCCTAACAACCCCAGTGCTCTACGCCTTCATAAATACACACGTGACGCTTCTCTCCACGCTGCTTCGCAGATCCCGGGTCCCAATCCAGCAAGCCCGCGACCCTCAGTCCGGCAAACGCCGCCAATCCGCAATCCCGGAAGACTCGACTCTGTCTGCCATCCGCATTGCGTTGAAAAAGTGGCATGAATGCTGGATGACACTTAACAGCAACATTTCTCAAGAAGAGTGGACGTCCATGGGCTTCTACCGAAATGCGTATAATTTCTGGCTCGTTGCCGGGCTCTTGATTAACCACAAAGAAAGCGTCGATGTGGTCATGCGGATGGAAGTCAAGTGCGAGGATAAGTTGCAGAAGTTGAGTGTTTTGTTGCAGGACGAGAATGACTGAAGCCACGAGTATTTGCATAACTGCAGACTTTTTCCGAGCAGCAAATTACTCCAACGATCGAATGCATGGGTCATCATGTCGAAGGGTATAGCTTTGATGGCCCTAGTGCTGTCATTACGTCTCCCAGCAGACGACCACAGCTCCGTAACATCTATGGACAGGGAGACAGGCTTATGCAAGTTCAGTTCCAAACTTCTGTGTCTCTTTTGGGTCGCCACCTGGTTCTTCTAGACCAAGTCATCACCCGTGTCCGAGTCCCATCAGACACTGCTCCTTCGGTCAATGGGACACTTGCGGAGGCACGCATTCTTCCCAGCCGTTAGACTAGTATCAGGGAGTGCAATATCATTGCGTGTTATGGCGCAACAGGCAGGTGCAACTGATTCCTCGGGCACCCTGTGTATCATGCTGCATCTGGCTCTGTTAATTTATACTATACCATGTCCTTACTGTACAGGCAAATTGGGTGTTTGTTTAGATACGAATTGGTTCAGGTTGATGCCCGTCTTTTGGTAGACCAAGGCAGCACAATATCTGTATTAGATTTATCTTCATTTATCCTCTCGCTTCGCAACTAGCAATAAACGAACTCGAACACCTTCGAAAATGTCCGATACGTATCAATATGTGACTTCCGTCTTTGTTGTAACTGAAACGTGACCGGCGTTCCCATATCAGCACGAGCTTGGCATTCGCGCCGGCTTCTTCCCACGTCTACCATCTTCGTTTTCATCAGAGTTCGCACGTTTATACCTCTACATCTGATTTTGTATCGCTATCGTACTCGATTTGTTCCATTCATCAAGTGAATTTCAGTATCAGACACCAGATGACCACGACCTTCCGCTCCTCATATCTCTAAGAGTGTCCGAGTGGATGGCAGTGCGATGGCATCTAGCTTAGGATACTTGATAAACCTGGTCTTGCTCGGACGGGTCAAGGACAGCGAAGCAGCCACGGTTATTTAAGGCTTCTAATGGCCGACTATACTATAAGACGACGCGGAAGATCGGCGGCAGCTGTGGATGAACGATTTGGTCATTCCTTTAAGCTCAGGAAGCTCCTGCTACACTAGATTGGGGAATGCGATTACATAGCGCCTGCTGAGACCCTAGGCTGTCATGGGCCAATTATTGTGGCAAGTCGAGACAGGTTTGAGCGGATGGGTGGAGATGGATCGCAAGAATAGACGATGCTCCAGAAAGCTCAATTGACAACAATCTATTCTCTGGCTTGTTTGACTCCACCACGTGGTGCCGTACAGAGTGCCTTTTTACGCGCCTTCGCGCCAACGTGCGGCGCAGATTACAAGAACACATCCCTGCAAGTAGCCCATAGCCTCGCCTGAATTACCCCTCAGCTTACCGACACCGTCTACCCTTTGGGATATGCGCGCTACATCTAACCAATTAAGTTGAAGTGCGCTTTTGCATGCCGGAACGCGCTATAAAATAAGCACGGAGGACGTCTCATGTGGTTAGAGATATTCTCTTCCACGGGTCCTGCCAGAATTTGCACTATTTGAACCAGACATCAATCGCCTGGGACGAGCGACATTAGCCGATCACCACCGGGCCGATCATGTTCCTAGTCACGACCTCTTATCTATATAGTGACCATTCGCTTTTGCATTGTGATCCATTGGAAACTGCTCGGCAGGAACGCTGCTTTGGACATGCCGAACGATACTTTTCATGCATACTCCCATATTGAGAATAGTCCTAGAACGTCACTCACATCTGGGGAATACGCCATCGGCATAATTACTGTTCTTAATTTCGAGCCAGCCATAACAAAGACCATACTTGATGAGGAGCATGTGAAGCCTTCAGACTTTAACCAGCAACAATCAGACGACAACGTATACACATGGGGTCGAGTTGGAAAACACAATGTCGTCCTTGCCGCATTGGCGTCAGGCTCGTACGGCATAACGTCGGCAGCAACGACCGCAAAATCAATGGTCATGGCCATTCCATCAATCCGCATTGGTCTTCTGGTTGGCATTGGAGGCGGCATTCCATGTCCTAACAGAACTCGCGATATCCGGCTGGGCGATGTCGCAGTCAGTAGCCCTACAGGAAGCAGTGGTGGTGTAGCGCAGTACGACCTGGGAAAGCAGAAGCTCAACACGTATGAGCGAGTTGGCTTCCTTGCACAGCCACCCAACGTTTTACTTAAAGCATTAACAGTTGTCAGCGCGAATCGCATGGCAGGGAGTTCAAAGTTGTCTAGGATACTGCTGAGTTTGCAGCGAATATTGGGCAATTCGGCCGATTTTGCATATCCGGGCCAAGAGAATGACTGGCTTTTCAGCGCCTCATTCGAACATCGAGGAGGGAGTGGTTGTGATGAATGCCAGATTTCTGGTGGTCCGAACATGGCAAACCAAAACACAAGGCTTTCAAACCAGCCAGAAGTTCACTACGGAATAATTGCATCCGGAAACACAGTCATGAAGAATGCGAAGCACAGGGATGAACTTGCCATCGCGCTCAAAGACAGGACCGGAGGAGACTGCATCTGCTATGAGATGGAAGCCGCTGGCGTGATGAACGATTTCCCCTGTCTCGTTATTCGAGGCGTTAGCAATTATGCCGATTCTCATAAGAATGACAGATGGCAAAATTATGCTGCTATGACTGCAGTCGCTTATGCAAAGGAAGTGCTTAGTGTGGTTCCAGTTAGACGAGCAAAAGGAAAGAAGGCTGTGCAGGTTAATAATGGCCCTGGTTCTAGTGAGTCCCTTTTCAAATAATTAGTCTCAATGAATGGATCAAACTACTGAAATTTATCAGGCTTGAATAGGATGCACAACGAGAACCATAAGCACATTCAGCACTGGCTGAGCCCTCCAGATCCCTCAGTAACTCACAATAAGGCACTGAGACAACGCCATAAAGACTCGGGGCGCTGGCTCTTCTACGATAATGTCTTCATCAAATGGAGGACCAAATCTAATTCATTCCTGTGGCTACATGGCATCCCTGGCTGCGGCAAGACAATTCTCAGCTCCACAATAATCGAAGACCTCAGTGACAATATCACCCAATCCCGGATCATCTTTTTCTATTTCGACTTCAATGACATCAATAAACAAACCGTCCACGGTATGATTCGCTCATTAGTCACTCAGCTTTATATGAAGCAGATAAAAGCTCGCAGCCCACTGGATTCGCTTTTCTCCTCGTGTGACAATGGGAAGCGACAGCCTACTACCGAAAATTTATGCGCGGCTTTTCTCCAAATGTTAGAGACAGTTGACGAAATATGGATCGTACTGGACGCTCTTGATGAATGTCAGACACGAAAGGGCCCCCGGACCGAAAGGCTATTGTCATGGATTCAGGACCTGATGACCTCTAAGCCTTCCAATATCCACCTTCTTGTAACGAGCCGCCAATTGGAAGACATTGAGCCGGCGTTGATGAGGTGGGCACCTGCAGAATCCAATCATTCCATTAAACGAGATGAAGTCGACGATGATATACGTAGGTACATTCACTCACAGATCTATGAAGATGATGACCTCCAAAGATGGCGATCGCGACCAGACGTACAACAGGAGATTGAGACAAGTCTTCTAGAAAAGGCTGATGGAATGTGAGCCATTGATTGGTTAGCTTATCTAGCCTGATCAAATACTAACTGACATACCACATAGGTTTCGATGGGTCGCGTGCCAGATCGACGCTCTAAGAGATTGCCTGGATTACCGCAGTCTTACAAACGCACTCATGTCTCTATCGGAGTCATTGTGCGATACTTACGCCCGAATTCTCGTTGATATCCCTCGTACGCACCGAGAAACTGCCATAAGACTTCTACAGTTCTTGGCTTTTGCTGAGCGACCTCTGCGGATAGAAGAAGCTGTTGATGTAATAGCGGTGGACCTTGAAAGAGACACAGCGTTTGATCCTAGAAACAGAATGCCCGAGCCCAGAGAGATTTTACGATACTGTCCCGGCCTAGTGATGATAGTACCCCAAAAAGGTGAACCAGACGAGAGCGCCGTGACGTCAATACAGCTAGCGCATGCCTCGGTGAAAGACTATTTACTCTCTGAACTCCTCCCCCAGGAGTTCAGGCCGCGTTTTCGAGAGATCATTGCTCACGCATCGATCACAAAGATCTGCTTGGCGTACATGTCCTCTGTGGAAAGCCATATCAACACAAATCCTCTCTCAATGGCACTTAATAGGCTTGAAATCAAAAAGTCGTTCCCATTAGGGGACTTTGCCGGGCAGTGCTGGGAGCATCATGCGCGACATGCTGAAACTGAAAGCGATGCGCAGGAAATTATTCTGAGCTTTCTTTTGCAGGAGAGACGCGGCCTTGCGGTCTGGATGAACATGTTTCGTCCACATTCAATTGCAGCTGATTCCGCAGACCGACCAGCTCCTCCATTATGCCTTGCATCTGCAGCAAATCTACCAGTCACAGTAAAGCTACTTCTTGAAAGAGGTCCGGACGTGAACGCATAGGGCTCGGGTGGAAGTACCCTTCAAGAGGCCTGCTATCTCAACCACAAAAGCATAGTCCAACTGCTTTTACAAAGCGAGGCAGATGTTAACCTACCTTGTGGCAGGTATGGCAGTGCTCTTCAGTCAGCTTGTATGAGGGGAAATCAAGAAATTGTGCGGCTGCTTCTTGCAAAGGGATCAAATGTCAACCTCGAGGGTCTGTTAGGTGGCAGTGCCCTTATAAATGCTTTCTATAGAGGTGATGAGGATATTGTACTGCTACTTCTGGATCACGGGGCGAATGTCAACAAGGTCAGTGGTTTATATGGCACTGCTCTCCAAAAAGCCTCTTCTGGTGGCCACATAGCTGTGGTCCAGCTACTGCTAGAAAAGGAAGCAGATGTCAACATTGGGGGCGGCCTGTTCGACAGTCCTCTTCACGAAGCCGCCTTTCATGGCCATACGGATATCGTTCACCAACTGCTGAAGCACGGCGCAAATATCGATCAGGTTGATAGATTATATGGGAGCCCTCTTCAGACAGCTTCTTCTAAGGGGCACAACAATATCGTCCAAACGGTGCTGGAGCTCGGAGCTGATATTAACAGATTTGGTGGGTTACATGGAAGTGCTCTTCAGACAGCCTGTTTTAGAGGTCACTCGGCTACCGTACAGCTACTGTTGAAGCACGGCGCAGATGTTAATGTGTGGGACCATGCCTTTGACAGTCCTCTACGAGCAGCCGTTCGTCATGGTCATGAGGAAATTGTGCAGTTACTGCTAGACCACGGCGCAAATGATGATAGATCCCTATGTTCTGAGGCAAGTGAATAAAGATATCAATTTGCAGCAGGTTAATGGGTTACTGAGGAAAAGCCGGTGCCGGAAAACGCGATTTTCTTTCCACTTTCAATCATTTCATCCAATCTGAGCCAATCCTATATACATGAAGCCCTCCTTTTATCTTCCTGACATATTCACATCTCACATGAACAGTCTGCCAACAAGCAGGTTTAAAAGCCAAGATGTCGAGCTACATTAGTCAGACTATCCATCCAATTTATCGCTTTTCGGCTTTTCGCACTTGACGTCTAGGAGTTCCGTGTCAACCTGACAAAACAATATTCGTTAGCATATCTCGGATACCTCATGGTTCTTACATGCATGCGAAATAGAGCATAGTAAGAAGGAGGGTTAGGGATACTCACATTCGTGCAAACAAAGTCATCCGTGCCTTTAGGACTCTTCACATCGATGTTACTCGTGTAGATATCCGAGCATACATCCGGACTCGAACACACAATCGTTCCAACATAGGGATCTCGCTTGCCCGACGTTGTGCCCTTGAAGTCATTGAAGTGGATGTCGGAGATAGTCAAGTTACTCTGTTGCATCGTTAGCCTCATCTCGTCCTTTTCTTCATGTGCTGAAATCCAGAAGAGCGGAAGGCGTACCGGGTGCTCATTGCAAAGAGTCAGATTCTTCTGTCCATAGCACTGCGTCACTTCGATCGCCCAGTCCACGTTCTCGATGTACATCTTGTTATACGTGATGTTGGAGACAGCGCCGAGACCGCCTCCACCTTGAAGATCTTCGGACATGGCGGAGTCAATGCCAGGCCAGACCTTGATGCGGGCCATGTCCTATTTTCTCGAGTATTAGCTTTACTTGCTTTCTGCTCCCCAAATGGGGTAAATGTGGGCTTGGGGTCAGGGAACGCACAGATGCATTATACATGGAGATGTTATAGACAAGGACGTTCTTCACGATGTCGACCTCGCCCTTGTATTGGCCCAGGGAACCGACGGAGATACCGTGGGATCCGTTGCAGTGCAGGTTCTGCACGAGGATGTCGGTGCTGTTGGGCTTGAAGGAGACGCAGTCTATTCTCATTAGTATATCATTTTCATTTCCCATGAAGACTGGGATGGTGAAGGGAAGACATGCCATCACCGTTGTTGATCACCGAGTTCTGAATAACGATGTTATCGGAGCGATAGGTATCCCTATCACATCAGTCAGTCTTTCGCCTCCAATCAAACCACCAATCGCATATAAAGAAAATGCAGAGAGACAAACCATCCATCCGTATTCTTCGCCTCATGCTTACTGCTACTATACCCAGAGATATCAATCCCATCGAACAGCACATCCGACGAGTTGGCAACAAGCTGATACCACTGCGGCGAGTACCGCAGCTTCAACGGCCCAATCGTGCCGCCCTTCAAGCCGATAATTCCCACCAGGATAGGACGCAGGATCAGCGCGTCCTCGGCGAACAGGTCATACCAGGCCTGGCCGTTGCCGTCTAGCGTGCCGCCGCCATACACGTTGACGTCTTCGCCACCAATCTGGAAGAAGGTGCTGGAGTTCTGGAAGGTGTGTTTGAAGGAGTTCTTCTGCCAGTAGTCGGTGTCGTTGGTGAATTGGATCTTGCCGAGGATTTCTAGCCTGCGTTAGTTCTTTTCCCTTCTTCCCCAGAACCCCAATTTATGGTATAGGCTGCGTAAGGTTAATAAGGACCTACCAAGATCAATATTCTTCAGAAAAGTCAAATCCAGCGCCGTCCCGATAGTATATTCCTTATCCTCATCGAAGACGACCTTTCCACCATTATTGCACTTCTTGATCGCTTTTAGAATAGCAGGCGAGTCGTCAGTGCCGTCGCCGTGGGCCGAGACACGACAGGTTTTGCTTCGTTGGTGACTGGTGGGCAATGGTTTGAATGGGTTGTTGGGCTTGCAGGCGTCGTTCCTGGAGCGAGTGAAGCCCTCTACTGCGGTGCCCAGAGAGAGCAGCAGACTTGCTGCCTGGGTGAGGGATTGGAGTTTCATCTTGTCTAGGAGTCTGATCCTAAGGACGAGGACAAGAAGGAGATGGGAGGGAGAAAGAAAAAGATCCAACTTTCAAAACGGAATTGATCATCCACAACCCTGCCTTTATACCTATTGCCTACCAGTTATCAAGCCAGCCCCCATGTCCGTCCCCTCTCCACAGCAATCAACAATGCCAATGCCATGACATACCCCCCTGTCCGGTCCACCGCTGCCTGCGGAGGAGAAATTGCCCGCGAATCTGCAAGGCGCCATGATCCGGGGAAATACAATCAAAAGTGGAGCAAACATGTGGAGAGGCCGAGAAAAGGAGAGGAAACGAGTGTAGCTTGTGCGGGTGCAAGCTGTTCTGGCGTGTACTTTGAAGGAATGATTGTCTAGAGCGGTGAGCAGGGACTCTGATAGGAGGGATAACTTGGCGGCCGAATTCGTCCGATTGGGTGGAAAATTATGCAGATCGTCTGTCTTCCTGTGGAGAAACTAAGAATCATGCCAGTCGGGTATTTGGGATGAGGTGTTTGATTCTGGTCTGGGTTTATGCAGGAGCGATACTCCGTCATTTGTTGGCTGGAGATAGACTGAGTGACGGGCTGCTTTGTGCAGGGCTGGACTTTGTACGACTACCATTCTAGGTCGGTGTGTTTTGCTTGTATGCTTGAGAAAACAAGAAGTCTAAGACCGAGTTGTATGTTGACAGACGAACTGCTAAACATCAATTTCAATATATACAAAATGCCAGCTGCTCTCCTTGCCGAGGAAGAAGGCGTAGGCCCCATACAGGTGCCCATCTATCAAGTTATGCTATCCATGCGAAAGAAATTCCGGGGAAGAAACTAAGTTACCATTGAAGCGAGAGAAGGATCCCGCATAAAAAGACGCTAATTTAGTCCCTTAGAATCAAACACACGACACACAAATCAGGTCGACTTCTCGACGGCCTTCTCAGCCTTACCGGCCACGGCCTTGGCGGAGTCGGCGACCTCGTGCTCAAGTTCCTTCACGGCCTCTGTCGTCGAGCCGTCCAGGCTACGGCGGTAGTTAACGATACGGGTGACCTGGACGACACCGACGCAGCCCAGGAAGAAGTTGACGGCAGCGAGCCTGGATGAATGTTAGCCAGGGGGTTCTTTGCGCATTAATCAAGAATCTGCTAGGTCATACAGGTAGTTCTTGGGGGTGATGATCATGCACCAACGGGTCCAGATGGCTCCGGTAGCCATCAGGGCACCGTTCTGGGTGAGGGAGAGCTTTTCGGCGGGACGGCTGAAGTCGGAGATACCGGCGATGACGAGAGCCCACTGCAATCCATCAGTATTGATTCCCCAGCATTCTGTGATCCCTTCATATCCAAATTCGTCTAATCGCATCCCCAATCTCTTATTTGTACACTGATTGCGATCGAACCAGGGGTGAGAAAAGATTCAGTCCGTACCTTCATGACAGGGGCCCTATGTACAAAGCAATTAGCATCCAATTCCAATCGCAGTTTTCGAGTCGTAAAACGGAAGGATCCAAAAGACAAGGCACATACCAGAAATGCACCGTCTTCACACCGACCGGGCTGTTCCACAGACGCTGGAAAGTGCTCTGCTTCTCGGCCGCCGCAGCATCGGAGCTCTGGAACCGGAAACCCTGGGCACCAGGCCGACGGAAGGGACCGGAGTTGCGGAAGCCCGAGCGGGCGTTCTGGAAGAAGCGAAGTCCAAGACGAGAAGACATTGTGACTGTGGTTGGGAAGATCGGAGAAGAGTGGAGAGTTGAGTTGGAAAGGGTGGACAAGAAGTAACTTTGCGCCGGAGAGGTATTAAAGTACAGTCAACGCGGGAACCGAAATCGAGGTCAGATAGAACCACCGGTCGCCTTGAGCCCTAGTCTATATGAAGAAAAGAAAGGAAAAGGGAAAAATGTCGAAACGCGTCGAGTTCCGAAAAGATCAAATCCAGGTATCTGACAGCGACAGCATCTTGAAGCCGACGTCGGCGAGGTCACGCCCTGCGGCTCTTCATCCCACTTCGGCAGGCGGTGAGCCCGGTTGGCGTAGGTAATCACGCTTGACCGGATTGGTCGGTAACAGAACTCCAGTCTTTCTCGGGAGGAAACATCCTCAGATCACCTCCATTCAATTGATACCCTCCCCTTTCTCTCCTCCTTGTGCTTTGCGGGGTAGCCTTGTACATCTCCTCTTCTCTTCTCTCCTCCTCATCCTCATATCCCGACACCATGTCTTCCAAGTACGCTTTCACCACCGGTCTGAAGGAGCTGCGCTTCCTTTTCTGCCAGACTTCGCAGCAGAGCGCCGCCACGAGGTACGTCCCTGGGGAGGAAATCTCGGTATTGAGGAATCGAGTGAGGCTAATTGTGTCCTGCGATATAGGTCGTTCTTGCAGCGCGCGTACCCCACCATGAAGAAGCACAACCCTCACACTCCCATCATGATGCGCGAGGCCGCCGGTACCCTGCCTCGGGTTTATGCTAGATACGGTATGATTTAGCCCCGTGGATGGAATTGCAGTCGAGAATTAGGCAGTCGACTTGAATCGAGAATGGTGCGCTAATCTCGTTATCTGGGGGAATATAGCTCTGGGCCGTGAGAAGCAGGAGGCTCTGTCTGGTATGTGTTATCTTTTAGCACTCTCGGATTTTATCTAAGGTGTGCTATATTGTGGGACGTGCATGCTAACGTAAAATTCAGGCCTGACGGATCAGCAAATCGAAGAGAAAATCACCCAGTTGGTGAAAGAAGCGTCTTCATAGCGGAATATCTCGACATTACGTATATCTTATCTACCCTTTCGCATCAATCGCTTGTTTCCGTCCAATCCCGTTTCGAATTCGGTTCAGTTGTCTAGCACTGTATCTATAGATGAATTAAGAAAAAACAATGAAACCAATACCTACACAATACCTTCTATCAATTGAATCCTGCCTTCATGTCAGGTCAGCTCACGAAGCCATCCCAAGATTGAGACTGACCTCATCACAACGAACTACTACTATTACCAACCTCCCCAAACCGAAACTGCGCCCAACTCATACTTCCCTCCTTCAGCGTCCACAACCTCTTAGCCACATCCTCCCCAGCGGCCCCAGCACCGATATGGATCGGCAACAAATGATCGAAATACGGATGCGCCTGGCGCGCGTCCGGCCTCTTCAACAACTCCGCCATGGCGCGCTCCCTGTCCCCGGGGGCAGTCGTGACAGCATCTTTGAGCGCCTCATCAAAGCTCACCGTGTAGGGTAGAGGTTGGGGATTGCCCCATGTGAACTGCAGATCGCGGAGGTTGTGCACGGCCATGCCGGACACGATGATGAGGATGTTTTCATCGCGTAGGGCGGACACGGCTTGGCCTAGTTTGTAGTGCTGGATGGGATCTTCCGTTTTGAAGAGGGAGACTTGGACGATGGGGACGTTGAGGGGGTTGGTGTCGGGTTCGAAGGCTGGGGATATTGTTTAGTTATCGTGCTATTTTTTTTTTCAATAGTAGAAAGGAAGGTCGGGACTCACCACACTTGAAACTCGCCCACACTCCATGGTCCAGGCCTCGTTTGACGCCGCGGGCGTTGATCCCCGCGTTGCCCAGTAACCCAAGTACCTTGTCAGCTACGTCTTTGCTTCCGACATTCGGATAAGTCTCTTTATAGTAATGGCCTGGGAAGCCGTAGAAGCTACACGGGAACAAAGACGTCAGCCGAAACCAACCACATAACACCAATACCGGATGAACTCAGAGGCAGAAGGAAATGGAAGTATACTCATATATCAAATCCGTAAGCTCCGCATTATTCACTTCCACATGATCTTTGCCAGCCTGCCAATGCGCCGAAAACACAACCACCGCGCGGGGCTTGACCTTGCCCGTGATCTCTCGTCCGATCTGCCCGAGCTTCAAATACGCCGGGTGGTCGTGATCAAACATGATGTTCGGCTTGAAGTCAGTCAGTACATGCTCTATGTATGGAAGATTGCCTATCGGAGGCCAAGGTAACTGGGTAATAGAGGGGATGAAAACGCACACCACCATGACTCAGAAAATAAACCGGAGTTCTCGTCGCCATGGTCTCGGTATTCGCGTGCACAGAACCAGCCTTCTTCTGCGGATTGTGCGACGCAACAGAAGAACCCGTCTGTCTAACCGATGCAGACGAACGAGCAAAGAAGCGTTTCAGGCCGAACAGATTGGCGGTTTCGTTTTCTGCCCCAGAAGCACTGCTAAGGCCTGTATATCCTAAAACCAGAGCAATTGATACAGCCAATAAGACCGTGAGCAGAGATATCAACGCCCAAGAAGCTGGTTTCTTGTAGCTTTGAGTTGGAGTTTGGGATTGAGTTTGCGGGTGTGTGTCGGAATTGGCGGAAGACATATATATAACAACCCGAGCGAAAGTAATAAACCAGAAGGAGAAAACAAGGCAAGGTTCTTATACTCTACCAGTAATGATGCAAGACCAGAACGGCATGTGGCGATCGAAGAAAAAGCAAATCTACTTATGAATAAAGGCGATTGTAAGCAAATGTCATCAGGCGATCCGATCCGATCGGATGGTGACCAATCGGTCGGTGGAGCTGCGGAATTCCACCGCTCTGGTAGATCCAAGGTTGACGGAATTGATTCATTGATGTACGATGAACGAAAGCATAAAAGGTGGTATATCATTAATATTAAATAAATACAGCGAATAATGTATCCAATAACCGGCCCGATCTATGTCCCATCTAATGCGACGCCGGGTCTATGCTCGGATTTGCTTTTCGTAACTTCTGGGGAATGACATCGAGGGGAATCACAACGAAATGTACATGAGGTGTAAGATAAAGTGGAAAATTCTTCTAAACAAAGCTCTATGGCATCAGAGGAACATTTTAGACCAAATTTTGGTCTCATTAGGCAGATAGCCTCATAAAAGGTGTATGCATCCGCACGTGGCGGCTCATCAACGCTGGTAGACAGGAAAAGAAAGAAAAAAGAGGCAAAGTAATATCACAGGATCAAGGAAGTGAAATTATGCAAATCACATAATAACACAGTCCCCGTCATTCTGTTTTTGTTGGTTAACGGCAGACCGCGAAAGACGGGTTTTTTGCATTCGAGCGCCGCCTTTCTTAAGCTCCTCGAGACGCTCGCGAGCCTTAGGGAATCCTTGGGCTGAGGATCAAGTTAGCAAAATGGATCTTCTAAGAAATATAACAGGACTACTTACCAGCTGCCCGCCAATACCATCGCTTGGCATCGTCGAGATTGGAGGTCGTACCGATACCCACTTCGGTGAAATATCCCATCGCATATTCGGCTTTCGCAAGTCCCGCAGAGGCGGCCTTCCGCGCCCACAGGAACGCCTCGGTGTCGCTCTGCTGCAGGATACCCTCGGAGCCGGTAAGATACCATCCACTAAGGGCAAGCTCACTCTGGTGCTCCCCTTGAGCAGCCGCGCTCGTATACCAGATAATACTCTGTCGGGGATCGACCGGGCATCCCATCAGTCCGTACTCGTAGGCAGTACCCAGTCGGTTCTGAGAGAACTTGTATCCCAGCTCTGCGGCCTGGTGGAAAAGTTGACAGGCGTAGCCCTCGTCGCGAATGACAACATCATTGGTGCCAGCGTTCACATACAGCAAAGCCAGTTCATGGAGGGCATGTGGGTTCTCCACGTCGGCACGCTCGGCGGCGCGCTTCAACCAGGAAATACCCTCTCGAGGGTTCTTCGCCTGCCCCAAGAGTCCTTTGAGCAGGATCATACCCATCTTGTACATGGCCGGGGGATCACCAAGAGAAGCAGCCCGTTTGTACCATTGGACCGCTTTGAAAGGATCACGCTTGGTACCGCCACCTTCTTCCGCGCCAATTTCACAACACACGGCCACTCTGTATGCGGACTGACCGTGACCCTGTTTCGCAGCGGAATGGTACAGGTTGAACGCCTCTTTGTTATCAACTTGGAGACCCATTAGGCCTTGGCCGTAGGCATCTGCTAAGAAGAATTGAGCCTCGCCATTCCCGGCGGCAACAAGTTTCTTGATGATTTTGTACGCATCATTGATGTATTTCTCCCTAGCCTTGGCTTTTGTTTTCGGGTCCATTCGACTGGCTTCAACCAGAACCGTCGAGGCCTCGACCAATTTCTTGGCCAATAGAAGTTGTGTGCTCTGGTCCGACGGACGGCTCTTGACGATCTGTTGCAGCCTTTGGATTTCCTGGGGGGTTACTGGTTGAGGGACGGTCATCTCCGTCGGGGGGCCTTGTAAAGCCGGAGGTGCCGATGCAGGTGCGGGCGGGGGAGTCGGGACCGGCCCCGAGACTGGCACGCTGGGATTATACTGGCGCATGGGTGCAGGCTTGCTTCCTGAGCCATTCAGGCCCGGTCGGAAAGGCGCTGGATGATGAGGCAGCGCATCAGGGTTTTGTTCAGGATCCATGGCTGGCTCAATCTCGTTCACGGGCGGGGGTGGGTTGTTGACATAGCCGGATTGGTTGGCCCGGTAGGGTTTGGGAGGCCCATTACTGCGAATGGAACCTTCTCGGGCAGCGAAGCTCGGCCGCCTTTCGGAGTACGATGTTATAGACTGGGTGCGACTATCTTGGCTGACACGGTACGTTGCCGGCGTCGGATCGTTATAGGGGTTGTCGCCGATTCCAAAACCCATACTGTCGTGGCGATATCCAGGGGAGTACGCGGGAGAGTAGCCCGGAGATGACGGTGGTTCCCCGGGAAGATCGAAATGAAAGCCGGCGTTTTCAAATTGATTGGGCGCATTGCCCGATCGCATGTCTGGCTGGGACTTGGCATGATGAAGCTGCGCAGCCTGCGGGTTGAAGGCAGTATATTGCCCTCTCGACGGGGGCGGTGATTCGATCGGAGCCTTCTTCGGCTTTGGTTGCTCCAACCCAGGCAAACTCTCGTCGATCAAGCCGCCGTTGCCGTTTTCGGGTATCGCATCAAAATTGGGCATGTCGGGCTCAGCCGCGTGTGCCGAGTTGTAGTAGACATCTAATAGTTCCTCCGTGCTATACTCGCGGGTGTATCGGAATGCGGCGTAACTCGGCTCCTGGTATGTCGTCTGTCCAGGGTATAAGGGTTTAGAAACTGGTGGCGGAGTTGGGGCCGAAGTAACCGGCATAGTCGCGCTCCTGTTGATTTGAGGAATCGGCGGCGGCGGCTCGCTGGCGTCAGTATAGGACCGTTCAAGGGGTGCTGCTACATGGCGTCCGGCGCTGGCCGATCGCATCGGTGGTCCAGGAGCGTTTCCTCTCCCACGACCAGGCGGTGGGGGCATGGGCATGGGTGGACGAGCGGAAACATCCGGCCGTCTTCCATTAGAAGTATGCGGGCGGACTGGCGGCTTCACCGGCGGCATGCCGTTGAGATCCATCCCAGCCATACCCCTCTCAATTCGGCCTTGAGAGTCGGCCCGACCACGGGATGGCTCTTTTGGTGGAAACATTGGAAACGGGTTATCGTATCCCATCTTATCCGGGGATTGCGGGACCTGACGCGGAGCTATTGCCATATGTTAACGACCGATGCATGCAATTCAACCCCAAATCTGTCACTCACGTGGTCTCATTCGATCTGACCGCGGCGGTCCCCTATCACCATAGCCGCGACGGTCGTCATATCCATTTGGCGCCGATCGTCCACCATAGGCGTAGCTGCGATCCGGCGGCGGCTGCATAGGAGGACCATGTCCTCCCCGAGGAGGTCGCGGCGCCCCTCTCGGAGGTCCATATGATCTTGGGACTGCCGCCTGGTCACCAGGGTGTCCATATCCTGCATTATCATATCCTCCATTGTCGTATCGCTGTTTTGGGTTGTCATAGCCATAATCGTAAGCCTCTTGATCAAAGTATCCATCCTGCGGGGGGCCTTGAAAGCCCCCGCCCCGAGGAGGGGGGCCGCCGCCCCCGTAGTTTCTCATCGGCGGTGGCCTCTGCGCAGGTCGTTGAGGGTACGCCATTATTCAAATCAAGGCGATATGATTTATAGCTGTTGAAAAAGAAAAGTCGTTGAGCGGCTCAGAGCGGGAGCGCGCTGGTCGGGATTCTTTATCCGGCTGAGGTCCGACGACTGTTTATTAACTGTGGACCGGGTTTGCGCCCCTCCTGTTCACTGTCTAATTACCGAGTCGAGTTTCCGTCGATTCACCACGATTGTCGAGTCAGAAAGAGTAGCGAGAGGCCGGGCGCTTCAGTGAGCGATCGAGGACTGCGAAAGAATGGCGCTAAGACTCAAAATTCCGGGGAAGGTCATAGAAAATATGTACTGTGTCGCTTCGAGGCCAGGCGGGAGATATCGTGCGCGATAACTCGTAATAGAATCTACGAAAGGTAACATAGTCAGCCGCCGGTCTTTGGCGCAACAGCGACAGAAGAACAGAGGGCGCGATCGGACGACGAATGCGCCAAGGCCTCACTTACCCAAAACGAGACCACGAGGGACCGGAGCTTCTCCAAAAGAATGAAGGAGAGGGTCAACCGAACCAAGGGTTGGAGCTGAACGAAATGGATCAAAGAGAGGGAGTGAAAGAGAGAAAGAAGGGGGCCCCTTGTGATTTAGAACGAGCGTGTGATCACTTCAGAGGGGGACAATAAGGGAGGGAGAGCGAGAAAAGAGTGGGAGAATTAATGAATGTGGATGCGCCGGCGGAGGAAGTATTAAGGCAGGTCAGGCAGGCAAGACAGGCAGAGTGAGAAGTCCCCACGGATAATAAGGCACCGAAAATGAGGGACAGGATTACTCCAGGGTAGGCTCAAGGAGTAGAACAATTCATTCGAGAAGAAGACTCACCCGGTTGAAAAAGGATCTGATCTCCAATTTTAAATCTGTCTCGATTTCCAATTCTGCCTCATTCTTTTTTATTTTAAATAATTTTTTTTTCTATGTTTTGTTTTTATGATTACTCTTATTCTATCCTATCCACTCGCTCTGCTGGATGCACGGGTGACTTGTTCACGCTACGGACCTGACTTGACTGACAACTTTTGGAACCGTTCTTTGCTCGACCCTTGACCCACGTCTTTTTTTCCCCTTCTTTTATTTTCTAATTTTTTCTGTTCTTTTTTTTTGACTTTTTTTTTTGTTGGATTTTCCTCTGATATCAATGTTCACCGTCCCACCGGAAAGTAAGGAAATTGGCAGCGTTAGATTATATTAATCTCATTGACTTGAACTGTATCTGTGACTATTAATTCCATCACATCTCTCGTCATCATCTAGATCATTCTTATTCATACAAACAAGACGCCCACAAAGAAAAGCCAGAAAATTTAAAAATCACTCCGTCCCCCCCTCGCCATACATAAGTAGCTCATACAACTACCACTTACGCTGCAGGCAAAACCCCGAGTAACTCTTGGCAGGCCCAATTGGGGATCTATAGTCCATTTCCACGACCCCCTTTTTTTCCCTTTCGACTCTAGCTATACGAGTGCTAGAAACTGTCTCGCTCTTAACCAGTCAACCAGGATCCGCCGTCCAAAATATGACGTCGGACGTATTACCATAATTACCATATTTCTCACTATCGCGCGATCCATTGGCAACCATGACACCGATCCCAAACGCGCTGATCATCAGGGGGAAAGACTCTTGTCCCACTTTCATGCCTGGATTTATATGCGAAAGTTGCGAGTACATAGAAGCAGGTCGTGATATTACGAGTACGAGAGAATGATAATCTCCGTTGAAACGCAGGGGATGCCGGGCGTATCGCTGTCTACCTCAGGGACGGAGTACACAGTCCGCAGCACGCAGCATGCAGTACTTCGGCGCGGTCCTGGCCTCTCATTCGTCGATGCCGTACCCTAAGGAGGCACGATACGGTGGGACTGGTGCTTTGGACGTATGTAGACTGCAAGTAGTATTTAGCGATTGCATCCTCCACCTACTCCGTAGGGGGGCAATGCAGTACTCCGTACATGCCACATTGTTTAACTTCTAATCTTCCAGTTCTTACAGGGTGCATTCAGTTACTCCTTGCCTGGACATTGTATCAGCCGTGTCGCATTGAGATCCGAATTGTGGGCCGGAGATGACTTCCCCCTTGCCGCTGAGATTCTTGGATTCTTCCACCATGACGGATAATTGGAAGTACAGAAATCCATTAGTCAAGCGAATGGCGAAGCGGACAAGGACAAAGGGAAAGTAAAAAGAGAGGAATCTAGAAATAAATTGACCCCATAGGGCAAAATGGGAGAGGAAGGCTGAAGCCTGAACGAATCACGGAACACCGGCGATAAACTGGTCAACGGCCCTCGAAAATCGAGCAGAAGAGTAAGTAAGATGACGATCATCCAATAGCTGCTCCGTGGAGTATGAAAAATCTGAGTAAATGAATCGCACGCTTCCCCTCTGCTGGAGAAACTGAGGTGCTTTAAACGGGGCACACAGAAAAGGTCTCCAAAGCGCTCACGGGATGGCGTCAGACCCAAGATTACTTGCCGCTGTGAACCTGGCGCCGAGCAATCGGATTTACCGACCAGGAAATGTCTTAGACATGACAGTCCCGGAGAGATATAAAAAGAAGCGTCATGCGAGGGGGGTGGAAACTGGAAATGCAAAAGTTTGGTTCCATACTCCGTAATCCATTATTCTCTTAAGGCCGTGGCTTCCCGAAGTTTAGTCGCAAGGGCAAAAGAAAGGACCCAAGGACAAGTGAAGAGTTAGCGCAGCATGATGGAGTTTAGAAAGTGTTTAGTGCCTCTAGTCTGGGCAAGTGGAGCAACTAGAAAGGACGTTTTACTCTTCTGGATTGGTAGCCGATGAAAATGATGTCGATTGTTCATTCTCAGCGGGCGGAAGAACGTCTCCAAGTAGAAAAGCGACCGACCGCCTTTCGTTGTTCTCCGCCTTTTTCCGCGCCACTGTTCTTACTCCATTCTGCCAGTCTTACCCAGCCTCAGGCTCCGACTGAGCCACAGCCCATTATCGGTCATCGGCCGAAAATGCGATCCAATTGCATCGGCTGCTTTGCTATCCATCTTGCTCTAACTGAACCCAACCCTTGATTGCCGCCCTGAACAGATCAACAGAGCATTCCTCGTCTGCCGATTTACCCTGCGTGGATCCAGATTGCAATTCCTTCCAATCGGTCCTCCCTACCTCCCGACCTATCTGACATCATCGTCTCATTCTTTCGTTCGGAGTCGATCTCATCCGCGATCAACCTAGCCTACCTTAGCACTTTCTCCTCCGCGCCGGAGCCCACGCCATCATCATGTCCGCAGTAAAATGGTTAAAAATGCTCGGAGCGTGAGCCACCCTGTCCAAAAATCAAATGAAACATTCCACACGAGATCTCAGCTAACCGTCACCGCCGTACAGCGGAGCCCTCATTTGCGTCGGCGGCCCGGCATTCGTGCAATCGATCCGACCTACCGACGAGGAACTGTTCAAGCGCTATAACCCCGAGCTGCAGAAGCGGAGTATGGAGGAGGGAGATCGCCGAGCGCAGGAATTTGACGATTACGTGAATCGGTTGAAGCAGTGGTCGAAGTCGGATAAGTCGAGTATGTTTTGTCCTCCGCGCCTGCTTTCCTCGGGGCTATCGAGTTGAGATGGATAAATGGGCCTGATGGCCTGGTCTGGTTTGTTACATTTGACTAACAATATCTCCTCCGGTATGAACAGTCTGGTACGCTGCGCAAGAACAACAAGAACAGAAACGAAACGACGTCTCGGCCCAGAAGAGCCAAGCGAAAGAGGAGGCCAAGACACAGCGCGAGGAAATGCGGAAGGAATTGCTTGGTGAGAAATAAGCCGGATGATCTCAATCCTGTGGCAGCAGCAACAACATTTACGGGGTACGATATGAGCTGAAATCTGTCGTCGTATATGAACTATCTATATCTGTATTTATATCGATCGCATGAGAGTCGACTTTGGGGCACCGTCACCCGCTTGTCCTAGTGCTTTATCCATAGTGTAAAGGGCAGTGGGTGAAAAAAATTTATCTGGAGTTTGGGATTGGTGCATTCTCTATCTGTATTATTATCTCCCTATGAAATGCAATTGGATGAGCGAATGATTATCATGTTCTTGTTGTGATATGGAAGGAACCGAATGCCCGAAATATGCCGGTAGATCTTCTATTCCCTGCATTGAAGTTCAATTGGATGCTTGCATAGTTTAGCCTGCCTTTCAATTCAGAAGCCTAAGTATATTCCCAGACTTTTACAGAATACCCTAAACTAAAAAGCCCAAAACCAATATGTAAACAATCCAAAAGCCACAAAGAAACAAAACCATCCCCAGACGACATCAAACAACCATAAAATAAACCGCCGACATAGCCCCAATAACAATAACAGCCGTCAAGATACCCGCACCCACCCGATCCCCCGTCGAAATAACCCGCTCATGAATCCCCACCGAGTCCTCATCCGACTTCCCCGTCCCAGCATTCGGATCCCCTTTACTAATCCCGCCCGTATTCGCAGTGACCCTCTTATCGACATAGTTCACCAAATGACCCTGAAAGATCTCCAGCGCGGCCATCTGTTCGCCGACGCCCGTGCTGCCGTCGAACGTCTCGTTGCGATTCCACCGTAACCCGCACGCGTTATCGGGCCCGCTGCATTGCAAGGCAGCTGCTTCGGCTGACGCGCGGAGCTTGGGCGTGAGTAGGTCTTTGGTGAACGGGGCGATTTGGATGGTGTGGGACATCCAGCGGGAGAGGTAGGCTTTGAAGGATCGTTGGTCGACGTTGCATTTGCCGTTTGGTTCGCAGGCGACTTCGCTCATGATGTCGCCGATGGGGAAGAAGATGTCCAGGCCGCGGATGATGTTCTCGACGCGGGTTTTCCAGACGTCGGAGCGGTCGGTCTGTTGTTGTCATGTGTCAGCTATAGGTATTTAGGCAGCTGTATGGCGGCTGAGTGGATGAGGGTAAGAATGGTCAGTGGATCTTACAAAGTGATACATGTGAGCTGCTCCGAGGAGGAACAAGCCCGCATTGTAGGTCCATCGAATGTGATTCAGATCCGTACAGTTGTATTTATCGTCTGTACCGTCGAAGAACTCCCAAGTATTGCTGATCAAGCCGACATTATACACCCAATCCCACGTCTTCTCCGCCCATTCCGCATACGTCCGATTCCCCGTATACACGGCCAGTCGAGCAGCAAGGTTAAAGAAACAGCCATTCGAGACAGTATTCTTATAATTGTACCCATTATTGAACGAGAAAACCTGCCACTTCAATCCTCCATTGCAGCTCTTGTTATCCCAGCGGGGATACTGCGAGTTGAAGACCCCCTGGGCCAGCGCAAGCCACTGCGGTTTGTCCTCGGGCGGATTAGGGAACTTGACCTCTGCGGCTGCCATCGCGGCAAGGCCCCAAAACGCCTGGTCGTCGTTTCCCAGCGTCCGGGTCTGGTTGGGCTCCATGTAGTTGTGCTCGGGCCCGACTTGGTGTAGGAGGGCCTGCGTGGTGATTTCGTTCCATTGCGAATCCCCCGTGTAGTACCAGTACTCGACCATGGCGTTGAACATGGCACCGGTTTCCCACCAGTAGTAGGGGTCTGGGAGGTTACCGGGGACATCACCCGGTCTGTAGCCGGTGTAGTATTGCAGCATTCCCGATGCCGCTGTTTTGGCCGCCTTCTTGATGGATTCTATGCGATAGTATAAGCATTTCATCCAAGAGATAGCTACCACCGGAAGCTAGGGCGTCGTAATTCTCACCTTGGCTTTCTAGATCAAGGTCAATAGATGCCTGCACCATCTGAGCCGCTAGTAATATGGCTGATATGAGAAGTGTGCTCCATGAGCGGGACGATCTTATGCTGCGCTGCATGCTGACTGAATAATCTCGAGCTAGATAGCAGGTAAGAATTGTTAAAATATGAGAGGCTGTTCTTGCGGTGGATGCTCCAAAAGGTCAATCCCCAGGACTCTTTTATTAGAATGTTTCGGAAAGACAGAGGGGTATCAATAGAGAGAGGGAGCAATAGAGAGCCGACATAAGATGCAAAGAAAGATAATGAAACGTGCGAAACGAAGGCGTGGAGTAGACACGATAAAGGCGCCTCTGGTGGGTAGGATGTCCAAGGCTCTGCAAAAATAGTGGCTGGATTTGAACGTAGTTGAAGTTTGATATCAAGAAAGTAAAGCAGCTCAACAAGGAAAACGAGTGGAAGTTGGTGCAAACCAATCAGACAATAGCTAAAAACCAATCAAACCTAGAGAGGTCGAGACATGCTCAGAATAGCCGCATAGAATGATATACGTCTATATTAGGATTCCTGGATTAACGTAGTCACAGGCGTGTGGCAAGAGGGCGCAAACCAGAAAAAGGAAACCTCAAGTTAGGCAGACACAGGGGCCCCAGGGAATCCAGCAGCTTTCATTCTTTGTAAAGATGAAGTACCGGAAAGCTCCAAGACAACGCAAGCGCTTGGAGACACGCCAAGGGAGCCATGATTGAAGAGATCCGTACCAATCACCCAACCTGGTCTGTTCTTCACAGTTCTTGGCGGCCAAATAACTCGAGGAATATACAGGCCAAGGGCCTTAGCATTGGCAGCGGAACCATCGGAGGTTTGTGAGGGAATAGACTGGGGAAGCTTAGGAAGGGAAACTCTTGTTCGATCGTTTAGGTAAAAGGGTTCTTCATTTCCAGAGCTGGCCCATTTTCGAAGGCGACATATAACAAAGCCGAGTTACTTCAAGGTGTGGGGTTTTGGTAGAATGCAGCGCTACATCCTTCTTTAGTATTCAACAGCGGATTCGAGAGCCCCAGAATGGAAGAATGGGAGGTCTCTTTGTGCGACAAGAAGATCCCCGTCCTGAGGGGTCAGCGACCAAAAACAACATTCCCATTACGAGAACAGAGTTTTCAAAAGGAGGCAGTGGAGAGGTATTTACCCTTGGCAAACGCCATGTAGTCTTGGGCTTCAAGATGGTTCTTTTTGCGGAGATCATGCATTCTGCTCTGGGTTTAGCGTCAGGCTGCCTTAACGCTGGCAAGTCTTGGTACAATAGTGATATGGATTGAGGACATTCCATCGGTCTGTGATGACAAAATCGTCAATTCACAGTTGTCAGCGGCAGCATACTGGCATTAGAGCACGTCGGGATTTATGTCTAGCAACTGTGATATATATTTGAACATGCAGGTTGATCCATATGATCCAAGACAACTACACCGTATCTTCACATCAAAAACGGTTTAGTAACTAGAGTAGGGGAGTCCAAATAATTGCAAGATATCATTAGACCTAGATCTTGATTCAATCGGTTCAATCGACAAGGAGGAACTGCTATACCCTGGCAGTCGAAAGTGTAGTTAGAAGGAAATGCAGATGACTAAGCCACGCATAAAAATAGACGGCACTAAACCCGGAACGGCATCACCCAGTCGACCCTGTCAATTCTGTAGGATCCACGATCGAGCGGGATGATCTCAGGGATTGGTCGCGTCCAGACTCCAACTGCAGAGGAACCACACGGCTTCACGTGGCAATTGACCTGTAGGCGCGATGACTACATAATAATCCAGCTAAATTCCAAAGGGCTGGAGTCCTGCCTCTGCCTGCACAGCCTCTTGAGATCCGGTGGTCCCTTGAGCCACGCCAACGCACTAGGTGGTCTGGCAGTTGGCCTCGGCGAATGGTGCCTAACAGAACAGATGTTATTACTATTATTATGCTTTCTTCCGAGCCACCGGGGGCACTTGCTTTTGTGTGCGTGTTGTAGTTGGGCTTATTGTAGCCGTATATGAACCGGTCAGAAAGAAGGATGACTTTGTTGTTGCAGAATTCTTTGGACCCTCGACAACGGAGAACTAGACCTCATATAGCAGGTCATTATACTGTAGAATCAACTGTACCGGGCCGCCTTTCTTTGTTTCATTTCTAGCCTCCGGCCTGATTGGTTTCACCACGAAAATAGCTGCCTGGGCGTTGCTTTCCCAATTCTGAGTGGCTAGGGTCACGTGTTGCCTCCCCGACCGAACCGAGACGGGCTGTACTCTCCAAAGGCGGGCGGCGATTCATCACACCTTGTCAGCTTCACCCCAGCCTGCACCTCACCGTCTCCCTCTCGCATCTCGTCATCTACCTACCCTTCAAGAACCCGGAAACTTCCTCCAGCGTCTCTTTTGGTCCGCTTTCGCCCGCCGTTTTTAGTCTCGATCTCTTGCCCCCCCCCCCCCCCCCCCCCCCTTTTCCACTCCCCTGCGAGAGGAAAAGTTAGCGGTATCCGTGTCATTCAACCAGGCCGTCTGGTGATCTACGAGGCCCTACGATTTCATTTCACCTAAATCTTTCGACGAATCCATCATGTCCGAACCACCCTACGACCCCTACATCCCCTCCGGCTCCAACGGGGCCACCGCTAGTGCCGCGCAGAATGGCGATCCCAGGACCCGGGAAATCGACAAAGTAAGTGAAGATTCTCAATGGCTTCATCCGCAATATCGCGCAGGATGCATTACCAGGTGGATTACGAGTGATGCCGCTGTTATGCAGGCTTTTCGGCCTGCCCGTTGGCCCATATACTCGCGCATTTGGCTTGGAATGACCCGGGAAGACTTCCTGGTGCCAGATGCTGTGGACTTCTGTCAAAGACAGATGATTAGATTCCAGCCAGGCTGACTCTCTCTCAACTAGAAAATCCAAGAGACTGTCGACACGATGCGTTCGAATATCTTCAAGGTCTCGGAGCGTGGTGAACGTCTGGACTCGCTGCAGGACAAGACCGATAACTTGGCCGTATCAGCCCAAGGTTTCCGCCGAGGAGCCAACCGCGTGCGGAAGCAAATGTGGTGGAAAGATATGAAGATGCGCGTTTGCTTGGTCATCTGCGTCATTGTCTTGCTGGTGGTGATTATCGTTCCTGTTGGTATGTTTTGGTGCTCCCCGAGACAACCTCTCCGCTCTCCCAATCAACGCGATCAACAGCGCTAATCGTCTCTTGCAGTTGTCAAAACCACCTAAGTCATGCGCACAGCCACTGACAGTCACGACCCTTTTGGGAATGATATGTTTTTGCAACTGATTCTGAGATTGCGAAGCTTTGATTTCAGCCATTAATACCTTACGCCTTTTTTTCTTCGGGTCCCAGCCCGTCTTGGTTTTCACGATTAAAGAAAGTCTTGTCTCTATACGCCATGGACGTTACGAGCCGATTCGAGATTTGCGATGAGGCTGTGTCACACGATTCGTCGACGGTGAAGATGTAAATGATACTCCGGTGCTCCCCCGTGTTTGAGTACGCTCTTGTGTCTTTTTTTTTATGTTCTTTCCTATGTCTTTCCTTAGCCTCGAACTCTAATGAATTTTTTATAACCTTCATCACTTTGCTTGTGTAGATCGTAGTTGAAAGAAAAAGAAAGGGAGAAAGAAGAATGAAAAGAAGAGGTTGGTAGGTGCCCCCATGGCCATTATAACCCCCCGATGCATGGCGTCACATACACATTGAGTTGGGCAACATACTCAAGACAGTAGGGTAACGCTACAAGAAAACCCGGCCGGACTATAAATCTTTTTTAGGTAGTCCATGCCGAGCTACCATTACGGCATAAAGAGGAGTGGACCGTCCAGGTCCTTAGGGGAAATAAAGAGGAGACATTCTCATTAGCTAAAAGATCAGATAACGAAAGACCCAATGCACTACGAAATGACATCTGAGGATAATATCGGGCCCAGGATCCATCCGAAGCAGGCTGGGCGAACGATTATTCGTCAATGAGCGGGGGCACAGTAGACCATTAACAGGACGAAGCGAGATCTGATAATCCCGGGATTGCAGGAATGTGGAAATTGACGAGGACGATCTGCTGGTTACGGTAGTGAGAGGGTCTTTTCTGTTACGTGAAGCGAGTCGACGGACGGCGGAAAAGAGGGGACCGGCAGGGTTTTTCTATCAGAGGAAGTGTTCAAAGTCACGGCGTGGGCGAGACCTATTTTCCGGCTCCGAAAGTCGCAGCCAAGCCTTCAAGGCTTCAAGGCCATTCAGGCACAATTTGGCAAGTGCACGTTTTTGCCCCCGCTCTCCGCCTGCCTCGCCTCTTTTCCTACTTTTCTCGCAGCTCCTTCTTCCCGAACGCCTTTCTCCAATTCTGCCCGACCGTGAGACTGGTCTCTTGTTAATCCCTCACCCGCAGCTGCTGCCTGAACCCATCAAACGCAGTCCTCTTTTTGGGAGGTCCCATCCGCGGAATCTGACGCGAGGGGGACGAGAAGAACCACAAAAAACCGCGCAAGAGTGTCGTTGGCGGTGACGCTGTGAACGACCGAACTAGTTAAACCCACTAGTGAGTAGTCTACCACCCACCCAGCTCGCCCACCTTATGACTCCGAGGCCTCTCCGATAATCAATCTTTGGATCAAACTCTTTGGGGCGCGGCAATTCGGTCAACCCGCAACCTCCACACACTTTTTTCCCTCGCTTTACTCTTATTACTCACTCTTGGCCCTCTCCTCTCCCCCAACCCTTTGGCATTCTTTCTCCTCGCTCTCTACTCACGTTTTCTTCTTCGCTCCTCCCAGACTTCTCATTCGAGTAGCTGCGAAAGCTGCCGCATGCTGGCTGGCAAGATGTTCTCCCTTCGTACCGCAGTGCGGAGAGCTTCCACCAGCAAGCCCCTCCGAGCGCTCTCCGCACCGCACGCCGTTTCTCCTGCGAGACTCGCCTCTGCTCGTCAGTCCCTGAAGGCCTCTGCCGTGCCGTTGTTGCAGGGTCGCCACTATTCCCGTGCGGCGGATCCCCAACTCTCGTCGACCCGGTCCACCGTTGTCCAGTTGCTGAGTAACATCGGTTCCAAGCGCGAGGTTCAGCAATACCTCTCGCACTTTACCTCCGTTTCCTCCCAACAGTTCGCCGTCATCAAGGTTGGCGGTGCCATCATCACTGAACACCTTCACACTCTTTCGTCCGCCCTCGCGTTCCTCAACCATGTCGGACTCTACCCCATCGTCGTTCACGGTGCCGGGCCCCAGCTGAATCGCATGCTGGAGGAGGCCGGCGTGGAGCCACAATTCGAGGATGGTATCCGGGTTACCGACGGCAAGACCCTGGCTCTTGCCCGCAAGCTGTTCTTGGAAGAGAACCTGAAGCTGATCGAGGAATTGGAGCGCATGGGTGTGCGCGCCCGCCCGATCACCGCTGGTGTTTTCTCGGCCGACTATCTTGACAAGGAACGGTACAACCTTGTCGGTAAGATTAACGGAGTGAACAAGACTCCAATTGAGTCCGCAATTGAGGCTGGCTGTCTCCCCATTCTGACTTCCATGGCCGAAACCCCCGATGGCCAGATTCTCAACGTCAACGCGGATGTAGCGGCAGGTGAGCTGGCCCGTTCCCTCCAGCCCCTCAAGATTGTCTACCTTGCCGAGAAGGGTGGACTTTTCAACGGTGACACCGGCGAGAAGATCTCCGCGATCAACTTGGACGAGGAGTATGAGCACCTGATGAGCCAGTGGTGGGTGCGCCATGGCACCCGCTTGAAGATCAAGGAGATGAAGGATCTACTCAGCGATCTCCCTCGTACCTCCAGCGTTGCGATCATCCATCCCGCCGATTTGCAGAAGGAGCTCTTCACTGATTCCGGCGCCGGTACCCTGATCCGCCGTGGTAACAAGGTGCACATCAAGACTTCTCTCTCCGAGTTCGAGGATCTGGACAAGCTGAAGGATGTCTTGGTCCGTGACCGGGAGGGTCTGGATGCCCGGGCTACCGTCGACCGCTACGTTGAGGGTCTCAAGGAGCGCGACTTCAAGGTCTACTACGACGAGCCCATGGAGGCTTTGGCCGTGGTCCTGCCTCCCCAGAAGGATGCCGTTACCTCTCTGGCCCACCTGGCCACCTTTACCATCACCAAGTCGGGATGGTTGACCAACGTGGCTGACAACGTCTTTGCGTCCATCAAGAAGGACTTCCCCAAGCTGGTGTGGACCGTTAAGGAGGACGATGAGAACCTGACCTGGTTCTTTGACAAGGCCGACGGTAGCCTCAGTCGTGAGGGCGAGGTTCTTTTCTGGTACGGCATCGAGAGCGGTGACGAAGTCAAGCAGCTGGTCCAGGAATTCAACCAGAATGGCCGTCAGATGTTCGGTGACATCAACCTCGAATCGCGACTGCACCGGGCCGCCCAGGCTGCCACCAATATTGGCAAGGGATTCGGCGCTAGCGGTGCTTCAACTGAACAGCGCCGTGCCTTCTCGACCGGTAACGCCCTGCGTGCTGCTCGCTCTGCCCGCCCTTCCGTGCTCGTGACTGCCGTTCGTACTTATGCGACGACGAACCCCAACCCTCCTCTGGGCGAGAAGAACATGTCCAACAGCCAGCCCTCTAAGGTTGCTCTCATTGGAGCTCGTGGATACACCGGCCAGAATCTCATCAAACTTATCAACGCCCACCCTCACCTGGATCTGCGCCACGTTTCGTCTCGCGAGCTGGCCGGCAAGAAGCTGCAAGATTATGACAAGCGCGAGATCATCTACGAAAACTTGAGCCCCGAAGACGTCAAGCGCATGTCGGCGAATGGCGACGTTGACTGCTGGGTGATGGCCCTGCCCAACGGCATCTGCGCGCCCTTCGTTGATGCTGTCAACCAAGGCTCTGAGAAGGGCAACGTCATTGTTGACCTGAGTGCCGACTACCGATTCGACCCCAATTGGACCTACGGACTTCCCGAGCTGGTCAGCCGCTCCACCATTGCGCAGGCCACTCGCATCGCCAACCCCGGCTGCTACGCCACTGCGGCTCAGATTGGAATTGCCCCTCTTGTTCCTTTCCTCGGTGGCCAGCCCACTACTTTCGGCGTCTCTGGATACTCGGGAGCTGGTACCAAGCCAAGCCCCAAGAACGATGTCGAGTTCCTTACCAACAACATCGTCCCCTACAGCTTGGTTGGCCACATCCACGAAAAAGAGATCAGCGCTCAACTCGGAACCAGCGTTGCCTTTATCCCCCACGTCGCGGTCTGGTTCCAGGGCATCTCCGTAAGCATTCTGTCTCGTGCTGTGTTTGTCCAACTCAACTAATTATTTCCGTAGCACACCATCAGCATCCCCCTGAAGCAGGAAATGTCTTCTCGTGATATCCGCAACATTTACCAAGAACGCTACGCCGGCGAGAAGCTGGTCAAGATTTCGGGCGAGCCCCCTCTTGTTAAGGACATTGCCGGTCGTCACGGCATCGAAGTTGGCGGCTTCGCTGTTACAAAAGACTACAAGCGGGTTGTTGTTTGTGCCACTATTGATAACTTGCTGAAGGGGGCAGCCACCCAGTGTCTGCGTAAGTCTTCTGCTTGGCACTTTTCCAATGCACCGCGCTAACAATTCTCTAGAAAACATGAACCTGGCCCTCGGATACAACGAGTATGAGGGCATCCCCCTGGATTAAAGTATTGCGTTTCGGTAGAAAACGCACCTCGTATAACTGACTGTCGAAGGGTACGTGTATGAAGCATTGGGGCCTGTTTGTTTTAAAATCGATGAAACATTGTTAGATGCCCTTCTCCTGAGTACCCTTTTCTCTTTATCTTTTCTGCGTGTCTCATACCCCGTGTGCATCTCAGCCAGTTGCTATGGGTTGGACATGATCTCCAAGAGGTTTACCTCTTTGCATCCGTTTCCATAGTCAACCTTGCCATGTCTCTATCCTATCTATATCTATCTACCACCTTCACTTGGATTCTCAGTCTATAGAACCCTATCTTCTGTCTGCAAATGTTTGATTCTCTTTTGCTTTCCTAGTCTTTTGGTCTGCGTCAAACGGGAGCCTTTTCTATATCTCGTTGGCGAATGTTATTTTCGGCGCTGGTGAGCTGCAGAACATAGAGGGAGGAATCGAAAAGCTTTCTTTACCTGTGCACATTTCGTGTTCTTGGGATATACTAGTCTTTGGTGCATCATTGCAATGTGCTCGTTTGAGACTTTTTGACTCACTGAGTTGCTCAACGTAAATATTTCTTGCGAAGTCGAATTTCGCTCCTGTAACGATTTTGAAAAAAAGATGGCTTCCAGAACCGGGGGTTCAAGATTTTGTCTTTGGTTTGGCGCTTGATGGTCTTCCTAAACAGGCACTGCCCCGGTCCCTCAGCTCGCTTTAACCACGAAATACCTTCAACACCGGCCAGTCTTTACATTTTCCTTTCCATCATTGTGATTTAGTCTTTTATCCCTAAACTCGAGATCTTCTATATCCATCAATCTTACCCCCTCCACAGACTTCTTTTCTATACAAGCCCCCAGTCTGTCGAAGTCTCAACCCCTCTCCCCGAATCGACGCATCTATCTAACTTAGACATCGGTTCGCGCCCGAGACTTGAAAGTCTGACTCTCGCTTCTCCTTAAACCAACTGATTTCACTCCCATGTATCCTTTCCTCTCGTTCTCACGCTAGTCAAGTATTCCAATTGCGAGTGATGAGACGAGACGGTGCACGATTGCGCGAAGACAGAGGATAAGACAGCCAAAATGTTTTACAGCCACGAAAGTAAGCCTTATCCATCATTTGGCACATCTTAATGTTTCTTGGAAGCGACAAATTTGATGCATGGGCCACTAAACCTTGCTGTTTCCAACAGTACTCACCTCCCCCGAACACGGTGTCGCTACAATATGGTGAGTGACCCTCCACGGCCTAGGACTATAACCAAGGCGCAATCTAACGGGTGTCGTTTCCTGAACAGGCTGGTCGCAACTCTAGGACCACGATCCATCACGAAGAAGCTCAACAGAAAAGCGATACTGGATGTTGACGTTCCCAAGGCCTGCAAAGTTATCATGGATCCGGCGGCGCCAATGGCGTTGAGACTTCAAGGAAATTTGCTGTGGGTGACAGTCTCGCTAGGTTGATGAGTGTCGGAGTCGTTGATACTGACTCCGGTGTCTCAGATATGGCGTTTCAAAAGTGTATAATCAGCAATGCGGCTACGCATTGACGGATGTCCAGACGATGCATGATAGAATGAAAGTGATGTTGCGAGTTGTACCGGGTGGAGGACTGGATCCATCAGCTGGGAAGGTTAGGTAAGTGGTTTCCTTTTGATTTCCTCGATAACTCTTTCCGGTGAATGGCATTCTGAAGCAATCTCTTTAGACCAGATCAACTGATCCTCCCTTACGATCCCTCGTTTGCCCCTGAAAATGACATTCCCGGAATGGACATCGATCTCTCCAAATGGACAATTGCCTTCAACGCGGAAACAAACCAGGACTCCGAGCTCGTGTGGCCCAGAACTCCCGATCTCAGCCAGTCGGCTATCTCGCTCAATTCGAGCCTGCAGCTCAGCTTTTCCTCCGCAGATATAATGATGGGAGATCTGGTGAAGTTTGGTTCAGAGACTGACGTGGGCTCTGTGCAACGAAGCACGGACTTCGCGAGAGCGGTCTCTGTCCTTGGTGAAGAACAAGGAATACTTCTCCAGCCTGACTTTGAGTTTGATGAAGATGGAAATTTAGTTGAGCTTGGAGGGCCTCATCTCCGAGGTGAGGTTAGACAGCGGAAGGAACACAGGTTGATCAGTGAAACGCCTGTATTCGGTGCGTTGGGAGACAATGCAGTGAATGGTGTCTTTGGTGATGATCAAGTGAGTACCCGGACTCTGACTTTGGGATTCATCTGACAGGACTCTGTGTTAGCTCATGAACATGAACGACGATATAGTCCTCAATCTCGAAGACCGAGCTCACACTCCACCAGGAGATATTCGGCAATCTATCGAGCATCCCACTGCAGCCGAAGCAAGAGATGAAGTGGACATCGGCCCAGATGCAGCTGAGGCCACAATGCGCCAGTCGCGACGACGACCCATTAGACTGATACCTCTAGACGATGCGACTGTGTTGCAGAATACCGAGCTAGCCAACCATATGAATGAGTATCTGGAGAAGATGGCTTCTGCTGTCGAACAACAGCAGAGCAACCAGCTTTCCCTCCAGGCCAAGAAAAACGCAGCCTTCTGGGTTTTCGGCAAGGGAATCGGCTCCGTCGGTATAGGAGTGGGCGTCACCCAGTTTGCCCACCCTCTGCAGCTTTTCTCGGGAGAAGAGCTATATGATACTCTGAGCCCCTTTGCCATTCCAAAGAAACGCAAACGTGGTCGTCCAGCGGGCAAAGAAGGTGATGCGGAGTCAGAATCACGCCGTGTGCGCGCACGAGAAGAGCTCGAAGAGCAGGTTGGCCGTGGCGACGACGATGGCGTTGTGAACTGGCAAGAGGTTTGCAAACCACTGCTTCATGTGGACTTTGGATCCATTACTAATGGACCTATTCTATAGGAAGTTGAAATCGGCCGTCAAGCACCAGCTATCCATGACGATAGCTCGATCATGCCCTGGAACATCACTGCATCTGTCCAAAGCTCCCAGCACGGCTCAGTCACCGCGAACATCTTCCGCGGCCTAGGAAGCGTCAGTGATTTCTCCTCTCACGGATTCGGCGAACCTTCAGGACTTGGTCCACAACGGAGTCGTTTGACCAGCGCCAGTCCCCTCGCCGGACGCGGCTATCCACCAGACATAGAAGGACTTCCTGGTTTCGCGGACGACGAGCTCGAAGACTTCGACTTGAGCCACTACCTCCAGACAGAGCTCCACGGCGACGGTTTCGCAAATGCAATGGATCTGGACCTCGACACCACCGGCGCAAACAAAGGCAAGGAACCAATGAGAGACCCTCCACTCTCTCTTCGAGATCGAATCATACAGTCAAACCTGGACCAAGACAGCCTTAACTTCCTCGAATTCGTCATGAAGAAAATCGAGGACCTGAGTGCGAGCCCGACTGAAGACATCCAGGCACCTGCATTCGAGGACCCTCATACAGATCCATCCATCCAGTTGAAAGGCCTCCCCTTTTCGACCCTGCTCCCGCGCAGGAAAACCTCTCGTGCCGTGGCGACCCACGGCCTCGCACATACCCTTGCTCTCGCTACCAAGGGTATCCTTTCTGTTCGACAGGAAGATTATACTGATCTCACCACGGAAGAGTATGGTGCAAAATACGAATATGGAGAGATCTTCCTGCGGTTGGCATAGAAGATGACTCTCAAGACTCTCTCTGGCTCCTTACTACGATTTACCAACCCAGACAATACAACACGAAACCCTGCATGTGCGAGTACAACCTGACAATGTCTTTTTCTCCGGTTTTCGTTTACGCTATCTGCGGAAGTTCTATACGCTTACAACACCCGCCATATACCCATTATCCATCTATTTATCCAACTCGGTCTCGATGACCTACACAAACTCACCAACAAAGCAAAAAGCAAAAAGCAAACTCAAAATTCTGTCAGAGTAAACAACACAGACATTTCTTTCCAGTGATTCATTTTTTCTCCTATTAATCTTCCATTTCATGCATGTCTCGATCTTTCCACCTTTTCTGTTCTTACATCCCATACCTACTGCCCATCTACCACGACACTTAATGCTCGATGCGCCTCGCATTCAATCTTTCCGATCTATTCCATAGTATCTTAGCGATGTATCTCTATGTTCCCTTTAATTTGCCTTTATTCTCATATCTAATGCGGGCTTTCTTATTCTGAATTTCTCTTCTGTTACTTTGTCTCTTCTTTTCCAATGATTTGTATGCTACGTTCTTACAAAAATGATTAACCGGACAGATGTCCTCAAAAGCCTTTGCCATATCCAGAGAGCATAACCAACATCGCCACCAACCAAGAGAACTTTTCAAGTTCAATCACGCCACCTTGTACATCCCAAGCGTTCGGAAGACAGTAGGATTTAAACTGCTCGAAGGGAGAGAGACCTTTAACGAAAGAGTTTCCACCAGAGACAGAAATCACCAGACAGTAAATGAAAAAGAAAGTGGAAATGGATGAAATTAGAGGTATTCATCGTTCAGCTCCAGACGCCTGTTTCCTCTTGGTACCTCATGGAAAGTCAGCATTTGCGTATCACCTAATCAGGATAGATGGTGATTCTGTCAAGCCAGCCAGTAGACCACCAAACGACCGTCCCATGCTCTGGTATCTTCTGCCATCCATTTCGTTCCGCATCAGATCCAGTGCTGGGTTCACCACTTCGAAAATCTTTTATGTATTCGTATTCATCAACGACACCGGCCTGGACGTATATAGGCGTCCAAAGCTCCTGACTAAGATCCCAATCCCATCGCACCTGTCCAATCGATTCCATCTGTCCATCGTGATAGTATAACAGAAGACCCAGGCATGGACGATGAGGCTCTTCCGTATTCCTGCATACCTGCACTCTCACGAGGCCTTGGAGAGGCGCGTCTGTCATGTACCAAGTACAGACTGCCAAGCCCTGGCCAGGGGAGTCTGCTGGGGGTTTGAAGCGCGGAAGAGGCGACGGCTCCACCGGTCCGACTTGGTGTTGGCCATTGCAGGTCACTCCCCGAATTCGAAGACGTACCCTAGGGCTGGGTCTACGTTATGAAAGATGCCGGAAATAGCACCATCACCATCCTTGACCAAAGGGTGATACTCGTACATATGGGCGTTACGGGCTGGGACGGGGGTGCCGAATGTAACGGTTCTTCCTAGGGAAGTTTGGAGCTTAGGCAGATGAGTTAGGTATATAGGTCTATGGATCGGGATTGAAGATAGAGGTCTTCTAGAGCGGCTGACTTACTATCAAGATAGGATTGATAGCTACTTCAGAAAACCTCGCCTTCCGGATCCAAGCTGCTTTGATAATTTCATCTTTGTTGAGCGGGAAATACATCCAGTACTTGTGGATATCGCTCAACCGTCGATTCATCAAATCGAGAAATTGTCTATATGCCTTTGATGGACCCGAGAACCCGTGGATCCCGACATTCTTAGTGATGGCACAGCAGACAAGGATACCCCGGATGTGGGAGTCAATTTTGAAATAATCCAGGCGGGATTGAAGTAGTAGTGAGTCTCGGTCGACATTCCACGGGTGAAATTCTGGCGGAGTGGGAGAGCTCCAGGCTCTATATGTCGGTGGACAACTCGAGTCGAGCTGAATGCTCCTCATAAAAAGGCCCTAGTTATGTTAGCTCCTGTTTCTGAAGATGCTGGGGTAACATACATCTGACTTCACATAGACCTCTAGATCAGAATGTCTTACGTCCAGAATCTCGTACCATGGCGACCCATCGGATGTGGGACTCGAGTTACAGTCAACGAACTGTATTCCACGTATACCAATACAGTCGACTGACAGAACGATCTTGCTGGTCTTATCGGGTAGTCTGATCTGGTATTGCCCAGAAGCGCTTGTCGAGTCGAGCGGTTCATCGCTGAGTTGTGCCACATAATCTGTTCCGCGGTACTGGATTATAGAAACCCACATTTCCGATTTCAACCTCATCTTCTGAGTATGGATCCACTGGTCTCTCTCAAGCACTGAATCAATCGTCGTGTCTCACCAAGGACGGTCAAGTACCAGCATGGAGCAACTAGCTCAGTGATATCACACAATAGTTCAGCCGGTAATCGCCCCAAGAATTCCTGTGTAAAGCCGTCCTGGAAGATTTCTCTCGTGTACTCGCTAAAGAGCCCTTCCCTCACCGACCTGCCTTCCCTATGCTCTTCAGGTAAACATCGATAAGTGGGCCTGGTTGCATCGGCAAACCGTCCCAGGGCTTCGAAAGTAGGCATCTCGGCGGGCTCGTAGCCCCATCGTAGAACGCTGTAACATGTTGGATGGACCCAAACCGCGGGTCTGGCGACGCAATACACCATTTGCATTCACTCCCACAATCAGGGACGGCATGCAGTTTCTGATTGATGTCTGTTGTCACGTTAGGCGAGCAAGATGACATTAGAGGAAAAGTATCAGACGGACCAAGGACATGTAACTCGAGAGTTGCGGCTTGTCTGCACAGCGTGCAGAGAGAATATCCAACGTGGACGTCTGGTTCATGATTGTTTCCCACGGATCTGATGGCACGGGGCTCCAAATATCTTGCGGATAGGTAATCTGTGTTTCTGGGAGCTTTCGTCAGTCGCAGACAGCACTTGTTGTAGAATGATCGGGGAGCGGCGAGTAACTACATACACGAGATTGGCAAACATTTGTGGTCCAGGCGAACGGGAGGAGACTCGAGATGAATCAATTATTTCTGATATAATTCTGGGCAACTCTAATGTAGGAGACGGCTGCAGATGGTCATTCCAATGAAGTGAGATGAAGATGGTTGGAGGAAGAGGGTTTCGTTTCTCATACAAGGAAGGAGCGATAGGCCTCAGGCATTCTAGCTTCTACAACAGGCATTCACCCTTGAATGTACAGGAAGCCATGAAGTGAATGCTTTCCACCCTCAGATCACATTAGGGTCAGTTCAGCGTCGAGTCATGGCCCCGAGAAGGTCGGGCGATCCTTCATACAGCACTATATTTAGTATGCCAGTGTTGGTTTTATAGATCGATCGTGTAACCAACGTCGTCATTTTCGGCCGTAAAAACGCCGGTCATCGCCGGGGCCTTACAATGTATGGTATCCCAGTAATACCCGTTATTCCATCCAATTTCATCAATTCAATCAATTCAATCAATTCAATTCAATTCCAGTAAAGCCGAGTATCTCAGCCTGCATCGAGTATTCTGTTGATCAACATCATACCAAGCTTGATCTCGGACACGCGACTGGTGAACACTGAACACCTCGGTTTAGCCCCAACAGGCAGCCACAAAACACGCGATCCCCGTGGCGGTGCTCCTGGGATCAACAGAAACAGGTCCTTCATCAGCCCTCAGACACAGCTGAACCTGCTGGGTCGGTCAGTCCGAGAGTTCCGGACGCGATACGATGAAGTGTAACTGCGGTGGTTTGATACTCTTACGCTGTACAGAGTATTTGTATCACTAACTAGGGCATACCGGACAGCTGGTTGGTACAGAGTATTAAGAGATACCTTACTGTTGATTACCACTGAGAAGTTGTATGAAATGTGAGATTATTCGTATATTGTAAAATGACTTGATAGAAGATGTCCTGCCAGAGAAAGAAGAAAAATGAGGAATCCCCAGATTTTCCGCGTGACAGAATTAGACTTTCCTGACTGAGGCACCAAGACTCGCGTCAGCCAAAATTACTTCCGTACCGTCAGATGACGGGGTTGCTCACCGTGCGGGAAGCAAATTACGCCGGGCTGGTGTATGTACAGTACGGCTCCGTCCTGACGGGCTCGCGTAAGTTAACCGTCTCGTCTCGTCTTTCTTCCCTTTTTCCCTCTCTTCCTCTTCTCTCTCTTTCTCCCTCTCCCTCACTCATTCTCTCTCCCCCCCTGCAAAGTCCCTCCATCCTCCTCCCCCATCGTCCTGTCGCCATCCGCCCGTGGCCATCTCAAATTACCTCCTTTCTCAATCAGGGTCTTCTTCAACGCCATCCACCATCGATTTATTCAATTCTTACGTCGTGAACATGGGTCGTACCGTCGACCAGGAAGTTCACGCGGCGTTCGTCGAGTTCCGCGCCAAGGAAGATGATAAGGTGCGTGACTGAGCTGGCCTACCCGTATTTCCCGTAATATTTCACCACTGACCCCGTTCTCCGTTCCTTCGGCTTTACAGTGTCTCTCCGTTCAGTGCATCTACTGTCAGCAGATCCGCGCAAAGAACACCTCGCGTCAGAAGCAGCACCTACTCGAGTGTCCCGGACTTCGCGGCCATACCAACCCTCCGGCTCCTCAGACTCAGACCACCCCGTCCGCTCCGAACGGTATCGCCGCCAACGGCTACCCTCCCACCCCCAATGGCACCGCAGCTGCCGCTCCGGGCACCGGCCCCAGTGCCGCGACTACCATGCAGACTCCCAACGGACCCATGATGTCGAACGGCGTGGCTCCCCACGCGACGCCCATGCAGACGCCGCTACAGAACATGCCCGGTCGCGCCTCGTTGCCCACCTCCGGTCCCACGGCAGGCGCCGCCTCGTCCGCGTCCGCCTCGCAACAGGCCTCGCGCGCCACGCCCAAATCCAAGCCCAAGACCTCCACCTCCAGTCTGCCCGCTCCCCCATTGGACGATGTCCACGCGGCGTTCGTTGAGTTCCGTGCAAAGGAGGAAGATAAGGTAAGAACGGCCGGCACCCTCGACACCCCCGAGGACGGTATTTTGACAGAGGAACAGTGCCTGTCGGTGCAATGCATCTACTGCCAACAGGTCCGCGCGAAGAACACCAGCCGACAGCGTCAGCACCTTCTCGAGTGTCCCACCTACCTCAGCGTCATGAAAGACTCCATCCCCGCGAACAATCTCCTTCACACCTTCCCCGAGGGCGATGTGGCCCGCTCCCTGCAGATCCCCGCTCCCACCCTCGAATTGGACTTCCGCATGAGCATCAAGATGAACCCCCGCGTTTCAGTCGGACAAAGTATTTGGGGTCAGAGGGATTGGGTGACGTTCATTGGCGGTCAATGGGCCGGCAGATGGGGCAAGGGCGTTATCCTGGTAAGACATGCCCATCTTCTTTTCCACGCCCGCGTCAAGAAAGGATCACCCCGTGTCTACATCGACAACTGCTAACACTGTCAACAGCCGGGAGGACAGGACTCTCAGATCGTGACCAAGGAGTCCACTACCAGTCTTCGGGCCAGCTACATGCTTCAAACTTCCGACGAACCGCCGGCGTATATCATTGTAAAAACCAACGGGTGGTTAACGGGTGCGAAAGACGTTCTGGACAAGGTTAATGACCCCAACGCGGCAGACGCTATTAATCCTAATACCTATAAGTACCGGGTAAATCTCTCTATGGAAACAGGTGATGAACGTTATGCATTCTTGAACACCTTAATGTGGATTGGCAGTGGCTGCCGCAGAGGCCATGAAGGTTGGTTATCCCTGCTCAATTCCCGGTTAATCGCATGATGCTAACCCGAAAGCAGTCATCTTCGATGCTTTCCGCGTCAATTGATCTGCTACGATATTGCAACTCTTGTGTCGGTTTTTGAGCGAGTAATCACATTTCGATTGGGGAAAATTTTCCTTTCTTTACATTCTCATTTCATTGCCTCGTTTCTTTTCATCACTTCAGAATATGTTTGATGTACTCCCTACGTTTTGAAGCCTCCGGTATGGATGCGCTTTTTTATTTTCTGTTTTCTACTCACGGGCCCGCTGGATGCCGTTTTAGTGGAACATCCAGCGCTTTTCATACTGTTCCTTCTGATGACAACACTGTTTCTTTTGCATTCCATTACTTCTGTATGGTATAGTTTTCATCTCATTCCAAGGTGCAAGACTGATTTCAGCCTTGGCTCGAAGTTTTTCCATTTTCTCTTTCCTTTTCAGTTCATTGGTTTCCCTTGTCTTAATTTGGCACGGCAGTGAGATCACGACCAGGACCTTGTACCTGTATTCCTTCTAAAGAATCGAGAATGTTAGCATTTCTGTTGTTCGTCTGGTCAGGTCCGATATATAGATTGGGTACCTTAGATACTAGCAGTTATGACGGTATGGGTTCCTGGTATGGTGATGTGCGCAAATACTGCTAGTCAGGCAGGTAGGTAGGTAGAGAATATATAACCGGAAGTTTGGTACGGGTAAAGGGATCTATATAACCAAATATAAAGTTAGCTAGCTTATACAGAAGACCTTATTTCTAGAATTATGGTTACAGTACTGTAGCTGTAAATCGAGAAGATACCCAGAATGTACTGGTAACTGGGTATGGGTATTGTCTAGGCAGGTCTCGGGCTGTATCAACGTTCTTACTTAGTCAGTACTTACTTCCAGGGTTCGTTATGGTATGAACTATGGGTTTTGGTTACCTACTAGTTTGAAAATTACTGACAAAGGCTAAACCTATTCATCACTTATTTACTCATATCCATACAAATGTTCTGAGATCTAGAGAATATACATTTCTTTATACCAATGTTGTAACTGATAGGTATGTTGTTCGCTAGGTAGGTGTATACGCCAGTAACCAGAAATAGAAATAAGCTACGGTAAGAGTAAGTTAACGGTTAGGACCGTTAGATTAGATTAAGTTTTGACGGCTAACTACCTTAGTTAACTACCTTACCTACCTTAAGGTAGGGACTTGTAATAACACCCTGTCCTACCTGACTTACTTACCTACCTAGCTACCACAGTACATACATACCTTAGTTACCCGAATATACCCACGGTAGGGTAAGGCAGTATTTACCGACTACCGCGTTCTGATTTCATTTCATTTTATTCTCTGTTGCTTTTAACTTACTTGTATTGATCATAAGTAACTTTCTATCTATCGGACTAGCTTGTACATAGAGTAAGAAGTCTGATTAATACTTAGGAACGGACTAGGAATTAACATGGATGATTGGATTATATTATAATTCAGCCTACCTTGACCACCACCAATGACTTGACCCGAGGGCTGCATAAAGCCTTAGCCACTTGTTTATAGTTATTCCTTGGCAATTGGCACTACCAGTTGCTTTTTGTTTCGTGAAGATTAATTAACTAACTGTACATCCCCTAGTTAGTTGTCTTCGATGCAGTTGAAAGATGACGGGTTGGATATGTTCACTAGTTAATGCGAAGAATGACAGTTTGGAAACCGTTCCTGCGGATGCTTTGATAATTATGTTCTACTCATGCAGTCCATCTAGAGCTCGATTCGCGATGGAAGTCTTCATACCATTGCTGATTCGATCATCTCCTCCACGATCCGTTCATAATTCATCCAGATACGACGCTTATTCCTCAGCTCCTTGAACTCAAGGTTCTCACTATCAGGCTCCTGCTCAGGAGATGCATACGATTCCTTTAAAACGCGCAAAAGTCTGTCAATCTGGACTTCATCGTTCTCTGCTCCTGCTATCTGCTATATGTGATAGAATGATATCTGCACACCACGGTACAGCAAAGAAGAGACGGGATTCCCAGAAACTGGATGGGAGGTGTTCTGCGCAATGCCTAAAGTCAGGACTTGCGAGGAAGAGGTCTAGTATAAATAATCTTGGGAGGAGTTTTAGAATGCTGAGTTGGAGTTCGCGCGGGAGTAATGAGAGGACGTTGGATTCGGGATGTAGGTGAGATTGTGGCAGGCTTGTCTGAGCGGGCTTGACACTGAAGGTGAAGAAATAGCCTGGCTGAGTGGTAGATGCATGGCCAAGTAGAGGTTAGCAATCGAAAAGGACCTTCCGGATCTAGTACTGTCCACTAAGACATAGTCTCGAATTAGCCAGCTCTCTTCAAACACGCTTATACCTGTATACCGTCTCAGAAGAGCATACCATAGACCCCTTCACCGGTATCCATTCCTGATAGTCGGGATCAACCCTCTTCCCCGGCCAACTTCTACTACTATAGAATGCAACCCCGAAACCCCCCATCGACAAGGTCATTATTCCGACCCTCTAGACCAAGCTCTAAGCATATCAGATTAGGACGTTCCTGCAGTCGCTGAGACCGTTGGCGCTGTCGTAGTTGCAACAATCGGTGCAGTTACTTGGCGTGCCAGATACAGTGGGCATCAACGAGCTCTTTGCAACGTAACGTAGTCCATGGTAGGCGTGGACATTTTTCCGGCGACGGACGGGAACATGGCGGGATGTGATGGAGATGAAGGGGCGTGGCTCCAGGATATGATGCTTCCCCACGGGGGGCTCCGCAGTCCGTTTCGCCAAGCCACAGGTTTATGCAATTTGCGTCGATCTCCGGGTTCAGGAAGTAGAAGTCTCCTAAGGAGGGAGAGAGAGAACTGCACGGAGATCAGGGCGCATTGGTCCCATTCCACGACCTGGAAAGAGTTTTGTCAAGATGGAGGAGGCTGGTAGGTAGATACTTATGATTCAGGGCATAGCATACAGTATAGTATACCAGTATCAGCAGTTAGTACTTTCAAAGCCATAAAGCTACCTAGGCAAGAATAGACTCCCGAAATCAGGTAATATGAGACACTACTTAAGCTTAGGGTTAGCACTAACTATAGGCTGAAGGAAGATATAGACTGAGATAATCTAGTTTTATGTTTGTTTCTTACCTACAAATACACTTACATAGATAGGTACTGTCTTAGGCACATACCTCATAATTAACAGCATACATAGTGTACACACTAGTACTATACAGTACCATTACTACCTACAGTATGCCTTCGCACTGGTTGTGACATCAGTGCCAGGTAAGGTCAGATGGACAACACAACACAAGATATTAGTGGCGGACCCGACCACCCACCGGCGAAAGGCGGTGGGTGGTCGGGTCCGCCACTAATATATGAGATCTTATCCATCGAGGGTACTGCTCCTCCTATCCCTTTCTCCTTTTTGCTTTTCAAGATATTTGATCTACATTGAGCTCTATAATTACCTAATAATCATGAAATCGCAAACGAGAGTCGAAAATTTACATACAAGACACAAAACATGACTATTTAATATCTGAACAGCGATCATCTCAAAATATCTCAACAATCTACAGCATCACATAACATCCGAGCAACCCGCCATTTAGAACCCTAATGGAATATCAGCACAGCTGTCATGACCGTATATTCCTGCCAAACTTACCCTTCTCCGTATTTCCCTCGCCCATGCTCCTACTGCTGCTGCTGCCGCTCTGGATCGCGCCCAGGATGCCATCCAGGTAGGGTGCGCCGCTCCACTTCTGATGAGTGAGGACGTCGACACCGAGTTCTTTCTCGCGCGATTGAACGAGGCGCACGTATGCGAGCATACCTTCGTCCTTAAAAGCGCGGGAGAGTTCCGTCGTGATGGTCGCGTTGGTGTGCAGACCCGCCAAGGAGATCAATTGGAGGACGAATCTGTGTTGTGTTAGCTTGGTCTTGATCATTGAATCTGATCACTGAAGTATACGAGCAGTAAAATCAGGGGTGGGCGTCTTACCCATGCTGAACCAGATCCCAGATGAACGATTTCAGGGACGCTTCGTCGAAGCCCTGGCCCATCCAGTTGAATGACGGACTGAGGTTGTAGACGAGTTTCTTGCCGGGATATGCGCTGCGCACTTCGCCAGCGAGCTTGCCGGCCTTCTCGACGTTCGGGTCCCCGGTTTCAACCCATAGGAGGTCGGCATAGGGAGCGAACACCTTGGCGCGCTTGGTGGCGGCCGGGAAGCCGGCTCGGTAGTGATAGAATCCCTCGCGGGTGCGAGGACTGTCGCAGGACCAGACGACCGGTGTCTTTGCGTAGTCGTTGGCTAGGGCGCGTCGGCGGGAGATGGACAGGTCGGGGTTCTCCTGCACGCGCTTCTTGTATGCGTCCCGGGCGGAGTGGGAGGCTCCCTCTGCCTTGAGGTGCGCATCAACGGCTGATATGGTCAGTATCGAGGATATGTGAAACCGTGGAAGAGGGCGGGGGGTTACCTTCGTCAAAAGTGACAAGCTTGTGCTTCTTAACCCAGTCCAGCTCATATGCATCAATCTCCGAAGAAACTGCCCCTTCTCTCTCCATTGCCTGCAAGGTCTCGGCAAGAGGCTCGACGTCCTCCGTCACACCCAAAATAAACTCGTGGTCGCGCACGTCGATCGCGCTGCTGATCAATCGTCCGCTTTCTGAGTCCGTTCGCGCAATGACCAGGTTCTCCGCACCCATCATGTCCCACTGGAACCGAGCGGCAGTAAGCCGGTTGATATGCTCGCCCATAGGCACCAAAACTTTGCCAGCCAGATGACCGCACTTCTTTCCGCCGTGCAACTGATCTTCGAAGTGGACGGCCGCGGCTCCGTTCTCGGCAAAAAGCTTCGCCAGCTTCATGACAGCGGACAAGCCGCCGTGTCTGCAACAAATCAATCAGCCGTTCCCAAAGTCTTCGACAAGAACGCATACCCAGTATCACCATCAGCGACGATCGGTCGCAAGTAATCGACGTATTCACTCGAGCTCCGTTGCTCCGGGGTCATTTTCCGCCTCGCATCCCATTGTTTCCGATCGTGTAGCTGTTGCGCCTTGAAGAGCCGTTGAACCTGGTTGGGGACGGTGTTGTAAGGATAATCGCCAAAATCGGGGGATACTTCGTTGGTGCTCGTGAGAAGGGAGGAACATGCCCAGCCAGAAATATACAGGACTTCCTGGTTCGGTGCCTGTTGCGTCATTTGGACCGGGTCGATGGCACCCACTGCGACACACGTCAGTTCGGACAACCCTGTCCAATCATCGACCAACACATACTCGTATGAACTGGTTTTCCTTCCGCTGCCCGCTCATTGAGCAGATTGAACAGCTTCCGGGCCATCAAAGAGCTGGGGTAGGTCTGTTGAAGTGAACCCCGCTTGCTGACCACGTCCGCGGCGCTGTATGGTCGCTTGATGCCTTCGAAACGAGGCGAATTCCACCACGCCTCAACATCTTTGATCTGCTGTTCGTAGAGCGCGTCCTCCGCTGCGCCAGATTTGTTGGAACTGGATAGGAGCTGGAACGAGTCGCCTGGCAATGAGGAGGACACGGGGGGAGCGACGGGCGGTAACGAGGAGGCCGACATCCGAGGATAACCGCATGTGAAGGAGCGCAGGGCGTTGCGGGAGGGACTGCCTGCAGTCGCGGAGAGAGAGGGGAGACGTCGAGGAATTCGACGAGGAACTGAGCGAAGCATCATCTGTGGGTATTGTAGAGGAATGATTCTATGATGAAAAAGAAAGAAGAAGGAGAAAGGTGCGGTGATGAAAGATGGTTGTTGATGATCCCCGCTAAATCGACCTCGGGCCGGGGCTGGCCTGTCCCTTCCTTTTACCCCGTCTTCGTTGTTCCTCCCTTCTCCGCAATACCCGCTCTGACTAACCTCCACAAGGATGCGCTGCGCTTCGCATCGGTCTTGGACTCTGATGACGTTGTTCGCAGATTTTATCAGATGAAAAAATAGAATTGTTTTATCATGATAGATCAGTATCAATCACAAGAAACCCCGCGACTACCCGATTCTGCAAACTGTGGCGAGATTTGATCGCTAAAACCACGAAAACAATTATTCCAGAAAGACGAAAGCATGAACTTTGGAGCTAATGAGAAAGAATACTGGTCTGGCCCCAGATCTCTTCAAAAACTTCAGTGCCTGCGGAAAAGAAACTTTTTGAAGCCCCTAAATCGCACCCAATCCGTTGTCATCATCTTTTGAAAATCGCGATCCGCAACGATTTTGCATGTCTGGCTATGGCCTTTGTCCTGCCAGCCGACTCTCTGACATTCCTGTCGAGCAGTTGATTAGCATTCGTCGATTTTGCGCATGAAGATGTAACTGCTGTCCGGCCCCGCAGGTTTGAACAACATGCGACTGAGTGGGATTGGCTTTTTGGAGGGGATAAATAGCTTACTCTGCTGCAGTATCTCATAACTTTACATCTTGCGCATGTACTCAGCGGTACATTGCTTTGGCCACATCCATGGCATTCGGTGTGCTTGCCAAAGCCTTTCGGCCAGGATCGAACCTCGTCACTAAGACGAAGTAGGTTGTCGAGGGACGTAGGAAAAAGCTACATGAGATGTAAGCTCTTTCAGTTCGGCAGTTCCAAGAGGATGGATGTGATTTCCAAAACCGGGGGCATACCTTGATCGAGCGGTAATCCTCCTGACGAACTCCCCAGCGACCGTCAAGAAACTGATGCTGTGTGGGATACATAATCGCGACGGTTTGTCCACAGTGCAGCTCACTTGTGTCAAAGGCTCTACCCTCATCTTCAGTGTAGAAGGCAATGATCACTAGCTTGTCTGCTTTGTCCTTGCATCTCAGAACAAGACGGGAAAAGCTTTCGATGGCGAAGATTTCCACCAGGAGACACCAGTGTTCGTGTGGTTTATAGACCTTGCCGTTCGCGACTTGAATCATCAATTCGGGGATATCGAAGAACGTGGGAAAAGCCGTCATATCTCGCAAGTTAGCATAGTCTCTGGCAGGGACAGATGTGCCAGGATCAGACTCGCTCGCGCTGGAGGAAGTTGAAGAATAAGACATGTTGGAATCGGCCTTTCGAGATTAAAAGCTTGGAAAATGACGCGGTAGCGAGAAACCTGAGTATGAGATGGGGTAGAGAGATATGAGCGCTTGCAGGATCAAAGCTGGAAAGAGGAAGGCCCAAGTTCTTTTATTTTGTGGAAAGTGGCCTTCTGCGGTTTCTTGGGTGAAGATGGTGGAAATTTCCTCGTTTGCAAGGTAGCACAAACAAAGGCAGGTACCAGGAAACCGAACCACCAGTATACAAACAAAGTTAGTGAATTATGGTAAGATTTAGTAGGCAAATTGTACCAAGTTTTCCAAATAAGTGACAAGAACATGCAAATAAATTTTATCAATATTCCCTGGCCGAGCCCTGTGCTGCTACCCCAATATCCGTATAGCATCTCAAGACAGATGATTTGATAATGTTTTTGGCCCAATGCTATGATGAAAACGTAAAGCTATGCAGTCTCCGACACGTTTTGTAAAGGGAAGTCTTTAAAGTCCCAAAATATAGACCATTGCATGGTAAACATTTTCTGGAAGTCGGTGTCGGCGATGACCTTGCAGTCCTTTTTGTGGTTCATGTCTTTCCAACAGATCTCCTGACATTCCTACGGTCTCGACGAGCAGACGCCAGTGCTTTTTGGGGACCTAGCCGAGCCCGCCTTTTGTGTAGTAGCGTAGGTCGAGGTCGTCGTCTGCGGGCAGGGAGGTGAAGTTGGGGAAGTGTTTCACGTTGCGCAGGCTGGCGTAGTTCTGGGGTGTGGTATGGGGTTGGGTGGGGTGGTGGGGGCGTCGCGTGTTGAAGCGGACCTTGCGACGGGGCATGGTGGGTTGGGAATGCAGAGGGAAGGGGGAGTATAGGTGTGAAATGGAATGGGATGGGGAAGAAGATGAAGCTTTGTGTGGACGGAGGAAGATTGTTTGTTGCGGAGAGCTTGGGGAGTTTCCGGGGTGTTCCCGCGGGTGCAGGTTGGTACATGCTTAAGTGTTATATAGCTTTAAGTCTAGATCTAGTTGCTGGGAGAAAGCTTCTAATTTCAATATCTTGAGGAATACAATGGAATATCTCTCATATTAGATCTGAGTCGTCGCTATCTAGAAATTAGGATAATTAACTGATGTAGATCACCAGATTAACACCCAATAATTCAGTGTTAGAAATTATTATCGTAAGATGACATGGAGAAAAAGAAAAGAAGTAAAGACAAAAGGAGTAGATAAAGAAAGTGAAAAGAAGAAAAGCGTGCTACCCGGCTCATTCTTCGTTGCATAAAGGTCATATCGAATGCTTGTGGATAGTCACCAGAAACCCCCACTAAGCAATTGGCTTCAATGGTGCACCCAACAAGATCAACAGAAGATTAATGACACCCTGACCAAGAGCACCGATAGCACCGGGGTCAGTCAAGCTGGTCAGAGCAGTCGAGTTGTGGCAGCCTTGCTTGACAGGAACGCCATTCATACGATCCGTAAGCCAGATAACAGCATCAGGAGCACCGACAATCTCCATCGCCCCGTGCTCTGACAGCGTGTCGCGCTTATACTCCACGTCGGCGCCGCCATCGCAGTACTTCGTAACCAAAGCATCCGTGTCATTAACGGGGCTGACTTCATCATTGAGAGACTTGTAAACAAGAACAGGCACCTTGGGCGTGTGCTGGCCCATCGCATTCTCCCGAAGGACTTTGGTTGCTTCCGGTCCCTCAAAGATCTCCGTGTTGTTGACGTAGGTGTAGATGTCGTGGTTGAGGTAGTGCAGCAGATCCTCGGTCAGGCAGAAGTCCTTGGTCTTGCGGAAGTCTTCGAGCTTTTCCGGCAGAACGTTCTCGTCGATGAGGGTCTGGATTTTGGGATACTCATTGGCAAGACCCTGTACGCCGGATGGGACCAGGCCGGCAAAGAAACCCTTGTTGACGGTCTTGATGACAGGCAAGATCTCGGGCACGGTGCCACCGAGGGCAACGCCGGCAATCTTCAGCTCCGGGGCATACGTGGGCTGCAGTTCGGCGGCAAAACCGCTGGCCAAACTGCCGCCAGAGTATCCCCAGAGGGTGATTGTAGGATTGGATGCGATGTGCGTGAGGTCAGAAGACTCTAGCGCGGCGCGGACATTGTCGAGCACAGTATGTCCGGAGAGCTTGTTGGCCAGGAAAGCGGACTTGGTTCCAAGGTGGTCGGGTACGGTAACAATCCACCCCTTACCCAGAGCCGAGCTCAGGAAGAGGATTTCAGCTTGGGGCATAATGAGACCGAGGAAATTGTCGTGAGCGGCATGTAGTTGAAGCGCAAATGATGGAGCACAGTTCGGGCTGGCCGCATCTTGAGCTACTTGATAAGACAGTAATTTGGTATAGTCGGCGTTGTGAGGAACGAGGATAGTGGAGGCAGCAACTATAGGATTCCCAAAAGAATCGGTACTTCTGAAAAGAAGCTGATGCGCCGCAGCCAGGTTTACTTTGGCAAAGCTGAAGGCCGCAATTGGGAATGGAGGTTCTCGGGACCGCAGGATGGTTCCGGGAGGAGAGGATTCGAAGCCTTCAGGAGGGAGATAGAAAGGATCATGTACAGGCTCAACAGGACGGGTATCATTTGCTGATCGAGCAGCTGGCATGGCCAGTGCAACTCGCGGTAGGAGAGCAAGCGAGAATAACAGAAAGGAGCGGAGCCCATACATATTGAAGGTCTTGCGAAATTTATCCCGCTGGACTGTGTCGAGGGGATCGGGCACATTCCCTTCTATATACCTTTCTTGGGTGGAAATATTTACACTAGAGCTAACTACGGAACATTAAGCTTTGGTACCTGAATAGAAATCGCCAATTAGACCCAAAATTCAGGGGACTAGGGAAAGAGAGCAGATCTATGGTTTACGCCAGTGGAGTTGTCAAGCTATCTTTTGGTTCTTTCGGCTCGTTTTCGGGGCACGTCTAACATGAGACAAACAGAGTTCGATATTCTTTCCCAAGCCCTGGCTGAATGATCTCCTTATACACCGTCATTGGATCTTTTCTCTTCTTATATCTCTCCTTTTTTCAACACTTCAATCAGTGGCGGATAGGACACAGAAAAAAAAATAAAAAGAAAAAGAAAAAGAAAAAGAAAAGAGCCCGAGAAAGATCTGATTTGTATAATTGACACATGTGCAACACCTCAACATTCAATAGTTCATCCGAGGCAATCCATTAGGGCCGAACTTCTTGTCGATCGTTGCGCTTTAAGTCGAATCTGAACCAGCGGATCTTCATTAAGAACGGAGGATGTGGATCCGATTCAGGAACAGCCCGGGTTGCCGCATGCCAAATTTTTGCGCCCTGTGTTCAGATGTGCCTTTTTTATGGTCTTGAACACTGAGAACTCCTATTCTTCACGCACATATTGCTATTTAAGGAAAAGCGAGCCCCTAGATTCTGCGTTCATGTGTTCGTCTGTTAGGGCTCAACATTTCCCGACAACTCCCTCTACCTACGGGAATTGGATATCCGTCTAAGGTTTGCATTCTTTGCCCAAATTGAGGAAACCACTCAATTTGAAGGCAGCTGTCAATTACAGCGATTAAGCAGGCAATTAGTATTGCGCCAATCTTAAAGTATACGTTTAGTGATACCTACCCTGTCTGATGCGGTAACGGTCATAACCTTTCAACCGTTAAACTTAACATCGTTCCTCTTTGCGGGTACCATACTCAGGAACAAATCAATATATTCAACCTAGTCGGAGTTGAGCCATCGGTGACTCGGTATTTTGGGATCTCAAGTAGGAACCTATGCCATTGCGACATTCCGATCATCTGAAAATGTCAGCGGTTTATCCGGCGCTATCACTTAACAAAGGAGATGGATCCACAGACAACCATGAGCAGTTGCCTGTACGTACCCAATTATGAGATCTACTGAAGTATTTTTAGAAAGAATAATTAATAAGGGCTGAAAACAGTAACTATCCGCTGGACTATGTGGAGGATTTTTTCATAGCATGTGTGAAAGACATTAGCAATTCACGATTCTGCACAATTGTGAGGCTGGTAGTATCTATATAGGAATTCCCCATCACAGCAAAATTTCATAGTACCCTACTATACAATCTCATGTCATGCCATTGTTTCATGTTCAGCTAACACTAGTTGCATATCCTAGAATAAAACAGTTCTTACGTGACGGTAATCAAAGATACGAATGCCGAACCTTCTTGGTACCCCTGCAGAACGAGAGAATTCAACGAAAATAACAACGACAAAAACCGAAGCGCAAAACAAAAAGCCTCTGTGAAGAGCATGTACAACTGAAAGAATTCTATACTTCAAAGCGGAAAACCTCCGAGAAACGCCGCTGCAGAAAGCATGACGCAGCACCAAGGCCCTAACTCCAGATTAGGAATAGAGTTGTACGAGCTGCCTCCCCGCATCGACAACCTGCTTTCAACATCGTCATCCATTCATCTCCACTCATATTCAAACAATTCTTGCACAATGGGAGGCTGGGATGTCTACTGCGCGATATGCGCCTCGAATTTCAAGAAACGAATTGTAGTCGACTCTGATGAGGAGAGCCAGAATACGTATCGCGCGGACACCATTGGAGAGAGCGATACAACGTGGCTGGGGAAGGTGCATGGTCTTGGATTCAATCCTGATGCGTCGGGAGAGAGAAAGTATGTTCTGTCCCTATCAGACTTTTGGGATTGGATAATGAATGCTGACTTGCATATTTACTTGCAAGGTCGTTTTTGACGGGTCCGGGTAGATATTCGGATTATGTGAATATAATACCTCGTCTATTATAGACTATTTCAAGACAGTGTACTGACCATACATATAGGGGATACTATCTCTTGAGCCTGGTGATGGTTAGTGATTGCAGATGTCCAACAATACGTCTCTGCTTTACCCCTAACGACTCATAGATCACAACGTTCCCACTCGATCTTCCGAAGAACCAGCCGACTTTGTTGCGTAAGTATCATCCCATTGCGCTATGCGACGGCGCTAATCCAACCAGATACAACGACCCTGACGGCAATCAGAAGCCCGTCTTTCCTGTCCACGCGATCTGCTATCGAGATCTACTTTCAAGATGTATCAAGGACGCGAAGCAAGAAACAATAGACGACGACGTCCTTTACACTCTTTTCGAAGGCATCGTGGCTTCCAATCGCTGGAATAGGCTGGATCTAGACTACGGCGAGCCCAAGCCACCCAAGGACCAGTACTGGGTGTCGAGAAAGGGCGAGGAGGTATTTCCCTCCCCTTTCTTCCCTTCCTCCCAACTATAGCAAGCCATACTCACAAGATAAAACCAGGCCTTAGTGACGAACCCTGTCCAAGTCCCCCAGTTATCCAGCTATCTGGAAAAAGTCCAAACCATCGTCAGCGAGGATAAGGAATCAACCGAATGCCAAAAGCCGCCATCTATGGTAGATGTATTCGACAAGCTTCCAAATGAGCTGCGGCTTGAGATCCTGAACCTGCTGCCTACGGCGTCCGCACTTGCACTCAAAGCTGCGTCGTGGACGATGCTGACGACGCCGCTCTCGTGGCAGCAGAAGCTGACATCTGATATGCCGTGGTTGTGGGAGTTTCGCGATCTCGAAGTCGACATATACAAGTCTCAGAAGTTGAATGAGAAACTCTATCAAGTGATCTCGGAGCTTGATGATAAGTCGCGGTATAAGGAAGAAGCGACGGACTATATTCCCGGACTTGTGAATCGTAGGAGAATCTGGGTTGTTTGTGAGAGTATAAGGAGTTTGTATCTAGAGAAGCTGGAGGCTGCGAAGGATCAAAAGTCGGAGACGGCCCCTTGAGTCTGCTCTCTGGGTTGGTAGTATATCGGTTACAATATATCAGCCGACGGCGAAGTCCCTTCTGGTCTATTCCAGGCGAGGTACGTAGGCAAATGTTATCACGACGGGGGTGGGGATACCACCAGCGAACAATTTAACGAGAAATCTAGAACCCAGGCCTCGAATGAAAATTTTCTGAATCAATAGCGTCGACAAAACACTCGATGTCCTCTCCCTATTGTATTTGAACAGTCGTCTCAGGCCACATCATCCCCAGAATGGTAGGTTTACCGGCTCGGCGTAAAGGTGGGCCAAGGCTGGGATCCTGCAGAACCAAGAAGTGGGTGCAGGTCTGCAGATGTATAGATCCTGGGGATGCACCTTATATTGATCGCTTGTATGCGAGCAGTTGGCAGGCTACCTATCAAAGTTCTCGTACTACCTTGCTTGAGATGAGGCGGGGACTTTGCTACGTAGGAGGAACTCTCTGTAGTACAAGCTTTCTGTATGACGATGATCGTCTTGGTATGGATATATTTATGTAAGTATGTACAAGGATGTTGAGCGTGGTTGCGTCTCATGATCGTATACGTGCAGTGTATGTGCAAGAAATCGGCTAGTTTTACCGATAATAGGAATGATAATTGGTGCCCAGACCAAAAGATCGAACTGTTGCTGTCCGAACGCCAGTAAATGCTCTAGTAGGAATTGTCGCTGCCGATGAGGTGGTGGTATTCCTTTTCGCCCAAGAAAACGCCGTACGGGATATCATAAACTCCGAGAAACCCGAAAATATAGTTCGAAAAAAAAAAAAAAAATAGACTCGTACATCGGACTAAATCAATGTCCGTGTTCGTTGAACTGAATGTAGCGTCCGACTGCAAGTTCTCCGAGAAACGCGCCCGCGAGAACGGAGCAGAAATATCCGACGTTCATGGTCATCACGGCCAACATGCTAAATGGAAGAATTAAAATTAGCCAGATGAAACAGTGCGATAGGGCAAGGAGAAGGAAGGCAGGAAATCACATACAGGAGGTATGATACACCGGTAATGACAAGGAACAGAAAAGCTCGCGGTAGATCCACACTGAATCTCCACGGGATGGGCTCACGCGCAACCCGTCGCACCACCCGGACGGACTCCTCGACGCCCTGCGCCGTAACGAGGGAAGCCGTTTTTGTTTCGGGGTCGGAATCAATGCGACCGACTTCTGGCGTCTTGCCGGCAATGGTGACATAGCGACGGTTGAGGTGCGTGTTGAGCCAATGGGTCTCCATGACGGCCTTGAATGCCACCAGCAGCCGGCCGATGATCGACAAGACGATGAGGAAGATGCAGGTGCCGGCGTAGGAGCCGCTGGACGAGGGGGTCCAGTTGTTGGCGAAGAGAGGCGTATCATGAGTGTTGACAAAGACCATGGCCATAGACATGCTGGAGGATGACGAGGACGAGCCCGAATTGCCCGAATGGTCCATATTGCTCATATCCATGGTGGTGGGGGAGTGGTCTGGCGGAATGGACGGATGCGGATGATTAGAGGGGAATTGAACGGGAGGAAGATTAAGAGTCGCGGATTGAGGATATCAGATGGTTCGCAGGAGGGTGTCAGAGGATTTTAGATGTGGAAAGAGAAGGAGAGCGACAATTGTGGACATGATGCCATATAAGAAGAACGATGAGCCGGAGACTTTCTTGACACAATCAATTCGAAATGAAGCCGGCCCATTGTCAGGCACGCTTGAGCACATTTCTGCGGGTGAGCACTTTCTCGCTGCGATTATTGGTGCAGGGCAGTGGGGCGTGAGCATATTTCCACCCAACCAGCGATGCGACCGGTCAACCTTGAGCAGATTATTACCATCGTGATTTCACTTGAGCACATTTTATCTTAAAGTTGACGGCGTGTACCCTCCAGTCCCTACTCCGGTGTAGTAATCCCAGTCCCGTGATATCCTTGAGTTCTTCTTTCCTCTTTCCTTTTCCTTTCCATGCTTTCTCTCTCTTCCCTAAGGGCAACCTGCTGGTCAATCTGAAAATGTCCTGAGAGCCCCCGCCAACAAACCCTCTGTACAGTTCGTCAAGACCATCGATAAGATCTACTCCCCCTTACAACAGCCGCCATCATGTCGATGGGTGGTATGTCAATGGGCTCCATGGGCCATATGCACATGGGCGATGGCGCCCCGGATCTTTTCTACCTCCAGAAAATGTACTGGGCGGTCGTAGGAAGCGCCATTGCTGCCGGGGCTGTCGTGAACGGTTTAAATCGCTTCCTTGCTTTTCAAAGGTATGTTGCATGTCCCTTGCTGATGGAGATCAACACGTTAATCTTATAAAGACTTCGAGACTCGACGCTCACGCCGTCAAAACCAAAGTCTCTTTTTTTCAACACGTATGCCACTTTGACGGCAATTACCCGCGAGGCAAGCTACGCGACGCTGCCTCCGTGGTCACTCGGGGGCCGCACTATTCATTTTGCGCCACTGGGTCCCTTATCTATCATTCTGGCCAACCTCGTCGTGGTGCTAGTCTTTTGCTTTTACAAACTCGACACCTTCGACCAATGGAAATGGGAGGATGTCGGCTACCGGACAGGCTTTGTCGCTATCGCCCAACTGCCCTTGATCTTCCTGCTGGCGGGAAGACAAAACATCATCGGCTATCTGGTAGGCATGAGCTATGAACGTCTGAACTGGTACCATCGATGGATTTCCCGCACTCTCTGGCTCACGACCACGATTCACATGGGCTTCTGGTTTCGCAACTGGGGACGCTATGACTATGTCACCTACCAGCTGAAGAATGACCCTCTGTCCCAGCGAGGATTTGCCGCCTGGATTATCCTCACTTTTATTGTTCTTTCCTCTGCCGCACCAGTCCGACGTTTGAGTTACGAATTCTTCGTCCTTCAGCACCTGGTGACCTTTTGCGGATTCATCGCTGCCGTGTGGCTTCATGCGCCCGAGGAAGTCAAGGTCTGGGTGTGGATTCCTATCGGATTATTGGTGTTCGACCGAGTTGTTCGTTACATGTGGGCCACATATGCCAACCTGTCCATCTTCCACCGATCTAAGAAAGAGAATGGGCATGCGCTTTGGGCCAACCGTGCGACCTTCACGCCCTTGCCCGGGAACGTCACTCGCATTACAATTGAGAATCCCGGGATCCGATGGAAACCTGGGCAGCATGTTTTCCTAACTTGTCATTCAGTGGCGCCACTGCAGAGCCACCCCTTCACTATCGCGTCCATTCCTGAAGACAGCAAGATGGAATTCCTCGTTCGGGCCGAGAAAGGCGGCACCCGACGATTCTTCCGTTACGCTTCCAAACATCACCAAATCCTAGGCTCTACAGATACTAAGCCAGAAACGCCACGCGCCGTTTTTCTCGATGGCCCGTATGGTGAAATCAGGCCGCTCCGCCAGTTCGACAGTGTCGTATTACTCGCAGGAGGGATGGGAATCACGTTTACGCTGCCATTCCTGCGTGATCTCATTGCTGGATGGAAAGCAGGGGGCGCTGACTCTGCAACGAGGAACCGCCATTCCGTGACCAAGCGCATTAGATTTGTTTGGGTCATCAAATCACGGGCTCAACTGAGCTGGTTCGAAACACAGCTGCAGCCACTGCTCGCCGATGCCGACAATTGCCAAAGTACCCAGCCCGACCTGGTCCGGGAGCTTGATTTAAGCATTTACGTGACTTGTGATGAGAAACTGGAGCCCCAGCCAGCAGTTGGACAAACGCAATGCTCGCAGGTTCCGCCTGCACCCACAACCACCACCACCGTCATCACCAATGCTGATTCGAAGGAGAAATTCCCAGCCAGGACGGAGAAAAAGGACACAATATCGATCAACTCCGTCTCGCAGTCCACAGACTCTGGCTGCCTCCCTGGCGGCGGATGCTGCTGCACCACGGCCATTGAGGACGAAGACGAGATTACCGAGCACAAGTGCAACTGCTCCGGACATGCTGCCCCATCTGAGCCTAAACCTCAACCGTCAGAAAAGGACGATGAGATAGACAGCGACCCGGAGAAGCCCAAGACAGAGGTCAAATATATCGAATCCGACTCGAAGCAAAACGATCCGCAGCATGAGCTTAACGTGCTGTCTGGCCGTCCAAAGCCGCGCAATATCATCCGCAAGGTCTTGGAGAAGGCGGAGGGCGAAAGCGCGGTGGTTGTGTGCGGACCCGAGGGGCTTTCTGATGACGTTCGTCGCAGCGTCGTGTATTTGAGTGACGATCGGGCCGTGCATAAGGGCACCGGAGCACAGGGCATTTACATGCACGTTGAAAAGTTTGGATGGTGATTTGGCACCTATAAATATTTTCACTTTTTGTACATAGACATTTAACATATACCCATGCATTTCTGGTTCGAGAATTAGGCTCTGTTGCTCAGTTATTGCTTGATATGCTTAAGACATGGCCCATGATCTGTGAGTTTACATCTCGTATGATTCCTTTTCCTATTAGGAACAAAATTATGAAGTTTTGTACCTTCCGAGTGAGAACCGAATTATAGTGGATATAAAGACCGCAGTTAAATCGACTTGCCTAGCTTGAAAATGAAGAGGAATTCTTCTTGTCAGCTAAGTCAGGTCCACATTGAAGTCAACTTTCGAATCTTTCAGCGCACTTTGACTCAGAAACTCGGTGACTCCCATCAACTTCCTCGTCAGAGTCCTCTTCATCATCCCACAATCCACGTAACCACTCATCCCGGTATATCTTCTCAGGAGGGACGCCTTCGCCACCAAGTACAAACCAGCGGAAAATATCCATTGATGCTTTCTCAGAAGCTTCGCGATCTGGACCGAGATCTTTCTTCACAAACGAATGAGAGTCAATATCGATCTTCGAAATGTCGGAAGGCTTGCCAGAAACGAGTGTACGAGATATTCCCGAACTAGAGAACCCATAATCTCGCACCGTGGTGCCATTATCTAGATCCCAGGTCCAGTGATCATAGCTATATCCATGTCGAGAACACTTTATATGCGCAGACACGCGCAGCGCACAGTCCCTGGTCCCAGAAACACCGCATGGCTCCCACGGCGTCGGGGGCCCACACCCATACGCTAGTTCGTCTTCTTCGATCGGAGACAGGAGCAGTAAACGCCACACATCCGGTCGCGAGATATGCTCCACATCCTGAGGGCAGGTATACGGACCCTCTCCTAGCTCATCCATGAAGCTTTGCCGCGCACCAGTCCATGGGAACGAGACGGCGTCCACGGGTAATCTGCCTCGCTTGACACGTTCCAGGAGCGTAGGGACTATCCCGCTGATTGCGGCGCCGATCCAAAGCGCGCTGATAGTTGGTCGACGGATGGCGCATATCAAAGCGGCTAGTTCTTGGCTCTTGGCCTCTGAAGTTGAGGGTAAGATCTCTTCGATAAAGGGGTGAAGCCATTGAGTCACCATGTTGCAGGGGATGTTGGGTTGCCAGAATGCTCCGCAGAGGGTGGAGATCATGACTTCCGGACTGCAGCTGAGGGTTATATAGTAAACGAGGTCGTCTTTCAGGTGATTCGGCACGCGTAGCATATCATCTGAAGACGTAGGTGATATTCCAGCACCACAAGTGCTTGGAGGTGGACATCTGACTTCCGTACCATAGTATCGATGCATAGGGACGGACATGGCTACTGCAAGAGCAATAGAAAGCTGGCTTCCCAGAGCATGGGTACGCGCAAACCCAGCAAGGGCATCGAACGCTTCGCTCCACGAAAGAGGTACCCGCTCTGATGATACCACGTCCTTGTCCAGCTGTGTCTCAACGATGAAAGAGGTTTCACACGTGCGGGTTACCATCCAAGGCGTAACAAAAGCATCACCATCAAGACGACCTTCTTGCACAACAGCGTTCCATCCTTCGTCTTTCGCAAGAATCGCAGACCACCAACGAACAAGTTTAGCATCTGCACTTGCCTCTTCTCCCAAGTCGATCGAGTGTGTCCGTTCCGGAAAATTCTCGACCTTCGTGTTTGAGCCAATATCAGCTTGAGAGTTGGTATAACACATACCAGCACCATCTCCTTGCACTTCCACAAGCCACGCAGAAAGTACATAACACCATCCAGCCGCTAGAATGCCCAAATAATTCGCACCAATCAGCTTCTCCTCCGAAGTCCCAACCCACTGGCGAAAGACATCCCCCGAGAAACTAAACGGAATGGCCTTCTGAGTACCGATCTGGACCAAAGCAAGTCTGGTTATCTCTCCCCTGACCCCATCGCAGCTCGCGTCTCCGGCAAACCGCCAGGTAGACGAAGTTAATGCACAAAGAGCGAGAATTTGAGTCCTACCGAAGGGGCGCCCAAAGGGTGCTTTTAACGGCCCTGGGAATCTGGGGACTCTGTGAAGGGCATGTTGGGGATTTGTGAATTCCGAGGGCAGCCCCTGCCTGGGATAGGTGCGTGCGAGTAATGCGGTGGGATACCAGTATGCGCGACTTCTTTCTAGCGCGGGCACTTCTTGCTCTTTTGATGGCTGGAGGACGTCGTTGTTTCGAACGATCTGGGAGTGGGGTCTAACTTAGCTGGACTATTCTCGAAAGATATACGTAGGACGACTCACTGAGGATAGATTGGGTGGATCTGGAGGACAGATCTGCAAGTTCATCGTTGTGACTACGTCAGTGAAATGAAGTGGGAAAGGATAGGAAAGAGAATCAATATGGATATGAGGGTGAATGGAAAGGCCTTAGGCCTATGTAGAACAGGCAACATGAGAAAGGTCCATGTAGGCACCCGTGAGATACATTAGAAGAATGTAATGGTAGCCTAACCTGCAAGGGGGCAACTGCAGGCTCGCATAGCTTAGGCTGGGGCTTATAGAGCACGACATACACAAAATTTGACCAGTCTCCGAGCTCTAGGACCCATTGGACAGTTTCATGGCCTTTTAAAACCAGCGTCTGTTGCATGCACAGGTAGCCTACATGAGGGATGTCTAAGAAAGCAATGATTAGAAGAATGTGCACTCGTAGAAGCCCAAGGTGCCAAGGGGTGGGAGGCACTACGATGATCAAAAATAGCCAAATAGACAATTGATCTAGACGCCTAGACTAGACGTTTTCATGATGTTGCTTAGTGTTCGAGATGGAATGATGTATGAAGGAAGAAATCTCCAACAGAGTTGAATAAGTACGTAGAAGGACTATGGATTGCCAATTGCACCCCTAAGCATCTAGAGCAACTACAGCACAGTGTTCGCATAAGAGTTACGAAGTTGTTCATGAGTTATGGCGACCCGAGCATGTGGACTGGACTCCAGTTCAGGAAGATAAACTCAAATAGCTATGCTGAAAAAAGTATATAAAGTATGAAATTATGGTTTCCTTGGAACTTCTATATGAGGACGTACCGCTTGTACTTATAGTCTGATAACTCTTGCGTGGCCCCTCAATATAGTAGGTGCCGAAATAGAGTATACATGAATGACACACACATACAATCAACAGCAGCTAGTCGTCTTAAGGGTTTAAGACGGTCCCACAGTGTTAAGGGTAGTAGATATGTACCCATGGAAACACCTCCACCAAGTGGACCACCGAACTCAAAAGCGGTCTCAACCTGTGGCTGAGCTTTTTCTCGCGGGGCAGGCAGACACTTCACTTCTGGCTAGGCAGTCAAAGTCAATGGAAATCGAAGGCATATAAGGACTTTTGTAGATCCTGTACTTTCTTAATTGCCCAAATAGAGTCGCTGTTCTCGACGTTTTCACACCGATCAAATCATCACATCTTTCCAATCTTCTTTACTACTTACTGTGCCTTTTCACAGTAGTTTTTCACGCTTCAATCATGCCCGACGAGTTACGCGATCGTAAATGTGCTTGCTGCGGTGAAAACGAGCACGAGGAATCCGAGAACCAAGCACATAAAACCCCAGCTTCAACTCTACACGAAGCAGTCCTCGAAGGGAACACGCAGCGCCTAGAAGAGCTCCTCCGCGAAGAAGCCGCTCCATCAGCACCGTTCTCCTCTCGAGAGTTCACGGCACTTCATCTAGCCGTTCAAGCAGGCGACGAAACTCCCACCAAGATCCTCATTGACGCCGGGGCCAACGTCTCAGCCCCGACTGTGGACGGAGTAACGCCTTTGCACAATGCTGCTGCTGAGAACGCGTTGGGGCCTGCGGAACTGCTCCTTAAGGCTGGGGCTAACGTGCATGCCCGTAACGTTGATGACGAGACGCCGCTGCATGTAGTGGCTCTCTTCGGAGGAGCGAGAATGGCAAAGCTTCTCATCGATGCTGGGTCAGATGTCACAGCGAGAGATTGCTACGGGAATACCACGCTGCATGTAGCTGCCGCCCATGAGTTCCTGGATATCGTTCAGTTGCTTCTCGACTCGGGGGCTGACCCGAATGCTATCGACAATAATGGAGACGCGGTGCTACACCGTGCAGTGGCAGATGGACCAGCTTCAGCTCAGCTACTTCTACAAAATGGAGCTGACATCTCAATAAGAGGTCAATTTGGGGATACGCCGTTACATCGAGCAGCTCAGAGCTCGCCGGAACTTGTACAGGTCTTTCTCCGAGCTGGTGCGGACCATGCGGCGGTCAACGAGGATGGAGAGACGCCACTACATCAAGCAGCCGCATATGGAGGTGCGGAACAAATTCGACTGCTCCTTGATGCGGGCGCCAATGTCAAAGCAACGACCAAGGATGGCAAGACCGCGCTGGATCTTTTAGCAGGAGATCGGTCTCTAGGCGAGGATGAGGGAGCGGATGAGAAGCCCAAATTGCTCATTGACGCTGGTGGGGACACGAGGCAATGACTCCTTTCTGGGTGGCCGTACTGGACGTCCAATGAGGCATGAAAGCTCGCATCTCAGCTCTATGATCAGAAGATCACTGGAAAAATGAAAATCTGATACCTTTTGTCCTTTTCATCGGTTGTTTTTCTGAGTTCCCCATATCAATCATAAATGCAATGTGTCAGAGGGAACATGAGATAGATTCAAATCCGACCACACTATCTTCTCCAACCATTCATAAGAATATCAACACGCATTGAATAAATGAAGACGATAATAGTTAGACCCAATATCATCGACTAAACGGCGAGAACAATGACTCACCTTCCGAAAAAGGTTCCCGATGCAGCCAGCCCGCCCCCATAAAAAGCAGCATGACGTAATCACCCATTCCCGAATCGAATCCCAGCCTAAGCCCTGCTCCGACCTCAACCTCCAACATCAATCACCACCACAACCCCCTGCACCCAAACACCATCCCAATTGATATATACTCATACCCACCGCAAAAATGGTCTTCCGATTCGTAAGTTCCAACCCCATCACCCTTCCCCCATCCCCAATTGAACCCACCCTCAACCCAACCCAACCAAAACGAAACTAACATCCACCCCAACCCGCAGGCCAAAACAATCGACCCGATAACCCTCTTCCACACGCCCTCCGTCCCCAGCTCAGGCCGCGTCCTAAACATCCTAAAACAAGCCTCTGCGGCCGCCGAAGCCGGAACCCTGCCGTCGTCCACGCGCGGAGAATTCCAATTAGAGATCACGACCGCGCCGCCGACGACCGACCAGCTCCGGAACATCCTCGACTACGTGACGGCGAACCCGGCGGGCGCGGGCCAGAATAAGAGACAGTATGCGATTGGGGATGTGATTCGGGGGGCAAGGGATGCGGAGGAGGCGGTGAAGAAGTTCAAGGAGGACTCGACGACTTTTGTGAGGCCTGTGGTATGTTCTCCTGGCTAGCTTACCCTCCTTGTCTTTAAGGGGAATGAGTGAGTGCTAACTGTTCTAGACGGTCGATTGGACGAATGGGCAGGCGGTGGTGGGAGAAAACGAGTCGGAGATTCTCAGAATGGTGCACCAGTTGGATGTGGACTAAGTTAATTTAATTACAAAGTGAAGGTGACTGCAGTGATTGACTGTATTATCAGTTCTCTACGATACCATCTATGTATCTTATCTTACAAGCAATTCTCAACTCCAGACCATGAAACCCCTCCTTTCCGTCCTTGGAAAGATAATGCATACAAGTCTGATGACGAATCCATGAACATTAAACACATACTTCGCTCATGTCAAGTAAAAAAAGAAGTCAATCTCATGGTCAAAGTCAATGCGAGATCCAGCTCGTGACATGCCCGAAATAAAGAATAAGAAAAGGGGAGAAAGAGAAACAAGGAAATCCTAGAACATCGTGCCGAAGGATCCGTCGGTTGGAATCGGCTTCCGGGGCGAGCTGCGGCCCGAGTTATCCATGGCCGGTTTCCGATGACTGTTCGTCGTCAGCATCATATACCTAAAACTTGAGTAAGGTGACATACCGGAATGTAAACCCAACAAACAGTCCCTTGCTCATCTTATCATCACGTTCAGCCATTTCTTCCAATGCTCGTTGCTTGTCATGAACCTCCTTATACTTGGCCATGTCTGCCTCGCTAGAAAAGTCGTCAAAGTAGCCGGCATCCGTCTCCGAATCCAGCTCGGGCACAAACGGCGCGCGCTGCTCACGCAGGCGGTCAAAGTCAACCTCGCTGAAATAGTCATGCGCGTGGATTTCCTGGATATTCTTGAATCGTCGTTCCTTCGAGGCCACGAGCTTCGTGATTAGGTCCCACGTCCGACGTGACAGGAAGTAATTGGGATCCTCGTAAACTGGTTTGCGCAAGACCTTCTGCCAGTTCTTCAAATTCTGCCATGTTTCATCCACTGTGGCTCCTGCAAAGGGCGGGTATCCAGCCAGCGCCTCGAAAAGCATACATCCCAGACTCCAATAATCTACCGTGAAATCATATTCCTCGCCTTTGAGCACTTCGGGGGCCATGTAGTCGGGGGAACCCACGATGGATTTGGCATAGTTGACCTGGCGCTCTCGTAGTGTACGGTATCCCTGCCGTCGCTCGGCCATCGTGCGCTGCTCCATCGGACGACCGAACGGCACTGGTGTGTTGCCGACCTCTTCCAACTTCACTCGCATCGACTCGATCTTACCGGGGTTCAGCATGCCAGCCGCCAACCCAAAGTCTGTCAATTTCACATGACCTGTCGAGTCAATGAGGAAGTTCTCGGGCTTGAGATCGCGATGGATGTAGCCCAGGGCATGCAGGGCATCGATGCAACTGAACATTTCGGCAATGTAATATCGTGCATGGCGATTGTGAAGAACTCCAGTGTTGTTCAAAAGAGTGCGAAAATCTCCTCCAGGCACGTATTCCATGGCCAGATAAATCTGAGTATCATCCTGGAATGCGTACAGCAACTTGACGAGCCACTCACTCTTGGCGGCAGTGAGGATATCACGCTCCGTGAGAATGTGTCGAATCTCATCCAACTTGAACAAGAGCTTCTTGCTCATGACCTTCAATGCGCACACTTCCCGGGTGTCCTTCTTCTGCGCTAGGTATACTTGGCCGTAACCACCCTGGCCCACTTGGGTCAGGATCTGGAAGTCATGTTGGCGTAACCGGGTGCGACGCTTGCGCAGGTGAGCGCGCTCTCGTCCCAAGTATTTTAACAGGGCCGGTTCGTAATCATCCATTGGCGTGGAAGGAGGTTCGGGGTATGCCGCTCTAAACTGGTTGTGGCGATTCTGGCGGTTGTGAACGTAACTGAGGAGGTCAAAGTAATGATCCAGGAAATCTTGTTGACTGTCAGCAAAAGCGGGTACATCTTAGCATGGAGAGGCCACTACCTACATAGTTGAGTCACATTGACCAGTCGTTTGACTTTAGGATCTTGCAGTTTCTCCATCTCCTCCGGCGTCAATCCGCGCATCGGGACCTGACGTCGCTGGATGCTTTCCATGTCGCGAGGTTGGTACGGTTCATGACGGGAGATCGCCGCCGCCGCGGGATTCGGACCGAGTGTTTTCGTTATGCGAGTAGGACTGGGGGGTGTGTTTTCTTTATTGGATTTGCGCGTCGGACTGGCTTGGGGAGAACGAATCACGCTCTCACTGAAGTCCTCAACCGAACCCTTCGGTGGCGCGAACATAGGATGATCATAATGATTGTATTGGCTCTTGGTCGGCGATGTGGGGTTCAACTTCAAGGCCTTGTCGAAAACATTGGGAAGATCGAGGGCGCCGGGAGGGAATCGGTTTTTACTGGGACTGCCCTGCGGAGTCTGGACGGGACTGGTAAAGCCATTTTCGGCGGGTGTGGAGGGGCGATCCAGAACGTTGCCCGAGCGGGTGTGTAGCAGCGGAGGGGGATTGGGCAGCCTTAGGCCTAGGCGATCGTTTGATTCGACGTCGAGAGGCATGGTCGCGATTTCCACGGACAAGGGGGACACGACTGAATGACAATCTTAGAACCACCGCCGAAGATTATCAGCTTGTCGAAAAAAAGGTGGGTGACTGGGACCCCTTAATAAGGGCGAGACTCCGCCGACGGAGCGCTGGAGTTTGGTGGTCCGCAGCGGTGGAGGGAGCAAAGGAGGGGCGGAAAAAGAAAGCAACGCGCTGGCAGGCAGCGCACGCGGTGAGGTTTTCTGAAACCTCGGTGGAGAATAAGCAGAGAGCACGAGAGACAAAGAGCTCTGGATCAGCCAGACTCACACAAAAGCCACTTCCGTCCAAAATCAGGGATCCAAAGAATGGCTTTGTTTCTGGGATCAAGATGGTGGGAAGAAAGTATCGGGATCGTCGTCGGGAAAAGCCACGAGATGGCGTTATTCTTCCTGCGGGGGTGAATGATTTCCGAGAGCGATGAAAGATGAAAACAGAGGGAGGGAACGACGAAGAAGTCAACGGAAATGCAGAGTCCAGGGAGAGAAAGAGAGAGCGAGCAAGTGGACGGCGACGGCAGGGATGGGATAGAAAAGATGACGATGAAGGAAGAGGAGGAGCGACCGCCGGAGCAGCAGCAGCCAGCCACGGGACGTCCCCACAGTCACTGGACCAACGGCAGTCCTGAATTGCTCTCGTTCCCCGGGCAACTCCCTTCACTTCAGCTGGATTCAGATCCAGATGCTTTATGAAAATCAAGGAACCGGGTCCTGATTGGGCTCAACCCACCTGCAAGTCACAACTGGAGCCCCCGGCCTGGTCTCTGGCTTGCAAAACCTGGGTGCTGGATGCTGACCGACGCGGCATTAGCACAGATCGACTAGATCCATTGGGCTGATCCGATCTCGTTCAGAGCCTCTGTCGGTCCGATTCTTATATTAAACCGGATCTGTTAGTTCCAAATACTCCCGGGGGTCAGTCCTTGGATTCAAATGGCCCTGTCTCGCCCCCTGCCTAGCTCCTACAAAGCTCGGACAGCAATTACGTCCTACAATCTTATTCTGCAGAGTCATGTACGACATCAAACCCTGTTAGAGGGTTGCCAGGCATCTTTGTTTATCTGAAGGTTACCATGTCATAACATTGATCCTACTTGATCAATAGTTCCAAGTCCCGCACTTTGTACCCATGGTTGACGGTGGGGATTCGATCCATGGACTCGAACACCGGTAATCCAAACAAACATCCCGTCACAGAATCCCAAGATCGACTGGGAATCTCTTCCGCCTAATCCACTTCCCACAATCCAACCGCTTAAATGACTCCCTTGGCTTTTTGCCCGGTCTAATTTCGATATTAGCCCCGTTCGTGCTCCTCTCCGAACGCGCGGAACCAAGGAAACTCACGAAAAATGCCAACCCGTACGATGGGGTTGAGAACGTTATCTTCGATCCCTTAGGGAAATGGAAAACATCGCCCGGAGACGCCGTGACCTTCTGGCCCGTCTCATCGGAGATTTCAAACTCGCCCTCGAGGATGATCTTCATTTCATCGTAGGGGTATTCGTAAACGAGCGGGGTACCCTTCTCGAGCCGGTAGAAGCCGGCGGTGATGGGTTTTTCGGGGTTGTATCGATCGCTGCATGTGATTAGTTCACTGACACATGCCTGGATCTGGTAGTGATTTTTACCTCGAGTCAATATCTCCCAGGAACGCGTTCTCATTGGCGATCAAGGGAGGCTTGAAGGTGGACTGAGCCTTTGGGTGGTAAACTAAACTGACGGCCATTTTGCCTGATTCGTGTTGGTATCGGATACGGCTGTGTTGCGCAACTGATGACAGAAACAAGTCATCTCTCACCAAGAGACAGGAGCACAGTGCGCAGGTTTATATTTCTGCTCACGATCATGATTAATTGACCATAATCATCCTCGATTTTTGAATAGCGTTGTCAAATGCGAGCAAGAGCGGCCATGATATACAACCTCGCATCAAACTGCTCGAATAGGCAATTTAAGGAGTGAGAATGCGAGCACCGATGGGCTGTATTACTGACTTTGAGGGGAAATGAGGGGAATATCCTTGATGGTCTGGGAAGATTGAGTTGTAGTCAATAGCAGATCGTAGTAGACTTCAAGTATCTCATTCTTCGTGTGGCTACGGTAGTTTGTTGTATCCGCGTTTGAGTGTTACTTTCTGATCACTGTTTATCAACCAACTTCTACTGGCCTATGCAATTAACTAAATCATAGCTTCTATGTTTTTGACATAATCGCTACATCGGAATTTCTGGGCTACCACCTGGCAGGGGTAGGTTAAGTGAGCATCTTTTTTCTGAAATTGGACTCCTGTCTACCAGTTTTCAGTCATCTTGTTGAGCATAGACGATGCCATTTCTATGACAGTAACTCTTGTAATAAGACCGGTTTATGAATACTTTCCTTGTTACATCTAGTATCACTCTTCACCGATTGAACAGAGTATGATAATGGTGTATATTGATCAAGTCAATATCCTCTTCATCGCATTAACTTCCTGTTTAAACTTTGCGGAAATACAATCACAGCGATCATAAGGTTCTATTAATCAAGTCGCTTTTGGGTCAAGCGCTTCTATTGCTGTTTTGGAAGAAAGAAGCCATTCATAGAGGTGTACATCTACATAAAATGGTCATGAAAGGGTAGGCAAACGGCGGAATGCTTGGCACATTGCACGTCAGACATGTAGAGCGCTTCCATATCTCGCATAAATGCTCATTGGTCCGTATTCAAAGACCTAAAATCTGTACCCTGAGGAATGGTAGCCGACCTAAATCGGTTCGACTGAGCTAAAGCCTAAATAGAGTTCTCGAATGTTTAGCTGCCTATTTTGATCTAGTTCCAAGCTTCAAGCTTCATCACCTAGCTAAGCGACTATCAGGGAGAGATACCTGTGATTGATCAGGGTATTTAGTGCTGTGCTCAGTGGCGAGAAAGGCTCGATTGGGTGAGCGTAACAATTTTGGGAGATAAGGATAATATTATAAAAGCTTTCTTTGTCTTCCTATATTCACGGAGATATAGAGATATCAGATCCCAGGTAGGAGCAGTATGATATGGACGATATATCATCTTGCCGACCAGCCGTATATAGACACAACTGTGCTGTCACAACTGTTTTTCAAGCAATTCCTAATAGTCTTTCTAAGCCATACTCGATGTTTCATATGGAAATGACTACCGGGTAGAGAATTTCCAATTCGGACTTTGGCGAGATTGAAATCCATTTATGTCACATCCTGCAATGCGAATGGCAAAGTTCAGCCTGCTTCTAAATCTGAAAGATTCTCGTCTATATGAAGTAGTAATTACATTGTTGTTCGAGTCATTCAAAATATCGGGCTGCTACTTTATAGCTTACTCGAAAATAATAAGCTCTAGATGGTCGATCATGTCCACCGAAAACCGAAATGTATGGGTCTCTAACAGTAGTATCGACTCTAAGAACGGGGTTAGGAAAAGCGGGACCTCAACACTACATTGACAACTAATACAAGACGGCGTTTCAGTGCTTCAAAGGTCATGATCGATCTAACCCCAACGTATTCCTTTCCTCAGCAGGATACGTTGTAGTACGTTTTGACCAGGGGTCTACATCGATATTATTCTGCATCGTTTTTACAATTGATAAATTTATACCAAGAGTCAGAATCGTAATCGACAATGAACATTACGGACAATGAAGAGATCGATGATAAATAGTCCGATTATATAGGGTATCAGAGTATTTAAACCTCTCTCAATGATAGTCTTATATAAGGCCTGTTCTATAATGAATATCTTAGGTCTCAGGGAAATGCGATGAGATACAACCGTTTCGATGGGCATTGCCTTCAATATGAGTCCGTGTTATGCAGCAATTTCTCCTCAAGTGCGTTGGATAAGTCATTAGTAGGCCAAGGAAGATGCTTCTAGCGGAACAAAGGTGGTGAAAAACAGAAACACGTCCCTAGATAAGCTCGATTGACATAGTAGCCAAAAACTAGAGCGGACGTGTGAACTCTTGGCTTCCTCGTGCATTCTGATAAATCCATGATCAATGGGTGCGGAGAAAGATCTCCAAGACAGGTAGGATCCGGATAAGCCTATCGGAGCGATAGCAAATTCCATTACTCATGAATATTAATATGAATTCATCAATGAATCTTTGATAAACCAGGATTCACGGTTTGGGCTTAGCGCCATTTGCTGGATTCGTTTGCCCAAATGGGTTAGTGTTTCCCCAGTCTATCAGCCTCCTCCATCTCACCACCTCGCTCTTTCCTACTTTCCCCTCTTTTACTTTCTCTTTCTCTTTCCCTATCCCCCACTCCTGGTTCTCGTACTCAGTTCCAGAAAGGTTGCATTCGCAAGCCCTATCCAGAAGCATTTCCCGCGGATAGACTTCTTTTCTCGCTCTGATCCAAGAACCAACAACTAACGTCACTCACTAACCTCGCCCCGTCTGAACTGACGCAACTTCACTACTGTGCACTGCCTTGACTACAACCGCAAACCAGATCTCAGAGTGCAGAATATTGCAGTCTGCATCACAGGGAAACCCATTCCCTTGCCTTCCCTGCTCCCTCTCTCCATTTGTCAGTCGACGACATCATCCATCCATCCCATCCTTCCCCTCCTCTCCCCTCCCTCCATCCACCCTTCTTCTTTCTCCCTCCCCGTCCCCACTTCACTCCGGTTCATCCAAGGTTCCCTCGACCTAGGAAATAGGGAAAAGATCGCCTCCAAGAGGAAATCTTTTCACCTAAACTAGTCAAAACTGAATCCTGTCCGTTTCTGGTACCGCACGCCCTACTACACTATTACACGCCCTGAATGGTCTGATCCGGATCAACGCCATTCTCCGGAACGGAACCACCAGCCGGGATAGATTAAACCCAGGAAGAGAGACAAGACAAGGCGAGCAACAGGAAGGAAATAAAATAGCTCGTTCTTTCCCCCTCTTTTTAGTTCTTTTCTACCCCCTCCCTTCTAGGTTCTCTTCGCTCCTACGCGCCTTTTCACCCCTCACTTTCTTCCCCCATAATCTTTCAGCTACGTTGCATCGTGCTGTATGTCTATCACTTCATTTTGAAGGAAAATCACGCACTTAGTCAGTCTCATTTCTTCGAGTGATTTGATATTTGATCCAATCTCCCATGCAACAAAGCCGTCTGTGTGTCTTCAGTCTCGACCTTATCGACCTCAACCCAATGCAGATCTCGATCATCGATATCCTCGTTCCCGCGCAGAAACCGATCAATTAACAAGGAGGAACTGATCATTCTTCATGAACTTCGCTTGTCCTCTCTACCTACATCTCTGACATACTGATACACCCGATCTGACTCTTCGTTCTTGCCTTCCCATTTACCTACCTACCTACCTCTCAACTCGCTGCTACTCTGCTACGAAAAAGAGAACAAGAAAGAAAATACAACTCTTCCTGCCTGCCTACCTTACCTACCTACCCATCTATCCATCTATTTACCTGACTTACTGCTACTACATCAGTAATTCGATACATCACTTTGTATCTATCTGCATAAGACTGCCTCGGTGATCTACCTAACTGGTTATACTCGACTTGTGCAACGCAGACACACCACGTACCGTACCTTTCGATTGCACTCATCCGGTGGCCTTTTCGTTTCAGTTTTACCGCTTTTTTCTGTCCACAGCAACTTCCCCAGCGACATACCCGGTCTCGCCTCTGTCCAACACATCTTTTCTATCAATTTCTCTACCCCAAAGCAGAATTACAATCGTCTTGTCTTGTCCATGCGCCATTGTTCTCTACTCGAAATCCAAAAGTAAAACATTCCGAAGCAACCTGACCTTTACCTACCGAGATACCCATTCGGACCGGGCCAGACGAGAGAACCACAACATTGCGTACCCATTCACGAAAGCGAACCATCGAAAACCATTGCAACTCTACTATCCCGTCTCGCCGACCTACATTACATATACCGTGCACCAAAACCCAAAAAGATATTGATTTTGTCCAAAACCAGGCCAGAATAACATCTAAAGAAGAAACTTCAAGATGTCCGTATAGCAAGTGCAAACATTCATTCCATCACGCTGAAAGCAGGAAAAAATCCTTTCAAAAGAAAAAACAAGGAAACGCCCATGCTGATTTATTAACCGGAGGGAAAGCCAGATCGTAAAGAGACCATAAGCCAAGCCATTTTTCATATCAAATCCACAAGCAGCCAAAAGGAAAAGGCATATACGCAAAAAAAAAAAAGGGAGAACAACAGTCTAGAAACACAACTGGGCTGGGCTTGCTGCTTCGTATCGTGTATTCGTTATACATGAGAGAGGGAATTTGACCGATCGCAATCGCAACTGCAACCGCAACCGCAAACCCCATCGCAACCAGGATTTACATTACCAAGAAGCCGAAAGAAAGAAAGAAAGAAGCCAAAATGACCACCGTGGCTATCACGAGCGATTTGGAGCCGTACTTGGACTCCCTTCGATCTTATCTAGCCAGAGGACATATGGCTTCGTCGTCATCGTCGTCATCATCGGTATCACCTCGACCTGGAACGGAGGATGAAGGAGAGGGAGGCGCCGAGAATGCGGTAGACTCCGACTCCCCTGAATCCCATTCGCCAATGGGAAATGAAGAATTGGGAAGGAAGAGGAAATGTGAAATGGAGAGACAGGTCAAGAAATATACAGTTCGGCCGGTTGGTAAGGAGTCTATCCCGAGATCGTCTTTACCCTAGGAATACTATTGATACCACAATGAATTGTCAGTTTATCTTTTACTGGTTCCAAAGAGCGAGAAGAAGAATAACAAAAGAGAAGGGGGGAGGGAATTGAAAAGGATGAAGTGGCTTACCTTCCCAACCCCAGTCCTGCATCACATTCACCCAATGCAAGCTACCCCGAACCGTTTTTTCGAATTCTATGTTCTCAAGAGGCGATGCGGTCGACGCTCGCCGTGCATTTACGGAAGATATCCGGGAAGGAACTGCTCGCTCGTCGGTGGAAGGCCTTCTCCACGGGTCTTTGCCGTAGACAGCGTTACTGGGTGAGCGGTCCCCTGATCCCGAACCCATGAACGAGAGTCCATCTTTCCCGATGGCGTCGCGAGGCAGAGCTTGGGAGTTTGAACGACCCGCAGCCCGGGATTGCCGTCGCTGTCTCTCTGCTTCGGACGCATCGCGACGAGTCCAGACTTCCCGGACAACTTCTATACAGCGATCGATCGAGCCGAGCATCAGGCGGGTCTGGATTGCAGTCCACCGATTCATTACCCACTCGCGGTCCTCCTCTTGCTCTGCCTCGCACCCGGCCGCCAGCAGAGGAAACATCTGGATGATCGTCGTCCGAGAACTAGGAGGAACAGTGGCAAGTAGAAGTAACACCCGTTTGGCTAAATCGGGCGCGGACTCCGAGGGCATTTCAGGGACAGCTTGATGAAGGTAAAGAAGGGTTGCCCAGCGGTAGGCGTGGGCGGTTTGAATACTATGCTGGACCTCCGAGGTCGGGTCCTCGGGCGGTTCAAACCAGTCGGGGGGCTCCCACTGCTCGACCAGCCTCTTCAGCTCGATGGCCTGAGAGACAAGCGAGATGGAGTTGGACTCCGTCTTGCGGACTCGTTGAATTAACCGAACAACCCGATCTATGAGTGGGAAAAGCGTGGTGGCACAGCCCATCAAGGGATCAATTTCATGCACTGCATCACTAGGGGGCTCAAGGACCGACAGGTCCAGCTCTGAATTCCCGCTATCCTCCCGAGACGTCAATCGCGCAATCACGTCCATGTACAACCAGGTGTTATAGAGGAACCGAACTCTTTCCAGATCGGTTCCGCTCATCCCACTCTGCAGTCCATTTCCAATGACCTGCGACACCAGCGCCTTCGCACCCCGCAGGTGCTGAATGCACGTGCGAGTGTGTTGATCCCAGGTGTCGGCGAAAGCGAGTGCCAGACTCGTGGCCAACGCGGCATCCGTCCTCATATTCTGAATGTCTTGCACCATGCAGGTGATGCTCTGGCGCATATGATCTACTCCAAGTACCCTCAACGCGGGGACTTGCTTGCTGGAATGAAAGGCTGCCAAAGCAAAGACGGCGTGGTATAGAGCCGGGGTATCCTTCGCCAACGGCCAGATCAAAGTTCGCCACGGGTTCTCGTGGGCACCGTCTTTAATCGACAGTATCCCGCAGGTCACTCTGTCAAATTGCAACACCAGCATTTCGGGGGCTGCGATTCCAAACCGGGGCTCTTGGAGGAGTTCTGGCGGAGCGTTCAAGCTCTGAAGATGCGACATGAAATCCGGTCCTCCGAGTCCCGGGATGGGTGGCCCCATGCCCCGGTCGGACTGTCGCACGATCTCTTCAATATCATCATTATCTCCTTCTAGAAGAGCCTCGAAACTGAAATTATCGGCGTCTTGGAGAACATCCTCCTCTGACGTTGCGACCGTAACCCCGTCAGGGCTTGCCTCCTGGTCTAGAGCTGGGAATGATATGTCTGAGAGCCAAGGGGATTGGTCTGAAGGGGTGATCTCAGCCAGTGACGGTGCACTGATATCCTCACCCAGACTGCCTAGGCTATGGTGGCTGAGAAACTCATCTGCGAACTGGGTAATATCAGTTTGCGGCAGTGACCCAGTGGAGTGACTGGGCGAAGCGTTGAGAATGGAAGAGATTTTATCAGGACTCGACAGCTTCCTCGGTTCCACCAAGGGGCCGGTTGGTGAGGCTGCCTGGCCTACCGCGCGTGCTTTTGAGCGCGCTACTGCGGGCGGTGCTGCAGGACCGGAGTTGGTTCGCCGGTGAGAGGGAGGCGACGAAGAGACTGTAGAGAAAGTGTCAGGACCGTCGTCGGACGGAGCGGTCAGCTCCGAGGGAAAGCGTGCCTACCATTTTTCGACTTCGCAACCCCGGCTTTCTGGGCAACGTTGGTCTCTTCGAAGGGACGCCACTTGAAGTCCTTTTTGTATCCGCCACAGTCCACATTCCGCTTTTTGCATTGCAGGCAAGTGGGTTTGGACTCGTCACATTTCAGTCGCTTTGTCTTGCAAGTAATGCAGCCTGGGGGATGTGAGAGAATCACGACAAGGTCAGCGCACTGCGCATTTTCTCGGGCAGCATTCGAGGCTCTCTTGCTTCTCCAATGAACCCCGTATCGCGCTCATGAGATGGAAGAGATTGAAAGAACGGGTGGTACCGTACCATTACGGCTTTTGGACTGCTTGGGTTTGTTAGTAATCGGACTCGCGTTGGAAGCGAAGGTGGCCGTTCTTGGAGCGGACGTGGACGAGGCTTTGGGATGAGCCCCGGCCGACGAAACGGCGGGCGGGATGTCTAAAATCGCGGACGGCGAAGGGATCTTGATTTCTTCCATTCCAAGGGGAGAAATGAAAACATGAAACCCACCCAAGCACTCCGAGGTATATAAAGGGACGAGAAGAAACAAAAAAGAGGACAGGCAGCAAGGGGGGTTATCGGGGCAGTGTGTTGTGCAGAAAGAAACCAAGGGTAGGTAGGTAGCTACGGAACACCCAGGAAGCAGATCAGGTAAATCAAAACAGATAAGAAAATCAAAAATAATACAAGAAAGCGGATGAACGGAATCAGATCTAGTGGGATGAAGGGGATGACAGGAGACGAAGAATTTAAGCCGTATCAGCGGGCAAGCGAGGGAGGATAGATAGGAGAAGGAGATAGATAACCCACAAGCCCTCGGGCTGACCCCAAAGGATGAGGAGAAACGACATCAGAGGATGATAAGGAACTGCGGAGACAAGTCAAGCTGGAACGAGGTGGGCGACGGGGATTCGCCGATCCAAGACTGGAGCTTCGACAAGGGACGGCGGCAGGCGGATTCATGCACGATGTGTTAATGGATGGAGGGGTAAGGCATTGATCGATTCAGGACACCTTGCCTCCTCAGTCGGTGAATCTTTCTGGTTTTCTTTTTATCCTTTAGTTATTTAATTTGTTCATTTTCTCTCCCAACTTCCTACCGACTCACCCCTGTTCCAGCGATATTCCCAGATTCCCAGACCGACCCTTTCTTCTATCCCCTCGGAGGCCGTGAGGAGAGGCGATAGTGTCTTTCGTAGGGTAGCAAAACGCCACACAGCGCATCGCAGGGACGGGGGGCATACCAAGAATGGCGGTTGGCTCGCGTGAGAAAATCCCCCTCGTCGGATTCGTCGGTTTTCTTGGAAGAGGGGATCTATAGATAGTGCCTTCAGGAGAACGGAGTTGTTCCTTAGTGAGAAACTTGGAGGTAAACAGGAACGCGGGGGATTTGCTCTATGAGAGAGCCGGCATTAGTCAGTCCGTCAAGTCATTCACAACCACAATCATTCAATCCGGGGTAGAAGAAACAAGTCGAACTTACTCCGGATTCCCTTGGGATCCCCACATGCGAAAATGTGGGACGGGGTTTCTATTACTCAATCGAATCTTTCATCTTGAAAACCGCCACGAATCACACGAGGAGCGTGGACATGGAGTTGACTGCTGGTCGGACTTGTTCCATGGCTCCCGGTCTCCTCCCCATCTCGGTGCTGCGGGCGGGCGCATGACGAGCCCCCATAGTAGCTACAGAGTACTTACAGTAAGTAGTACTTACTCAGTAGGTAAGGCTCCAAACCTTCTCCTGCAGATTATGGCAGGCATCCCAATCCGACGGATATCAAAGGCCGTTCTTCGGCATTTGTCGACTACATTGTCTCTATCTTGTTATCGATGTTTCTTTGTCCTTGGTACTTCCCGTCGCAACCCACGGCCTTCTTTTCCTTCTCGAGACTTTTGAGTCATTTTAAGGTTTAGCTTCGCCGCATGTCCTATACAGAACACCGTCCAGTTCAACGGTCGCGTTGAAACCGCTATTCGAGTTCACCATGCCGGCGTCAAAATGCATCTTCTAGTTTGGTCGGGAAACCTTAATTGCATCATGGGATCACTACGCAGGAACATCTCCTGTTCGACGGGGCACCGTACGAACTCTAGACTGTTCTAGCGGTTTGTAGCCATGCAAGTAGGACATGCAGCTATTATATTTATCTGAAGTTTACCAGACTGGAACCTTTCCCGGCGAGTCCGGGGTCGTAATGCATGAACTTTCCGGGGTTTGTCAAGATCATGTGGTTGCCTTTTGGCATTCTCTATAAAGCACCAACACGTATCGGTGAGAAATTGGACGCTATACTTCTCGAGTCTTTGTGTAACAACGCGATGCTGAGCACGGACACATGTCATAAACATTGCAGCCTCCTCTTTGTGCCTGATTTATCCCGGCTTGCTAGTTGTTCGCTCTTCCTGTAGAAAAAATAGGGATTGCTCAGGGAGATAAGACCGGCTTTCGGGGTCATCAATCTGTGGTTGAACAATTTGTTCTAAAAAAGCAAAATTCAAGCTCTTTCCAGGTGTATGCCACCATGACACGCAGCTTCTAGTGTGGATGCCTATGGCGTCAACTACGCCATGTGAGCATAGGCGCACTCAGCGCTTTGAGGTCGCCACTGGGAGGCTTCAGATCCTCCGAACCTGTAATAACTGGGATGAGGCTCTTCGCAATGCTCCTAGAACTGTAACTTAGAATTGCCGAACGGTGTTTCCTTTTCGGGAAAAATGGCCACTGGGGACGGTCCAACTGGAACTTGGTCACTCCTTGGGAGCTACCTTGCCAAGAGAAATTATGACCATTTACTCCGACAGCAGCTTCAGCCAGTCACTGACCGTACATCCACATGGACCTCGCTCATATCCTCAACTCTGCATCTTTCACCAAGTACTTCATTTGTATGATGATTCCCATCACAGTTCTTGCCTCGTTGTTGTTCGCTCCGCCCAGAGTCATGCGGTCGAAACCGGATATATCAGAAGGTTTGAGATCCAGCATGTCATCCAAATATCTGTCGCACATGACATAGACAGACAACCTTCCCACTCTGTCTGTCGCAAATCTTCCAGTTTGATCGAAAATCTCATTCATCGGCTACCATAATCCCGAAAATTATGGCCTCCTCATATGTCTCGAGCATGGGTCCTGAGCCGCTCCAGAAAGCCCGAACGGAACCGCACTCCACATGATACTCTTCCATTCGGTGCTGTTAAAGTGGTAACCTTCAAATGCCGAATAACCGACCGCTCAGTGGATAGAATCGACTGATATTCTCCCCTCTTTTTGGATGAACGCTGCCCTCGAAACTCAATTCGCGAGCAGAGGCTAGCAGAAGTCGGATTCTGTTCCGTTCTCGTTGGTTGAGCGTGGTCCCGAGGATTCGCTGCGTTCCCAATACTATCCCTACTTTCGTAGAAGGCTGTCACAAACCGTGGGCAAGAGGTTCTTGATCCTTCGATGTAGATGGACAGATTGCGTTGAGGAGGGAACGGAGCTATAAATACTCAGTGATCCTCACATACTGATGATATGGTGGACATCAAATCTCGGGAGTGATCCCGAGTCTCCGCTCCCAAGTTGCCGGGAGAGATTCCGATCTCCATCTAGAGCATAGATCTTTGACCAGTTCATATTCTTTGACTGCGAGGAAATCACTACTGATAGTGGATAGTGGAAAAGCTTGCCGGGTGCTTTGGGCGATCTTGTCATTCATATCGTGATTAATCTGGGATAGCCTATTTTGGTCATCTTGGAGTAAATGAGGGAACCATTGATCATACCGAAGCCAAGATACTAGCAAATATTTACCCTCGAGGACCAATTGCTTCAGTCTATTCTCATACTCTCACATGAAATATGCTCGGCTCGACTTTCTCAACTGGCGTGCAATGACCATAGATTTCCGAAAAGTCTTGTCTTTGCTTTCCTAGTCACTGTGCCAGGTCGCCAAGACCTATTTACGTAGTAGAATGCAACACTTAGGGCATAGAAGACGTAGCAAAATAAGCTGTGATGGAAGAATGCCTTACTGTCCGACCGTGCAGTCAGCCGAGCAAAAGTTCCAAAATGAGTTGGTTGACTTACCCCCCCACCCCTACCCCCCGGTGGCCATTTTTCCCGAAAAAGGAAATATCAATATCGACACCTTTAATACCAGGCAGTTCTCTCCAGACATTTCCAAGCCTTTCAGAATATGACGAAGCAAGTCAATGGTATATATCCTATGCTAAGCATGCTAACTACCCATTCCATGGCTTGTCAACTGCCAAGTCCAATTCCCATCTGACCAGCTTCATATACCAAGTCTTGACACCCATGATGACACTTAGAGTCACAGCAGCTTCCAAATCCCAGCGAGAACTCTTCATGTCCAACTACAATGAAAGCGACAAAACGTCGACATAGTTGATGACGGTACGACTTGTGCAACAAGTGGTTGACGGCTAAAGTTTTCAACAGCCCACTATGAATCGCCGACCACGATTTTCTCCTCAGTCACAATTCAGCTATGGCAAAGTGACTGGAGAGCGACTCATTTCTTATTGCCAAAATCATGGTTCGATGATAGCAATCCCCACTTCATTGACGTTTCTCCATACTCAAAGTCTGGATCGCGGTCTAATGTTGCAATTCTGATGGTTTCCCCTTAACCGGAAATTCACTTTAGTACTATTATGGCATACAACTGATTATTTTCTTGCTGTATTTGCATTCCATAGAACGATGATATACTCTCGCTGTTGTGCCACCGGACTATGTACACTGGAACCTGTGGATCCCTTCCCGCCACCCCACCGAGATTGTTCACGAAAGGCGCTCCAGCATGTTGCTAGAAGGCGCATTCGAATTATAAAACCCTGAAGAATTCTGCACCATCGTCGCTCGCCAACCCAACTCTGCAAACATGTCTTCCACATCGACGCAACCGACCAGTTCTTTCGACGTCACCGTCGAAGACTCGGTATCTCTCACCCAAACCCTGACCAAAATCGACTCATCAAATGTGACGTTATCAGCCACCCCGGGTGCCGGAGAGACACAGATCGCGAACTACCTCACCGCATGGCTCGAACATCGGGGCATCGAGACCCATCGGATTGAGACTGTTCCCGGCCGCCCATCCATCGTCGGTGTGATCCGGGGATCTGGCGGAGGGAAGTCGTTGATGCTGAATGGCCACATCGATACTGTCAGTTTGACCAGCTACGAGCATGAGCCTCTATCTGGACATGTTGGCGAGAAAGACGGACGCCCTGTCATCTTTGGTCGTGGCGCATTGGACATGAAGTCCGGACTCGCTGCCGAAATGGCCGCCCTGGCGACTATCAAGGCCAGAAAGACCCCTCTTCGCGGAGACGTCATCCTCACCGCCGTGTCAGACGAGGAAGACGCATCTCAAGGCACGCAAGATCTGATTGCGGCTGGCTGGCGCGCCGACGGCGCCGTGATCCCGGAGCCGACGAACCGCGTGCTCATCACAGCCCACAAAGGCTTCGTATGGATCGAGGTCGATATCCTAGGGACTGCAGCACACGGCTCCGATCCGGCCTCGGGAGTGGACGCGATCCTACAAGCTGGATGGTTCCTCACGGCGCTTGAAGAATACCAGAGCCGGCTGCCAGTCGACGAGATGATCGGACCGGCATCCCTGCATTGCAGCTTGATTCACGGCGGCGAGGAGCCTTCATCTTACCCGGCGAAATGCACCGTGACGATCGAGTTCCGGACTATTCCTGTGCAAACGGATGCGTCGATCTTGTCGGACATCACCAGCATCTTGGCTACTATTGCCCAGAACAAACCTACTTTCCGGTTCAATGAGCCGCGATTGACGCTGTCTCGTCCGTCTTACAAACTACCGGTCGAGCATTCGTTGGTTCAGCAGACTACTAAGATTGCCGGGGACGTGTATGGGAAGCGTCCGCCTATTGAGAGCATGGCTATTTGGTGCGATGCTGCGCTTCTTGCGGAGGCGGGGACACCGACTATTGTTCTCGGTCCGGCAGGACAAGGGTTGCACGCTAAGGAGGAATGGGTTGATGTGCAGAGTATACGGGAGACGGAGGAGATTTTTGTTCGTCTGATCTCTGAATTTTGTAACTAAAATCTATTGTCCTGCATTCGAGTCTATGGAATATTAATGATTCGAAGCTTCTGTTCTTTAGCATTGCCCTGCGCTAACCTCTCTGCAAAGCTGTGTTTTATAGGTGCTGCAAATTCTCGTTCGTAAGAAGGCACTCCTCATATAGACGTGTGCTGTGTGACAGTAGGCACACGCTTTAGAAAAAGAACCCCCTATTCTAGAAGTTCGAGAAGGCGACAAGGACTGGACGCACTGTCGAACTGGGAATAATCCTCGTACCTATCATACCCGGCAGGACGAGACGGGTGGTCACTTCAGCAAGGGGTATCGGGGAACTAAAGGTTAGATACCGGAGCAGGGAGTTCGCAGGTCCTCGCTTATAATAAACATAGCGATGTCCCCTTCCCAAGGCCACCCCTTGATCTTTCACATTCCAGTCAAAACGTTCGATTCACGCGGCCTTGTCTGCCGGTATGAAGCACGCAGAGCCCACAACTCAGCCACACATCAGCACAATTAGCCCAGCGCAGCCCAATCTAGACCCAGGACCTCCCGATGGTGGCCTCCACGGCTGGGCGCAAGTCCTCGCCGGCCACTTCATCTTCGTCCTAACATGGGGCTACTCTGCCGCCTTTGGCGTCTTCCAGACCCATTACCGGCATACGCTTCCAGAGAGCGCGTCGACCATCTCCTGGATCGGCGGCGTACAAGTGTTCATCCTGCTCCTGATATCCGCGCTCTCAGGTAGGGCTACAGATGCCGGATACACAAAGACCCTTATCCTCGTGGGCTCGTTCCTGATAGTCCTCGGCACGTTCATGACCAGCGTGGCCACCGTGTACTGGCAGATCTTTCTCGCTCAGGGCGTCTGCGTGGGCATTGGGATGGGCTTGATCTGGCTCCCTGGGGTGACGTTGATTTCGACTTATTTTGTTCGCAAAAGGGTGTTTGCCGTTGCGGTGGCTGCGTCGGGTACGAGTACCGCGGGCATGATCTTTCCGGCTATTGTACAGACTTTGATACCGAAGATAGGTGCGTACTGTAGATTGTTAAGCTTTCTGCTTGGACATGCCCGAGATGTTGTGTATACAGTAGGTGTGTTTTTCTACGTGGGACTTTTTCTGAGCTCGAACAGGCTTCCCATGGGCGGTGCGGTGTATGGGATTCGTTGTTCTCTTCATCGCCGTCGTCATTAACTTGGTGCTTCATCCGCGCATGCCACCTCGCAAATCCGGACCGTTGGTCGAGTGGGCGGCGTTTAAAGAAACGTCGTATGTGACGCTCACGTTTGGCATCTTCTTGATCTACTGGACGTTTTTCTTTGTGTTTTTCTACGTATGTTTTCCCCTTGACCTTGCCTACCTCCCCCGGCTCAATCCTTGAGAAACCAAAAACCAACAAAAGACATCAGATCCAAGTCTACGCGCGCGAAAAACTCGCCATGCCCGAATCCCACGGCGCGAATCTAATCATAATCATGCACGCCTCTGGCATCCCCATCCGCCCACCTCTGGGCTTCATCGCCGACCGCTACATCGGCCCCCTAAACAGCCTGATCCCGCTGACCGCGCTCTGCGGTATGCTCATGTTCTGCTGGCACGGCGTAGTCAGCATCACGGGGCTGTACGTGTTCGCGGTCTTCTTTGGCCTGGTGTCGGCGGCTGTGTTGGGGTTGGTGGTGGGCACGATCCCGTCGTTGACGAGGGATTTGAGCAAGATTGGGACGCGGGTGGGGATGGCGTTGACGCTTGTTAGTCCTGGGCCGTTGACGGGGCCGTCGGTGGCCGGGGCGTTGATTGCGAGAGGAGGGGGGGATTATTTGGGGGCGCAGGGGTGGGCGGGGGGTGCGTTGTTGGTGGCTGCTGGGGTTTTGGTTGTCGCGAGGGTTTCGTCGTCGGGGTGGAGGTTGATGGTGAAGATTTGAGAGTGGTGCTTGGGATGGGGGGGGGGGGGGTTGGGATAGACTATAGATTTGTCCGTTTTGTTTCATTGATTGTTAAGTATAGTATAGATCGTGTCGAGTTTTCGATTGAGTTTTTGGTAGCTTCGTTGATATGATAGACATTGAGCTAGAACTGTGGGCTTATATCTATAAGACATTCCAACTATGCTCGGTACAAAATCTTTGAGATCATTTAATGTCCTCTTGCAACAGTTGACACCATATTTAACCATTTCGATATCTAGAACCTAACAATCAGCAGTGAAGGCAAGTGCAAATAAGCTCAGACAAACTCACAATCTGTCACATCGACATGATGGCGAATTGACGATCAAAATGAGCCATAATGAATCGTGCATAAGACGCCCCCACTCGACCATCCCAGTCGGTCTTAGTCTGTTCCTGCCATCTTCACCTTCATCATTTCAATGTCTTTCTGCAGAGAATGATCTCAGGATGAGAAATCAAGCTTAATGTGTTTTTGATCAGTTCAGTGGAGCTCATTGCTGGTTGTTCTCACTGTCGAACTCCACAATGTCATGACAGCGTTCCTGTCGATGATGAGCCATGTGGCTAAGCTGATATGCCCTGTGTGGTCTCCGGGCCCAGATGATTGTTTTGAAGGTATAAGTATGCTTCGAATTGTGCCTCCGTAGTGAGGACATCATTCGCAACGTCGAACAAAATATTCAGGCTTATCAACCTCAATTCGAAGCAACTCCATTACCAACCGCAACCATGTCCCATTTCGCACCCGACTGGGCAAAGGTATGTCATACAGTCCTTACCTAGCTTCTTAAAGCTGTACACTAACATCAACAGTTCATCGAACAACTCGGCGAACCCCTAACCTTTTCAGGCACCACCATTGAAGAGCTCACAAACAAATGGGAAAATCACCTCGCCCCCAAATTCATGGCCATATGCCAATACCCCCCGCCCGACATGTCCGTCACCACCGAAGACATCACGCTCGAGAACATCCGCCTACGCATCTACACGCCACCCTCAGTGACAGGCACCGAGCCGGTCGGCATCTTCATCCACGGCGGCGGCTGGATCATGGGCAGCATCGAGCAGGAGGACATGCCATGTCGAGAGATGTGCAAGGCCAACCACATGATGATCGTCAGCATTGGCTACCGGCTCGCACCGAAATGGAAGTTCCCGACAGCGCTCGACGACTGCGTACAAGGCACCCTGTGGGCCATCTCGCATCTCTCGCTATCCAAGTTCGTGCTGATGGGCGGGTCAGCCGGCGCAAACCTTGCATTTGGCGTCGCGCTGAAACTCATCGTCGCGGGCCTCGAGGAGAAAATCAAGGGTGTGCTGGCGCTGGTTCCAGCCGTCGTGCATCCCGACGCAGTGCCAGAGGACAAGAAAGCGGAGTATACGTCGTGGTGGGAGAATGGTGACCGCACGATCAACACTTTGACGACGATGCAGACCTTCGTCTCGTATTATGACCCGGATCCGTACGATCCGTACTTTTCGTGTCTGCTTCACCCGCGCCTGAAGGACTTGAATAAGGTGTATATTGTTGAGTGCGGAGCAGATACGTTGCGGGATGATGCGCGCTTGATGAAGCAGGCATTGCAAGAGGCCAAGGTGCCGCTGGTTTATGACGCGTATGATGGGTATCCTCATTATTCATGGATGTTTCCGGCGCCGGTGTTGAAGAGGCATGTTGAGGAGTTTAATGCGAACTTGACGCGCGCATTGGATTGGTTGAATGAGTGATCTGATGTCAATTATTCGATTTGCATATAGAGCTCCATAGAATCCATTCAATAAGAGACATAATTTGTCATTCTCACTCTACAATCAAGACACCTAGTGAAGAGTATGATGGATAGTATTTTCTAAGATCGTCTGATGTCTCTTCTACCGCAGCTGTTCACTCTAAGCAAGCATATTACGTTTGAGGCTCGGCAAGATCGAGTGTTTCTATCAATTGGCGTCTACCTAGCGGAGAGAAGTTTTCAAGCTCGACGAAACGATCTAGACCCTGTTGCTTATTCGGAAATAGGGATTTGAGCCCGTGGACGTGGTAATTAACACGCCGATAATCACCTAGATCACAACAACGACACCAGCTGTCGCCGGGAGACCCTGTATCATGAGAACGGGCTCTTCAGGTCTCAGAACGGAAACCATGACAATGGCAACCCACAGAATTATTGCAATGGACAGTGCTGAACAAAGGGCAATAATTCAAAGAGGAGCACAGACATCAATACCAGAACTAAGACTGATACAAAACAGAAAAGAACAAACAGCAAACATATGAAACCACTACCCAACGATTGGATGGCCAACCGCGCGGCTACCCGTCACACTGTTCCTTTTAACATTCCTTTATCTGTTCCATCTTCTGTTTCCGAATAAAATTGCTAAGTCCCTTATATATCTAGAGATGTGCAGGCGCTTCGGACGGATGAACGTTTCTACTCAACCCCTCATCTGAATCATTTTCGCCCCAACACAGCAGTCCGCTTCAGCTTTAGCAAACATGGTGAGCCCGAAGAACCAGTTCATCCAGTTCTGAACCAAGCTAATACTTCGTCCAGGCTCGACCAACTCTTGAAGGTCTTCCCGTGGAGCTTATGATTCTCATTTTATTCCGGTTGCCAGACGGCAACACGTTCAAATCTCTCGTGTATGCGTCACCCGATTATCACCAGGCCTACCTCACAGTGAGATATCAACTGCTCAGACTTTTGGTGAGACGCCAACTTGGCGGACTTCTCGATCTAGCAGAAGTGTTCACTGCTATACGATCTCAAGGTGTGCATTATGCCTATCAGGATGAGAACGTAATTGCCTTGTTGGACAACTGGCGACGCAAAGATGAAATTCGCGAGCTCAAATCGTCGAAACAACCAGACGAGCCTGATAGCCCAGAGGAAATCATTAAACGATTTCGATTTTATCGAATGCTATTTTTCTTCCTCGAGGACATCTCAATTAACGCACCCAGGCCCCCATGGATCCAGCCTATTCAATGGGAAAGCGAATATCTGCCTTTACATTTGTCAATTTTCGAAAAACGCCGCTTCCTAAGAGCAATGTGTCGCTTTCAAATTCTTAAAAACCTCTTTGGAGATCCAGTCTATTGCTTTGACCGCGTAAAGTGTGGCAAATGCGGGGACAGAAACAAGTTCTGGCAATTAAGAGAATGCAATGACCTCCAGACTGTTTGGGAGGAGGCATATCGGTTATTCTATGGCACAATGCCCCTTTGGGAACACGATGAAATGGGCAGTGTCTTTATGTATCTGGTTTCCAAGTACGAGGGGATCTCTAAGGAGATAACAGATGACTTACGGCAGCTCAGCAAAAATACATCATCCAGATTCTTTTGGGACATCCTTCCCAAAGAGCAACGGCCACCTCCCTGTGAAATTGAGAGTGAAAGAGACCTTTTTCACTTTAACCAGCATTATGAAGGACTTGCCGGACTAGGGCCTGAGTTCCTCTACCGCATTCTCCATATGGACTGGCTAACTCGACGTAACCTTGTTTGCGTCAATACCAGAAGCTTCTGGCCGGGCCCATTTATTGGGTATGGGACCGAGATCTTGCAGGACATTCAATTCCAATTTATCGGTCCAGCGGATCGGTATGAATGTCCAAACTTTGAGCAATTCTGGTCTACTTTATCACCTCTTGAACAGCCTACCGTGGGTTGGAAGAAAGCATGGCTACGCCCTCACAACCAGGAAGATATTCTTGAGGATTCTTTTAATTTCAATCGAGAGCTTGATGAGGATTGGGGATGGTGTTACGCGCTTTGGGATGAGAATAGACTGAAGGAATGGAAAGCGCCGTTGGTAGTCGAGCAAGGTTCGCTTGATTAGGATTCCGAGATCTTAGATATCCTTCCAAATTGTTTCGGACGCTAATTTTGATTATGTGTGCCTGAGGCCCGAGGCCTACCAGTCTTGGCGCTATGATCGTCGCCGGCCTTGTTGTGTTTGGCTTTACTTCCTTCCGACGCATACTACCAGCATGAGGCATCACCCAATTGACTTCTAATGAATATGGCCGGCTCCTGTACCTTCTGGTCACTCATTATCCCGCTTGTATCTACCATTCTTGGGATTACCTTTCAAAACTGGGCCGCTCCCACGACTGGATTCCTATTCGGTACTTGCACTTGTGATAATGCTCCCTTATCGCCTCGCCATGCTAGCTGGGGCACCTGGTTTCACCCTTCTAGATCCCCTTCAAAGTCTTCGCAGAAACCGCTATGTGACGATGACGACTGGAATCTCCTCCACCATTTAGGCGGCAACGGTCCATGGATCGAGAAGAACGATGGAGAACATGTTTTCGAGGGAATCGGTCCTCCTGAACGCTGTTCAATTGAGCAAGTGCACATGGTACGGAGAATAACTGATACCTGGACCAGTGAAGCATCTCTAACAATAGTGCAGATGTCCCGTCACGGAGAGAGATATCCAACCAAATCCGCAGGAAGTCGTACGTTTCTAATGTTCTGCTGCAATTATCAACTAGGACGCATGTCTAACCATCCAAGTTAGGCCATCTTGCACTTTTATCCCGTATCAGAGAGTCAAATGTACCTCTCAACGGCTCACTGTCCTTCGTCAACAATTGGTCCTATTTCACCAGTGAGCCTGAGAAAGACTTTGATCAATTGACCGCAACTGGGCCGTATGCTGGTAAACTGCAGGCTTTCACCACCGGAGTCCGCTTTGTGACTCGGTATGGGCATCTCTTGTCGAAACATACCAAGACACGTCTATGGGCAAGCGAATGCCAACGCGTCATAGAAACGGCCCAACACTTCGCCTCAGGGATGTTTGGCCTCGACTGGGAAAATAACGGCAAGGCCGAGCTGGAGATTATCCCAGAAACATTCGATCAGGGCGCAAATACACTAACGCCGGGCGATACGTGCTTGAAGTATCTGGAAGATCCCGAAAAGGGACACGACAATGGTATGAACATGCGGAATCGGTTTCAAGAAGTGTATGCCCCAGCTATCGCGAAGCGCCTTGTCTCCGAACAAGACAATCTTGCCTTGGGGTCTTTTTCGGATGAGGAGATTTTCAGCATGCAAGAGATGTGTGGCTACGAGACCATTGCCCGAGGATCGAGTCCTTGGTGCGGTGTCTTCACCAAGGAGGAATGGGAAAGTTTCGAATATGCTCGGGATATAATTCACTACTATCGAGCGGGTCCTGGAAACCCATATGCTGGTGCGATGGGATGGCTGTGGTTGAATGCCACAACGACACTCTTGCAATCCGGCCCTGAATCTGGAACCATGTTCTTTAGTTTGTGCGTATCTTTGCGAGAATTCCCCAATCGTCTACAGGGCTGATAAACTGACATACTAATAGTGTTCATGACGGCGATATAGCCCCTTTTCTGACTGCTTTGGATATCATGAAAGATCCGCGGTATGATCCGTCACTTCCCATCACACATATAGCACGAGACCGCAAATGGCGCACCTCGACTGTGATGCCGATGGGTGCTCGTATTGTTCTGGAACGAATGGCATGCCCATCAGCTTCAGTTCAGAGCGAGGAATCCGGACAGGACAGCTTTGTCCGCGTCAATATCAACGACAGGATTGTGCCGCTACCTTATTGCAAATCTGGGCCTGGCCATTCGTGCCCGTTGAAAGAGTTTGCTAGGCATGTCGAGCGAAGGAGGTCAGAGGTGGGAGATTTCAGTGAAGTGTGTGGACTTGAAGGGGATGTTGGACACTTAGGATTTTTGCGACAGAATTAGCAGACCTGGTGTTTGAATTTAGCGAATAAGATCTATATATTAAAGGCCATGAGAGATACATTGTTATTGCAGGACATAATTACTTCCAAAGGACTTACAATTTGTATATACTCAAGGAAAGAGATAGAGAACCAACTGATTCTCTTTTACATTTCACTTCCTTTTTCAGTCTATGTCGTTTGATATATTCACTCGTGAAAGTGCTAGTAGACATCCCAAAGCGGTAAGCGCATAACCTGCAGATCCAGGTCACGTGCGGGTATCCGGGCGAACAGACTGTTTATGGCCGCCAAAAGTTTTGGACCGCAGTGAACCCCGATCAGCGCTTTTCCTGACCAACCCGCCCAATTGTCTGTACCATTAGCGATCCTTTTTTGCTGTCTTTTTCAAGACTCTTCATCCTACTTTTCTTCCTTTTCGAACTTTCAAACACCTAGTCTACATTTCCTCTAGCATGGAGTACCACTTCGTGCCCCCCGAGGAGCGCGCAAAAGACGACAAGGGAAATCTTCTGCCGTGGGGATATGTTTATAAAGAGTGAGTTTCTCTTTTCTACCCCTGTCTTTTTTTACAAAAAAGAGAGAGGATCCGACAGAACTAACCCATCAACAGCGAAGCCCGCAACCCACGACGACCGCCCGAGGAATCCGGACCCTTTGGCCGACGACGAAATGCTCGCTACGAACATGCCCGCTCTCGAACACGCACCGGCACGCCCGCGAAGCGCGAGAACCCCAACGTCGCAGAGTTCGGACGGCTATTCGCCCAGCAGCAAGAAGACGAGAAGAGCCGCACCAACACGTTGCCTAAGTCGTCATCCTCCTCGAACCTTGACAGCCAGCGCAAGCAGACCGAGAAGGTAGCGACCGAGTGCATCCTCTACGGCTACAAGAGCAAGGACTCGGAGTGGAAGGTCATTGACAAGTTCGAGCGCATCTCCGGCGGCTTCATCTGTGAGGATTATCCGCGAACGGATCCCAACTCGTCGGCTGGGTACGCGCAGCTGCTGAGCGGTGGGGACGTGGTGATCCGCACGAATCTGTCGGCGGATGCGAATCGGAAATCGAAGCGCTATGCGGGCGGATATCACTGGATCAAGGTGACGTTTGACTCGTCGTTGGCGGCCGATCGGGCTTGCTTTTACTCGCCGCAGGAGATTGACGGACATCATGTTATTTGTGAGATTTATCATGGCCAGGGGCCCGCGGAGGATGCGCCGATTCCTGCTACTGCTGCTGCTGGGAAGACAGATGCGTCGGCGTTGTTCAAGACGAACCCGGCGCGGACCTTGACGACCTCGCATTCCACTACGTTTTTGCAGACGCAGAAAGGGAAAGAGCGCGCCGCTTCGACGCTCCCCAGGTCGTTTGCCATGAACAATCTATCCACCGTGCCAGACGTCGAGGAGGATGCGTCGTTCGCGTCCACCGCCACTGCCAGCTCCGCTACCGCCACGGGTGTCGACACGATCAACAACCAGAACACCTCGTCGTCTCCGGTTCACCAGCGTAACGTCCCCAAGGACGTTCCCGTTCAAGCTCCCCAGGAGAAACCAGAGTCCGAGTTCATGACGCATATTCCCACTGTGCGAAGGGCGAAGCTGCGACCTCTCGCCGAGGCCCTGCCGCCTCAGCCGACGGTGACGGAGCGGGTCCTGCGCTCGATTCCTATCCTTAGCTGGTTCACGGGCGATATCGTCGGCGACGGACCGCAGCTGAAAGAGGACGGGACGTTCGATTACGACAAATCAAACTCCTACTGGCGGTTCTGGAACATGCTTGATCGATTCCTGGGGACGGATATCTGTGGATTGAAGGAAGAATCTTAATTTGGGTCATTGGCCTCTGATATCAACCTTGGTATCTCTCGAAAGCTGCAAACAAATACAGCATCACCTATGCAGGTACGGCGAGGACGGAGACATATTCAACTCTCGGAAACGCGGTCATGACTATCAAGAAGCGAACCCGGCTCTCAGTCCCTTCGCGTGGGGATAAAAAACATCAGGATCTTGCCCAGTGACCGACATCTCTTACTCCTCCGGTCGGTGGAAACCTACAAACCGTGTCCATGGTCGACAGGGACTATATGCTACCAGGCTCGACGTGTTTCTTCTCTTGCCGCTTTGCTATTTTCTTTCCTGTCCTGAACACCTATCATCAGACATGTTCTTTTTTCTTTTTCTATCTTATTCTGTTCTATATGATTCATGGCATGGTCAAGGCGCTCGGGAAATAATCGATTTAAATTGTTGCATTCGATCTAATTTTTTTGCATGAATATGGAAAAGAGGGGAGTGAGAGAAGAGACGGGAGTGGAGTGGTATTAAAATAATTCAATCCGACCGATCAACTTACCTAGCTAGTTATGGTTATTCATTCGATTACATCGGTCTACATTCGTGACCGTTAGTAGAGGATCTCCAAACGCTAATCTCAAACTACGACATGCACAGGCGTACGGCGTACTTCATAGGTATAGTATGGAGTCATACTCTTGAACCTACATGTCAATCACCTCGTACCAAAACCAGACTCGGAAGACAGCGAGGAAGGGAGACAGAAACAGAGAGAGAGCACATCAAAAACGCCCCCAACGGCATGGTATGATATGTATGGTCCTCTGTATACAACATCCCTCATCATTAAAACTTCCTGTATGTTCCAATGATGACAAATGGAGACATTAGAAGGGAGCAAATCAGAGCCAGTACTAAGGAGATTCTGATGTTAGAATGTTTGTTCCTGACCTTGGTCATTGTAGGTAAGTCGCGAAGTACTCACATGGGGCAAATTTAAACCCGGACTGTAAACAACGGCGGATGATCGCTTGGGTGGAAGCCGGAAGACTCGAAACATATTCCCGATCGTTCATCACATGATATATCATTTGCTCCTAAAAGGCAGACATTGTCAGAAAACGAAGGCCAGGTCAGACTGCCGTGTCGCAAAAATGCACCTTGACATCCGAATCGCCTTCCATTTTGTGCAGCATGGAATTGGTGAATCGGTTCCATATGACATTCCAAGAACTGGAAGCGCCAAGTATTACGCCCATCTGCTGACACAGATAGTAAACCCCAATGGCCGACGCCGATACATCCTCAGGTGCCAGTGTCGTCAATCCAACAAACTGGATCGATGTAATGATACCTATTGCCATGCTGATGGGAACTATTGCCAAGGTCTCCCAAGGAGTAGTGCCTCCGGCCCAAGAGGTGTATAGCGCAAATGACACGACGATGTTCATAATATGAGTTACAACGCCCATCGTGAAATATTCCTTGAACCTGGGACAGTTAAAAACAATGAAACCAGGACTGGTTCGCATTTCTCGCGATCGAAGATATACCGTTTGATATAGAGACCTGAGATCACCGCGCCAGAGGACAATCCGAGACTCATAGCACCAATGAAAAGCGAGGCAGATGCATCATTCATGCCATGGACACGCGCCATGTATGGAAAGATAACTGACCGAACCTGTGAGACATCAACACCGAGGATCTATAAAACCAAGGTTTTGAGTTATCTACCCCATCACGGGCCCAGAATGCCAGCAGCTGGACTACCCAGAATGACCCGACAAGGCGAGTCAAGTGCAGCGGGACCAATGGGTTGTCTGCGATGAACAGTTCTACCCATATAAGTAGACCCGTACCGATGGCAGCCCCGACGAGACACCCACTTTGGAGGAAGCGGCTTCCCTCCATGTTAAGTCCTAAAACCAACATCGTCATAGTCAAAGAAAAGGTAACGATCCCCGGGGAATCGAGAGCCTTCGATTTCTTAAAGGTGTTGCTTTCCTCGTCCTCGGACTTACTGGACTCCGGAGTGTACAATTTCACAAGGACAGCAGAACCTATAATGAACGGTAGGCGCCCTGCAAAGGACCTAGAGAAGTCTGTCAATGTTCTATGGCGACGCAGTGGAAAAACTAACCACCTCTACCCAACAGTCTGCGTTACTAGACTCCCTAGTGGTGCCCCAATACCACGACCGATTGTTTTCACAATGTTGGTGTAGCTCCTCATGAGGGCAACATCATTGGGCGGCACCATGTCTGTCAGAGTCAGAACCAATCCGGAACTATCATTTGGCATAAAGTCTTACCTTTAATCAAGACAGAAATAATTACTTCTAGCCCTGCTGCCCCGACGCCTGTAACCACTCGTCCCACCACCAGACATTTCATTGATCCGCTGACAGCGCTGCTTCCCAGTTATCTTCGCGGTCCTTTTCAACTGTAACAAAAGCTGGGTAACACGCACCACAGAGACACCCCAAAGCCAAATATCAAATACGCACATAGAAGAACACGTTTGTAGCTGTAGCTATCGCTCAGGGTACCGTACTGGAAAGATTTCTGCGGTTAGCAGTCCTACCTACTACAGGCTTTTTCGGAGACAACACGAAGTACGTACCACCGGAAGCGAGGCACTAAATCCCAGATTGAATGCGACCAGTAGCCAAATACCCCTTAGCTCGGCCTCGAAATGCGAGAATATGATCTCGTATACTGCAACCACGGTCGACTCATCCGAGCTTGCCAGTATGGCGCCTGGACGCTGCGGTTAGTCCCCTGAGTCAAGCATCCCCTGCGAGTCAGCCGGACATACCAAGGTAAGCCACATATATGGCCACTTTATTACTTCCAGAATTGCTATCATGGCTCCTTTCTAGACTCAGGGGCTCTTGTTCGTCGCCTAACTCAAGGGCTTCTCCCCTCATCGCTGACATGTCGCTAAATATAGAGAATGCCTATGGATGTAGCCCGCGAGCACTTACTCTCGTACTTGGCAGTTTCAGATGGGAGCTTTTATTCGAAAGTGAATTGATATGTGCTTGGGTGGTAGATGTAGGGATAGACCCGGGACCTGGTTCTAGATATTTTGCATCTTCACCAGCGCCTGTGCTCAGTTATCCCTTGCATAAGAGAGGTAGGTCATTTGCGCCTTCTCAATCAGCTCCGTGCTTATAATCAACCATTGGCTAGTGAAGCAGCCAGCTTAGGGTTCTCCACATTCCTCCTCCGCAATAGCCTCGCGCCGGGTTTTGCTGTTGGGGTCAAAATAAGGCCTCTCGCCTATTCCCACCGCGCGACGCGCCGTGCGAATACCCTCAAAATCAACAACCGCTCTATGAAATACCGATCGATTATCCCATATTGCTATGCCATTTGTCAGCCATCGTGGGTCCCTTGTTTCCTTTTCTGGGGTTGCTTGGCCGACTGGGGAAGCCCTACCAATGTCGTAAGAGTTACACCAGCGGTGTCTCAACTGACAGTCGTCACTCTCAACCAGTATCTGTAAAAGCCAGTCGTGTAGACGTGTGCTTTCGGTTGCCGTTAGCTCGTTGACATGGGAAAAATGATGACCAACACTGCAAAGGCTCTTCCAGCCTGTGACAGGGTTGGTGCGAACCATCGGATGGACTGCCTCGAAACGTGCGCCAACATTGTTCGGCGATCCACGGGGTGCAGAGTATGGCTCAAATCCTTTTTCTGCCAAAATCTTGTGGTAGTTTCCCTGTGAGCAGGTAATGGTGAGACCTTCCAGGAACTGCCGGTAGGCGGGTGAAATACGATCATAAATCTCGCAAGAGGATGCAAACATCGTGCCTACGGCATTAGCACAGTCGGCGATGAACCAACAAAATGAGAGCACGCCACGGACCTCCTCCCGATTCGGGCAGCTCGATCAGTTTCAAAATGGTGTAATCGCTTGGATTCGGCTCATAACCAAGGTCCATATGCCAGTTACCTCGCACACCGTGGCGTCTGCTTGCTTGGATTTTGTGTCGGTTCTCCGCGGGGTTCTTCGATCGATCGGTGGTCACGCTATTGATGTTTTTATCCTCATCTTTGTTGAAATTGCAGAGGGGGTGAACATGCAGAGTTGATGATTCCGGTTTGGCTGTAAGGACTCCGAGTCGATGAGCCAACTGCTTCTGCAAGTCATCCGTGAGCATAGTTTGAGCCCGGAAAAAGACAACCCCCCGGCGAGAAACTGGGTCGCAAGTAAGTCAATTATACTCTTTACGTGGATAGATGGAAGGGTAGTACTGGTAATAGCGAGGTCACGAAGCAGGTCATCAGAATTTGACGCCTTCATCCACTCCACCACGTTCGTATCGGGAAACTCCATTCCGATGAGAGGAGTGACTTTAAAAGACCTGTACTTTTTCAGGAGACCAGCAGATCTCAGAGGACCTTTCATGAGAGATGCGCATGGGAAAGTCATGGTTGAATTAAAAGAAGTGGGCACAGAGGGTAAGCTTCTCGTCTTCGAACCCTTACTGATCTATTTATCTCCCTGCGATGGGCTTGAAGAAGAGAACAAAGTAACGCCTCAGATCATTTGTTTTCCACGCATCTCAACCAATCCCTTACATGGACTCAACACGTAGTCACGTCATCTGAGGCTATGCAATGCCAGTTTTTCTCGCTTTATCGTTATGTGTTTGCGGACGATGGGCCTAAACCTCACCGCTAGTCAAACACAATGCTGCCACTATCACCTTGCATATACTCCGGAGTGTCCATCATTATATTTGCAAGGCTGGAGGACAGATGTAACGAAAAACAGATCTGTGCACCTGTGACTATATGTAAGTGCTAAAATCCTTTGCCGGAGACTCCCATCAGTGCAACTCCAGTCAAACCGCCATGGTAGCTATGTATCGGCCGTGCCGGGTGCGCCCTTTGCCTCCTCGAGTCAAGTACTGTGTACAACCGCGCTATTTGACTTACAGCTGGAGAGCCTTAGGTTGTGTGGTACGATCCTCCGCGAGGGAGCCTTCCACTCCCGCCAAAATGTCCATTCGAGACCTACCGAGATCCACCAAAACCGAAAACAAACAATACTTCAATGACATTCTTTTCCGCAGCGACAAGACGCGAGAAGTCGTAATTCGTGGACCGCCAAAGTTCGCTTCCAAGGAGGATGAACGCGAGTATCAAAAACAGCATCTGGCGGTTGCGTTTCGTGCCCTCGCCCGGCAGGGCTACGACGAGGGCCTCTCGGGACACATCTCATTAAGGGACCCAGTGAATCCCAGTAAGTGGTGCTACGACGTACAACGCTCATACCGTAGCTTACATGTTCCGCCCGAGGAGAACACTTTTGGATCAACCCATTGAGCAAACATTTTGCCATGATGCGCGCCTCTGATCTGGTATTAGCTGACGAGCACGGACACGTTTTGCCCGGAGGAGCTCAGCAGCCCTTCAACGTCGCTGCCTTTGCCATCCACAGCGAGATTCACAAAGCTCGCCCGGACGTGAATGCAGCCTGTCACGCCCATTCGATTCACGGGAGGGCATTTTCGTGCTTTGGTAAACCGCTTGAAATGATATTCCAAGATGCGCTCAAATTCTATGAGGACCATGCGGTATACCCCCGGTATGGAGGTGCAGCTCTCACTGCCGAAGAAGGGGCACGAATTGCGAAGGCCTTGGGCTCCTGTCGAAGTGTCATCCTCCAGAACCACGGGTTGATCACCTGCGGCAGTACGCCAGACGAGGCCGCATTTTTGTTCATATCTCTCGACCGTTGCTGTCACGCCCAGCTGATGGCCAACGCGGCATCCGGTCCCGGTTGGGAAAAACTCCGCATCCCTAATGAAGTGGCGGAGTGGGTTCAGAGACGGCGAGGAAATCCGAATCGGATGTGGTTGTCATTTCAGCCTTATTTTGACCAGGAGGTCGAAGCAGACCCATCGGTATTGGAGTAAACTCCTACCGGAAAACTTTTTATCAAAGGTAGTTGGCTCATTCGCATTATATACAAAGGTTTGAGAGATATGAATGTGCCTTGTCAACATAAATCGGTCATATCAGATACGCGGTCATGGACTGGTCAATAAAATTAACGCGTCAAAGGCCTGGATTGCTACACTAGCTGCATCTATTAGTCTTTAAGCATCTCAATCTGATCATCCTTCCTAACCAACCGTGCCGTATGAACAAAAAACTCTAAGGAGAGGAAGTCGAGCAGCCATCAGGTGCCATCAAATAGGAGAAACGTGGATGGCTCAGAATTCGTAGCAAGTTCGCTCCTCATCCCGACGCATTCAGGAGGGGGAACGTTCAACTAGACACTTGATTAACCGATTATCTAACAACACCTTGGAGCAAACCCACCGATATGTCGAATATACTCCGTATGCTACAAAGGATTAGCTTTAGTTTCTCTATATTAACTGACGCAGTACGAACATATAGGTTCCATGAGTCGGGCCCGGCTCGATTGTCCATCTCGCCCATTTGTTCGTGGGAGAGACCAAGCTACCAGTGGTTAGAGTTAAGTTGTTTGTCTCATGGTCATCTAGAGATGTGAGTATGCCATATTCGATATATTATGTACTGTACGAATAAGGCTTATCAGCAGTCAAATAAGTCCCTGTAACAGCACTGATAATAAGATACTGGCTATCTCCTGCATCTGCAAACTGCCATTTTTGATTAGACCCATCATGCGGTTTCGTTACATATAACAATATCCGAATGCGGAACAATAGGGGAGAAAATTAGAGTCTCGGTATAGATTTTCCCCCTAGCACTCTAGGTTTGTCCCATATCTATACACAAATGCAGAGATGGTCTTCACAGTACTATATTTTTTCTATGCATACTGAGGTCTAAGGAATTTGTAAACTGAAGTACAAATAGCAGAGATAATCTCGGCTAATTTTTATAGTGATGGAGAGTACTATGTTCTTAGCATAATACTTATACTACTGAAGTGAAATAACATTGTGTATTTGATAGGCGTCAGGTAGTTTGAGCATCTACACAGATCAGCCGACCTTCTTAGGGATTCCAAATGGATCGACATATTGCTGAGATAGCTTGGGACCTAAACGCTCTAACACACGCAAGGTATACCCTCTATGTAGTAGTAAAAGTGCTTCAGATATAGCTCTGTCGCGACCGCTGGCCAGTGTCTCTAATTATGATCTGCTTTAGATAGATGCAGGCACATATCGAAAGGTTTCAACCATACAGTTTCAAAACCTACATATCCAACATAATGCGGGGCTTGAGACAAGCTAATAAATATGCATTCATTCAACACAGAACTTTAAAATTTTTTGCTCAAGGGAAAACCGGAACCGTGAACTCAGTTTAGTTTTAGTTTCGTTTTTTTAAAGAAAACATTTACTCGACATTGCTCTCGAAGTTCTCGCCCTCAACCAGATCGGGGATATCATCCTCCTCGTCGTCCTTCTTGCCCTCGGCGCCGGCCTGGTTCTTCTGCATGTTCTGGTAGCTCTCGGCCAGCTTGCGCAGGGAGGCCAGGCTGTCGGGGCCCAGCTGGTTCAGGATGCCGGGGACCAGCTCGGTGAGTTCCTTCTCCTCGCCGTTGCCGTAGAGGGCGAAGGTGTTGGAGGGGACGGAGGCGTGGACTGTTTTTTTTTCGGTTGTGTTAGTTTGCGAGATTGGTGGAACGGTTTAAAGGGATGCTGGTTGGGCTAGACATACCCTTAGGAGCACCGAAGTGGATGACGTTTCCGTCCTCCTTGAACATGTTGACCTCCTCGATGGCCTGGATGGGCTGGACGTTCATCTTCTTGAGGGTGGCCTGGAGCTTCTTGTCGTCGGCGCCGGACGACTTGTGGACCTTCTTGACCTTGCGGCGGGGAGTGCCCTTGCCTCTGTGTTATGCGTTAGCCTCTGCATCGTCTTTTCTGATCGGTTGGTTTGTTCTGTGGTGTGGTTGTTGGGTTGGATTTGACGCAGGTCGGGGTATGATATGAAGGTATCATGTTGGGTTGGTTGGTGGATTGAATGCATAGGACATGGGTTCGGTTGCATTGCAACTGGGAATTCAGGTATCTTCGCGGTCGGAGATGTCGCAAACGAGAAGAATCGAAGGGAAAGACAGTATGAAAGAAAATCGATATACGTACCCTATTCAGAGAGACGGATTAGCTATAGGACCTTGAATTGCGTAAATCATGATTGCAGATCGCATAAAAGCAACAGAAAAGCAGAACTCCGATCCAATGCAATTTCAAAGGCGAAGGTGACAGTCTCAGCGGAAGCGACACCTCAGTTCACGAACTCCACCATTTCAATGAACGAGCTGAGCCGACGTCTCTGGTCGCGACTCTCCCCTCTCCTCGTCCAATCCAGTCCAGTCCATATTGACCATCGCATTCGATCCAAATTGAAAATCCGAGTCGTCCGACAGACCGACCGATCACATCGTCCCCTTCATCCTCCCACGCATCGAAATTGCAAGCTCACGACACAAAACCATCAAAGCAAAAAGACGAGATAAAGAAAATAAAACATACCAATCCGCACGCTAGCCTGCATCCGAGCCAACTTAGCCTGATCCATTGTGACGGTTTTCGAGAGAAAAAAGGGGGGGGAGAGGGGGTGGATGAAGTCGAGAGGAAACCTGGTGGGATAAGAAGCAAGACGTCAATAATCCGGATCTGTGGAACTCGAAACTCGGTAAGGCTTTTGGCTCGATGTGTGCGGGCGCCAAGCTTTGAGGGGGAGGAAGACTGTCAATGCAACAACGTACGTTGGTTGCAACTGATCGGAGTCGTTGTTGCAAGTGTCTGAGAGGGAAAGGGAAGGGGGGGTATTGGGCAACCTACCGAGAGCTGGTGGTGATGAAGTTGGAGTGGGAGAGGAGAGGAGAAAGTGTCGACGTTCCCGTTTGTTAGTGGGAAAGTGTGGCTGATGATTGATGATTGATGACTGTGGGGAGTTCACCTGCTTGGGTCTGGGATTACTTGACTACGATGGTGACTGCGTTACGACGGTGAAGATTGGATTCTATTTGATTTCTGTCTAGATATCTATCTCTGCATTCCAGGTAGGTTGATCACGGTTCCTTCATATGAAGTTCGCCGTTTGGGGAGATCAACGAGATTTCGTTGTGGAGGGGATCTTGAGGCTGCTCGGCTAAACCCTAACGACGACACGCTGCCGACGCCTGTCTGACCCTTGTCCGGGGTCACGATGTGAGGCATCCCTGGATTCTGGACAGTATTTCTTGCACACAAATGAGCTCTTTTTCTACGCTATCCCGACGATGCCCTGCTCCGATGAAGTGTCTGAGCCTTTGCCCAGCCCATCTCGCCTCCACTCGGTGTTTTAATCCCAATCGGGTAATCCGACTGTCTGGACCCTTATTGGCATCAGTTGGAGGGAATACTTCTCATTCTTCAACCATAACATCATAAAAATTAGGATCTACCCTTCTACAAGCCAGTACTAGTCTAGGATACCTCCGCGATTTGAGCTTCGGTCCATTCCCATAGCTTCCGACCCATCTCCACGTCGTCTGCATATTTGCTCGACCCGCGAATCCCGATAGGAACATAATACGCCCCATTGGTCAGCAACTCTCTCTTCGCTCCGGCAGCCCAGAGTTGATTCATCGCCCCCGTGCGTACCCCTCGGGATATCATCAAGGTGAGATGAGCACCGATGTTAGAAAACCCACCGGCTTCCTTCGTGTGGTTGTACAGGTCGCTCGACACCACTCCCGGATGGATAGAGACTGAGAGAATGTGCGGATAGCGGCGTGCGAGCTCGGCCGCAAACAAGACGTTGGCAGCCTTGGAAGCGCCATACCGCTCGAACGGCCCCGACGCCTGCAGGGCCTCCGTAGACGTCATAACCTCGTAGGATGGCGATACGTTGTGTCCGACGGAGCTGACCGTCACGACCCGGACATCGAGCGCAGGGACGGCACTGGCGCTGGTCTTTTTCAACGTGGGAAGCAGTAGTTTGGTGAGCAAGAAGTGTCCGATGTGGTTGGTTCCGAATTGAATCTCAAGCCCCTCTTTTGTGACGCCTGGGGGTGTGGCCATGATGCCGGCATTCAGTATCAACAGGTCCAGGCGATCGCATTCCGTGGTGAATCTTTCGGCCGCTGCGCGAATGGACTCGAATGAGGATAGATCGAGCAGTATGTGTCTGATGTCGACGGGCTCCGGAAGGATCTCCTGGATCGAGGCAATGGCGTCGCGCGCTTTGCTCTCGGTCCGAGCGGCCAGGTAGATGCGAGACGGACGATGATAGGCAAGCTGAAGGACGGTTTCTTTTCCAAGGCCGGCATTTCCTGAATTGGCCGAGAGCAGTTAGCAACGTAGGTCGATTGATGGGGTAGCACACGCATAGGGCAAGGGGCGAAAAGTCCTTACCACCTGTAATAAAGACGATCTTTCCAGAAAGATCGCCTATATCTCGCTGCGGCTTGAAGGAAGAACCCAACAGGCCGAAGCTCAGCTCATTGACGGTAGGCCCGACACTGGAGTAGAAATCCGCGGGATGGCACAAGGCATGGCGAACGAGGGATCCAGCCAAGTATGCGTAAGACATTAGATCAATGATCAAGGAACAAACTGGCGGTCAAAAAAAGAACTCTAAAATTGAAAGGTTAGTGCGATGGATGGTCAATTTATCCCTCGCGGTGAAAGTTAATGGACCACGCGCATGAAGCTGCCGCTCTCCCGCCATCCTGAAAAGGGGGGATACAAGAGTGGAACAACGGTGATTTTCATCAAAGCGACCGAGGTCCAGATGCATCTCCACCTATCGTAAAGGGTGCTTCCGAGGTGATCTATTTCATCATGTCGTCAACAAGATCGTTCAGCATTTGAAGTGATAGCGATATCGGATCTGCGCAGTCGCGATAATCTCCAAGGACCAGTCCTGGATTGCAGGAGGAAAGAAGAAGAATGCAGTTCGGCATGCAGCTTATGGTTAGCGAGATCCCGTGCTTTCGCAGCCACATGATAACCACAACACCGCTTCTCTCTCCCTCTCTCTCTACAGTATAAACTCGAAGACCATACCTGCTCCTTCACACTGTGCAGACAAAACACTTGAACAGAATACTTGAATCTCTGAGCCCGACAAGAAAATCAAGATGCGGTTCCTTTGTTTACACGGCGCCGGCACAAGCGGGGAAGTACGTCAAACCGGCCAACCTCTCTTGACACCCAAACGCTAACTTGATTTTCAAATCAAGATCTTTGAGATCCAATCTGGTACCGGAGTAACTCTCTACGCTCTATCGCCCTAACGAGAAATAAGGGCCCGTGGACATGAACACTAAACATCTTCAATCTATAAACAGGAGGACTAAGCCACCCCCTAAGCGACAAGGGCCACCAATTCGAATATGTTGATGGACGGGTCCAAGCGCCCGTAGAGCCGGGTATATCCTCACTATCACTACATCCTTCTCAACAACAAACACCCCAGACTAATAGATCTCAATTCAGAACTGGCGGGAATATGCGACGGGCCGTTTTACAACCACTACCGACGCGACGCCGCGCCAGGCCCAGAACTCAAGCAAGCAATGGACCACGTCCTGCAGATCATCGAAAAGAAGGGCCCCTTTGACGCGGTCATGGGCTTCTCGCAGGGCGCGGCGCTGGCGTTCTCGATGCTCGTCGAACACGCCAAGACGCACCCGACGCCGCTGTTCAAGGCCGCCGTGTTTATCTGCGCGGCGCCGCCGTTCGAGAGCTCCGGGCAGGAGGTCATCAGCTTGCAGCCAGGGGAGAAGTATGCGCTGAGCATCCCGACGGCGAATATTGTCGGGAAGCAGGATTATTTGTACGAGTCGAGTATGCAGCTGTATAGTCTGTGTGATCCGGCCAAGGCGGAGTTTTATGATCATGGGTCGAGGCACATGATTCCGTTCGATATGAAGAATAATGAGGCAATGATTGCGGCGATTGAGAGGACGATTGAACGGGCGGAGAAGGGCGAGTAAGACTGGTATATATAGATTTTTTACGGATTGATCGTGGAAACGACCTAGAAGGGGTTTTAGAATGATGGATCATCTTATTTTCAGCGTTGTTTCTTCGATACAGCCTCTCTATCTCTAGAGCTATACTTGGAGAGCAAAACAGCCGCTAACAAGACTATAATACCCAACCCGAGGCTGTATTTCAAAGCTGTCCCGAACAAACCTCCACTCTGGCTACCACTGCGATCGTCAAGTCATAACCCGGCAGAGGCCTCACCCTCACCCTGGGGAGGGATTGTCTTCTTCAGGAACTTCTCAAGGTCCTCGATCTCCACGGGATCGGCCGAGTGGCCCAAATCACTGTAGTCATGTATCAGCAAACCGAACACACCTTGAGCAAAACAAGGAAGATAACTTACGGATAAGAGTTGAAGCTGACATCCTCCAACCCCATATCGGTCAGCGCCTTAGACGACATCTTTCCGAACTCGTATTTCACCACCTCATCATCCAAGCCGTGGCCCATGAAGAACGGCGTCTTCTTGTTCGGCCAGTCCTCCGGCGTGTAGTTCTTGATGCGGTCGCTAAGAAGCAAGTAGCACGACAGACCGAACACTCCGCCCAGTTTCTCCTTGTTCGTGATTCCGGTGAAGAGGGAGATCGCACCGCCCTGCGAGAAACCACCCAGCACGATTCGCGAAGGGCTGATGCCCTGGTCGATTTGTTCCTTGATCAGGGTGTTGAAGTAGTCGCGGGAGCGAAGGACACCGGCCTCGTCTTGGTGCTTGAGAGATTCTTCGAAGTCCAACTATACACGGCGGTATTTGATTAGCTTGGACCAGACGTCTTCTTCAGGCAGAAATTCAGGTGGTCCAGACTTACATCACGGCCAAGTTTGGCAATGTCATACCACCCGGGCATGCTCAGTCCAAAGTTCTATAGATATATCAGTTGTTAGGTTCGTCTCCGCTGCGACAGGGTCAAATGGCGCATACCACTGTAATAGGGATCATCGGGGCATTCGGGAAGATGAAAGCCACTTCGTCGAACATGCCACGGCGGCGCCAGTTCTGAGCAAGTGCCATCCATCCGGCACCGCTGTATGCAGGAGACTGCTGTTTTAGCTGGCGCAAAACAGTATTCTGGAGATCTGTTCTAGATGACCAACCTGTCGCCTAGGCCGTGGGCCATGATCACCGTGGCGGTGTGCTTCTTGAGCGCCGGAACAATGTAAGGTGCGCGGGATGCCATTTTGTCTTGAAAATAGATGTGGTATGCAGAAGAGAAGGTTGAAGAGAGAAACAAGAATGGGGAGGGGAGATTATTCTGCCGCCGAGGCTGTTTGAGACGTTCACCGCCTAGGCGTTTATCGTTTATCGACAAGAGGCAACTGCAAGACTCAGGAAGTTTCAAACTTCAGAAGAATGAATGATCCTTGGCGTCTCTTTTTCCAGGTGATGAAACTCTGTTTAGCAGACGACATTTCGATGTGCTCCAATGCATTAGAATGTTGGGGTCTTGATGGAAGTGGAGGCTGCTTGTATTCGACCGGAGGGCTCCAACATTTCCCTATATAACGCTTCAAAGACACTGAACACATATTAAACATTAATGGTATCTAGGGAATTGCTTTATACTGTACAATCAACCGACAGCAAGAATCGTGTGCCAGCTCAATCACTGCTCAACACACAGACTTAGCAATTCCGCCTTCACGGTCGGAATCAGAGATGACATCAGATCCTCATCCACGACCCCCTTCTGCCACACAAACGTGAGGACCAGACATCCATCTGCACCAGTAACAGAGGACACCGCGATAGCGCTGCCTGTGACGTTGGCGCTCTGCGAGAAAGTCATGCGGCCCATCCGCGGCATCGATGAATCCTGGGCCCCCTTCAACCCGACCGCGCCGATATTCGAGATCTCAAAACTCGAATCGCGTTCCCTCCCTACCTTCGAGAGGAAGAGCTCTTCTTTGAAATCATCAACGTATTTCAGAAGCGCCGGGGCCATATCCTTGCCCTGCAGGTTCAGCACGCCCTCGATTGTCTCGCGAGCCCGTCGAGCCTCCTCCCACGGGAAAGTCGGAAGAGTCAAGTTCGCGCGGTGGTGTGTTTCATTAAAGCCATTCACCCAGTCACCAATGGAGTCTGCGGTAATGACACCGAGGTGCCATCTCCGAGTAGAAACGTTGCAGGCGCAATCCAACTGCGTATAGCTATCCGGCAAATGCTTGAACAGCGAGCGCGCGACAATCGTCTGCAACGCCCCAGTCACAGTGGTTCCATTCTGGCGACAGGCGTCTCGAAACGCCGAGCTCGACGCCCTGGAGACCGCGAAATGCCGCACATCAGTCTCCAAGGACGACGCGATCCTCCCGCCCGTCCAAAGCCCGGGATTCCGCGCCGGAGACCAAACCTTGGCCTTGAACAGCGTCGTCGCAATATACCACCACGACAGGGGCAGCGGATGCGCCTGCTCCAAAGTCGGCAATAGTGGCACCTCCGGCGTCTTCACAATCCCCGTCATCCCGTCCCTGACCCCTAGCGTCTCCAGACCCTGCAACGCGCGCAAAAACGTCCTATGGAACGCCTTCCCAGACTCCCCATCACTGAGCGCATGATGGAAGATAAACGCCGCCGTAAACCGGCGCTCATCCTCCTTATGCGTCAAAACACACAGCCGCCAATACGGCAACGGCGGCTCGAAACCCCTATTATGCTGAATCTTCAGCAAGGCCTCTAGATCCTCATCTTGGGCGTCTTCTGCGTCCGGAAACCCAACGGCCCGCTCATGGAACGAAACCGGACCGTTCAGATCGATCTGCGGCAGGCGCACAAAATAGGGCTCTTTTGTTTCCTCGGCCACCGGGATGGCGGAGAGGATCGGGTGCTGGGCTATTAGCGTCTCGCAGGCCTTGTAGATATACTCCTTTGCGGGGAGAGCGTAGGTGCTTGGCAAAGTGTAATCGGCGGTGACACCGGCATTGTAGAAGAATTGTAGATGGTGTCTGGCGGTGGCGTATTGCTCCAATCCGCCTGGTTAGGTATTGGTTAGTAGTTGCGCGAGAAACTAAGGAGAGTCGATTGGCTCACCGACAGGCCTCAGTTTCTCGAATTGTTCTGACCCGGCCATTTTCTATATACAGTGAAAGAGTATTGATCTAGATTCTAGATAAAAGAAAGTAAGGAGGTCCCGGCAAGTCTGGAACGACGGGAGCCTAATTCGCTAAAAGAAATAATCCACGTGATCAGCGTTTCATAGAAATAGACAAGGATGTTTTTGCTAAGACGACAATTTTATCATCACTTGTAGTCATGATGCAAAATGTTGGCATGACATTTAGGAAGGCGACAATGTTTTCCCTAAACATCGGGTAATGGAATTGGATATCAAGTAGGTAATATATACAAGGAACCGGTCAATATACATCAAGGCTCCGTCCAGGATAGTACTAATTCGTCACTCATCACGTTCACCTTTTCAATTCTTTTCCTCTTCATTCAAACTTGTTTCTTTATATCCCCCTCTTTCCATCATTCAAGCGCTCTCTCCATTCACAGCTAGATCCCAACCATCCCTTACAAAACAGCCATACCTCCAACAACAGCAGCTCCCAGAATTCCCCAAGCAGCGGTCTCCAGCGCAACAGCAGCACCGGTCGAAGAAGGTGAGCTTCCAGTCGAGGAAGCAGACGCCGAGGAGCCGCCGCTCTGAGCCTCACCGTTAGCGGTCGATTCGTTGGCATTGCGCTTCGCCGCGGCTCCAGAGAACGGGGTGGCCTTGACACCGGTGTTATTCTTGCAAGAAGACGGCTGCTCGACCTTGGTGCTCGAGGAGAATTGGATATCGGCGCACTATGTTTGGAAGATACAGTTAGCATCACGCTCACACTGAAACACACACTTGGTCTGCTGGGAGGGGAAAAGATTTCACATACAGCATACAACCCTCCGGTGGGATCACCATTACTCTGCACCTGCACGGTAGCATTCATGCCATCGGTGAGATTAACGCCCAACTTCTCCTGGTCAAATTTGATATCCGAGAGACAGAACGAGCCGAGCCCCTCGATACGGAAAGTCGGCTCCAGGGTAACGTTGAAGTTCTGGCCGGGATCGTTGCCCAGGGCCAGGAGGACCTCGACGGCAGTTTGCGAGTGGCCTAGGGAGATGGCGACGGGCAGAGTGGCGGAACCGTCATCCGAGAGAGAGACCTTGGTGCGGTCCGAGGAGGCGGAGAGCCCGCCGCAAGGGAACTGGGTCATTTTGTCCTCATTGACTCCGCGGGAGTCGGGATAGTCGAGCTTGAAGTGGGCGGCGACGAGGGGCGCCAGGGCGGCGATGGTGAGAAGAGGGAGCTGCATTGTGATTTGAGGGGTTGTGCTGTAGACACACAGAGGATAGAGAAGACGGGAGAGGGTGCAAAAAGGGGTAAAGAAATTACAAGAAAAGAGCGAACCAAGCTGCTTGATATAGAGCTGGTAAGACGAGGGAGTTTATACCGGTACGGCAACGCCCGGCACAGGCGCGAAGGACTAACTAGCCCCGACTCGGTGGTCAATAATGTTATATAATGGGAATGCGATTAATGTTACAGTTGAATTGACTTCTGGAGATTACGGTGGTACAAGCGCTGGACCATGAGCGCATTGATTTGGCAAGTACCTTCTTAGCAGGTGCTACTGCTCGTACGGGGACTCCTCAGTTTGGTAGCCGAACCATCGCATGCATCCGCTAGCCCCGAACCGGTTAGAAAATGTGCTCATATCTTCTCAGCCCTAAAAGGTAGTCTGGCACTGGAGGAGATTCCGGGTTTCCTGCAGTTGTTCTGCTCGTGAGAACCCTGAGAAATGAGAGCAATTTGGTTGTGGGGTCAATTCTCTCAAGCCACCTGGGGTTGCTCGTTGCGGGAAATTTCATATCGGGATCTCACCGACACGAATTCTAGTGTTTTGACCTCTCAGATCTCGTCAGCAAGCTAGTTGCGTTTCATTATGAACACCACTAAAGGTCATTAGCAGGCTGGCTCTTGTTATTTAAAGGAATTTCAGCCGAAAATCCCCTAAAAGCCTACTCCGTAGTATAACTACACCAGCTCAATCTGATCCTTCTAGCTGGGGGCCACAGCCAAATTGAATCAAAGACTGTATCGGAACCGAGGGCTCCGATCACCCATTTCCTCAATCTCCTCTTCCGTCATTCCCTCGACCTTGTAATCCTCCATGCCTCGGTCTCTGCGGTTATTCTTGCCCCGATAATAAACCCACATGAGACCATAGACAACGCCCGCAAATCCCACCAGAGACAAAGTCACCGCATTGCCTCGAACATAACGTGGGGCCTCGTTTGTTTTATACAAGAACGGCGACATGACTCCGCTCACGTTGCCGAATGTCAACTGCAGACCCGTGGCGAAGGTGCGTTTGCCATAACGAGGAAGGGTGGTGGGCAACCACGCGAGAGGCAATCCAACGGCGACATAAAGACCCAATGCAATGAGCAGGGCGCCGAAATAATGCACCCCTGAAGATGAATCGGAGATCAGAACGCCGTATCCCACCACGGAAATAGCGGCGAAAATGCAGGTAAAGAGTGCACGCTGCTGGGTTCGATCACTGAGCCACGCGACAGCTAGGTAGGCTAGGGCTCCTACTGCATAACAAGGGATGGTGAGGGCCTGGACCTCAGGCACCGACCAAGATCCCATGCCCTTGATGATGGTGGGAAGGAAAGTGCTGTAGCCGTAGAGCATAGTATCCACTCCGAACTGAGCGATGCAGAATGCGTAGATTCGCCAATCCAGGGAACCCTCTTTGACATCCGCCCAGTGGAACTTCTGAGCGGACGCCGTTTGACCCACGTAGCGACCCCGGCGGCGGACGACTAGGGCTCTTTCTTCCTCATTCAGGTAATACGCCGTGTCGGGGTCGTCGGCAAGGAAAAACCAAGTGATTACGCCGAGCACGACGGTCGGCATGCCTTCAATGATCATGATCCATCGCCAACCTTTGAGTCCGCAAATCCCGTCCATAAAGCCAATGCCGTATGCTAGGAGACCGCCGAATGCACCGGCGATGGCAGCGCTACTGAAAAGGTACCCAGTACGCAGGGCAAGTTCGCGCTTGCTGTAGAAAAAGGTTAGGTAGGTGATTAACCCGGGAAACAGTCCCGCTTCCACAACACCTAGGCTTGTCAGTTGGGGTGTATGGTCAATAAGATGATGGTCTGGCTCACCAAGAAGAATACGACAGGCGATCAAACCACCGTAGCTCTGAGTGATACCGGTAAGGGTCGCGATAATACCCCATATTACTGAAATTGACGCGATGTAACGCGAGGGAGTGAGTTTCTTGATGACGAGATTTGACGGCACCTCAAATAGCTGTACTAGATTGTTAGGCTGTTGCTAATCTTCGAACAGATGACTGATTACCTACACAGTATGTGACAAACAGGATGGATACAGCCACTTGGTATTGGTTTCCTTCCAAACCGAGGTCTTCTTCTAGGCCGTAAAGTCTGGCATTGCCAATGTTGACTAGAACGATTAATGTCAGCAAAAAAAAAAGGAAAAAAAAAAAAAAAAAAAAAAAAAAAAAAAAAAAACAAAAGCCGACAAGATATTCGAGGCGATGAATAGCATACCTCTGTCCAAAAAGCTAAAGAGGTAGAGAAGCACCACAAACGGCAAAATGTGCAGATCGATTTTCCGTACTAAATGCTTCTCTCTCTTCTCTTCGAGCATCGAGATATCAGAACCAGCGTCTGCCGACACAACCGCATTGCCAGACGAGGGTGACTCAACGTCGACCTTCGGCTCTCGCTCGGACTCCATGGCCATTTGATTGATAATTTCCCGATGGAAATGAAAGTCGCCACAAGATCTAGACAATGAGGAACACTCGTCTCTCTTGATTATTGAGAAGGTTCATCGATCAACTCCCCAGGTAAAGCCCATGATACAGAGGAATCTAGAGAAGGACGATGCTTGGTAATTCGATCATGTCGGAGTCATCGCGCGATATGATCATCGAAGGAACCGATAAGCGAATGGAAAATTGTGCGATAAAGTGGCGCCAAGATTCGAGACCGGCGGGGGATTCGGGGATTCGGGGGGTACAAGTACGCGGGGGCTTTGACTTTCCTTTTGCCTTCCCGTGTCACACCTTCTGCACCCTATTACTTATCGCGCCACTGCAAGACAAATAAGGATTCCATCCCAGCATGGCCTCGCTCTTCTAGAATATCTGATAACCTCAAATGCCGTCCGATCCTTGCCTAGACTGCGTATCCGGATCATCATTGGCCCGGACGTCTCCCGTCGATCGCCGATGTAGGAGATGGAGACGACATTTTGGATGAGGAGTAGTTTTTCTGGAATGCGATCATTATGCGCTATGGATAATTTCATGCGAGAAGCAAGGGATCTGTCTAATGGAATCTACAACGAACTAGCTATCCTGGCAAACAATTCGTGTGTCAGTGTGATTTCATAATGCAGTAGCGTCTCTCCATTTGGTGTGTACCAAACATGGCTGATCCATTATTGGTTTTGATCGAAATTGTGGTGGCATTACCTATCACACACATACACTGCACCGGAGTACCCATGTACACCGGCCTTGAAACCCAAGATCTAATTGATTCCTCGCTTCGAGACTTTTCGCTAATTCAGGAAGATCACAACAACTCATAGCCGGTAGTGGAATACGTTTGATCCTGAGCAAAATATCGAGCTTGAGTTGACAATGACAGAAAGTAGTCTCAACCTAGAGTATGACTCGACGGGCTCTATCAATTTCTGGAATATCGAAGACCCTAAAGTCGAGGGTCTCACACATTACTCTGAGTACTATACGGCCATATTTTGCGTATCATTTGATTCACTATCCACTGGTCATCGATTATAACAAACATATTCATGGAGAAGTTATGAATCTACGAAAAAGAAGAGAAAGTACAATAGAAAAACACAAGGTGACCAATTTAGCAGACATTAGAGCCGTCCTGTGCAACATTATCTTATATCAATTTTGAAATCAAAAGCGCATCCTGAAAGAAAAACCTAAAGTTAGCACATGTATCATATCACAAGCCAAATAAATGACATTACTTACCTGCTGTCCATTAGGGAGCATATAGGGCAATCTCTGAGACTCATACTTGAATCTCCTTCCTTCATCCGTCAGGAAATCATCTCCCCTTCCTTCAACCCACTGCATGTAATCCTTTGCTCCAGGGGCGTCAATATTGTCGGCTACAACAAAAGCCCCCGCCTTCAGCAATCCAAGCTCTTCTGCAGCCTTTAAATCACTCAGATAGAACCTCTCATAATGGTCGATAAAAAGCACATCAATCCCCGTCTGCAACTCCTCCGCGACCTTCCCTAACGACTCCGAGGCCAGCCCAACAATTACTTGAACAAAATCACCCAGTCCAGCGAATTCAATAAGCGAATTCGCCACAGCTGCATACTCGGCGCTAAACTCGAGGCTAAGATACCGTGTCCCTCCGAAACGACGCATCTCGTTCCCGAACTTGATGGCCGAGTAGCCAATATACCCGCCTAACTCGGCTATGGTGCTGGGGCGAGCTGAATTGATCAGGTTCATGATTGGGGTACTTCGCTCCGGTCCGATGGTCATCATGCAGATTTTTTTCTCGGTGGCCCAGCGGTCGATCTCGGCAAGGATTGCTTCGGGTTGGTTGCGGAGGCTGCATTGGGAGAGGATATGGGCTTGAAGGGCTTTCTCGCGGCCATCCTAGATGTGTTAACAAAGGGAGACTAGTACGAGGAACTAGTTGGCTTACACCATGCCAGACGGTTGCCTTAGAGGCTGTCGCGTATTGATCGTAAGAATCCATCGCTGAGCTACGTGTATGGGATGTTACTCTGTTGGATTTGAAAAATTAGAAGAATTATTCTTGTGGCAGAGCTGGATAGAGATATTTCATTCAACTTCCCGGGGAGCTAGCTGTCCTTATATAGCTTCTTCTGGTCCATCCACTATAGGACAGCTCAAGCCGGCTAGGACCGTCTCGAATTATCAGATTGGTGCATGGCCCAACCACTTACTCAATGATTATTGGACACTTAGTACGCAATCCCATCATCTCCGAGGCTCAAATTGTCGAGACACGCGCAGTTGCATGTGTACGCACATCACTGGTTCGCTTTGGCTCGGAGATGTAAGCTAGGTACTTCGTTCTCCGATGTATTTCTAGTCCTCTCCCTGTCTTAATCAGATAATCAGATAAGATGAGTATGATTGATGTTCACCGGAAGCCGGCAGTGAAATCATCTGACGACGAATCGGCGAAGTATATCGGCTGGCACCGGAGATGTCCTCAGAGGGCGTCGGAGATGTGTCAATGCCCCACTTTATGCGAGTCTTCAACTCATAGATTGGCTATAGGGTTGAGAACGCTCCCGCATTTAACCTTACAGTTTTCAATCTGGGACATTGATGAATGGGTTAATGAAAGGTTTGGTTTGCTCAATACATATTAGGTCCTTCGGCGTCGATACTGAATTTTTATTACTGGAGACACGGAAAACGGGCCGCAATAACGGTACAGAAAATACGGATATAATTCCTACGATAGTGGTCATGTCTGGGGCAGAGATACATTCGAATTTTAAATTGAACACCATCTCTTCTCGAGGCGTCGCTCTTGCGGCTCAGATGCCGGTATTCTTTGACGTTTGGATGGGTCTTTGGGACCCTGAGTCGAACCCCAATGGCATCGTGAACCTCGGACGTGCAGAGAATGTGAGGACGAAACATGTTTTGCAGGACATAGACTCATCGGCTGACTGGGTTAGGGCCTGAAGCAATCAGAAATGGAAGAATGTATTAATTAGCAGGTAGCATTCCCCTACCCATATATCGGGATAGGATATAAAAATTTTGGAGTACCGATATTGACGCCAGTGAAGGACATGCTCGCTGGGATCAAGTCTTCGAAAGGCCTACTACTGAGCTATGTCCCCCTCCTGCTAATCAAGGGGAGCCTGCCGTAGCTCAGTCGGAAGGTTCTCATTTCCCATTCTCAATTGGGCCTCCGGTTCCGAAGGGGGATATCCTGGCCCAGCTTCCACCGCAGGAATGCTGCGACTATCTGATATCCCAATACTTTCTGCGTCTGTCGCCGTTATTTCATGTGCTGCATGGTCCGACTTTTCCAAGGGAGTATAATCAATTCTAGACAACCCGCTGGAGGCCAATCTGTCATGGCTGGCGTTACTTTTCACGATATTGTCTATGATTATGAACACAATGGAGGATGATGATATCGTTCTGTCTGAGCTTTGGGCTCATGAATTTCGCCATAAGGGTCTCAGCGCGGTGGCCTCTCATGTTAGGAAATTGGCCATGCTGTGTCTGTCTTAGGATCAGTTTTTCATTCGCCATTCCCTGAATACCCTCTAGACGCTTTTGATCCTCATCTACGATAAGTCACAATCATGGAGTGGAGCAGACCTGGATACTTTTAGGTAGGGCTTTCCCTTATTCAACTAAACAACTGAATTCTTTTTAGTATATACTAGACGAGCCACCACAATAAATTTGTAGGAGCATGCAAGTCCTAAATCTATTAAGATCAAGTGATGTCAAACCTAGTCGTCATACACGTCCATTGAACGGACCTTGAACCATCTACTGTATATGCAGTGGTCCTCATAGCTCTTCTCGCCCGAGTAAAACTTTCCCGGAAATCAAGATAAAAATAGCTATCGTAGTCCCAACAAGTTAATGAATTATTTCAAAAAAAATAAGAAAGCTTGACCCGGATATCCCTGCTGAATCCATTAACCAAGCCTTGTGGAGCACCAAAAGTGGCCCCTCTAGAAGGACGATAGCACTGTATGACATATGTTGTTTTGGTGATGCGTTCACCGATTGACGTCAACTGCCGCATCCTTGCTTATCTCCCGAGGCAAATCCGGTCGGATCGGTTCCACGTGCCGAGAGAATAAGAAGGGGAGTTGACTCCTCGGACTCGTGGAAACTTGGGACTGAGTACATACTACATTCAATACGTTATTTTTGATCCTGTTGGACATAATACTTGTCGGTCGACCGAATTGAATTGAATTTGAAAGAGCCTTTCCTATCATCATGGGCGAGAAGTACGGCGACTATCAAGCGGAGATCTACGGCCGTGGGGCCACGATGGGCCTTCTGCCGACCGTTACGACGGATCCCAGGCTGCTTGAGGAACAGGCGAAGAAGGTGCTGAGTGCGCGCTCGTACAATTATATTGCTGGGGGTGCGGGAGAGAAGGCGACGATGGATAGTAATCGGTTGGCGTTTCGACAGTGGAAATTGTAAGTTATCCTTGAGCTGTTGGTCCAATCGGGCCCTTTATACACCGTATGCTTTATTGAGATGCGTGGTAGCTAATATTGGGCAGGATCCCGAGGATGATGAAGCAGGTTTGTCTGCTCGATCACTTTTCGCGAACAGCTACTAACCATGTTGTAGCTGGATAACCAAAACCTCACGGTAAACCTATTCGGACAGGAGTATCCCAACCCACTTCTCCAGGCTCCAGTGGGCGTGCAATGCCTATTCCACGATGACAAGGAGACTGGGCTAGCGGAGGCCTGCTCAGAGGCTGGAGTACCATACATCCTCAGCACAGCCAGCAGCAGCACGATCGAGGAAGTGGCCGCGGCAAACGGCGACGGGAAACGGTGGTTCCAGCTCTACTGGCCGATGAGCGACGATGCTACACTATCTCTGCTCAAACGCGCAAAGGAGAACGGCTTCTCGGTCCTGGTTGTTACCCTCGATACGTGGTCGCTTGCCTGGCGACCAGCGGATCTCGACAATGCTTACATCCCGTTCATCAAGGGGATTGGAAACCAGATCGGCTTCAGCGACCCGGTGTTTCGGAAGAAGTTCGAGCAGGAATCCGGGAGCAAGATTGAGGATGATATTACTGGTGCATCTAGAGCGTGGACCTCGGATGTGTTCCCTGGCCGACCGCACACATGGGAGCATGTTTCCTTCCTCCGAAAGAATTGGGACGGTCCGATTGTGCTGAAGGGAATTCAGCATGTGGAGGATGCCAAATTGGCACTGGATGCGGGATGCGACGGCATTGTTGTTTCCAACCACGGAGGTAAGTGTGTTCGGCTTGAAACATGTTAGAAGGAAAGAAATAACTGATTAGAACGCACAGGTCGACAAGTTGATGGTGCGATTGGGTCTTTAGAAGTCCTTCCAGAAATTGTCGAGGCAGTTGGCGACAAAATGACCGTTCTCTTCGACTCGGGGGTTCGGACTGGCTCTGACGCCATTAAGGCGCTATGCCTGGGGGCTAAGGCAGTTCTTGTAGGCCGACCAGCGATCTATGGCCTTGCTGTTGATGGAAAGAACGGAGCGAAGGCCGTACTGAGGGGATTGTTAGCAGACTTGTGGCAGAATATGGGATTAGCAGGAATTCGGACGGTGGCCGAGTGCACCCCAGATAGAATCAGGAAGATTCAATATCCTGGGGACACCAAAGCGATGCTATAGTAGTACAAAAAGTATCATTATGGCGGTCGGTCGATGGGCAGTGTAAATTATATATATTTATCATATGATTCAGAAGGGGAGAGGTGTGAGAAATGAAGATCAAGGATAAAGTTACTCAGTATCGAAAAAAGATGATCACATTCATCTTCTAACCTGATCCATTGCCGCGTGTCTTGACTATTCCGGGGTAGAAGCGGAAGGAAAGAAGACGACGATGTGGAGCTCGGGGAAACAAGGCACCCCAGGCACTGAGGCACCAAGGCAGCGAGGCCGCCAGTGGCAATGGAAAGCCGATCGAATCCAGGAATCACATGTCAAGCCGGTCTCTCCCCCTAAAAGCTACTAACGATTCTAGTGATTTGTTCACCTGCAGTTGATCTACACGCCGCTTGTTTGCCAGTCAGGAACCTTCCACTGACGCAACTTTTGGCTGGCTGAAGTCGAGAACTTCCCCCCTCGGTCCCTGGCCCTCTCTTATCTATCAAGCAAATCAAATGTGCCAACGCAAGTAATCTGGCACTAGGATTTCATCCGCTCATGGCTGTGATTTACTTTTCTCTCGATGCGACAAACAAGTCCCGCTCGACTTTGTACTTCACCGTCTCGAAATGTCTCGACTTTGGGGCTACATACCCCTGTTAAGGCGAGCTGATCCTGGGCCTCGACCCGACGGGGATGTGGATGTGACCCTTCATGACGGTGCTAGTCATGCACCCGCGACTTCAGGAATGACCCTACTTCCGCGGCCAGTTGCCTCCGTGGTATCATTCCTGACGCAATCCACATCGCTCTCGCTCCGCGTGGGTTCGTTTTTTGGTGGTGTCGCCCTTGATGGGGCTAGAGTCACGACTTTGACAGGGTTGGAGCTCAGTAGAGCAATTATCGAAGGAGTCTTAACGAGGGCCGGGCGCGACGTTGCAATTCGCAGTAGCGAGCATGGCAAAGCAGAGGCCGAATCGTTGCTGGAGAGAAGTGTATGTTAAGCATTGAGTACTGACGTGCCAAAATTTCCGCTGCTAATTAGCATTTAGCTCGCTGCTCTACACACGACAGTCACGTCTGCTTCTTTCTTTGCGGCTGCCACGTTCCACATGTCATCTACAACTCTCTCTTCTGCCACGCATATGTCTCAGGCTCTCTTGTCCAGTCTCGATGCCACTTTGGGCTCGACGGAATCTTCTAGAGCCATCGCGGCAATCATAACGCTCATCCGACGGGAGTTTCGCAGCCCGACTATTGATGCCGGCACGGAAAAAGTCGGCGTTGGTGACCTTTTGGTTGGCACTGTCGGCTTCGCCATGCTACAACGATGGGGCAGGAAAAGCACCGAGAGACACATCCATGATAACGGTGGAGACGAGACTATCTGGGACGTTGTCATCCTTGATAATGGATTGCGAGCAGATGTGGTTGGGTCTCACCAGCTTGAACCGGTACGGTATAGAAATAATGACTTGGGTGAAGAGACCAAACGCTCGTCATTCTTATCTCCTGGACAAGATGAGGAGGCCTTCGATGCCGTACAGCGTCCTAGGAGCATGGCTGATACAACGGAGCGGCCTTTCCTGACTCTACCTCCGGGAAACCAGAGCGAGGTGTCAGATGAAGATATCCGCTTGTACATAATGAGCCAGCTTCCGCGTGGCTGCAGAGCTTCAATCAAAACCGACTGGGTAACAGCACGCACCATTACCGTTGATGTATTTGATGATGACACTGCCGAAATCGCGCCTCCACCAGGGACGATGATGGTTGAAGAAAGGTTTCATGATGATCAAGCTCTGAGCACGACGACGGGCCAACAGCAACTTCCTAGACACACTGTTGTGTTTAGAACGGCGTTTAACAAGTCACAATGCGCAGACGTCTCTAGTCTACGCGGACATGGCCCTGAGCTGGAACCACCGAGTTCTTCGGTTACGACACCTCGAGCACACGGCAACACAGAAGTGCCGCCAGATATTCAACCAGAAATCATTGAAAATAGCTCCGCCAACATAACGAACAACCGGTCACCGCCGGACGGCAGCCTTTCTCCTACAAGAAAGTCAAAACATCCCGCTCACAACCGCAACAGTCTTCCATCAGGTCCAAGCTCGCCGTCTTCTTCTCGTGATCGAACAGTGCAAACTACTAGGCATAATGCTGAGAACAGGAATCTTGCCGGGCCTTCTCGTCTATCAGACAGCTCGGAAACAAGCCCCAAGGCTACATTTGGAAAAGGCTCCCTGTTAAAATTTGCACAAAAGGTTAAGCCAACTCACGCTGAGAAGAGTGAGGCTGCTAGGCGACCATTACCCAAACCACCATCGGACAAATCCAACGTACAATCTCTTTCAACGAGCTCTGGTCAGCAAAGCAAGGCACCCAGACTCCCGATCCCTGAAAAAAAATTTTCAGCACAAGGGCCTGAGTCGAAGCTTGGTTCTGGCGAAAGGCCACACAAGGGTCCATCGCCTGCTAAGCCTACGTCTATAGCCAACAGAGGGTTACAAAGATCACCCCCATCACACAACTCTGGGGGTCTTTCCTCCTCTCCAACCACGCGCCGCGACAACGCAAGAGGCGCGAGGAGTGGAAGAAATTCAGGGACAGGGTATTACTCCGTCTACGAGAAGAACCAAGAGTCTTTTGTCACCCAAACAGATGCTTATTCTCTTCGTTCAATGGATTCCCGATCGAAATCCCCAGCCACGATGAGAGCGCATGTTCGCAGTAGCAGCTCTATGTCTCTGACAAGGTCCGAGAACGACATGACTTTGTCTGTCAATGGAGATAGCCGCCCGGGCTCTTCTTATATGCATGAAAGATCCAATTCATACTCTCCTGGTTTGTATTCATTGGCCACAGCGGGCTCGGAGACGTCATTGATACTTGCTCATCGCTCGCGCAAGAGCACATATGATGACATCGCCACCATTCAAGCATTGAACCGAGATGGCATGGTTCCCGGTATCTTTCCTCAAAAGCATTTCGTGCAAAATATTCGGCGCTTTTGTCGTTTCTCTTCTGCTTCTTACGGTTCCAATGCTCTCAAAGTCATGGGAGTTCCGCGAGCGTCAAACGCCCTTCCTTATCAAGAGTCAGATAGTCGAGAGCATGCCGATTTCTCGGACCATACAGGGCTACCAGCTTCTACTATTCTTCTTTCATCATTTGTTGACACCGCTGGTGGGACCAATGCAGCTGGAGAAACCGACAGTGGCTACCCTCTTGTTCATTATCTCTTTTTGGATCATGAATCGAAGGCTGTTGTTCTAACTTTAAGAGGCACCTGGGGTTTTGAAGACGTCCTTACCGACATGACCTGTGATTATGATGATCTTATGTGGCAAGGGAAAAGCTGGTCAGTCCACAAGGGAATGCATGCATCTGCGAAGCGTCTTCTGATGGGCGGAGGTGGAAAAGTCATGATCACTATAAGGGCAGCCCTGGACGAATTTCCCGAGTACGGCGTGGTATTCTGCGGTCATTCATTGGGCGGAGGAGTGGCTGCACTCCTGGCGACAATGATTTCGGAACCCAATAACGAAGAACCCGGGACTTCTTTCATGACTGCTACTCAGCACACCAGCAAGAAACGCTTGCTCCTAACTGATCACGGGGAGATAACCGACCACGCAGCCTACTACCTTCCTTCAGGGCGCCCCATACACGTTTACGCATATGGTCCTCCTGCGACCATGTCCCCTTTCCTTCGACGTGCAACCCGCGGATTGATTACAACGGTAGTAAATGGCCAAGACGTGGTTCCAAGTCTTTCCCTGGGCATTTTGCACGACATGCATACTGTATCCGTGGCATTCAAGGACGATACTTCCGGAGCCAGATCACACGTGCGCGGTCGCTTTTGGGATGATATTCGACAGAGTATCTTGAACAAGTTCTATGTGAATGAACCGCCTATGATTTTGAATGCTGGCGATGGCCTCGGAGAAGATGTCTGGGCATGGCGGACACTAAAAATGCTCCGGGAAGAGATGATTGCACCTAAACTGATGCCTCCTGGAGAGGTTTTTGTAGTTGAGACCATGCGCGTTCTTCAGCGAAGCGCATTCACAACTGATATGGGTTCGGACGGACACCCGCAACTCGGACGCCCGGCGACGCGAGTACAACTGAAGTTCATTCGGGATGTTGAGTCCTTCTTTGGGGAGCTAAGATTCGGTTCCGGCATGTTCAGTGACCACAACCCGGCAAGATATGAGGCTAGCCTTGCCGCTCTCGCACGAGGCATTTTGGATGATTAATGAGTTATGAGCTATTTTCTCTCTCTTGGATAAACGGGAAACGACATTTCTTTTGGATCTGAACACTCGGACAATCTTTTGATATTTCATTATAATATAATTACATCATTTTGAGTATCCAGGCAATGGTTTGACGTAAAGATCCACACGAACTGTCCAGATAAGGCAAGGTGAAGTAATTGAACTTCTCCCCTTCAATGTGAGCGCATGTCGACCACATTCATCTGAGATTTAGCCAAAAAGAGTTTTGAATGTACTTATTTCACGAGCTCTTGAACAGGGCATATTTCCTCAGTATCGTTGGCATAACTAGATTTCTTGGGGTCGCAATTTCCAGGATCGACAGTTGCAAGTGAGATTGTTTGTTCGAATGCCTGTTCTCCTCTCGCGGGCGATCCCCGATGATTCTTGTCACCCTAGCGACAGTGTAGTTTCAGGGTTTCCATGGCGAAGAACCTTTTGGCGTTCGAAACCTTGCCGCTAAATTCTTGTGGCCGTAGAGGATCGATGATGGCAAGGCGCTCGAGCCGTATGGGTGGCAGTTTGTGATCAAATCTCACCCGCCTGCAGAGTTGCGCTAATTGCTGTTCGGCATTAACACTGAGGCGATTGTGTCTGCCGAGGACGCCTCATCATCTCGATGGATCGTAGACATATAACTCATTTATCGATTATGCGGTGGCTCGTTTTTTAAGCCATCCATGTTCTTTCGTTTTCTCTCCTCGATTCGGACCTCCAAATCCCTCATTTGCTTCTCCACGAGGTCTTTCTTGCCCATCAACTCCTGCCGCGTGTTCCGAAGTGCCGAGATGCGCTCATCGATCGAGATTTCCCGTGCTTTTTGAGCTGCCTACGGAGACAAGACAAAGTAAGTCATCGCCGTGCAACTTGAAGCAACATCGTAGCAAACATACCTGGGTAGCTTCTTGTCCCGATTTGAGACCAGCGCCGTAGAGCGTTCCCGCAATGGTAATCGACGTCACGGCAGCGGTCAGAACAAGACGCTTAGCTTTAAGATTCGCAGCCATGGTTTCCAACTCAATTGACTCCCCGGAGAAGGTCGCTGTCAATATCCGAATCCTCCGCTCTCCAATTGGTCGATCTTGTCTGAACTGCTCATGTACACCGCCTACTGTATGCGGAGATAGATTGATGCCTTCCCATTGAGGCCCACATGATTTGGCGCCGCGTCGCGTTATCCGCGTTGAAGTCACTTTCTCCGAACGAGGCGATAACTCGGCCTCGCTGTCAAAGGTACTCCCTGCGCACTGCAGTGGGCCACTCGTGCCTGAACAAACATCCATGTCTTTTTCAACTTCAATACCGCGTCGTCGACCGCGCAGCGAGGATGACGATGACGGCGAAAGCGACGAGGCATCCTCGGTCTCGACGAGACACCCCACGCCCGCTTCTCAGGCCTCGCCTAACAGCAAACGCATCCGATTAGAGGCCGCGAGCGTAGAACAGGACAATGATGACGATACCGACGATAGTGCCAGCCAGGAGGGATCGGATGGTGAAGCCTCCGCGGAAAGTTCTTTGAACCCCGCGTCGCGGGACAAAGGAAAGAATACGTCTGGCGGTCGCGCGCAGGAGAACGACGACAATGAGGACGAAGAGGGGGCAGATGAGGATCAGAATGAAGTTGGTTCTCAAGAGGACTCAAACGGTGAATCCTCTGCGCAAAACCCTTCCGCTCAGCAAATCCAGACTACGAGGACTCCCGAACGGCGTGCCAGCACCGTGGCACAAAATCAGACAGGCGATGGAAGTGGCGCGAAGGATGCCTACAAGCCCGGCTCTATTGTGCGAATTAAGGTCACCGACTTCGTTACCTACACGTCTGCCGAATTTTTCCCTGGTCCGAAGTTGAATATGGTGATTGGGCCGAACGGGACAGGGAAAAGTACGCTCGTCTGTGCGATATGTCTGGGACTGGGCTGGGGACCACAGGTATGAGGATATATTCATTGCTCATATGTGCCTTTTTTTAGGGGCTATATTTGAGTATTCTCGGTGGCTAATACATCTCCTCGTCTATAGCACCTAGGCCGAGCAAAAGATCCTGGCGAATTCGTCAAGCACGGCTGCAGAGAAGCCACGATCGAGATAGAGCTTGCAGGGGGTGCGAGATTTCGTCGAAATCCGGTTGTATCACGAACTATCAAACGAGAAGGCAACAAGAGCACCTTCATGCTGAATGGGAAGCAAGCATCTCGCACGCAGGTGCTGAAGCTTGCTCAGTCGTTTGCCATCCAAATTGACAACCTGTGTCAGTTCCTTCCACAAGACAAAGTTAGCGAGTTCGCCGCCTTGACACCAATTGATCTGCTCCATTCGACGCAAAGAGCCGCTGCCGGGCCAGAAATGATAGAATGGCACGACAACCTCAAAAGCTTGAGAGCCGAACAAAAGAAGCTGCAGACAAACAATCAAGGTGACCGAGACTTGCTAGCGAATCTCGAGAATCGACAGGAAATGCAAAGAGCGGATGTCGAGAGAATGCGACAGCGCGCTCAAATCAAGCGAAAGATCGAGATGTTGGAGTTTGTTCGCCCGGTGACGCAGTACAAGCAAACGCATGATGAATACAAGGAGCTGAAGAGAAAGAAAGACACTGTGAGCCGTGAGCTCGATATTCTAAAGTCCGAGCTCGAACCCGCATTGAGGGCAGTGAACGCAAAGCAGACCTATTGCATGCAGTTGGACGGATATATTGACTTCAAGAAACGCGGCGTCGATGCAGCTGATCGCATTGCTTCAGAAATTGGGAAAACAATCGAGCAGCATGAGGATTCCATGAAAGATCTAGACAACCAGATCAGCGTTGAGAAGAAGCAAGCGCAGGAGTATAAACAAGAGGGGACCAAAATCCAGCAGGCAATCAACAAGCTTACTCGTCAGCTGAACGACGAATCTATCGATTTCGATGTCGATTGGTACAACGAGCAGATTGTGGGTTCTGCCTAATATTGGCACAATTTTCCTGCTAACTTTCAATAGAGAGCCAAACGACGACAAGCGAGAGAACTCGAAGAACAAGCCGAACAAATCAAAGAAACCCGCAGACCTCTTTTCGAACAATTCAGTAAGAAAAAAGACGATCTGTACCAAACAGAGCAGCAGTTGCGTGGCTTGGATTCGCAATCTGGGCGGCAGGAAGCAAAACTCAAGCAAGTATCGCCTGATTCCTTCAGGGCTTATAAATGGTTACAAGACAATCAAGGCAAGTTTGAAAAACAGGTCTTTGGCCCTCCGCTAGTCGAGTGTTCCATATCCGACCCCAAATACGCAGACGCGCTTGAATCGCTTCTGCAAAAAACGGATTTCACTGCCTTTACCACGCAAAGCCGGAACGATTTCAGAACGCTTCAAAGATGTTTGAACATCGACATGAGACTTCATGACATCAGTATCAAGACCAGCGTAGTTCCTCTGGAGAACTTCCGACCTCCGATTCCGGGCGATGAAATTCAAAAGATGGGGTTCGACGGGTGGGCTAAGGACTTTCTCAAGGGTCCGGAGCCTGTGCTATCAGTTTTATGCAGTGAAAACCGGTTACATCAAACACCCGTCACTCTTCGCGATATCTCGGATGATGAATTCAGCCAGATGGAAAGTGGATCGATCAGCTCTTGGGTAGCGGGGAAGCAGAGCTACAAAGTAACCAGGCGACGAGAATATGGACCCAGCGCTACGTCTACACGTGTACGACAAGTGAGGCCGGCAAAAGTATGGACCTCTCAGCCAGTCGACACAATGGCGAAGCAAGACCTAGTCCAGACTATGTCAGCTCTGAAGGAGGAGCTCCGGGATCTGCAACAACGAATGGAATCCGAAAAAGCCAAACTTACAGAGCTGGGCCAGACACATAAGAAGTGTGAAGAGGAAAGGGTGAGAGAAATTCCAAACCTCCGCGACTAGCTCCCACACTAACACTCCTGTAGCATGAACTGGAACGGGAGAAAGCTGAAAAGCAGACAGCTCTTACACAGCAAAGGGCTATCCCAGAAAGAATTCGTATGCCCTCTCTTCCAGTACCTTATTCTCTACCTGTATACTGACCGCAAACAACAGGTCAACAAGAAACTAAACGCAGAGACAATCAGAAATACTTTGATGCTATCAGAACCAGAGTTCTAGAAATTCGTCATCAGCAGGACGAACTGTCTGTCCAGAAGGCTGAAGCGACCCTCAAATATGCTGTACGTTATTAGGCTGTAATTTATCGCCAGGCGCCCTCGCTAACTCTAACTCAGGAATCCGTCGTTCAACTTCGCCAAGCGCATGAAGAGCTTATCAAGCTAGGCGTCCGCCGTGCCGAGGCGGTTTCTGACTTGGAAATCCTCAAAGCCCGTAACCAAGAGCATAGCGATAGGCTGAAAACGAAGGAGGACGAGCTGAAGGAGGTTGTGAATGAAGTCAAGACGGTGGCTGAAACGGTGAAGAGGCTTATAAAAGAGGCACAGAAGGTGGTGCAAGCCTCCAACAGTCAACCCGACCTGGCCGAATTTATGACCACTCTAGTCAATCATACCGTCGATCAGCTTGAGGCGGACATTGACTCGGAGAAGGCTCGCTTAGAACTCACGCAAGGTGGTAGCAGCAACATCATCAAAGAATTCGAGGAACGTGAACGCCAGATCCAGAGGCTACGCGGCAAACTTGAGGACTTTCAGACCCAGCTCGCTGACTATGAACACGCCATCAATGAGATACGTGGCAAATGGGAGCCTCAACTCGATGCGCTCATCAAGAGCATCAGTGACGCGTTCTCCGACTCCTTCGCCCGTATTGGGTGTGCCGGACAAGTCTCACTTGACAAGGCCGAGGACGAGCCCGGCCCTGATAACACATCTGGTGGTAGCAATTTTGATCAGTGGTCAGTCCAGATCCACGTCAAATTCCGAGAAAACGAGAATCTTTCCCTGCTCGACTCGCACCGTCAATCCGGTGGTGAGAGAGCCGTCAGCACCATCTTCTACCTCATGGCCCTGCAGTCTCTTTCGGCATCTCCGTTCCGTGTGGTCGACGAGATCAACCAAGGTATGGACCCGAGGAACGAACGCATGGTCCACGGTCGTCTCGTCGACATCGCCTGTGCCAACGGAGGGTACAACGAAGATGGCACTGAGAGCAGCGGAGGCAGCCAATATTTCCTGATCACCCCCAAGCTGCTCAGTGGCCTGGTCTACAAGCCCGGCATGCGCGTACTCTGCATTTACAGCGGCGAGCACATGCCTAAGGACTACGGGATCTTGGACTTTGGTCAAGCCGTGCAGCGAATGCGCGCTATTAAGGGTCAAGCAGATCGAGGGAAGGGCAAAGGGAGAGCCATTGAGGATTCCATCTCCCAGCGAAATGGTCGAGTTGATGTGTACGCCTGATGAATCTTAAATTTACCTATGATACCTTTTTCATCTGGCTTTTTGTTTCTGATATCTGCTTACTTTTGCTTCTTGGCCTGGAGGGATGAATCGGTCTGTTTTTTTGGCTTTTGGTTTCTGTACATAGATACTTAGGGATTCTTGGGATGAAGTTACAATACCCAATCTTACAAACATAGAGGTCTGGGATAATATTAGACATCTACATCTAGACTATAAAATCCGTAGTATCACTTTCAAGCTATAGTCACGTAGAAGAGTACAAAGTCCAACCGGTGGCAAACCTATCACATGTGAATTGGCATACAGCAAAAAGAAAAGACAGCATCATCTAATCTCAGGAAAACCCAAAGCCAAGAAAGACCCTCCGAAGAAACAACCACGCCACTTTTTGCCTTCTCCCAGCTAAGCCTCAACCCTCCATCCCCAAGAAAGAACAAACACCAGTTTAGGGGTCACACTCCGACATGACGCATACAGAAAGACAAAAAAAGTCAAATAAATCAATATACGGAGCACGCACTAACTGTATCAATCGAGACAGACAATAAATAAAATAAAATGAGAACGCATGGGGAGATCGGATCCGATCAGATCAGCCCATACATCCATTCCTTCTATCCGCGCTAGTATCTAACTAACATCTAACATCCAACAATCCACCACCTCCTCTGATAGCATTCATAGGCTGCTACGTACCCTAGACCCCTGCCAGCTGGTACGGTGTACGTAGGCAGAAGCTAAATGCAGTGTGGCTAGCTAACAAACCCATGTCAAAGGTTGAAAGCACATGCATGTTAATGCCATTAATAACATCAATAATAATAAAGGCAAGCCACGATCCTCCTCCCTGGACTTAATGTCAGCTACGAGTCAGGGACCGGTCACATGGACATGGCTATGGACTGATTATTAGCAAGGGCAAGGCAGAGGACACGCAAACTGCATGAGTTGAGCTATCTATACGGCCGAGTCGGTTGGGAAGGAATGTTGCATTTGGAAGTGTGATTAAGGACTAAACAGAACAGTTAGGAACTTGTGCATACGATGCAACTGTACAGGGGAGACTGTCTTGGTATTCGGTCACATTTCATGAGAGATAATTACTAAGTAGTCATGTATGTTTTAGCGAGGATAGATTACTTGGTTTTCATCCTTTCTATAATGAGCACGCTACGTCTACGACTTATGAAGGAAAAGTACTAGCTCTTGGAACCTTAATTCCCATTTCAAAGCACTCACACAGGAAGACGAGTTCAGGGCTCGTTTAGGAAAGAGAGGGTGGAAAAGCCGCATAGATACAACGGGTCATGAGCTTAACGTCCACAAGATGACAAAACATGGCAACGCAGTACACTCAATGTCTTTTGTCTCCCTTCCTGCGCTTTCGCTTTCTAGGAGAGCAGTCTATATTGTAACAAATCTTCCCAGGGGGTTCTGGACAAACTGATCTCCGCTGATGCTGTTCTCCTCCAAGGACTCTCTCACCAACCTCGCACTTGAAGTGGCCAGCATTCTAGGATCCTCTAGATCCTGAATCACTGTGACTCTGTTTTCAAAAGTAAATATCATTCCGCTCATCGTCCAAGTTCCTTATAAAGGCTGGGATATATAGCAAGATTGGTAAACTCACACCCAAAGCCAACAGCCAGCGCCATCTTGCCCAAAGTGAAAGGAAAGACGATTTCTGTCGAAGATGATGTTTGTAACGTCACTAATCCTCAAGGATGGCTCAACTGGGATATCGTGGTAGGTGCTCCAGGCATCTGGAATAATATCATCGCGATATTGAATGCGGAGCCAGCTTGTGATGCTACCGGGCATCCGCTGAGTCATGTTCACATGAACCCAAGACCTGTCTCCGGTGATAAGACAAAGAGAGGCATGTTCTTCGCAGTCAGGTACTGTGTGGGGGCGAGAGCGTGGGGAATTTTGGATTATCCGTATAGTGCTAATCCTGCGTTCGCCGGCCTGGTCGCTCGGAGGAGAGGGAAGTCTAGTAGAATCCGGATCATAAGGAGACCTTGACCGATTCTAGTTTCTCCTTGACTCGGGGTTGCTGGACCTATCATCCCTTTCGCGATATCGGGAGCGGACGTTGGACATCGTTCAAGCTAGTATCCGGCTGGCAAGGTGGATAAAAGAGTAAACTTGGAGATGGGCTTTCCGTCGAGGGGGCTTGTGGAGGTTGCTTGATAGATGAATTCTGGGTCTTGATAAGGACGTGTCCTGAGACTTATATATTGACTTTAAAATGGTATAGCAAACTTAATCTTAGAGCGTGTTTGCGGTCTTTCTTGCCTTTTGTAAGTGTGGAGTATCAAAACGAACAAACTTCTTTGATGGTGGTTGATTCTAATCGTTGGCTCCCAGAGACATAGCAAACGATAAAAGTCCATGTCATTTGTTCTAGGTGAAGCGAACTGCCGGTGTAGTCAGTTATAGTGATTTCTTTGAAGATATACGTACCGTTGTACAAATGGATGTGGGGCTTCTTTTCATCTTTGATGACCCATTGTAGCTCTCACTGGCTATGATTGCTGCTTCAGGGCAGGGTTTGACGTCGCAATGTTCACACACAACCAGATCCAACACATAGAGAAAGTCAAAAGACGGCAGCCATTCGTTGGACTGGCTATGAAGCAAACCCCTAATTTTGACATAAAATCGTCATTCTGTTTTGTTTTCTGAAAAAATGCAATTTCCTCGTTGGCTGCGACCTTGATAGAATGCAATCATGGCCCCAGGGCTACCGTTGTTGCTGTGAGCAAACGCTCGCTGACCAAACTTCCTCTCAAAGCTGTGAGAGGAAGACTGATCAGCCTAAGCCAGAGGGACCAGTCATCAAAGGGGTTGACTCTAATGTATATTTCCGAGCTCTTTCAATCCAGACGAACAAGTGTCTCTGGCTTCGTGACTATGGCATCAACGAAGGACGAAAACATTCGTCGGTACAGTATCATTCCTTGAATATACCGTGGTATTTCTTTCCTTCTATTCACAGAAGTTTGTGCATAGTCAGACGCATGTGCGAATCCTGAAAGAATCGTCGCTCTTAAAAAAGCCCTGTTCAAGGTAAAGGAGACGTTAGCTCTATTGCGATAAGGCAAAGACACGAAGACTTAGCGCCATTCTCATGGAATCGAATGAGCCGGATTCAAGGCATTCGGATTTTTCGTTGTTTTGGTCAGTTTGTAAGCTCGATTGAGTGTTGCTAACCATAGCACAAATCAATGGCAGTGAATGTCAAAATATGGAAGGGTCAATCTGGGAGCCTGCCTGGCATGGCTACCCGTGACTTTCAGACACTCGAAAGTCAAGGGGCACTAAGCAATCGATGCTTTTCGTTTCACTTGTTCGTGCAAAGCACTCCTTGCAAAATAGAGAGACTAGCTAGCCTCAGATCTTTTCAGTTTTCATTTTCACTACCAGTGGCACTATCGACATACAACTATCAATTCATCGTATATGGCAATCTCAAGAGCCCTCGGCAAAAGGTCATCTCTCACAGAAGGTATTTTTATTGACATTGCCAACGAAACCACATACAAGCCGATGGTGATAGCAGCAAGTAGGATACGAATACGCTGCATTTCTGCATCATCAGCCAAACTACAATGAGCTGAGTTGCACTCTGACGTCCAGCTCTCATCTGCTTGCTTCACTGTCTATCGATGCTTAGAACCCTAAGGACAGCCCATGGCTATCAATACATTTGCTCCTAGTCGGAAAATACTCCATGGCCATGGCGCATACACCTAGAATCCGACCAAGCAATGTGCAAGTACACCAAGGCCCGCACAAACCTCACATCGGCCAAAGAGGGGCGTGGGTGTGGCACAGCCCATGGCAATAGATCAATGGCAAAAATGCCTCATCAAATCAAGGCGAGGAGCTCAAGAGAGAGCCTACACTATTCGGTCGATATGGCAAGTTGCGAGCCTGTTGTGGGAGTATGCAGTCTCCCTCCTTGGAACAATGGCAGCGTTCAACAAAAGCAGCGAGGGAGCTGGACTCAATCTGGCTAGACGCCCATGCGATGTCCTGCGCCGCCCGGCCAGGCCAGAGGGACGAGCAATCTCAACTCTGTGCGTTAAGATTAAAGATACGAGGTTACGCTCAAGACTCTCCAGTGGCCGTTTACCAAGCGGAAGGCTGAACGAACGAGGAAATTACGGATTCGAACGAGTCACACCACACGACCCGAGCCGCAGGATTGTCAGTGCGGGAGAAGGTTGCATGTCTGTGCTCGACCTGATATCCCACGCGCTCATAATAATATCGTTCATTATTATCGCTCATGGACCAGGTCCCCTGCGCACCGTCGAACCTACAGGGTTTCCTAGTTCTCGTCCCCTTTTCTTTTCGTGGCCATTTCATGTTTGCCCGTCACATGCCAGGCAGGTGATGACGATGATCCATACGTTCGGAGACGACACGCAAATAGGAATAAGTCAGAATAACTACGGACGCTATGGATGGGCAAAAAATAGGTGTGACAAGACCTGCGACCCATGCATATGGGGCTGATCTGAACGGGCTCTGCTCTATAGATTCTTACTAGTCCTACGGACTACCGACGCAACCTCCAGGGCCCTTCCGCATGGCAGGATCGGACTCGACCTACCCGACATGACCTATGGGGGAGATGCGTCGCCGTGGAGGCTAAGAACGGGCCTTCGCTCTTCGCCTCTCAGGCTCTCACCCTCCCCTCTTTTGCTCCTCCTTCGAAGATCATCCGGTTCCTTCGCATCCCAGTGGATGAGCAAGGCTGGCCCTGCGATCGCACTGTACTGCCGCTACGGTGTTAGCTTGTTAGGGGCAAAACCAGACATGCATGCCTGAGGCCCCGTCGGACGATGGCCGAGAGTCTAACAGCGACTACTCCGGTGTACGTACTCTGAACGGAGGGATTCTCTCTGCTGGCGAGTCCCGGCGACATGAAACCACAAAATCAGAAATGTTGTTTTTAATCTAAAAGGTCCCGTAAGCTGCAACAT